AATTTTACGTAATATTATTAATTATATTATTAATCTATTTAATAAAATTCTTTTACTTTTATAGTAACTTAATCTCAATTTATTATATTTAGTATAATTTCAATATTAGTTTTTTTTATTTTACTTATAGTAATATTACTTTTTATAATATATTAATAAATATTATAACTTGTTAATATATATTTTTATCTTTATTTTAAAGATTTCCTAATATTTTAGATATTTTAAAAAATTTCTTTATATTAAGATTATAGCTAATCTATTAAATATTATACTCTTTATTTAAAAAATTAATTTTAATTAAAACTTAATTTAATTAATTAATATTTAAAACAGGCTCGCGGTATTAATTAGTATTATTAAAATTATTTATTCTATAGATTAATATATATTATATATATCTCTTGATTAATTTTATAATAGCTTTATACTATAATTTATTATTAGTCTATTTAAATTTATAGATTTTATTATTTATATAGTCGATTAAGTTATTAATTTTATTTTTATTAAATTATTTATATTATTATTTTATAATATTTTATAAATTATTTTAATTTTAGTTAATACGTAGTTATATTACTTAATTCATATATATTATAAGCTAATTTAATATAATTTAGTTATTACTATTTAGTTTATTTTCTTTATATTATTTTATTTTTTTAGTTAATAAATTTATATTAATATTAAATTATATAGATTTAGTTTCACTATTAGTCTCTTTTAATTTTTTATAGATTTTGGAATTTCGTGATATATTATAAATTTCTTTAGTTTTATTATTTAATTTATTAATTATTATATTAGTATTAAATTATACTATATAAGAACTGCGATTTGCTATTTGGCTGCCTTTTTCGGCAGCAGGTGACTGCCGAAAAGGGCCATATTTCAGCAGCTTCCTTCTGCCACGCTCCCGGGCTTTCTGTCGACGCACCGTCTAGCGTAAGATTTTATGCCTGAGGCTGTCAACATCGTGGGCGCGTCCATCAGGACTCGTCCAGGCAGGCTCATACTCCGCTTTACCATCACAGCTCTTGGAATCTCATTGACAACGCCGCCAATGGCGCCCCCAGCGCCATACCAGCTGGCCTCTGGCCAGTGCATCAACAATATGACTATAACACGCCCGGCTGTTCCTGTTTTTCTATCCCTTTATTTTTCGTCACCTTGTGCTTATATCGAATCACCGAAAAATCAACCTTGTCCTTGTCCATCTACTAAACCGAATACCGACTATTACGTCCTAGGATCTCCTTGACTCTTCCTGTACCCTTTTCTCCCTACGGTCAGCTTACGAATTTGATCATGCGCTGTCGGAGAGAAACCTGTGCAACCTCCCGCACTGCCATTACTGAATCATCCACCACGTCTCCTGGAATTACCGATGACGATAGATCCATCGAACCTAGCTCGGAGACGGACCTGACGGAACCGGAATACCTGCCTCCCCCTTCTCAGAAGGTCCAGAAAAGGAAAATCCGGCGAGGCCCTGCTTCAGGACGCGAGCGAGCGGACTTCGCAGAGTTCAAAGTTTCGGAAACTGAGAATATCATAGATGTGTCGGCCGTGGAGGTGGTTCATCAGGGTAGTTACGAAGATCCCGCTGATGATACAGATGAGGATCTGTCTAAGGTGCCGGAGGATTATGGCAAATCGAATAATACCCGGAAACTGAACCTTCGACTAGAGGAGCGCTGGGCTCGGTCAGTATCCATGCCGACCAGGCTATACTGAAATGTTGCCTTGATGGACCGATCTCTGACTTGTATGCTTTTAGGTACTGTCGGACTAAAGCAATCGAGCCGTCAGCCGATCCGAAGTGGGAAGATCCAGAGGAGGCCTTACGTCAAGCCTCCCCAAACGACATCCACCGGTTTCTGAATTGGTGTCTCAAGCTGAAGTACGGCTTGGACGGTCGCCGCCTAAAGGGCTACAGAAAAGCCAGTGCCCTTCAAGCGGATTGGAAGTATTTCCGAGTCTATTACACCAAAGTCACGAAGCAGGAGATGAAAAAGGAAATGGGTGAGGCGGTGCGCACTGTACGTTCCATCCTTCCTGGATTCCGTCTCCATCAGCATGTCATTTGACCGCGGGCAGGGAATGAGACACCTGATCGATAAACGAGGGTTGGACAAACAGCCCCGGGCAAATGTCCCGGTCTATATCGAAGATATGGTACCGTTCAATGAGACAATTCTCCAAACCCAGAAAAGGCGATTTCATCTTGGCTTTCAGCGAATTATTCTATGTCTCTACAACACCATCGGGCTATTCACTGTCAACCGGAAACAGGCGATGCTACATCTCCAGTTCAAGCATTTGCAGATAACTCTGCAGCGTGATCCGCATGGAGGACCACCGGTGCGGATGATCGAAATCGATCCCCAGTTTGTGAAAAGTGTCCTCGGAATGTACAAGGTGTACGTGGCCCTCAGCGTCGTACCTCGCTCAACCCCCGTACTGGATGGGCTCATTGAACTGATCAATAAAACAGCAATACCTTCGCCTTACCAGAAATTATCTATGGTGTATCGCTTGTTTTCAGCCCACACGTATTGCTCTTCAGCATACTGTTCTATATAAAAGCGTTTGAGGCGCCCCACTTGACTTCGATGGAGGACCTTCGGAGGCTGTTCATTGAGGATGGGCGACAGGAGATGCCACTTCCCCTGAAAAAGGAGATGGACAACTACTATGTCTTTCCGAAGGTTGACGTCATCGACGGCGAGCCCCGTATCTTGTGGGAGACACGCATGAACGGCTCTACACTGGATGGGCAGCTTCGGTCATTCAGTGAAATACATGGTTTCCTGAATCATTTTTTCTCCCACCAGTTCCGTTATGGGGGAGGAGAATTGCTTGACCAGAGTGGTAAGAACCCTAATCTTCTCGATCCCAGATTTTGCATTCTCTTTTTTTCTTTTCTTTCCTTCTTTTTCTTCTAGCCTAATGGTTACTGACTATCGCATCCAGGATTTGTGAGCGAGGCGCAGCGTAACGTGATCATGGCTCACGCGAGCAGCAGAACCTTCATCAAGCACTATCGACCACGACGGCATACTGGTTTGCAGGAGGTTATGTGCGGGATTGATCCGGACGAGGAACTTTCGCGAGCTGTAACTCGGATGAGCCGATGGATTGACAAGAGGCGACCCCGATATCTAAGCGACGCTGAGAAAGCGTCAGTGGAGAACGATCCCGAGCTGCAATCCGCCATACGAGAGCAAGTTGAACTGGAGGACCGTTATGCTCGATCCAACGATCCAGCATTGCGGGCCTTATTGGAACAACAGAAGCGCAATGTTGACAACACACGTCGCCGTCTTCGGGAGAAACGGCGGAAAGAGATCCGCCGGGATTTCAGTCGGATACAAGCGGTCATCGACATCGAAAGACAATTAACAGGCGGTGCTGTGAATAACGAGCCTGCCCGGGAGGTGTTACGAAAGGAATTCGCCATGCCACCGGAGCAGATCGTCCTTGTGGAGACGTTTTTCACCTGGCCCACTTCAGACTCGTTGGAAGACGAATGGATGAGGCGCAGTAAAGCCACGGCGGCGGCCACACTATATTGCGGTTTCCGTGAGGGGGGCCCTCTCCGCGGACGGCCGAAACGTCCTGCATCAGACGATGAAACTCAAGTCGCAGACCCACCGGCTAAAAAGCAGAAGACGCAGAAGCGTCCGACTGTATCGGCATGGGAGAATAAGCTTGTTGCCATCAAGGAGAAGGTGGCAGCGGAGAAACCATCTGCGTGTTTCCAATGCTTGAAAGAATACTCTGACGTTTACGGATTGAAGAGACACTTTAAGACATTGCATCTGCAGGATCGCCAATGCAACTTCTGTGATCTGTCGCTACAGCATGAGATGCACCTGCGGAGGCATGCACAGGATGTACATCGGCTTCGTACGTGAGCGTTATCCTTGCTACTGTGGGGTTCCTCCTAATGCTGGCTGATGGCCATCAACTTGCTACAGATGCCATTCAGATGATGGTGGATTCAGGAGCTGGTTCCTAAAGACAGTGTGGCGCGATACAATCACCATGATTAGGTGAATCGTTAAGAACTAGCTGCACCTAGTAAAGTTGGGCAACCCAGTTTCTTTCTATTAGTTTTCTTTGGGCGAAATGCTAGTAGGACATCCGCTAGATATTGATCTCTGCCAAATTCAGGTCGGCTTATTAACCTCTGAAGGCTATCAAAAGCTACACTAGATGAGTAGACAGGAAGGAATGGCATGCTTGAAAAAAGCACTCTGAATGCCGACGAAAATGTATAGATTCATAATTATATTCCCCCACGCGACTTGAAGGCCTCGAAACTGCCAGGGAGTCTTGAAGTACACTTGCGTCCAAAGCCCCGTTTGCCCTATAGAGACATGACCTATGCATATCAAGAGTGTGAAGCCACTGTGTTCTTCGTTCGGTGAGTGTGTGGGCTATTTCTAAAAATATTTTCCGTGTCTCTGGAATCTCTTGATCTTACTCTGCTTACCAGAGAAGGTTGTGGAGGACTAGGTACTATTGGAGTAAATAATTGACATCATAGTCCGTCTAGCTGACTTGTTCTATCTACAACAGCTTCCATCTACATGGCTATATAGGAGTCAACGGTCAAAGAGTTCAAGGCAATATCAGAGGCTAGCTCGTCCAAGTACTGATCACCACCCATCCAAGAAGCCACTTGGTACCACCAACTGCCTTTGCCAAATCGCATCGCTGTTGTGAATTCCCAATATTCAGGATACCAGCCTGCAGACTCCCAATCGAGAAATCCAGATAGATGTCCGTGGTCATCAACAAGGATATTGTGTGCTTTGAAATCACCGTGCGTAAATGTTATCTGATGAGAATAATCTTGAAGCTTTTTCGCACAGAATAACGCTTCCTTGTACTCGGTAGTGGATTCGAAACCATGGGGTGAGGCTGGACTTAGAAGATACTCATAAAACTCTTCTTTACTTGTAAAAGGACCCATCATATGACAAGGAATCCGCGGACTTCGCAAGCATGTTCCAATTGCTGAGCAAATAGAGGTTGAGCTAGGGGGGCGCCATCGACGCATCGAGTGTAAACATGTCCTTAATTCGTACAGCCATGGCTCCTCCGTATCGACTTGCAGCGGATCAAATGAATTTTCCAGTGGCACACCAGGTATCCTTGTCATTAGGATTGAAAATGTTCGATTGAACGGATCACCTTGATGCTCTCCACAGCTTAAGAATTTAGGAACCGGTATTCCAGCAGCTTCCGCCATTTGCATTGCAACCGCTTCCTCGATACTCGTCCGGTCAGTCCATTTCATGACAAGCCCAAATGGTAACTGTACAATGTGGGCATTGAAAGGAATATCGAACCAAGAACAGTAATACTGAGAAAAAAAATATAATGCCCTATGGAAAAGTCCCCAGGCTTTTCTGATAAACTTTCCCGGCAGACGCGGTACAACAGGAGTGTCTTCAGAAATTGTATAGCGGGTCTTTCGTGGCCATGTAAAATCCGGCTGTAATATATGTGGAATGAGCAGGCTCTTCATATTCTAACAGAGAACACAAAAATTTATCAGTATAGAAGGATGTGATTAGGTCTGATCATTAACCTAGAGAGGGACTTTCGAAGACGAAGCGATTTAAGACACCGTATGTTTGGTCATGTGAGATAATACTCAATGAAATGTTCATGTGACGCAAGAGGCTTTCTGATTGCGTACTCTGATTGGCTGGAGCCAATCCCCTCCCGCCTCTCAGGGTATATCTTGCTCTTCCCTGCCTCTACCTCACCACCTTCCTACCACCTCCCTACCACCTTCCTACCACCTTCCTACCACCTCCCTACCACCTTCCTACCACCTTCCTACCACCTTCCTACCACCTTCCTACCACCTTCCTACCACCTTTCTACCACCTTTCTACCACCTCCCTACTACCTACTACCTACTTCCCGTACTTTCTCCGCAATCTCGACGATGTCCACGACGCCCCCTACCTTACTATTCAAGGCCACTTCTGGCGGCACATTCTCTTATCCAGACGGATACGACAACGTTTCCAACCAGGATCTTGTGGATTTATACAGGCTAACCCAGAAGGCATTGCTCTCTTTGGAAACAGAGATTGATAAGAGGTCGATTACAGTGGGTATAGGTGTAGAAAAAGCCATCAGAAGGGTGAAGGAAATTTATAAAGAGGTTAGAATTACGAAGAGGATACCCGACCGAGCTGAACGACTTGTACACAACGCAATCAGTGCTGTAACGGATCCTGTTTTTACCGAGCCTGGTGCCCGACGCTATCAAATTTTCTTTACTGACATCCTTAGCCTTAAAAACCATGGAATATTCGTTCTCTGCGCAGCATCCTTGGGGAAAGAGAAAGTAAGAAATATGAAGAAGGAGGACCGAATGGAGTTCTTGGACTACCTTGGGAATAATTTTTCGACTTTTAACAGCTCCGCTCTTGATGATCTCGCTACAAAGTTTGACATTCCAAAGCATGGTATTTTCCTCCGACCCACTGACAATGGTCTGGTAGGTTTGGCATCTGACAGCGAATAGACAAGTATAGTGAACCGAATCAGCGCAAGCGGCGCCTATCTCAAGGTTGGTTGTTTCATTTGGGTCACGACAGAATATACTTTGTTATTGATTCGGATATAGTGCTGGAAACCAGTCCACGAAAGGAACAACAAAACGTCCTTCAGGGGAAGGGTACGATAGAAGGTGGTGGTGATTCTGAAGTCGCAGCCGCATCAACTTCGATGGAGACAGAGCAGATGTTAAGAAGGCAGAGACGTGAGTTGCCTGGGGTTGTTCTTTATCCGTCACTTTAATGAATTTACTCTAACGATATTCGTAGAGATTGAATATAGCTACTCAAATGCGCCAGTCAAATCCATCTCACCATTAGGTGAAAAGCTTACCGACGCTATCAGGAGTAGTAAACAGTGGCAGTGGGAGCGGGCGGTCGGGCAGAACGAAGTGACAGGTTGTATTACTGCACTGGCTCCAAAAGATCGAAATATTGATATTTCTCTAAATATGTTAGTTGGATTTGAGATGGGAAACAAGTTGATCGAGGAACTTCGGCTTATACCTATATGAACATAACTGTGGCCCCAACAACACGAACTTTGTATCCAGCGGGGACAATGTGCTTCCCCTCCTCTTCTTGAGATTCCCATTCCCAATATGCCGGTGACCCCATATCAGCTTTAGGATCGTATATCTGGATTAACTTTCCCGTGCCGATTATTGTTCTTGGATAATCTACTCCATCAAAAAGTTTCGTTTTGATATCTTCCATCTCTCCCTTTAAGGCCCTAGCCCCTACCTAGTGTAGAATCCAGTTAAATCAAGTCGAGCCATGGAAATAGCTAAGCAAACCTCTTCTGACATGGCCAAATGAACAAAAACGGTCGCAATATCTTCACGTTATACGAAGTTACGGCGGATTGTATTGGCTAGCGTTCTCGTAGTGGACAAGGGCGGACCTAATGGTAACGGAGGTCAGAAACACGGCATGTGAGTAGAGGAATGCGACTTGTTGCTCACAACGACGGGTAACTAGAGGCGAGCTCTAAAATATAATAAAATCTGAAACAGCCATGAAAATCAAGGCGTACAATTATCTGGATACTCTTATAGGTCTCATGAGTAGGTTAGGTAGTTGGGCACATGAAACGGCCGAAATATATTTGAATAGTGGTGGGGTCAATGGAGGGGCTATTACAAACACCGCGGAGTCAAATGACTAAGCATAACATCTGTATTTCAGGCGAAAAGAATAATGTCCGCTTTCCTAGTCAGGTCTAAAACCCGGCGGACTTTTCAACTCCACGGGTGGATGTGTCAACTATGCGGGCGTTGTTTCCGTTATGTACAATGGAAACAACACCCTGCTGAGTTCATAGCGTGGAAATATATCGGGCTATGGCCCTTACTGCGGAAATTTTTATAGCAGGTAGTTCCCCATAATCACCACAATAGATTGCTCCTATTCAAATCATAAAAACAGAATCAATCAATCAAGAGAGGACAACTATTTCAGCAGCACACATATCGCAGAGCGAAAAGTCAGTGGCAGAGTCCAGAAGCCACAACATCATTCTAACACCAGCCAATGTAGGAGCAAGGAGTCTTACTTGCACAGCTTTGACCTGACCACAGGACGCGGCTGGCTATTAGACGCAGCAGTCGCACTGTATTGATTTCCGAACATCATGCACTCATCTTGCAACTTCTGATGATCGTCGCATCGAACCAGACCCTCTTCGATAAGACGTTGTAAAATAGTCATCAGCCATATACGGCAAGTTACTCCAGGGATTTGATTGACATCATCGTCGCGGGACCTCATGGTTTGGTCGAGGATTGCGTGTTTTGGCTCGGGAACGTTTGCGATCTGAATGAGGACGCAGAGAAAGTTCGACTTGAAGACACCGCTGGTCGGGCCATGGTCAGGTATCCATCCGCCACCGAGGTTTCTCATGTGGTATTTGCTTCCCCCACTGGTGGTTTGGTGAAAGTAATAACCCCAGTGGAAATCATTCGCTCGAGGAGGGTCAGACCGAATGTAAAGGACAATGTAGAGAGTGTTCAATGGAAGCTGGGCCAAAGCCTCTTCCTGCAGTTTTTTGATCTCAAGCCCCCTCTGCCTGGCATTGGTAACTCGTGCAACAGAGTCCGGCTTAGCTAGATTCCCCATATCGAATGATGCCAAAAAGGATATTGTGGAAAAGATAGGCAGGTAATAGATGAGCTCAAAACCTTTGGTTATTGCAGGCTAATCGATAATAACATTTAGGGGCACTGTCTTGACTTAAGTACTTTACTTCCGGACGTTTGTTTGGGTGGTGAGTGCTTTGCTGTAACGGGCATCGTTGGAAGTCGTATAGGCGCTGCAAGTCTACACCATGTTGCATACATTTTAAAGTTCAGGCCCTCTTTGTTAGGAACGAATTTACTAGTTGCATTTCACATCAGGAATGAGGCGTTCAAATACCAAATAAAGTAAGAACGGACGCTACAAGGTGTCTCAAGGGCCCACCATACGCCCACCATACACCTACCATACACCTACCATACTCCCACCACACCCCTACCACTACCCTACCTTAGGCGTCCAAAGAGTGCCACCACACATTTACCCATAAGCGTACTACAAATGTCATCGGGCCAAATGCTAGCTTACCATCGACCCACTAGTTACTTACCATACGCCTACCATAAATCCACCATTTGCCTACCACTTCCCTACCACTTCCCTACCACTTCCCTACCATATGCCTATCATACACCTACCATACGCCTACCATACACCTACTGAGCCTCCCGTCATAATCTGCCTTTAGCCGTATTACGCGGCACCTTGTACCTCACTACAATAACCCATATAGACCCCTGACCATTAGAATTATAGACAGGTCTTGATCTTTAACCAGGCTGAACATCACCCCCACCCATCAATGCGGCATTACGCCTCAATCTCCTATCACAAATGTGGTTAATACAACGTCTAATGCCTGTCACAACTAGAGAATACCTAGCAGCTTACATTTCCAGGTGTATTAAAATCTTGACAACTGACAAAGAACCAATAGTAATCACTATATTCTGAAGATAACCCATTGAAAGGATTTCCCCCCTGGTTTACAGCTGGTTTTCGGTGCCGAACATCGTATGCGAAGTTAGCAATCAGGATATCGACCTATATCCACTATATCCTAGAGCGCAATCGTATCTATAAAGATGCCAGCCTTATCCCAAGTGCTCACCGCAAATTCGCACGGACACATATTCCTTCAACAGTCATTCTAATCATGTGCATCCGTCGAATCGTATCTTTTTACTATACCTTCCTTTGCTGCCTGCGAGGATGCGAAGACTCCGATGAGGAATGCGATGATCTAACTTCCTTCGAGGGTGAGATGCCCATTGGGGCAAGGATAGAATCTGTGAGTATCAAGCATCAGTGAACTTGGAAAGGTCTAACATAGGCATACCGGTAGATGACCGTTGTCAGATATGTCAACAAGGACAACTCCATCGCCATAACCCACACTGTTGTGGAGACTACTCACATTGACCCACAAGCGGATTGTGGCTCTGGCCAAGATATGGGGACCAAGAGTTCCATCCCTGATGATGCGTCGGACGCAAGTACTCTCGTCGAAAATCCCGAGACAGCGATTGTACCATCTGCATCTTCCTTCCAATCAGATGAGAAAATCATCATAGAGAAGGATACCGAGATCGTCTTACCTTGTCCAACATTTGTCGATAATTACACTGGTTGTCGTATGGTGGAACTGCGCTATGTTACTTCTATGTACCTTGATCCTATCGTTATACCTCTTGACGATTGTGAGTTCAATAAGTGTGAATCCAGCGAATCAGACTCGGTTGATGATGAGGTTGAGGCGCTGTTTCGCTACAAAGACCTCAAGTTTTGCGCGTGCGTTCCGTTTGGTTATGTAAAAGCCCGCGCTGAAATGGATCCTGCTGTAGTCGACTGACCTCATTGGGTTGATTATTCCCTGATTCCCTGCGTCTGTCTATTTCTTTGTCTTTAATACGTCTGTCAGCTGGGGAAGAGTAACTGGTTGGTTAGTTGCATACCACAAATGTGTATACGAAAGTTATCTGTCAAGAAACTAGCAGTACAGATATATCGTACATGTAGTGATGATACGTTGGTTAGCTTGTCTCCGAATATATAAGACAGCGATACTTGTCCTTTAACATCCTCATCATAATAACCATGAAAAGCCTTATGCAACTGCTTTTAGTGCTCTGGCTCTTAGTATTTTTCATTCTCCATGTTACAAGGCCTTTCTTTAAGAGAAGATATTTTCCTGGTCCGGGAGCACGTACAATTCCTCAACATCTGCATGATGAGTAACATGAATCCTGTACGTTCTCACATAAGGCTGTTAAGAAGTTGGTTCCTAAGCCCTTAGAAGAACAGAAAACGCCAAAATACTGCCACAGAAAGGGAAGGACTCGTTCCAAGAAAGAGAGAAAGTTTTGAGAGAGACTACCAGATTGTAAGAAAAAGTTTTACCCGTCAGAAATATTAGCTAATATGTTGTAGCAAAAGGGTATCTCTTGTGAGACACAAGAGAAGGGTAAAAACGAGGATCAGCTTCCTTTAACGTTTAAGAGGGCTAGAGAAAACCATCATAGCGGCCGGGTAGAGAAACTTCCACGTATGCGTGCGAGACGATTATGTTGTGCGTGTGAGGACGAACGGGCGGTCATAGGCGATAGAGGACGCTGTCGTGTATGCGGCCACGAAAGTTGCCCAGTGTGTCTTACATAGCCGAGCTTTACGCTACAGATTAATAGATCAGCCAGTAGTATCTTGCAATTCAAGTAATTGGTCAGTAGATACTCATAACTCTGATATAGTAAAGTGGGACTGTACTATTACACCCCCCAGGGACGCCACGGCTGCAGCAGGAGCAGAATCCTGGTACACTAGACAATGGATCAGTGAGCAAGTCTCTAGGCACCGCACACCCAACTGCTACTTAGCCTTCTCTGGCTTTGTCGGTATTTCTTTTGTAGATCGCAATATCCTGAACCAAGTTGGTAGCTAGCTGTGTTAGGATTTTATTTCGCTGGACTGTGTAGAACGCGGTCGTATCGATGTAACGTAGCAAGTGTTGATCGCTGCATATCAGGTCCTGTTATCGACCGGCTTTCTATACTGGTATCATGCGGCCACGAGTCTTGTGTAGTAACGACTGATGTTTGTTGACGAGTCAGGTAACATTCTCCGTAGTCGTGGACCCACGCTGTCCTATAAACCTACTTTATTGAGCAGAGAGCTGGTGAAGTGACGCCTTTTTTTGGCAGTTGAGAGAAATAAGCAGGAACGAAGAAGGGCAGCTCGATAACCCTTCTGGAAATTGGCTCTAAGCCAAGCGCCTGTCTAGGGTTGCCTAAAATGTTGCGGCCGGGTAGGAGGAGATTTTTAATTTACCTTTTTTGTCTTTCTACAGTAGAGCTCAAACCATCTGACACCTTCGTGTACTTTTGCTTAAGGAGTAATCGTCGATATTTAACCTGCCTTATCACGGCTTTTTTCTGGACCAGTTCCACAATCTTTAATATCTGAAACATTACCCTTCGACACTGCAGTGAACACTCGATACTTAAAGTCCATGACAATATGTCTACAGTACCCAGTAAGTATCAATGTATGGAAAGGTGCATGGTTACGCTAATGAGTATTGCACAGGCCTCCGTCGGGTAATTCCTGTAGGGAATGTGGATGAAATACGAGAGGCTCGAAAAGAGCTCCTCAAGAGGCTGTCTACTAAAGAACTAGCTCATGTTGCTGCGTTATTTGGACAGGCTAGGTCGACAAGGGATGGTAGGCTTGTTTTAAGGCTAATACAATCTGCCAAGAACTTGTGCTGATTGCTAGTAGACTGTTATAAATATATTATGAAAGCCCTCGACGATATTGCCGGAGACTCTCTGCGCAAGATGGTACAAGAGTTACAAGGATCGAGATGCAAGCAGTTGGTAGATGTCCTTATCTCAGTGGCGGAATATGAAAAGAAATCCAGAGACGGGCTGCTTGGTGAGTAGATCTCCAATGAGTCGGCATAACACACAATGCTAACAGAATAATAGATAGATCAAAATCAATTGAGATCCCAGAGATCTACCTTCCCCAGGACATACCGAACGAGGAAGTGCCATATAGCGGTAACATAAACGAAGAACAGGGTTCTTGGACGTTGGTGAGCCCCTGGGATTCTTCCCAGAAATTGACTTTCAACAGTCAGGAGACAGAGAAGACCCGTCTACAGTCTCGGCAAATGCTTGAAAAGTTAACATATGAACCTTTAAGCACACTTTTAAATTGCCTTTTGAGCTATATTGAACCACGTCTTCGACAGGTTTACTCTTATAAGCGTGGGATGGTCCCGAAGTGGTGGCCTCGCACTATAAAGTTCAATGGCAAAAACCACTATAGCAAAGCCGGTAAGACTTGCCCCTATAATTGTTATTCAGCCTCTGATATGTCTTGAACAGCGATTGTCGAATTGATAATTTATATTATATTCGACTTGCACTCAGAAGGGTTCCGAATTATCCATGCAATAGATGCGATAAAATTCCATCCCAGGCTCACCGTCAAAGCCAAGGAGATCGTATATTCACTACTGTTCGTTCGACAGGCAGAAGAATTATGCCGGGGGAACACGTCCGATACGGTTCCAAAAGCAGAAGTGGTAATAGGCAGGAGAGTTGCCCAAAGAGCACCGACAGACTCAGAAACCGAGCCAACTTTTATACGACAGTGTAGTGGAGAATCACAACCTTCCATTTTCACCAGAGGCACGCTTAAAAGGTCTTACTACATTCTCCTAGGAGTCAACGACCAAGGGAAATTTTTCCATTCAGTATCGCAATCAATCAATCGTGATAACCTCAGGTTGTCGGCCGCCGTGGACAGTTTCAGGCAAGAGGTGTCCAGAGTGGAGGAGCAGCAGAGAGCTTACCTGTTGCAAGTCCATAATGAGTCGGAGCAAAAGGGTTGAGAAAATCAATAGCCTCACTTTTTGACAATGCGAGGCTAGTTCTTTCTTTACTGTTTTATTTTATCCTAAAAAATGGTAATTCCTGAATTCCACCTACTTGGATTGGGCATCGCCTATCACACTAGTTTCTTTGTTTGTAGTCCTGGCTTCACGTGCTTCCTTTGCCGGTAATGGAATAACCCTCGGCCGAAGACGGGAACTCTCTTTTCCGAGGTCCTAGTTTGCTTGGCTTGTTTGGTCGTGGAAGCGGCCGAGCAGTTAAAGTATCAACGAACCTCTCATGGATCACTGCACACCAGGACCTTCGTCCAGACAATATTCTGTGGAACGCCGAGCAAAACTGTGTTATGATTATCGACTTCCACTGTTCTCGACTAGACCCACGACCGGACAAACACCGGCCACAGTCGGGGAGGTTCAATTTTAATGTTGAGGCACGTGAGCGGAAACGACTTTGTATGCTCTGACACAAAGCGATGTGCTCAATGCAATGTGCTTCACGTGATCTCTACGATTTAGTGTTGGCCAATGAAATTGCCTAGTTCCAATTACGCGTCATAAGCAACCAATTATGAATATTTGATTTAATTTATATACGGAACGTGTTCAATCAATGAAACGGGATCTGACGAAGCAGGTAAGACAAACAATGAGTCGTGGCCTATAGCTCCCTAAATTTCTTTCTCTTCTCTGAAACTAGGGGCATTTCAGAAACAGCTCGTCTTTTGTGTGCTCTAGGACATTCATGTAGCCTGGTACGATAGAGATACTCATTCAGCAGCCCTGGGGCCCACTGTCGAAGCTCATGGTGGGAGTACCACTCTACGCTGAGGCAAACGAATGTCAAACGCCCCTCTGGCATTGACCTGTGTGTGAGGATGGTCGTTATAGAGTCGGTCTGGTCACCAAATTGATTTATGGTGATGGAATTGGGCCGGTGATGATCATCGGTTTGGGTGTTCGCTGTGCAAGTTAAACAAACGCCCCTCCATTCAATAGGTACTAAGAAACATATTTCCAACCAAAGTCCAGTTATTGATTCGTTTGACCGGGGTAAACATCGTATTTTGCATGCATTTAGAACCATCGCTAACATGTTTACCAAGTAACGCCGCCGGTCCACCACTCTTGGTGGTATGCCCTAGAATGCTTAAGTTTATTGGTCCATTTACAGCACAGAGTCATATACCTGTGCTTCGCGCCGAACTCTCAGCTACCGTTCCATGTGAGACAACGCCTGGAATGCAGTCATCCTGGGTTGACGCCTGGGCTGCTGTCTCACCAGAGAATGGAGACTCCCCAGCTACACCCTCATGTACAGCGCCATGCCTGGTCATGCTGTGGCCCATGTGGCCACCCGAAGTCACCGAGACGATGTCATTTCTGAAAAGGTGCATCTGTTTATCGTCCTCCTGGTCGTGGCATATATGACTCTGCGAACGATAGCTGGGAGTTTCCGGGATGGTGTCGCCATCCGTGTCACCAAGAGAAGGGAGTTTGATACTGGCTTTCTCAATATCAATGAAGATAGGATTACTTGCAGAACCCAACATAGAAAAGTCCTCCGGTCTTTCTATGGAGATACAACGGTCATCCTCAAGGGAGTCTCGATATATTTTTGTGGACGTCGTCATTGTAGAGATACGAGGCCAAGCTAGTCTATGAGGCAATGTTCAGGACATAAAGGTAGGTGTGGAAGAAGAAATGAAAATACAGAATGAATGATTGTCGGGGGAGTAAATGCCCTTATATGCCTGTTCAGTTTTTCGTCCGAGGACAGCGTGACACACGATCACAGCAGATTAACCTCCGTATTCTGCGGATGTACATGCCAAGGCAGTGACTCGTTGAAATGACGTTTTGCTGTGTTGGTGGATAGTGCAGTGGGTGCTGCACTATGTTGATATTGGACGATCTTACGAGCCATCACAGTAGACTAGCAAGGATAAGGCGCGGGTGACCTGGCGATACTGACTCGGAAGAACGCCTGGACAGTGCCTAAGAATACAACGTTTCGAAACCCTTGTTCTCGCAGCAGGTCGACGTCCGTGAAGGCGTCTGGTCAGGTTTTTGGTCTTGGTCCACCTTATGATGCTCCAGTGCCATTCTTCGCATTGCAAGGCATCCAATCATTATAGATATAAAGTCATACAAGCCTCCATATCGCTAAAAATGAGGAGACCTGGCGCGCTGAAAACACCTCCACCAGTCACGGCTCGCGCTCATGAGAGACTTGTTCCTCGGCATTTGAGGTCAAGATTGGATGGTCTTGCGAGAGGCAGTGACCTGGAAGTCCAAAGGAATCCGTGCCGCACACAAGCGAGGTCATAGCAACAGCGACAAATACTTCCATCCCAACACCCCAACAACGACTATCATTTGAGCCGATTGGAGGCGAGGGATGGTTCTAACTCGAGATTATCGCGAAGGTTTCATGTAGCCTTGAGTAGGTAGGCACTACAGAGGGTAAAACAGAATCTCAAAATAGCATCCCGGGCTGACCTTGATTGGGAGCCTACGTTTTCTAAGCCACGAAGATAGGACTACTAGGAGTCGGCCTACGTAATGGTTATGTTGTGAAGACCAATTGTCACAAGTATTCTCAACTCATCTACCGTACAGAGTATGGCCGAGTCAGCCTGCGGGGACGTCTGACCACACTTTCCTGTTGAGACCCAGCCAGCGATTCGTCCGCCAACAAGCGTGTTGATCCAATCCCTGCCATTGCTGCAAGCTGAACATCCTAATACGACGAGTGATGGAGGGATACGTCCGACTACCAATGGACATGTGGATCCAAGTCAGCTGCGCAAGGCAATAGACCGCTTTTCGCTATCCTAGGATGGTGGGATGGTGGGATGTCGGAAAGCCTGGTGCTAGCTCGCTTTTCGCTATCCTGGGATACTGAAAAGCCTGACCCCCCCCCGGCCTATAAAAGGTCCCTCGATTCCTGCCATTTCCTCACTTCCCAATCATCCTTACATCTCGCCTGTTCGATAATAGCTGTCTCGAAGCATTTTTAATCATGGCGTCCAATAGCATTAGCATTCAAGAGCTGGACAAATCCGATAAACCTTCCAAAGTTGAGGAGAAGCTGATTAAACTGCTCAGCGAGTTTGTTGATATGATTGCTTCCGACGCAAACGTTGATCTCGGTTGTACACCGAAGGTATACTGGAATCCACGACGAGAAAAGTACCTTGGGCTGATCGAAGTAGTTCCACACAGTCATCCAGCAGCTGTGCGAAAAAGCCCCGGAAGTAGCACGGACCATTGCCAAAACGATGCAGGAGAGCATTACGAATTCCCGTGGACGCAAGCGCAAGCCAGCTGAAGATCCTTCATACCGCCCAGCAAAGGTAAGAAGACAGAGAATCGGCTTCCCAGCCAGCATGTCCGAGCAGAAGCCGGAATCCGATGAAGTTCTCGGAGGCTCTACCAAGTCACGCAACGAACACCTATTGAAGCCTTCACCGTCGCTTCATGATCTTCATGACCATTCGTCTCAGGCCGGCGGCTGTGGTGAAGAGGGGAAGGATGTATTACCTGCAGGAGTTCTAGCCACAATGGCAAGCAAAGCCCTTTCCACAAGTTCCGAAGAGCCATTGCGCCGCGCCTCACCAGAGTCAGTACCATACACAGAACCCACATCTTCCAAGATTACAACCGTTACTCCTACAAAACAAACTGAACGTCGTTTATCTTCACCTCAAACGGAGGAAATCCAGCGGAAAGCAATCCCGACATCACTTGAGAGTATTACTTCAACTGGACAATCCACGCGGATGAGATTGTTCCCGAACCGACGCTCCATTATAGACTTGACTATCAAAGCCACCCGTACTATCTGCCACCTTAGCAAACATAAGGATGGTGTTCCCTCAGATGTACATAAACGAGTCCTTCAATCGCTGCAACAAGCCCAACTCGGAGTGAGCGCAGAATGTACCCACCAGAACCATTGGTCGGATGGTTCGATGTGGGTACAGGTACTTGAAATGGGGGAATCCCGAAAAGACCGAGTCACTATACAGAACATGCTCGAATACATAGGAGCTTGGGAGTGGTACAATACTCAGTTGGAGCTTGCGAAGAAAACAGTCACAACAAAAAAGAATAAACCAGTTGGGCAGCGGGGCGCAGCAATGCATGTAATGGACCAAATACAGAACAGATGGATCGGTGGAGTGGGAATAGTTACACTACAGGAAGGTAACTCCCATTATCTATCGGGAAGTGACCCTGCCAGTATATCTGCGGAGGAAAAACATTTGCAACGAAACCGGATTAGCATGCAGCTCAACAGAGGCAAGCTGTGTTCCAAACTCGTTAAAGAACTGGGGCTTGGGATATTGTTCGATGAAAATATCTGGTAAGCTGCAAGAAAACATTGATATCTTCGGCTACTAATCGGTGGTAGGGCCTATGTGAAATCGGGCATGGAAGAGGTTAATAATATAATAAAGGCTATTCAAGCCGACGCAGGACACATGAAGCTTCTTCAAATTCTGGCCCCACAGCTAGAACACCTTGTCAAGATTGGGTTACCAGATCTTCACATTTTCTACAAGGACTTGAAAGAAGCAAAGCTACTGTCCGAAAGTGAGCTCCGTCAACTGGAAGGACGTTTTGCTCTAGAAGGGGTAGGTACATAGCCCACAACAGCCAGAGTATATATTAACATTATTACTGAAGGACCCCCTGCCTGACAGTCAACTTGAGGCAGAGATTGATCGTCTTATCAGAGACGTCAACATAAAGGTGCTTGATCAGACCACATTTGGACGTGATGATATGATTGCAATTAACAATGGTATGGAGATACCATGTGATATCTTCGACCGACTTCGCCCGGGCAGATGGCTGGATAGTTGGACTATCAACGCTCTCATGCAAATCTCCGATAAGCCCGCGTTTGTTAAGCATGATCTAAGCATCCCGTTAGACCAGAAGAGTGGTAATAATGTTCTTCGGCCGATCAAACACCCGTTAAGAGCCTGGGCCACGAAGATGGCTAAGTTTCGGGAAGAGGCCAGGAAAGCCTCTGGGGAATTGGTCCCTTTGGTTTTTTTCTGCCCAATCAATCATAAAGGTCAACATTTTTCGTTGCTCGAGATCAACGAACGAGAGAAGGTTATACGCCATTACGATTCGATGGCTAAGGTTACTACCAGGCTCCGCATGACCGAAGTAGTTGAGGAGCAATTTGGCGATTTAAAATTCCCCTACGAAGAAGTGGTAAGAACCCACGGCTACGAGTTCCTTTCAAAGCACTAACATAATGGCATAGCCTACTCCACAACAGGACGATGGCTGGAGTTGCGGAATCAGGACGGTTTGGAATTTTCGGCACTTATCGAATAATCTCCCAATTGGATCAGGCGATACCGTGCTGAACCCCGAGCGGATGATGCTAGAAGTGGTAGAGGGGCTGACAGCCTGCGTGGAGAGTGGCGCCATGACGAAATATATTCGACGAAGACGCTCAGACCGAGAGAAGCGACCACCGACTTGAATACATGTTTGAGCAATTAGAACCGAACTGGAAAGCAGATAATCATGGCTTATACTGGAGAATGTAAAGTAGTACAGCTGGTTGCAAAATAATGTAATATTTTTTACTCCTGTCAACCAGCTCTCCTTACCAAAGCCTTTTGTAGCCACCACGTAACGTAGTCGTTGCTTATCGTGAAGGAGTAGACTGCGTAGCGATTAAGACGACTAGGGCGAACAATGTCAAGGGAAGAAGGTAAGAGTAACATAAAATGAGGGAAAATATATTAGACAAGAAAGACCTGGCATAAAACAATTATTCAAGGCCTTGGAGGGATTGAAACTCCCCTTGTTACAAGTACAAAGAGCTAGAGTTGATTAATTAACTATAAGCCAATCAAGTTATATAAGGAACGGGATACCCACTAAAGCTCAAAAGCCCATTGAACCCTGACTATCCAAATCTACGGAGAGGATACGTATTCGGTAGAACAGGTCTTGGGCGAAGCATTGATGTGAGGGAGTGCAGGAGAGATCATTTATTATGAAAGCAAAAGAAATGAAAGTCACTTTAGGTACGGCGTGTCGCAGGGATCTCCGCACCTTATGCACAAAGATTCTCTATCCCGTATCATAAAATATGACAGTATGAGACAATCGCCAGGCGATTTTACTATGGATGATCAACCGTGGCCGTCCGTGAGGGCGAGAGGCCCTCAGGGCCGCAAATACAGTAACCGTATCTGTTAACCATGGCATACCGTAGGATCGACACCCCCATATGCCAAGAAAACCCGCAGGGCATTATAGCTTCTGTAAATCTCGGTAGGGTATCTTGGAGTCTATGATAAGTGTAGACCGTCATGGGGTCAATATTTCCCTGGGGCTAAAGCGACCGCAGGTTGTGATGATTTTGATAGAAACGTGGCGTTCCACAAGGGCAAAACTTTCCTGCGGATATTATCTTCACACGGTACTTTTAAGTCTATAAAAGAGTGGCTCTACATAGGGTTGAACGGCCCATAGGCTTGAAATGCCCATAGGATGTTCGCGAATATATAAAAATGTGGCTTACCATACGGCCTATACCTCCATGCGCCTAAATTAACCATAAGGATTAGACAGTTTCTCGGAGTTGTGGTGTTCCACAGGGCTAGAGACTCCATACGTTCCCACCGCCCCCAAGGTGTACATGGCTGCGAAGAAGTGTGGTTCTCCGCGAGGACTAGCCATCCGCATGTCAAGAATCCTCGTGGGGCGCTTATTATGTTGCACAACATGGCGCTTCACGGGGAGAAATTTCCCATAAGGCCGAAACTGCCACGGGGTGTGCAGAAATCGTAAAAGTGTGGCTCACCACGGGAAAGCATGGCCCGCCACATGGTCTTGAACACCGTGCGCCTAAAATAACCGCGAGGAACGCTATATTTGGAAAAATTATGGCTCCTCACCGAGCGCGTAATGAATTTGTTTTTATTGTGGTGTACCACGAGGCTCAAAATATCCTATGCTTTAATTAGATTGCCCTCGTATCTTATCTGGCAACAGCTACACGAACGGCGTCAGTCTCCATTGTATATTATGGCGTTCCACATGACCTATCGTACCATAAGGTTTGGCCGGTACGCAAAGCATAAGGCGGTGCGGATATTGTTCTTCGTTGAGCTTGGAAAGCTACATAATCAAAAGCCTGAGGTAGTGACTACCATAATTGTGTAAATCAAGTGGCTAAGATGCATGTAGAGCTGGATACAGGCATTTACACCAACAATTCTCTTGCTTATATTTGGTAGGGAATAATCACTTCAGAGCAAATACCAACGAGTCAGTGCAAACACACCTGCCAGTGCAAACACAAATTGGAGTACAGTACTAATCAAAACTGGCCGCAAATTCTCGAGCACTTTCTAGGAGTATGTATACCTACCAAATCCATATATATGAGTATGTGTTGGTTTGCGATATTATGTTTGCGGGATAATCACCTTGTGATGTATTATTTTTTAACACAATTAAATGTGTACAAGATAACTCTGCACGTAGAATAGCCGTAGGTGTGATCACACTCTAATTAGCTGCTACTAGCCCAGCTTTCAAAGCCAAGTCTAATCTACACGGCAGTTCCGCCTCAGGCGCCACAATAGGCCATATATCTATATCCATATTTACAAGAATTGGCCACTACTGAAGGACAATTGTTATCTGCATGACAAACCGATACTTTGTTACCGGCTCTGTAACTAATTAGAGGCTCAAATATTCCATTGTCCGGCACAATATTGTTTCTTTAAGATTCATACTGGGCGGCCAATTCTTGCCAAGTAACCTGCTTAGGCTTCGGATAGTGTGTCGCCTACAAGAGATGGGTTATTACCGCTACTGTCTCTCAGGCTTAAGATAATACCTACCAACTGTTCTTCCGGAAAAGGCCAGTCACTGTCTGACTTGAAGAAAACAACCTGGCCATTATGCTTCAGACGGATCATTAGGCAGATGTCTGCGTCGCATTCCCGACAGTATTCAAAAGCTTTCAGGAACAAATGAACCCTCCGTCGGTTCCGCTGTTGACATTTAGCTTTAGAACTGTCCGATCGCCGGCGCCGGATAGTTCTTTTCTTGATAGCCATGATGGTCAAAATGAGTGATAAAAGTGAAAAGCAGGCTTTTGGGGCGCGGCTACGTCTGGCTTTAATAGCGTGGAGGAGAAAAATCCTTGTATCCTCGATTCTTTGATGTGAACCAAAAGCGCCGATTAAGGGGTAGTAAGGATATTGAACTGTGGTGGCCGCATAAGGTGCTCACCCTCCGAGGGTGAGTACTTGCTGCTAGCCTGCTGTGTAAGAGCATATCCCGATTAGCGTGAGGCGGCACTCTAGTCCTGGATAGGCCGCTTATCAAAGCATGGGCCCGGCAAAGTTGCTGGGTTCTGGTCAATGGTTGTTCTCTTTACTTAGCGTTATGGCTGCTTTGTTGGTCTTCCTAGTCGCCCGCCCGGGTGTTCTTTGAGCAAACGCGAGACGCTAATTCCACCAATCATTGATCTCTGATCTAACCGCTCTAAGACTAAAGTGCTTCCTTTTGTGTTTCACTTGCGTTCCATGTGCTTCTCAATAGGCTTTCCGATGACAACCAAGAGACACACAAGGTGACTAGACTCGCTTGACACAGAATCATTATGGAGAAGAGAATAAAATACATAAATTGAGGACCTAATGGACTATGAGAAAAAGATAACCAGGACTTAAGCTCGTACATGCCTAGGTTTTAAAACTGAGCTTTGTCGAACGTAGTATTATTTACTGTTTAAAGTTAGCCAGCTGCTGGCCGAGTAAGCTCGATTTACGACTACCAGCGTCGGCCTGAGTATCCTCCCGAGTTGCCAAATTTTAGGAAATATTTGAAAGGCTGCTCCATATGGGGAAACGAAATGCTGAGAGGAACATACATGGCCTATTTAAATTTTCCTTCTTTTTTAAAAAAAAGGGAATGGGATCAATATGACGTCAGTAATTCTGACAGCAGATAAGACGCGGACGAGAAAACGACAGAACATCTCAAAGGATATAAGCACGACGGATGTATTATTCCGTTCCCATTCGCAATCTGTATCTTTTATTGTCATGTTTCTTCTTTCTTCTTGGACGCATGCGACCCAGATCCACTTTCTAGCCCCACAATTGGGACATTTGATCATGCTCCAATCTTCTTTGCACAAAAGTGAGATATTTTTCCCAAAGGGGAAGAGGATATCAGCGTATAAAGAACTTCGGATATCAACCTTGTGCTGCTGCCAAGAATAACAAAGAAGAAACCTGGAAGGATTTGTAAGATGAATATTACCCATACCTATAACGCTACAGTTTGCTTTCTCTGTCCCACCCTGGCCCTAGTCTTTGTTTGCTGGATGCATAATTAGCGCCTGTATTTTGGAAAATGGCAACTCTGGGTAACACAACAAAATAGAAACAAAAAGAGAGTCTCTTATAAAGAGAATGTGAAGCTGTTTTGTAAATTATAGTTATAATTTTCTTCCCCATCCTGAGTTACTTTCCCCCCACCTACACACGAGTAGCATCAGATCAGTGCGAACGATATCAATGACTAGTCCTGCAGCCCCACTCAGAATACTTCTGCCTGCAGGATGTCGCAGCCCACATAAGCATCCTACCCCCGTTCATCATGTCGAACGAAGGCCAAAGCGGCGGAGTTTAGCTTGTTCATCGTGTCAACGAAAGAAAGTAAAGGTATGTATTATCTCATAATACGTGCGTCTAAGTAAATTTTTGCTCATATTCTAAAGTGCAGTGGCCCTCCTCCCTGTGAAGCATGCGCTGCAACGAAAAGCGAGTGTTTTTTCGAGCCTTTAACAGACAAACGGCGAAGATTGACACGAAAGGCTGTAGAGAAAGACATGGAAAGCTATCGAGAGGTATCCATGTACTTAATCAGTATCCTGCGTTCTGGGAAGGAAGACGATGTGAATAATCTAGTAAAGGAGGTCCAGCAAGCCTCATCCCTTGATTCTGCTCTTGCAGATCTGCAGTCGTTAATTTCTGGAGAGAAGAGCTGATTCCTCTTTCTCTGTTGGGAATCAAGTTTTATTTAGGTTCACCTTTTTACTCCAATAGCATCCCGAGTCGTATTTATATTATTTTATTTTAAGCTATGCAACTGAATGTAAGTAGACTGTCCGCGGATAAAGTGAAAGGCCAGCCATTCCTGAAATCGAATTCTAGGAAATAATTCAATGTTATAAAAGATTGCTGACGAGAGCCGGGTTGTCTAACTGGGGGACTAACTCTTGGGTATTTCATCGCATATGGCCGGCAGTCCTACTTCGACATCAGTCCTACTTCGACGGCGGTCTACTCTGTTGCAACCATACCCCCTTACGGAAGGTTGGCGATGTATAATTCGTTCAGATAGACATCTTAGCATGTGGATTGCTGTGCTCATAGTCACTTATAATTCAGTATACACGGAATTAGTGCCTTGCATAATCTTTGTCTGTTTTTATAGATATTTTCTTTATGTCCCCCAAATTAGTAAGATAAAGGTAAAGGTGTGGAATAATAATATAGTGCATCATTGTTCATAGCAGTAGAAACTCAACAACACCCTCGACAGCGACAAGTAATTCAGTGGAACGCATCATCTATTTCTCTCTCCTTACAGCCAGTTTGTTGTATTTTCTTCATGAAGTGTGGTCAAACCATAATACCAAGATTAGTCATGGCTAAGGATACTTAAGACAGCATTCTACAGTGATAGCAATATTAATTTCTTGATACACATTCTTAATAGGGACGCGGTGGGTATATGACAATGATAATACCAAGTTTGGTGATCACACACATTTCTCCACGAGCAAGTCGTCCGCCAACGCATATTGGAAACAAATACTCATGCTTGTAGTTCATCCACGGAGGCGCTTCGAATTACTCTCTGGTCTTCTGGAACGTTTTTCTCGGCCAAGTAGTTTGTTGCGCCTTCAAGGGTTGAGAATCCCCTGAAAAGTGAGCCTTTATATCCATTGACTAAAGATTTCGTCACATCCCTACCGTATACTGTTAGGAAAAGTACGTAATTATTGAGGGAGCTATCACACCCTCAGACTTAGTAGATAGCGTACCAAGATAAGAAAATGCCTGGGGCAGGAGGGCGGCCCTGAGCAACAGCGTAGTATCTTTGTGAAGGCATGAGCGAATTTAAATAGTAAATTGCGGATTTTATGAATTAAAGAATTAGGACGCTTGGAATATCGAATAGCATGACCACTTCTTACACTGGGACACAGTCATGAATATAAGGAAATCTATCGTAGGGGCTAAGAGGGGACGTGACGTGGCAGTCGCAAAATCAGGCATCAGCCCATATGATACAGACAAACACCTTGTGCCTAAATTCGATCTATTCATTCGGAAGATCCATGCTAGCTTATCACATAAACTCTTATGGCTTATATTAGCTGGCAGCATTCCGAGAAACAGCATAGCCCCTCCCCTCGCGCAGAGGCTGACACTAGCTGACTCGCCGAAAGTAACGGAAAACACATGTGTAAAGCAAAGCGTGTTCCAAAAGTTTTTTTTTTCTTAATTTTGAAGCCCTGTACTTTAGCAGATTCTGCTCTCTACTGCCTAGAAGCTGGAGCTCTCAATGTCCGCTACTGAAGGCTACCGTGTCAAATGTCCAACCTCCTTAGATACTTATAGCCAAGACATAGCCCACGTAAAGGGCGGGGATATCGAATCTCACCCTTTGGTATCCTTACATCACAAGGATACTGGGAAACCTTCCAAAATACAGACATTATGCAGAGATGCGGCCGGGCGTGGAAATGAACAATGTATCTGGTATGCTACAATCGGGGAGCGAAAAGTCTTGCCCGAGATGTGCCGATACTATCAGGTGAACTTCTTGAAGCACACAACTTCGAACGTATGTTTGAATGGTGGAGACGTCTTTTACTTCGTGGCCCAATCAAGATACAAATGGTCAAGGTTCGTCGAGCAAAAGTTCTTCCTGTTAACTAGAACTGATTTGAACTGCAGATGCATGTGTTACGGCAAAGGAACAGCAAAGAGGTTGAGGTTATGATATTGCCCATCGATATTGCCGCCGAAGTAGAAAGGTTCGAAAGAGCGCTAGAACAATGTGAATTTCACCCAGAGTGCAGCGCAGGCTTCAGTGAAGACGGAACGCTTATCCCATGTTCTCGCCCCAAGAATTGTAGAAATCTGACTATGGGCGGCACTGAGGAGTACCCCCAGTTTTACTGCTCACTGGAGCACCACCATCGGCTAAGGCGGAAAAAGCGAAAGCTGGAGCATAGTGAGGCATTGCTAGAGTTTTACTGGAGCTCTAGAGGGAGGAGTGATTTCCTAGAATTCCTCGAATATCGTGGTTTCATCACTCGTTACAGGTAAACAATACAGTACTTAAGCAATCAAATCTGACTGATTATTATACAGGGACTTGGAAACTACACATTTTCTCGATGCATGTGATGGTTGTGGTGAGGGTATTCTAGCTCTGCTACTGGTGGACGGGTGGCACACGCAGAGACTGCTGGTTCTAGTTGGTCTGGCCGTGTTGCTTAACATTCTTATTACCATTCTCGGGGCTGCTGTCGGACAGAGTATAAACATGGGGCTGACAGCGGGGAGCTACACATTTGCGTTGGTGGCGGTTATCATTGCTACCCTTTCCTTCTTTAGTGCTATTCTGTAATTATCTTATTGGTTTTTATTACCCTCGTTATGTGTGACTGCATGAGTCATAACAGGGTAATAAAAGCCATCCGTTAGAGCCAGCGATTCTTTTGTCTTGGCAAGCCTTTACATACTTTTCGTTGGATACATAGCCAATACTATACTGACACGCTGTAGTTGTTGATTGGCTTCATCATGCAAGTATGTTCTTGTTCCATTGCTCCCTCTTAGATCGTAAAAGGGTTAAGGAAAAGAAGGCAATGCCACACTAGCCAATTCAAGATTAAATTGAAAAGAACATCAAGAAGGCAGACATGGAAACCCCAGGCAAACCGGAGCCGTTACGGTTAGCCGATTGGTGGTGAGTTGGGTCTGGTGACCATGCTTAGACGAATTCAGACCAGCTGGTTTTCTCCTCAACCAAGATAAGGCCTTGGCGGTGCTTTTCTAGCTGACTGTTTACTGTCGGCTGTAATTACGGGATTCAGCTTCGTTCAGCCTCGCGCAGCAACGTCTTATAGTAATGAACAACAGGCTGATCAGTCTTTAGTTAGACTATAGGTATTCCCTCTTTTACGGAATATTCTCAGAGTTCACTGTTAAGAGCTGTTGGTGAAAAGTCAAATTCCGACAATATGCTATACAAAAACACTTGGACAAACAACGTTCAAGAAAAATCAAATAGGTTATCAACCAGGTTATAAACACATTAAATCTAAACATGGATATACTCTACAGAGAGACCAGGAGGAATTCTTGAGTCTATGTATATAGCTAAAAACGGAAAGAGGCACACGTGGCCCATTGGACGTATTTCAATGTCAGCCTAAGCGACTATGCAGGCCTTCCAATCAGCACTTATTTCCAACTGCAACGAGACCAATATTTCAGCTCTGATATAATAGTGTGTTGGTACTCGCGAGTCATGTCGTTGCATTCTCATGTATGTCGATCACCTCTCTTCCCATCCCCTCCGCCAGCCATCAAGGCTGTTGCCCAATACGTCACCATAAAAACACATATTGTATGAAGACCATCGGTTATATCTCGGGATGGAGATATCTTTAGGAGTTTATTTAAGTTCGGCAGCCCTTTTAGAAACAAAGACTAAATTCATGTTTATGTGCGATTTCAGTACTTATTCCTTTGAACGCTTTGACCAGTGCTGCTTCTCCTTGACTACATTGCGTTTATTATGGCTTACTGTCAACACTGCCAGCAACATTTTCTGGATATAAAATCTCTGGAACAGCACCTTCGATCCTCTAAGCACTGCTGTGATAGATGTCAGAAATTCTTTAAATCTCCCCGGTCAAAGAAACAGCACATGGAAAATTCAAAGTGTCAGAGTGTACATCTAGTCGGCCGTTCATGCCACCCCAATGTCCGTTCCAAAGGGCCACAACGCGCCAGGCAAGGACGGAGTGATAGCTCTCTACCAATGATGATTGGGGTCGCCGTCACAGATATCTATCCCGCATATCTCGGAGTGCCTCGGGATGCAGTCATGCCCATTTTTAGAATGGCCTGTCGCCTCCGTTTTATCAAGCCTGATGTGGATACCTTATTGCGACATATCAACACACAATTAGATCATATGATTGTCGCGGCCCTCATCGAGGCTGCCCTTCGTCTCTTGCCACCTGACAACACGCCCGAAGGGAAGGAGAGAATGCAGAAAAAGATGAGGGATGCGCAGCTAGCGGAGAACAGCTTTACCGACCAAATAAGAGCAATGGACTATCGGTTCCTCACTGAAAGTGAGCAAAAAGAACGAAACCTGCAACCAACACCTGATATTCGGTTCCTGAAGCCTGTATCAATCCATGGGAAATTGTGTCACTGGTTAGAATACAAAAACTACTTTGGGTTCAAAGCAAATCCATTCGTCGCTGCGAAAACGAGGAAGCAATTGCGGAGATACTTGTCTGCTCTTGGGCCAGGCGCAGTGGTCTATCGTTTGGGATTCGAAATTGATCACATCTCGATAGAGGGAGTCCAATCTTTCCGCGAGGCAGAAACATTGTATTCCCTCAAGCAGCAATCCAGGGCTAAATTAAGTATGAAATAGACCCTGATTAGACCGAGCCAGGTGGAGATAGCGGCTACCCTCTACGGACAGTTGTTAATCCCAAACTCTTCCTTTCCTGTATCCGACTTTCATTTGTCATTGTTTTTAATTTTTGATTTCGATCTATTGGAATTCTAACTAAATTCCCATTTCAAGTAACAGCATTGCATTTATACAAATGAATCTTATTTATTGTGGCTCAACTTATATTTACTAGATTGGTCGGGGCAAAGCCTCTGTGTCGAAGGCTATGTGTACCCATCTTGGACCGAGTTTATTTATTTACGAAAAGTCTGTTCGTCTGGAGAGAAATTTATCGGGGTAACTGGACGTTGAACAAGCAACATAAACTGTAACAGATGATACAAACATCCCTTGGGCAATTCAGGGGTTCCTCTTCAAGAGTTAATAGTTCTTCAGATATTTGGCTTTCACTATCAGGAAGGAGAGTCGACGGTCGGAAGGCAAAAAGACTGAATGTATCTATTCGCTTCTTTTAGCATAGGCCCTCTCGAGTTCAGTGCCTCTCATCGGCGTCTTCGTGGCCTTTCAGCTTGCGTGGTAGCCTTGTGGCTTAATTTGGTTGAGTAGTGGACTTGGAGGGATGATACGCTTCGTTCAGGGAAGTGTGCAGCAATCTCCGCCCATGACATTGTCTCTCTTTTCTTCAGCCGCACCAACAGTGCATTTTCGTCTGAGGTATATGGCCTTTGTTTTCCCGACATGTCGGCCGGAGGGGTTTGAGCCCGCATCGGACCAGCCTCGGGAACGAATGTGAAATAATATGCTGGCCTCGGCCCACTGGACTCAACTGTGAGGATAGCTCTCCCGCGGACCTTGTGGATAGCACCAGAACGATCACATGGAACGGGGTTTTGACCGCCCAGTGAATGATGAAGAGACTTCACCCTAGATTTTGGTTTTATCTTCGGGCGCTGTCGAGTTGCGTCAGCAATTGATACTTCAGGATCCTGGTGGTCATTGTCACCGCCACTAGCTCGAAGCCGTTTCTTGCAAGCCACCGCGGCGACCCTTGTGCTTGTCCTGGTAACTTTCCCTCGCGCCCATGGAGGTACCGGTACAACAACAGCAATCGATGGGTAGGATTCCAGTCTATCGACGCTCGGGGTTGCTAGGCTAGCGGAACATTCTGGGCTAGAGGGTGCGTTCGACTGATAAGGTTGGCAGGATGGAATGGACTTGTCCTCAGCCACTTCGAGATTTCCGGTCTGCTCCGGAGCATTCGTTGTCGTTATACATGGATCTCTATCATGATCTGGGATGCAAGGTGACGTGTCTATAGCATTGTTGACCGGTTCTTGCTGGAAATCACCGCCCATGGAAAGGCTGCTAGGCACATTGCTCGATGATTCAAATGCGACAATAGGCGATATGGAGTGGTCAGAAGTTGCCGTGTCAATCGCATCGAGAATATTACTGGACAGAGCATTTTCTTGCTCAAGTTCGTTTGTTGTTGGCGACGTCGGTGTAGTGGAGTCTTCAAATGCTGGTGGCTTTGATAATGATAGGGGGCATTTCATGAGATCCAATGGAGATTCAGGAATCCCTGGTATATCTGTAGTAACCAGACATTTATTTTCTGTAATCATTTGTGGTTGAGATGCGGCTCCGCCATAGAAATTGGATATCTCGACATCAAACACATTCTGTGGGTTTGTGATACCAGTGGAGGGCCGTTCATGCGTTGGGGGTGCCGAAGAGTCTAGTATATTCGTCGGTGCCTGTGCTTGGATGAAGACAGACTCAGTGGCAAAAGAAGAACGCTGAAACGGCTGTGTAACATGGGTGAGAGTTGGTCGATTTCCACCAGTAGAGGCCAATGTGCTTCGAGGCTTCTGGTGGCTGGGGCCGTAGTAGAACTCTATTTGATCAAGGTTCACCTGCATATCTCGAAAAGCTCCCTGGCTCACACCGGGTATAAGTTTCAATGGTTATGGCAATTGTGGAAGAGAAGCGTGGAAGAGAAGCGTGTGAGGGCAGATCAGATATATTTACTGGTTCCTCTGAGCAAAGCAAAAGGGTCGACAGTACTTATAGGACGAGGCACTCCAAAAGCGCCGTAATTCGGTGCAGCCGCGGACGAACTCGATCGGCGACGTATCATGTTTGAGCAGCGTGTCGAGCAGACCGCCGAACCGCCTCGGCGAAAAGAACCAAAAACGTGTCCACCGTAGGAGTGCCTGATTACTTGGTTGAAAATGGATCAAGTGGCGCTGCAGCGTTGCTATGTGCCAGCAAATAATTCAGTAGTGCAAAGATCAACCCAAAAGACTTCCCCTTTTGACCAGCAACAACGCACTGCTTACAGCTTACTCCAGACATGAGAGCCCAAAGTCAATCGAAAAGCGTCAGTTCAGCCGCAGCTTTCCATGAGGTATTTTTGCAATTGGCTATGAGTTCGGAAATTGGCTCGTGGGTCGATAACTAAGGGTAAACATACATGTTCAGCGATGGCCTGTTGGAGAGGAGACACCTAGCTCGAGTGTTGCGTTACATTCGTAAAACGCCACAAGGCGTTTTTGGGGTCCGCGCAAGCCATCTCAGAGCAAAGAGTCAACATTGGTTTCCACTTTACCTGCTGCCTTTTTCCACCGTACTTTGCCCACCGCGTGAGGGCAAAAACATCCCGGCTGTAGGGTACGCGAGATACCAAAGCACTGCAACTCAGGACGTCAATTTCAATACCTAACAATGTGAAATCCAAGATGAAAGGGCACCCTTTGAATGTATATGGTGGGATGAAAAAAGTCGCCCATCGAATCCTGCAGGATAGGCTGACAAGATCCGTCCTCATTCTCCTTCGAAACAGGGAGGTCAATTCAATTTCGCGAGTGGAGAAGGGGCTGTGTTGCAGATACAGAGTTTTCAGCTGACAAGGGGACACGTCAGCCGACCAGGGATGTTGCTGCTGCCTGGAGTTCTAGGGGAAACGAAATTGATGGAAAAAAGGAGCATTGTCGTTGAGCGACGCACCGCAGGTTTATATAGATCGCGAAGATAGCTGGTCGGGCGGTACAGGGCGGCAGATCCTGTTCCGGGATAGTCCCGAGCACCAAGCCTGATACAGGCAGGCTAAACCGCAAACAGACGACGCTATACGGGATACGGCGCGGCGGAGACGGACGCTAAACCCAACGGAGGGGGCGGCCCAAGAGGGCATAGACTCAGCAAATCGCATTTCTACGATTTATATTTTTTTTAATAATTTTAATTTATTTTCTATTATATTTATTTATTAAGATTTTTTATTTAATTAATAATTATTTCTTTTTTATTAATAATTTTTTAATATATATCTTATTTTTTTATAGTTATAATAAAGTTTCTCTTTTCTTTTATATTTGCGTTTTTATTAAAAGATACTAATATATTAATCTCGCCTTTTAGTAATATTTAATTTTATAAATTTTAATCTATAGAAGTTACTGTGCTTTATATTTATATATTTTTATTAATTATTAAATTTATATTAGTTTTAGTATTAATATTTGTCTTTTTTCTAGATTTTATTATTCTATTTTTCTATAAATTATTTATAGTATCGATTATTTATTTTAATAGTAAAGTCGATTGTTTTGTTAAGCGTAGCTAATTTATCAATTTATATAAATTTATTTTTTATATATTTCTTAAAACTATTAATAAAAATTGATATATAGACTTTTTTATTCTAGTCTATTTTAAATATAATCTATTGGAATTCTACTATATAAATTAATATATTATTTTATTAATATAATTACTTTAGTTTATATTTAGCTATAGTTTTAGTATTAATATTTCTAAAGATTTATTTAAAATATTTACGTAGATTTTTTAAATTAGTAAATAATTCTCGTATAGTATTTAACTATTTGTTTAGTATAATCTTATAATATTTTTAAATATATAATTTAAACCAGTTCTATACTATTCTACATAAATAAGTAGATATAAAAATAATCTTATTAACTTTGTCAATAAAATTTCTTCTATTTATATAAATATATATATTTATTTACATTAGAAATATTTATAACTTAAAGTAAATTCTGTTAAAAAACTTAATTTTTAATAATTTTATTTTTTTAATTATATTCTTAGGTATCGCTGCTTTAATTTAATTATTAAATTAAGTAATATAATTTTTATATTTTTTCTAAATTTTTTCAGTTTTTCCGAGCTTTATTTTAAAATTTTCGATTTTTTAATTTTTTTCTTTGGCGTTGCTAATTAGCTGAGTAATTATATTTTTTATTTATTTTAACTATTTTTTTATAGATTTATTATTCTTAAAATTAGTTTCTACTAGTAAAATATTTTTAACTAGAATTTTTTTACTACTGGATAATTGAGAAGATATATTATTAATTTTAAATCTAAACGTGGTTTAATTTATATAGACTGGTAATTAATATATTATATCCAGGGCTTTATTATCAAGTCTAAGACTAGTTAGCGGACTATATTTCGAGAGTTACTAACTTGAAGTCGATACTTGACTTCCGTTATTATAGAGATATAGTTGATACTAGACTACTGTCAATACTAGATTACTATCATTATAAAAATATAGTTAATATTAAACTACTATCAATACTTGATTTTTATTATTATAGAAATATAGTCAATACTAGACTATTGTTAATACTAGATTTGAATTTAAAGAATTAAATCTATTAAATACGTATATTTAATAGTTAAAGAGTATAAATAAATTAAAATTAATTATATTACTAAAGGTAACTCTATAATAATAATTTTAATTAATTATAAAGAACTAAACTAAGTATATAAAATAAGTATCTTTATATATCCTAAAGTATCTATTTCTATAGTAACTTCTCTAGGGATAGATTATAGAATATATCTAATTATAATATATAGTATTGTATACCCCCAGTATACTTTCTCTAGAGTAGGTACTGGAGTAGGTATCATATGATAAAGCTATTATTAGTATTTATGGCCCTTCCCGAATAATTACTAGATAAATGATTTGTTGGGTACCTTCCACTTAGGGATCGGCTATGATTATCCTATCATTGTTCTGCCTTGTATGTCCGCCTTCGATAAGGTGCGCTAGACAAGGGTCTATAACAAATATATAATAAATTATTAATTATAATTAGTAATATCTTTAAAAATAAAATAAATTAAAAACAATATAATAAATATTATAAAACTATTACATATTAATTATTAATTAATCTATAGTTATTAATTTAATTATTATAATTTAAATTATTTTAATCTATAATTAACTATAGTTAAGAGATTAATTAATTTTAATTTAATTAAAATTAAAATTAATTAAAAAATTTTGTATCTTAACTTAACTAACCTTAGTTAAGTTAAGTTATAGCTAGGTTATAACAGTTAGGTTATACCACTCTACCGGAGCGGTTCCTAGATCTAGAAACCGAAACCAACCCGGAGCCGGTTTGGTGTAGGTTCGGGTCGGGTTTACCGGTTAAACCGTACTACTCTAGTCGTGTATTTTTAACCATTACAATTAACCTAACCTAGCCAAATGCCAGTCTAAAAATAATATTAATAAGTTAATATATTTTAACATAAACGCGATTAAAAATAAAAGAAATAGCTATATTTTATTTATAATAAATTAAAATATATATTATATAGTTTAATATAATAATCGGCGCTATAAAGTCGCGAAATTAAGTTAAAAAAATTTATAATTTATTTAACGGTAGTATATAACGCTACGCACGACTATTGGGTATATCCTATGATCTATTCTAAAAAAAGTCACGATAGGAGTAGGTGGTTGGAGGGTATATAAAGATACTTATTTATATACTTAGTTTAGGCTCTTTATAATTAATTTAAATTATTATTACAGAGTTACCTTGGCTAGTAAACTAGTCTTAATGTATTTGTACTTTTTTAACTATCGAGTATATGTACTTGGTAGGTCTGGCTCTTTGGACTCAAGTTCAGTATCGACAGTAGTCTTGCGTCGACTGCATCCCTAATCACGACCCTCAACCCTCTAAGGCCGCGACCCAGCGACGACGGAAGTCAAGGAACGACTTTAGATTAAGTAACCCTCTGCGCGTGATCCGCTAACTGGTTTAGGACTTGACGACGAAGCCCCGGGCGTAACAGTCACTTATCACCTGTATAATAGGAAAGACTTTACTTATACCTCCAATAACTAGCGCAGTTTGATAACTTCTGGACCACAAAAAAAGTGGTAAAATGAATGTGACAAGAAAAAGATCTTGAAAAAGAGAAGAAAGAGATGACAAGGGTGGGATTCGAACCCACGCCAAATTAATGACACGGAAACTCCTGATGAAGCTGTGATGGTCAGGTACACCTGAACCGTGCGCCTTAGACCGCTCGGCCACCTTGCCTATATATTATTGCTCGCAGCAACTAAGAGATTATCTCTCAAAATCGATTATGTTCAGTCAAAATATGCAGAAAAAGATCTTTGAACACTCTGGGCTCATAGTTAATTTAACACTTGGAAGATGTAAATCAATGATATAATAGGACATACTATACCTGACCTAGACCTGCGTATTATAAACCTTTTCAAAAGAACAACACCAGGCTATTTGTATAGAGAAACTTGAACTAAACGTCTTTCATATAAGAATGTGACCAGGCTACCAGATCAGAAGGATCCAGAAGACATGGGAATTGTACACTTCTAGTACTAACTCATAGAGAATCCTGCCAGTATTCTACATGCCAGAAGTATAACAACGTAACTACTCTCGCATTCCTTGCACATTCTCGTCCTTCCTCTCTGCGATATCGCCTCCTTCTGAGGCTGCTTCCTCGGGTGACTCCCTGTCTGGATTATCTTGCTCTATCGATTCTTCACCCACATCTTGTGAGGCTCGATCATCGATTACAACCGATTGTCTAGCTGATTGGCCGCGTTTGAGTCTTGCCCTTCTTATCTGCTCGGTCTCCCACAACACAAGCTGTGTTTAGGAAGACTGTCATCGGTGAACCCCCCCGAACGAATGTTGAGAGTTGTCTGGCAAAATATTTCTCGTAATCTTTTTGACTGATATAGATATATCTCCTCGGTGGGTTTTTGGCTGCAGTCTGCTCCAGAGTTGTACCGGAGAACCAGTCAAACACGGTATTCAGCCGCATTGGCTCTTTCCACCCATCGTCTGGCTGCTGGGCGTACAGTGAATAATCCTCTCCGTTTCCTAGTTTAGCCGTGATCTTCACTGCAATCCTTCCCGCAGGGTCATCATAACTAGCCTGCTTAGCGTAAAGATGTGGATGAACGGTACCAGGAGAACTCATTTCCACCTTCAAGATAAAGCCTATATATTTATCAACATTTTCGCATGAGAACCTGACAGTCAACATAATTTTAATGCCCAAATTTGGTAATGGTTGGCAAGCTTCTGGTAAGCATGGCCATTGCAGAATTTGCCTCGTAGAAGAGTATTTCACTCCGCCTCTTCCAGTTTAGCCAGTTTGTACGAAGGTTCTGGAGCGTGGGGTTGGAAATCCGAATTAGAGAGAGATAACTCCTCGGAATAGGGATCATAGTTCTTGCAATATTGGATCAGCTTCTCGATGTCCTCGGAGCTGATTGCATCTTCAATCTGCTCCGAGTGGGATGGGCCCTCCTGGCCGCCATACATCTCAATCATTCCGTAGTAAGACAGCACTGTGCAGAGACCCCATTCTTCATCCCAAAGACTTTATGTCCAGAACAAAGGAGCATCGAGAGATTGGACTCTAGGCCAAACGTGCTGTGGTGAATATATCCCATGGTGGTCCATGATCCTGGTAGGGCAAACAAAACAACCGAGTGTTATAAATAAACCTTCGCCACCGAGAAGTCACAATTCACTAGTAGAGAGCGATACGATACGATTCCTTGGCTCTAATAGAAGGATATCGAGAGAAATCTCCATCAAGCTTATAAAAGGTTGACATATCAAGGGTTGTGCAGGCCATCATGTTTGATGCGGGGCACCCGGCGGACAAGGAACTGGAGCTTTGTATGCAACCTTATCGCACGAGTAGCTCATACAAGGTGGGAAATATGATCAGCGCTTAGTTCCTCTTATTAAAGGGCTACCCAGCTCGGGCCTTGACGATCTGCAGCGAGAAAAAGGGAGGGGCGGTGCGGAGAAATTGAAGTTCCAAAGTTGCATCTCGGATGCTCGGAAGTGGGAGCCTATCCGACTCTTCTGACGTCTTGTCTATCTGCGGTCCTTTCGGCGATCCAACAAATCGGACCCGCAAGGGACTTCCATAACCAAAACGGACACGCATTCCCAACTCACATTGAATCTAAGAGGTGCGATAAGCCCGTTAAAGGATCAGTATATGTGATTAAGTGGTCGAATCGACTGATGCTACCCTAGGTTCAAGTGACTATATCATTGCATCCTAGCCCCGGTCGATTTCAGTTTCATTCCCTTGATCTGTGATCTTGTTTCATGATAGTACTACAGTCATGCGCCCTACAGTTTCACGTTCGCTGTCCGATGCAGCACGAGTCCGGAAAGGGATCTCTCTTCGCCGATTTTCCCTGACGGCCGCAAGACATAGGCCGGTGGAGGCAGAGAAGGTACACGACGGTGAACCAAATCACACATCTATAAAACCAAAGACAGGAGATAAAAGTGCCATCCTTCACTCAAAGCTGGACACCCGACCTCCGACAATAGTTGGCAGTAATGGAAACTATCTCATTGCCGAGGGTGGAAGGGAGATTCTCGACGCCAGTGGTGGTGCGGCAGTGGCATGTATCGGTCACAACAATTCTCGCGTCAATAATGCTATAATGCGTCAGTTGCAAAGCGTCAGCTACATCTACGCTCCCTTCTTCACCAGCAAGGCATCGGAGAAATTGGCGGCGTTGTTATCTGAATCGACACAACATCAACTATCTAAAGCTTTCATTGTCAGCTCTGGTATGACATACTGGATGATCCCAATTCATCGGATCATGTAGCTCATAGTGTCACCAGGTACCGAAGCGATCGAGGCTGCACTGAAAATGGCACGTCAGTATTTCCTCGAGCTGCCAAACCCGGAACCTTCCAGGACCCGATTTATCGCCCGTCGCCAAAGCTATCATGGAAACACGCTTGGATCTCTTTCCTTGGGAGGACATGCTGGGCGTAGGGCACCTTATGCCCCAATACTAACCACGAATGTTTCCCACGTATCTCCATGTTACTCATACAGAGGAAAACGAGCGGAAGAAACAGACGAAGACTATGTTGCTCGACTGGCACAAGAACTGGAGGATGAATTCCAAGCCGTAGGCCCCAGCACCGTGTGCGCCTTTGTCGCAGAAACGGTTTCGGGAACAGTGAGTTTCTATCTAAAGACTTTGTTCGATTATCTAACCCATGCATTCACAGACATTAGGCTGCGTCCCCCCAGTGCCGGGTTACCTTCAGGCGATGAAGAAAGTCTGCGATCGCCACGGAGCGCTGTTCATACTTGACGAAGTGATGAGCGGTATGGGCCGTTGCGGCACGCTCCACGCGTGGGAGCAAGAAGGCATTGTGCCCGACCTCCAGACAGTCGCTAAGGGATTGGGAGGTGGCTACGCCCCTATTGGGGCTTTGCTGGTCAACAAGAGGGTTATTAACGCTCTTGAGCAAGGCACCGGCGGATTCATACATAGCCAGACATACCAGGGCCATCCAGTTGCATGCGCAGCGGCCTATGAAGTTCAGAAAATCATCAAGGAAGAGAATCTGCTACAGAATGTCCGGACCTTGGGCGAGTATCTGGGCAGCCGCCTGAGAGAACAGCTTGGCGACCACAAACATGTAGGCGATATCCGTGGTCGCGGCTTTTTCTGGGGTGTAAGTATTGGCCTTCTTAATCCGAGCGATGTGGATAGATGTCCCTGGAGTCGGAAAGCAGTGGCTAACACCATGCGCAGATCGAATTTGTCAAGGACAAAGAGTCGAAAGAGCCTTTCCCGGCCGAGCAGAAAATTGCACCTCTTATCCATAAGACCGGACTGTCGGAGTACTCGATTTCCTTTATCCCTGGTACCGGAGTTGCTGATGGAAAGAATGGCGATATTATCCAGATTGCACCGCCGTACAATGCTACCAAGGCGGATATCGATTTGATCGTTGAACGGACAGGGTTGGTAGTGAAGCGGGTACTTGGGTGACTTCGTATCTTTTCTATGAAATTCAAGTCGTAAGCGCATTATTCGAGAGATACTCTAAGTAATTGAAATGTCCAAGGCCGTGTGGCGTTAAGTATTAAGCTACTTACTACGTCGATACAGGTTGTCAGTAAGTAGATTGAAATTTTAAGCAATTAAGCAATCGAAAAAATCTAAGTCCCTCAAGCAGATTGGGGAATTTATGTAATATTAGTACATTTATATGACGAGACTTAATGCATTGCTATTAGTATTATATCTCAAAATTTCGAGGTCTCCGTCCACTCAGTTTAGTCCGCTGTAGGATGGGCACTGGTAGTCGCCCCGACCCATTATCAATCGTCAATGAATCTGAAGGTGAGACCCTTAACAACCTCTCCACTGTCCACCATATGTATTTCGCACCTTACAGCCTCATACTGGTCAGTCTCATAGTACCGGAGCTGTTCTTCCCCCTCCTCCGAACTAACTTCATATGCCCATCCATCAACAATCGCCGAGGAGGAACCATCTACAAGAGCTTTATATTTTCCACCCCACATCTTAATTTTACCTCCTTTAACAGCAGCTTGTCGCAGAACCGGTAATTCCAAGAGAGATATTTTCTGCGCAAGAATCTCGGGGTCGGTAAGTGTCCCATGAAAGAAGTACCAAACGGGGTACTGGTTCTGAGCAGGAAGGAACATTTGATCCATACATTGCGCTCGATGATGAGGAAGCGTGGGATCAATATTGGAGCCAAGACACGGTGACATGCTGTAATTGGGAGAGGCGTTTATCTGCCAGATTAACTCGAATAAACGTTGGTGAATAGTCAGATAGTGTTGAGAAAATTGCCAGCCTTGTAATGCCGTTTATAAGACAGAAACTGGCTTCGCCGAGCTCTCCTTCTCCTATTTTTAGAGGTGGTGGTTCTAGTAGCCCTACAATCTCTTGTATTTTTGAGGAACTGACGAGTGGCCCATCGAGTTTCACGAGATAGGTCGTTGTGTAGTCTCGCTTCCGTGCCTTGAGCTGAGTAGGGGGTCTGTGGGTATTGATCAGTCTGGTCTTGAGAGTGTTGTTCTCATTCTCAGCCCCGAGGGCTAGGTTCTCGAGTTCAGTAAGTAGATCCATTTTAGAATGCAAGATCGCCAAGCTAAAACTTTTGGTGTAAACTCGGTGCTCAGCTATAGGATCAGGAAGAAGTTGGCGTTGAAAAGCAAGCACCAGGAAGAGGTGTCTGGCACATTTTCATCCTTGTATGTGCAATAATTACATCGTTGGCCGCTTTATTGTAGGTGAGTCACATATGATGATAGCTTTTGATGTAATCGCAACTCCGGAACCCAAAGCGCTGGGACACTCACATGACTTTATACCCCTAATATGACAATGCCTGTTAACTGCCCAATGTATTACCCTACAGGCAAAGTCGCGACGAGCCTCTTCAGATCTACGCGACATATGGTGTCTTTCTTTAGGTAATTGAAACTCTGTAAGCGAACCACGGTGTGGAGTCCAGCATCGCAAAGCCCCCCCCCAGACTAACAGGTGGATACATCACTATTTGTCCATAGCCGATTTATATCCGACCTGGTGAAAGCTGACTTCACAGATTGTTTTAAATGGCTAGACTCGAAGCTGCAGGCTAGATTCGGCCGACATGTTCTCCTCGCAAAATGGTCCGACGCTAAGAGAGGTAAAAACCAAGACTTGTTAAGGGTGCCGTTTCTCGCTGAATTTTCAACTCTCAGGGAACTCAACGAGTTCCAAAAAAAGATTGATGCACGATTAGGTAGTGGATGCCAAGCGCAGCAGCACTACTCTGTGTGCTAACCTGTAAAAGGCACGTTTATCTATGTCGGTCCAGTTCGTTTTGGGAATGTCTAACCACATGCGCCATTTGTAATGGAAACTCGATTTGCGGCGAAGAGTTGACACCACCTTTAGCATGGATACAGAGGCAAACATAAATGGGCATCGGAAAGCAGGTTATCGTTTCACCCAAAGCAAGGGGCTTGATGGCGAAGCGTGTGCAAAGGAAATGCCAAGAAAGCTTCTGTAGATGCAGAGCTTTCTTTGACCACGTGTAAGCCTCGAAGTAAGGGACATCGATCAGCAAGATCATGTACACATAGGTAAGGGATGTGCGAGTAAACGTGGCAGACTGAAGGTAGTCCGAATCTCGGGATGTTGAACTTCAACAGTTGACGTTCAGAGATAAAGTTGAGGCTTACGTGTCACATTTACCTGTTCTATTGTTACGGTGTAGCGATCGTGCTTATCCGAACCTATCTTGTCGACAATAATCCATATTATTCGGGCGTGAAACGGACATTACCCGAAAGGATGATAGTCCCCAACAAGAGGCGAGAGGTGTTGTGGAACATGGCCAGAGTAACAACGACTTTGGGTCCATTTCCCCCGCATTGGAATCCTGGGGTTTCCCGATACTACTGTGTGACAACTGACAACTAGCTCATGTATCGTGGCAACCTCCATACATTGAACCCCAGCCCGAATCCGATCCGAACCCCCGCGTTGCGGATGCCGATGGGAGGTTCAGCATCCGCGGCAAGTCGGATGCCATAGGGTCAGCATCCGCACCGCTGCGCACTGGGGGCAACTCTATCTCAGTGCCTTGAGTAAGTTTTAGTCGGGTTCCTTGGCCGCATAGATCCTGCGAGGGATGGGGAGCATGACCCAAGGAAGCCGGAAAACAATATGACAATGAGGTTCCAATCCACCTCGAGCTTATGCCAAAGCTGGATCTTCACTTAAAAACGTCCAATTCCACGAGATCTAGAGCGCAGTGAACAGGCTGGTTGCATACGCGGAGATTGCATCGACAGGCGCTATTCCTGCTCTGGTTAGACCAGTGGGTCGGTCCGCGATGATATCCGGTCGGAAACCAATCAGATGAAGAACCGCGCTGCGTCAGGAGTTGGTGCGAACCCCGGATGCGGAGGATGGTCTCAACATCTGCAGAGTCAGATACGTCATTTCAACGCCGTGTCATGATCAATCGAGGCCGTCGCTACCAATGCAAGGGGTGTCTTGCATAAAGCCGATACGAGATGGTATTCAATACCAAAAACGCAGTGCCCCTCGGACATCTCCGTGTAACCTTGTCCCGATTTGATCGTGGTAGTTCGATCAAAAGGCGTTTTGTTCGTCTATCCTTTGAATTCCGATCGGTTGGGTTGCAATTGATTTTCAACTCCTCTTTTTCTTTCCCCTGCATCCCCTGTTTAAGCATCTCTTGACAGTATGAGGAACCAAGACGATATCACGGATACTGCCGCCGGCAATGAGGCAGACCGCACCAGCACACACAAGGAAAAGCTCGAGTGGCCGGACTATCCTGCCTCTGAAGCTTCATTTTCCCATGGCAAGATCACGAAGGGGGTGGATGATGTCGAACAGCGGATCATCGAGGCCGGTGAAATAAAATACCACCGGGTGGGATGGGTACAGCTCACGGTCCTATTAGTTGTTGAAGCGATTGCACTGGGTGCCCTGTCACTCCCCTCAGCGTTTGCTACCCTTGGGATGGCCGCCGGCGTGATATGCACGGTTGGAATTGGCTTGCTTGCGGTATACACGTCAGACATTATTGGACAAGTGAAACTAGCCCATCCATCCATACGGCATTATGGGGATGCTGGGACTTTGATAGGAGGACGTTTTGGGTATGAAGTACTCACAGCCATGCTCGTTCTGTCGGTCGTTTTTGTAACAGGGTCGCACTGCTTAACTGGCACCATTGCCTTCCGTCACATCACTGGAAGCGATATTTGCTCTCTTCTGTTTGGTGGCGTCTCTGCCATCATCCTGCTATTGCTGTCAATTCCCTCGTCCTTTGCCGATATGGCCTGGCTTGGATATGTTGACTTCGCCTCCATCGTTGCAGCAATTGGCATTACTATCATCGCAACAGGAATCCAATCTTCGGATGCACCCGGCGGACTATCAGCAGTGAACTGGTCCGCGGTATCTCAAGGAAATCCAACCTTTGCCGAAGGGTTCATAGCCATCACCAACATAGTATTTGCCTACTCCTTCGCCACCACCCAGTTTTCTTTCATGGACGAAATGCATACCCCGAAGGACTACAAGAAGTCAATCTGGGCGCTCGGCTTCCTGCAGATAGCGATCTACACCATCACAGGCGCCACCATCTATGCCTTCGTCGGACCAGACGTCGAGTCCCCTGCCCTTCTATCAGCCGGCCCGCTGATTAGCAAGATTGCATTCGGCGTAGCACTACCCGTCATCTTTATCTCGGGCGCCATCAACACCATCGTCGCGGGTCGCTTAATCCATCAACGGATATATACCAACAGCGTCACCAAATATATCAATACGACCATGGGGTGGATCACATGGCTAACCGTTATCACCGTCATCACAGTAATAGCTTGGGTCATCGCCGAAGCCATCCCTTTCTTCTCAGACTTGCTATCCATCGCCTCAGCGATTTTCACCTCTGGGTTCTCTTTCTACCTGCCTCCAGTCATGTGGTACATGCTTCTTCGCAAGGGAAAATGGTACTCCAGGGAGAACCTACTTCGCAGTATCGTCAACGGATTGGTTTTCCTCTTCGGTCTGACTGTCTTGGTCGGTGGTTTATATTCCAGCATCGCGGATATAGTAAGTTACTCCATACTTGTCTAGAATGTGGAGTGTCGTGCGTGTACTAACGTTATTCTCAACAGAGGAGTAACTACAAAGCTGGCAAGGTTCATGGTCCATTTACTTGTGGTCCTGTATAGCACGCTTGGCTGCTCGTTCATGTTCGCCAACTGTATTTGGTTGCCGGTGACATTGCACAGTGTCACGGAAGAAGGCTGGGTGGGATATTGTCGACGAGGCACTATGTGATTCGGAACATATATAGCACTGAGAGGATAATACCATCATCGTGCACTGTTACAAGATATATGACCTACCCTTAAATAGGTGGAAACCTAGATTAACACCAGTATATATTCTTCCTTTTGTACAAGCTGGGGACTCGAAGGATCGGGCTCCTTGAATGTAAATCACATACTTGCTCGATCGCCAATGACCTAAACCAACACGTAAAAACTTCTCCGGTAACTATGCTTACATGATATCTTCTCAGTTGTGGGATGCCTGCAGAAAAGAGCGCGGGAGTTGACCAATGCAATGTATATTCTTCCTAACGTTCAACATACTCCATGCCAGGATGATGACTATCGTGATGAAATACACAACGCACACAGAGTTCATAGATGAGTCGCCTAAATACAAAGGTAGATGTTTGGTGTGACGGTGACTTTGCAGGCACTATGATCAGTGTGGCGGCAAACTATAGGTTCTCTAGGTCACATGGACAGTGTCCGACTGTATATATTGAGTACTGTACAGCTAACATTTCTAACCTGATAGCTTACAAAGACCATCCAAGGCTGTATTTGGCTATGCACATTCTTACTACAGATTATCGTGTATCCTTTCTATCGCAGCATCACTCACAGGTTGGGATGGGCTAGCTGGATGCACTGGCTGGCTACGAGCAGCTGTGTGGACATATAATGCCCATGTAGCATAGTGTGTCTTATAAAAGACGAACATACGGCGCGTTCTGGAATGATATATACCTATGCTAAGTTTATGGTACACCTGGCATTTCCCTAGCCCTCTGCAATATACATGTTATCTCGCAACGGGTCGTGATCACAAAGTGGACATGAGAGTGTGGGATGTCAAATTAGGTCGACATCTTAACATCTATCGATATACTACTGGTAGATCATAACCACGCTATGGCTTCTCATTGGCCCATCCACGAGCGACAGATTACCGCGCTGTGGTCTTTCATAGCCGCTATCAATTTGACAATAGTTTGGTCATGGCTGCAACAGGCGTCTCTCGGTTTAGTGCGATACTAGGATAAATTCTATGTTCATCTTTCCGCCGGTCAACTATCGCCAAGCAAATTTATTCCGCCGGGAAACGTCAATTCCTTTTTGTGTTTCACATCCTGACCATCACAACCGACAACATTGCAAATTATCCTTCAGTGTTAAAATGGATATCTCTCTTCAAACCCACAGGTCCTATGTGAATAGGCCTATTTGCAACCTGCCGACACCAGCCTTGGTATTGAGTCGTCCTCTCATAGAGAACAACATCAGGCGCCTGCACAGTGATGTCTCGCAACTGGGTATCTCCTTTCGACCCCACGTTAAAACGCTCAAGGTCAGTATAAGCATTGCACTCAGCGTACAAGGATACGAAATGACACCTTTTGCACAGAGTATTGAAGTGACGCGGATGATGCTAGAAGGAGGTAAACACCGCAAGATCGTTGCTTCGACAGTGTGCGAAATCGAAGGTGCTTTGCCATTGGTCGCAGAGGGAGTCCTAGACGAGGTGAGAATACTCTATGTACCGAACTGTACCGCTGAATTGGCGAGCTCACTATCTCTAGTGTCTTTACGGGCTGCCCGTCAGCGACAGTGTCCTCCCACGTCTTGTGAAGATCAGACAATCAATCAAAATCCAGCTTATGGTCGACAATGAGCAGCAGATAGACCTTTTGGAGCAATTCTCCTTGCAGAATCCAGGACTGGAGAGATGGGATGTCTTCGTCAAGGTTGATGTCGGCTCTCACCGCGCTGGTCTTATGAACAATTCCCCGCGTCTACGCCAAGTCATCGAACGCGCAGAGAGCTCATCCGCAGTATCGATCTATGGATTTTATTGTCATGCGGGCCATTCATATGGATGTCGTGATCGTGAGTCGGTGGATGTAGTCCTCCACTCTGAGCTAGAGGGTGCCCTAGCTGCCTCACAGATGGTTCCGTCGACTGACCCTGATCGCTCTTTTGTTCTATCCATCGGATCAACACCTACTGCTCATGCGATTGAAGCCATCAAAGACAGAATCCCCGAGGGATATATTATAGAACTCCATGCAGGTATTCTCGCCTTACACCTATATGGCCATGACAGCAGTTGACTTATTCTGTTAGGTAATTTTCCCGCACTTGACCTTCAGCAAGTATGCACCGGTCTAGTAAACCGGACAGACCAAGCAGTGCGCGTCCTAGCCGACGTGTGTAGCGTCTATCCTGAGCGCAACGAAGCTCTCATCAATGCCGGTGCCATAGCCCTGTCCCGAGAGACCAGTTCCATTCCAGGTTTTGGTCAACTTGTTGAGCAACCTGATTGGCATGTGGTTCGCTTATCTCAAGAGCATGGCATCCTTGGTCTTCCTTCCGACCAGATGGCTATGGCTGGGGGCACACAGAATGTTGAGGATGTGTTTCGAGTAGGACAAAAGGTATCCGTATATTGTCAACATGCCTGCATCACTGCAGCCGCTTTTCACGTGTATTATGTGGTGGATGAGAATGACATTGTGCGCGATACTTGGATTCCATGGAAGGGCTGGTAATGGTTTGAGTGCACATGATTTATATTGATCGAAACATATGTAAACCGTACTTATGGAAAGATGCTATTATCACCCAATTGAACATGGATTTGGAGTGACCTGATCTTGTGATGGTAGTAAAACATTTACTATAGATGAATGGTGTTCAAAAATACTGTAGTCCGTTATATCGCACGATTGATAGGCGGCAGCAAGCCTGGATATAGTAGTATTTGGGGTATACTAACGAATAGAATCCACGTAGGATTTGTATCTCACCCTTACTGACAAACAAGTAATTAGAATATAGTCACTAAACGCGTTTAAGTACAATGGCCCTGGAGCATGCATAACACATAAGGCCATTGTGAAAACTCCATGAATATGTAGGATAATAGAATCCAAGATCTACTCCTAAGTACAACGGTTATGACAACACCCAAGGCAAATTTACGCCGCAAAGTGAGATCAGTCTGGAGTCCCTGATTGCTACAAACCTCGACGGAAGTTATCTCTCATGGTGTCAAAATACAGTGGATGGACAAGGAGGCCTCTCCGTGTGGAAAAACTCGGCAATGGGATATACTCTAGGCCAAAGGCATTCGATCCGTTCCTTAAGCTGAAGAGCTATCATATTAGGGAGAAATAGGGCGAATGGACAGCCTTGCGCTGGTTTATACACCAATGACTTTAGAGCATGCCCTGTATTGTTCGCTCTTGATCGCATGAAATGTGCCTCGGCACGAAGAATCCACTTTGTGACAAATAGAACCAGCTCGTCCTCGCACTGTTCCGTAAGCTGGCACACCGTAGCTTACGCACAGACTGGTGCCTAGATTTGATTGATAAATGGAAAGGGTGAGAGAATATACAACACTGAGAGGGAAAGATTGAGATGTTGCATCTGGGAGCCTCAGAGCGTTGGAGAATGCTACCTTTCATTATAGGCAGCCATGGAATTGAGCCTTAACTATCGTGCCAAGAAAGCCATCGTAGATATCCATGAAGCTATAAGGACTCGTATTATTGATCCTTCAATCCCACCTTTCGCCCTTTTTGAGCGCTAGTTAACATAGATTGAGTAAGGGATACCCACATTTCCCAACTGGATAGTCTGGACTAGCCCCCTACCCATCTTATCATTATCGCAACCTTGACAACATATATGCCCGTCACATCTCAGCCACCCCCCTACTGAATCGAAGTTTTCCTCGTGGGTAGACCGCCATTGTCCAATCCACATTCGTATTCGTATGCACTGCCACGAGGTATTTAGGGCTGAAGAAAGGGTTGCGTCTCCGATAGGCCGAACGGCTTCCCGTAAACAGACTTATTTTAAGCTTGGCTCCACCGTTAAGCGTTTGGTGGGGCATACTATTCCGCCCTTGGATATGAATGGGTTCTTGTTTGCTGGTTTGTGAGAAAAAAACAAGCCGCCGAGATTTCCCAGATCTAATACCGAGGAATAATTCTGGGTAACCCCTTAATCTGGCTGTCTGTCGGTGGAGGACATGTTGCACCTTGTTCAATTCCTGCCTGTATGGCAGTGCCCTAACGACAGACGTGCACGCATCGAATTAACCCCAAGATCAAGCAATGATACTCGAACAAGCACCGTTCTAGAAACTAACGCTTTGGTGGAGTAAGGCTGATTCCGCCCAACGGGGAAAATCCGAAACGTCCTGGGAAACGGGGTTCACTGCAACCAAATTTCCTTCTTGATATGAAACAGATCCAAGCCACTAAAACATTGGCTTTCTGGACCATGCTCTGACAACTCAGTCACTCAAGGTGAACTAATCCGCAACAGGCATAAAATACGATCAATCGCGCCGCAGATCCCTGTTTGCTGGGCATTCTACCTGATCCAGTAACGTCCGGTCGGAGATCGAAACTGCTCCATGGTTTTACGTGCCAACTTGGTTCTAGGAGTGCTGCGTATGGGAATCAATCTCAGACATGGCGACATGTCGCCGCCAAACTACGGAATCTGTGTTCCGTTCATGATATATCGCACTAACTACCTTTAGTATGTAAAGTGAGTGGAGCCATTGGACCCCTGGGTGGAATATGGAGGGTAGACTGGTGCCTCTAGCGGTATGCATAGCGCTATGAGTGTGCTAGGCTGCTATCGATCGGAACGGGAGTGTTACAAATAAATCCCATCCTGTGGGTTCTGATCAAAGGAAGGGCGTAGCTCGGTGTCTCTTTCCTCGTTCGAAATGCCGCCGTTCAGGGTTTGGCACCGGGAAGGAAAGTATTTGTCCTGCCACAGTGAACATGCCCTGTGACGGTATTCTGATCCTACCGCTCGTGGGGTACCGGATGATCTCAACCATACTTACACTTGGCACTTTCTATGTAGTTCTAGTGGCCGAGAAAGGTTCTTGGCTGACCATAGGGGTGTGATGATATCCTAACACAAGATTCAATCAATGGCTTTTGTGACTAGAGTGATAGGCCTAACAAATACCCAGTTCTTAGAACAGTTCAGCGATACCCAAAACTGCCGCAGCATGAGGTTACCGTAGCACATGTCCCATAACCCCAGTGCAGCCACCTGGAACCAAACTGGAGCCGGCGATAGTGGATCACGTCACGAAGGCCAAGAAGGCATGTCTCAGAGCAGTGGCCTCGCAATGGGGGTAGACAACCTGGTATCGACTACGCCTCGTGGCGATGCTGGTGTCTCAGAAGTCTCTGAAGCTGCCCTATTACTTCCAATGCCTGCCTTACTATCCCAGAAGCCATATTTATATCAATTCGTCAGAATGGCTCAAAGGATGAAACCAGTAAAGCACAAGTCTATTGTTAGTTAATCATGTCTCCGCTTGCATTTGCCGTGTCCTTTTTCTACCTGTACATCACCGGCTCGGTCTTCTTCGATACAGCGCACTACCTCCTCCACCAGTGGTCCAAGTCGCAATGGCGGTTCCTGCGATGGCTGTCCTGGTGCCATCAATTCCACCACCTCTACTACAATCGCTCCCTGAAGTTCAACAACCGATACCTACGACAGAATGCCTGGATTTCCTTGCCGTTGGAGATGCTCAGCAAGATCCTGGGAAGCGTCGTCGGCTGGTTCATTGCCCGCAACTCCATCACAGATAACAACGGAAGCCCTGACAGCACGCCACTGATCCTAGTATCTGCCTTCGAATTCATAAGGACCATGGTAGTCATTGCCATGAGCGGTCGAGACTCAAACCACATCGCCTTCGACACAGTGCCCAAAGACCGCAGCTGGCTTTTCGTCGGCCCCGAGTTCCACGCCCTACACCACGTTTACCCCGACCGGTACATGGGCTCCATGGTGAAGCTCTTCGACTGGGTAGCCGGTACCGCATACTTCGTCCGCAACAAACGGGTAGCTCTGACCGGCGGGTCCGGTGCATTCGGACGCGCAATCGAGAAGCAACTACAAGCCGAAGGGGTAAAGGACATCCGGAAACTCGGATTCGGCAGGGACTGGACACATGAAGACTTCTCACGCGTCGGCCCGATCCTCGAAGACGCTGATATCCTCATACTGTCACACGGGACCAAGGGGTTAGACGCCATGGACGCCAATTGCAACTCGACGATACGACTCATCGAGCTGTTCCTGGAACAGAATGCAGGACGCGCGAGGAAGACAGTCCCGGAGATATGGTACGTCGGCAGCGAGATCGAGATCCATCCTGCATGGGGCATCCCCGAGATGCAGAGGTATTCGGCGTCCAAGCGTGCGTTTATGCCCTATGCGCGTGCCCTCTACGATGATCCGCGCGTTCTTTACCGACATATTGTACCCGCTGCGTTTGAGTCGCAGATGGGAAAGGCCATTGTGTCGCCGGACTGGGCCGCGCGTGTCGCTATGTGGTGGATTCGGCGTGGTGCCTGCTATGTTCCTGTTACTTATACGGGGCTTGCGTATCTGAACTTCTTCAAGTTTCTTTACCTTGTTCGTCCGGATACGAGCAACGGGTTGAAGGAAAAGTTAGTGTGAGAGTAATGGGCTCGAGGTCACGGGTTAATTGTATATAGTTCTTGTTCGTGTTAATATTTCTTGGTTATATCGGAAAGGAGTCTTGGCTTGTATATTATGCTTTGAAGAAGTGAATTCCAGATAAATCGGGATATTGAGTTCTAGGTTTCCGAGATTCAGAACGAGCGAAGTTCTCGTGTAGAGCGACGCTACACACGTAATGAAGGCCTTGTTTTCAGAACAGGGGCTCGATTGCCCATGCTCTGCCCGGGTATGCCGATAGATCTAGTTTGATCTTCCTCTTTGGGCCAGATATCATATACTAGTTCCGTCCCTTGCATTCGATCATCGGATGTTTGTCGATCATCATACATCTTGTTCTTGATAGTCATGATACACCCCCACGGCGACCCTCATGTTGTTAATGCATATTGGATATCACACGGGCATTTATAATCTGGTCAACAGTGATATCTGGATAGCTACGAGATTTATCCCCAACGTCCAATATCTCCAATGAATTGATTTATGAGTCCCACACACTGACGGATGCGTGTGGTTGGATTTGACAATATTAGATCTTGTAATGTAGGGAGGTAACTATAGACTAAGCTTTTGAGTTAGCCGTAGTATGATACACCTTCATATAAGCGATTTAGAGAGTGGTTGCTGCATTCTGAATACACTAAGACCAACCTGCACCATGACGTGATCGATGAAGATCGCCATGCTAGCGAGGTGATACATCTAAAGCGCGGATGCGACTACTCCGACTTCCCGAAACGTGACAATGTTCTTGATGTGTCTAAACATGTCAAGCTATAATGACCATCTCATGTTTATACCGAGGCATTGAGCGAGTACGATGAGAGGTCCTACTACTGAGTCTCAATAAGCAGTGTACGCGTAGCAGAATGTGACGCTCGCATGTGAGATATACACAACGCACAACAACCACAGTATAAAGCGTAGATTAAGCTTCAGGGACACACGCAAGGCCCGGCAGATCATCTCAAAAAAATAAAGGACACTATCGGCAACCTGCAGATGTGATCCATGTATCGTGCGCCGATCAACCCCTGAGACCAGATCCATGGTCGACCAAGCCCGTCAATCGACACAAGCAGACTAAATTGATGCATTCACTTAGAGCTATAAGAACCTTCACAAAACCCCAGAAAGACGATTCATCAAGCGACCATCCTCTTCTGCAACTCTAACCAGCGTCAAACCGCCATTTCTCAAAAACTCTACATTTCCACCTGCTACTCAGTGTCTAAAACATCACACTATGCGTTACTCAGCCATCGTTTCTATCGTGGCCTTCGGGCTGGCCTCTTTCTCTACCGCGGCACCGGTAGACCCGACAGCCCAGGGTACGGGGAAAGTGGGAGATATTGCAAATCCGTTTGGGGGGGTTACAGGTGGCCTCCCAGCTGCCCTGAAAGGTCTCTTCCCAGATAGCCTCCAAGGTGGTGGCAAGTATTCTCTATACCCTACTTGCAGTCAGCCAGACGGCGACTAACACTCAGTTCATAAAGGCGAGCAAAAGCCTGGTGCCGCACCGGGTGCAGAAGGCGTGCTAGGTGGTCTGAGAGGTGCTCTCGCAGGTGGCGGTAAGAGTTCTCTATACCCTACTTGCAGTGAGGGAAACGGCGGCTAACACTCGCTTCATAAAGGCGGGCAAAAGCCTGGTGCCGCATCGGGTAAACGTGGCGTGCTAGGTGGCCTGCCAGTTGATCTTCCAGCCGGTCTTCCAGGTGGCGGCAAGTATTTCTCTGCACTCTGTAACCGAGACAGCGGCTAACACTCACTTCATAAAGGCGAGCAAAACCCTGGTGGTGCATCGGGTGGAGGTGGCGGCGAAGGCTCCTCCAAAAGAGATATTCCTCTGCCCGTCGGCGAAGGCGTGTCCGCGGAGTAGCGGACCTCGGAAACGGTTGCAAAGAATACAGAGGCAGACGTCAGAATCTGGGAGAGAGCTATCAGGGTCTAAGCAACTGCAGGATCACGGCGGCATCGAAGAAAGGTAACCTGATATTTCTGACGCCGGTCTCGACCGAGGGTGTTGCGCCACCACATCCGTGGATAGCATTCTGGTGCATGTATTGTCTAGTATTTTCTCTTCACATAGTGTACTTCTTGAATCGTGAATAAAGCTTAGCTCTACGACTCTTCTTTGTTACCGACTGGTATATAGCTTGCTTTGCCCTAGGCTAGGGATATCCAAGCATCTATCCATATGTTGTGGCTTCTAGAGCTCTATCGGCCTGCCTGGGCCACTCCAGAATAAGTATATCGGACATCATTGTAATAAAAGAAGGCGCATGCTCTCAGGCACATCACCGGAGCTGTACATACCGACATACGCTCCTGTGGAAGGCTGAGTATTAATGGAACCTTTCTTGATTAATACCAACTGACGACTTACTCTGTCGGTAGTTTCCCATTTACACAGCATGAAGCGGATATATATTCGCATGGCATGCAGTCTTCATGTAAGGAATATAATTTCATGAAACAACGCGACGCTATGCATGGCCAGGCATAATTCTGCGGGCATTGGAAGTGTTCTCTCTGTACGATCTGACAAGGAACCCATAGGCAGTCATGCTACATTCGCTATAAGTTCCTTATCATGCCTCCTGGAAAGACATCTATGTTGCAATAATATTGGTCGTTTCTATGGTTGGTTTACGCCATACCCATCCGTCGTTGCCTGGCAGTCTCTAGACACTAGCCACTTACTTGGGGATCTATATAACGTTTTGTTTGATGAAGAATGAGCTTTGGCAGAATGCCCCATGGTCAGGTAGGACCCTTCCATCAAGCACATTGTGTTATTGACTATGTGAAATACATATTGTCGGGGTTGCCATCTTGGGACTATAAAACATGAAACAGGTACTAATTTTGCACAACACAAATAATATTTGATATCCAATCCTCACATCATTCCCAACGGTACAGAGTCAACATGGATCATTGCCCGACTGAATGTAGATAGTTTTGATATAGTATAACATGGAACCTGACCAACCGTCGCAGCAAACGCTGCCTTTTAAAACAATAGCCACTACAACGAGCAACTCCTGGTGGCCATGCAATGTGCCAGTTGGCAAGAAAGCACCTGTAGTACACAAGTCTCAGGCGGCATATCCGACGGTGATTAGCACTTGGCAGGTTTATGTGCGTGCATCTCCGAGCCTGTCTGTATTATATGGCGGAGACGACGAACTTTTGCGGACAACATCGCCAGACGATCAAATGTCCCCCCCTACCCAAATAACCATTCCATCAAACGGGGGCAACGCCCGACACACAACATGACAAACATCTGGCTGATCCAAGATTTGACCTCAGTTTTGCGCCCTCGGGCAGATGTAGGTGTGTGTCTGTGTTGAACATAGAGGCATCGTCATGTGGTCTAGCAGTTTTGGATGCGCAAAGCATGCTCATAGTTCTCGCCACCGGAGGCACGACTAGTTAAGACGGGTGAGTTAGAACATGATACTCACGATAGTTTCAAAAACAGCGGTATGTAGTCGCTCTCACCAATGGCTTCTCAATCCGAGTGAGCTTCGCTAAGGCGTCGTCACCATCTGGATGACGCGATGGAATAAGGGTGGCGGCCTCGTGGCGCCTGTTAAGACAGGACTTTGTTTCGATTGGGGCGAGAAAGCGGCCCGTTGGGCAGAGTGCTCATGGTGAGCTCGCCAGGCTCTGTCATCAGAGCGATGCCCTTCGCACACTGGACGATGCCTCAAAATGGTGGTGGCAATTAGGCCACGCAGCTAAGAGCTGCTAGCATTACGAAGGCCAGATCGTGGCATAGTTACTGTAGGAAAGGGGAAAGGAGAGAGACGATGAAGGATAGAAAAGGAGGAAAGGTAGAAAGCAGAAGAAAGAAACAAACAAACAAACGACTGGTCATGTGCAGCTTCCATGGAGGTTGCCTGGGGCAGTCCATTGGCTGCCTGAATACCACCATGGCGACATTGATTCTAGTAATGTTTATAGCATTGAACAACTAAAGATATGGGATATTATTGAACTTTGAAATATTTACATTCATCTATGTGGCCATCTATATATCGATATATCTAGATATCTCTATACCAAATCCAGCTTCAGTCACTTCTAAGTTGTATAGACGTCTTGAAGTAGCCACCCCCAGTGTAACGCAGAGCACTGGTTTCATATTAAACGTTGAATCTTAGACCGAATTGGAGTTATCGGCGCAGGACCAGGCTGCGGAGCCACCGGACTTTTTATAACTGTCCATGATGGAAACAACCGATCCGTACGTACCCCCGATCATCAAGAAGGTGCCGGATAGAATGACAAAGACGCTCCAGCAGACCATAAGAATCCACCTGGGCGATTTGCTGACCTTGCCCTTGCTCCAGTTATCATATAGCCACATGCAGCCCATAGGTTGGAAGGACATCAGAGTGCCCAGGAGGGCACCAACCAGGGACACCAAGTCATTGAACACGGGAATAGCACTGGCAATAATATATGCGATGATCGCGATACCCGACGTGCAGCTGAGCCAGGTCACCCAGTGGATCATAGTGTTCGCAGTCAGGTGCCTCGAGCCTTGCAAGATGCGGATGAAGATATACTTGGCGGGTAACTGGGAACATGTTAGTAAATCAAGACTCTCTCAACCCTTTCCCTTCATAGTAGCTTACATGGATGACAAGCAGTGTGGTCATCAGGAGACCTGGTAGCGCAAAGCCATAGCTGACCTTCTTGACAGTCGGACCAGCGGAGCCCAAGGCTGGTGAAGAAACATAGGTTCCACAGTAATAGTATACAACGATACCAATGGTAATGTAGACCACCGTAACCACGGACTGGCAAATAACAAGGGACCGGGTATAATGGCGGGGCTCGCGCATCTCGGAGACGATTGAGAAGAAGGCCGGGGTACCTGCGTAGGCAAAGACGATCGAGGAGATAGCTGTGATGGCTTCGGAAAAGGTCGGGCTGCCCACGAGCTTGTAGTCAGAGACCCAAACGCCTCCCTGTGGCGCTGCCGATGGGCGCTCCTGGAGTCCGACAGCAACTGTGACGATGAGGACTGTTGGGTAATGTTAGAAATGATTCATGTGGAGCACCTGGACGGAATCACTCTTACTCGATGTAATAATACCGAACAATCCCACCCACGCGATCCAGCTGATGCGACCTAGGGTTTGAATGCTAGCAAGCAGGAAGCCTGCAATAGCGGCTACCGCCACGAAGATGGCCGTGCAAGCGCCGTGGGTGGAGACTGCATTGAGGGAGATGGAGATCCCAAGCATTCCAGAGCCAGCCACAAAAATCCAGTCTAATCGATAGTTAGAACGGCCCGAGTCCTTCACCTTTTATTCAAAGAGAAACTCACAAAGGCAGAATGCCCCGCCAAAAAAAACCCGGCCGGGATACCCAAACATGAGTGCCCCAGTATCATCAATCCCGTAGACCTCCCGGTGTGCCAGCTTAAAGACACCCACAATATAGTCGGACCATGTTGTAATCGCGGCAATGGCGCACAGGACGATGACTCCCGGGATCATACCGAGGGCATCGAAGGCTAACGGTATCGAAAGAACTCCCAGACCGATCTGGGTCTTCATCATGAGAGCGGTGGTTCCCAGCCATCCTACCTAATCAACTGGTTAGTTCACGAAGGTATGGCATGGAATGTTGAGGTGCGCAAACATTGCGATAATTCGGACCCTCTTCGGTGATCTCTCCAAAGACGGCATCCTCATCGACACCCTGACCCTTTTCGGTATACTCGATGTGGTAGGGTTCGGAGGCTAAGATCTCGTCTTGCTTTTTCTCAGACATAGCTAAGACTTGTGGCGGCAACTGTGAAAGGGTAAATCAATTTTAGTGTGCAACTGAACCCCCGACAGGTGTTGCGTGAGGACTATTTATATCCCTCGGACCTAGGTGTCCTTTTTGAAGCGCGAAGTTGCAACGCCAAGTCTCTTACAGCGACAGATTGCAGGAAAGTTAAATTGCCACTGCCAGAAACCGCGCCTTCGATCGTCCCAGGGGACGCGTGAACTCTCGACCACACGAGAGCGGAACGCCAAAACCCTAAACCCCAAACCCGCCGCTTAAGCTTCCGCAGAGTCTACTGTCTCATCCCAATAAACCCGCCCTGGAAACATAATCAATCAGGCAGTCTCCGCAAGTCATGTCATGGAGTGAGGCGGGTGGAGAACTGGGCAGGCACATTAGCTGTATTTAGACTCGTGGAGCCAACAGCATGCGGGGCAAGAGCCTGCAATGATACGACGGGCATGGAGTTCGTGGGCGAGGAATGGTTACCACCCTGGGCTATCTTCGAGATGGCAAGTCAGACTCTCAGGAGAGTGGGCGACGGAGAGATGGCCTGATGTCTCCTGGCCGAGAGGATGGGGCGTTTCCGACTAGGGTAGAGTTAAAAGTCTCAGAGTAGTATCCAGTGGCGAAGATCCCCCAGACAAACCGGACCGGTGCTTGCGGGGAACCCCACGAATAGTACCATACGACGACCCCGGCTGGGCGACCGGAGCCATCATATCTTCCGTAGAAACAAATACCCTACCCGGTAACAGTTGACCTGCCGAGTCAAATCATTGGAGATGATGGTACGGCCGCAGAAGGCCACATTGCGAGAAATTGCCACAGGACTGTGTACAATGTACGCATTGAGACGAAGACGCCGCAGTCTCAAAAGTCTAGCCCTCGACTGGTTGCTTCCAGAAATTCCCTGGTATGCATCCCTTGCAGGCCCAGAACCTTAACGAGTAACACTTGGGATGACAACCATTGGTCTTAACCATAGATCCAACATCTCGAGTGCCACTTGGCAATGCTATCAGGGTCTCTTGTATGCATGGCATTCCTCTCCCACCGACTTTTCGTGCAGGTTTAAGTTTTCTAATGGTACATTAAGTTCTACTTTGTTTAAGCCTGCCGGTCGGCCGGCTAGGCCTGGCTAACCACCGCCACTGATTATGCAACTCTAATTAACAGATCGGGCTGACTTTTCCACGGGGAATGGCTGGTCTTAGGAGGCAGACACTGGGCAACGACGGGATCGCTCCCGAGAATTGGCATCCCCTAAAACCAATGTGGAAAGACATACGATGCCATACAAGAACCTGCTTACATCATCTTTATGCGCACAAGTCGCCTCCTAGAAAGCGATGCTGTGTACGAAGTAGTGAAACTAACTCCTTTCGAGTAGTTCCAGGACTCTTATTTCTGCCTTAGATGGCTATTAGATTTGAACATCACATGTCTGACGACATATTATGAGAACCATCTGCCTCCACGCCTCTCCTGCGAGAGTCAAATACCACTGTAACCAGTTGCCCCTTTCGTACTAGTAGCTTCACTGCAATAGCTTCGGTTGGTTGGGGGAAGGGTCAGGGTCATCTTTATCATACGTCATGTGTCAAACCAGAAGAATATCAGACCTCCACAGACATGTAGTGGATCCACTCGTAGCTGTAGCCAAAAGAAATGACGTCGGCCAGCGTCGAGGTAGCTCAGGTCGTAGCTACACAATAAAGCAGTGAGTGATTGTTAGGTGGGGCGATGTTGGAGGAGAATGTTGGGAACACTCCGCAACTTGTGGGTAATTTCAGTTGTGGGGTAGAGACTGGAGAGGTCTGAGGCCCATTCTCCACTTCAATCTCGAGCTCTCTGACATGTGGAGGAATCTACACCGGTGTGAACAAGTCTCTATATTGTGACCCTTCCACGTAGCCATACCCGAACAGGCATCTCCGGGCCTCCGGCTCCCTGTCGATATTAGTGCGTTTCAGGCTAAATTCGGAATCATTTTAGCTGACATCGATAATATTGTACGTAATATCACACAACGAAATGTAACATGTGTCGACATGGACATTAATGTTTGCAGTCAAAGCACAGACAATGGTAGGCATGTTTTTAGGTAGAGCCCTCTATTGTAGTAATTCGTCCGTTCCTTAGCGACAGACTCAACCAATTTTCACCACCACACGCGTGCTCGACAATCAATGGTTGGTCACGAATATATCGCTCAGGTATCGGATTTCAACCCAATCCATGTCAAATCGTAAGGCGAGATGCAGGAAGCAACAAAAAGCGGGGTATCTCTTGATTGTCGTATCCTCTGGTGCACTTGATTGAACCGCTGTGCTTTTCAGATACCCAAGATGAAGTCATCTAAGGATAGTGAGGTATATCTCAGCATCCGTCAAGAGTTCGGGACCCCTTCCGAGCAGTGTCGTCGGAAGCGCTGCCGATGACTTTAAGGTTGCTCGATCTCAGCCTCTGTTGCGATATTGCATGTTTGCCGTTCGTGGCGTTTTAGAAGGATTTTAGTCCAGCGAGCACTTCGGATTAATGTCCTTTTGCCTCGCACCTGCATTACCCGATCTATCTTGGAAGGTTTGCCAAGCGGCCTTGGTACACTGACTTCTTCATACTATCATCTAGGTTCCGAATCCTAACGAGTGGTGAACATTTTACTATAATCACGCCAACAGCGACCTACTGATCCATGCCCAAAGAGAAGCCACGGTCGCCTTCTGACAAACCATCAGCAAACACCATTTGGAAGTCTCTATTAGCACGGGTATCAATAATAGTCCACGGCTAGTGTCGGCAATCGTATTAACGGGCGAGGCACTCTCCTCGGGCGTTCACCTCACGTCTATGGACGCCACTATCGCCATTGACTCTTCCGCTAGGACTGACTGGAAATGAAGACACATTACGGTAGCATAGTACGCTATGATGAAAAGGGTAGTCCTACTGTTATCGTGAAACCTGGGGAAGCCACCTGGATGTGCAGCGATACTCAATGTCCCGTGATTCAAATTTCGATTCGAACTTACATGACGTACCCATAACGCTGCCGACATTGTGATGAACAACTACTACTGATCAATAGTGCAGGAAAGAATACCTCGATTGAATACCCAACCGTCGCGTGGGGGACTCCTGTATTGATTCGTTATTTGGTGGCGCCAGTCATGACGCACTTACTAGGGGGTCTGTGCTCTATCTTGCGAGAGACAAATAACTGACTGTACTACGAACATCGAAGGCATGGGGCGACCTTTATTCTAGACATTAATTTTTGCAAGTTTTCTAATATACAGACCACATAAAAAAGAATCCCCTAGGTGAAAGTCGACATCGTGCAGTTCGTCCCCCAAGTAGGCGGGTCGGACCTAGGCGGGTGCACGATGGAGACCAGCATGCTCAGAACGGCGAACTCGAGCTTCAGCTTTATGCTGTAGATTGTCGCCTTGAGAATGATCTGCGTGAAATAGAATCCCAGATACTCGAGGATCACCAGAGCGATATCCATAACAATGGCCATGATGTTGATAATCACGAGCTCGTACAGAATCTTGTGTCGCCGCTTATCTTCGTCGGGACTCAGTCGAATCATGCCCATGGTATACCAGATATATATCACGGAAATGGAGGTCTCCTGCACGGCAAACCAAGTTACCTGGATGCGTTCCATTGCCTCGAACCCGTCCACCCATCCGAGCGACTGCGGCACGTAGCTCGAGCCCACGTTCAACACAGTCGTTGGCACGGCGATCGTGAAGAAACTCCATATTATCAACCAGCGGACGAAGGCAAGCACCAGTTTATTCTGTGACACCAAATGTAATCGCGAGTAAAGCACCACTGACTGGTTGGGGACCATCATCCAAAACCCCACATTCGACAACAGCATGCTGAGCCATAACGGTATGAGATCGAAGAACTGCAAGACCGGTCCGATGGTCGAGGGGATCACACCAAGTACGGCGGATGTCATCAACGCCCAGAAATATAAAGTGTTATACCGGTGGAAGCTCAGCGGGATAATGACGGTCAGCTCGAGGGCATTGTAGAGGGCGATGGAAATAAATACGACAAAGCTGACTCCTAGAGCGCCGTGGCCGGGCCCCGAGCCAAAGATCGTGCTCGGCTCCGTATGGGACATGCTGCGATGGGGATAGACGGGGTGACAGACATCCCGGAAGGCATTGTGGGTGTCGAACGCATCCAAGGCGTCTCATCAGGGCAGGGGAGAACAGGGATCCAATGGCAGGATATATAGCAGTATCAATCGTGGTTCCAGCCGCTTGAGCCAAGTAAACCTTCCTGGGGAAATCGTCACGAGGCCATTTCCCCAGAAAACCTAGATTTCTTACGCCACTCATCTGTAGCCAATAAAGAATGCCTCTCAAGAGGCCGTGCCAATATTCTGGGTTCCTCGACTGTTAGATAAGGTTATCAACGAGCTTCGAAGGGGAACATTACTCGACGAAACTCTCAACGCTGTGGTCCGGAGAGTGTCACTCCACTGCGCCGGCGATCCAGAAGGACGGCAACATCGAATAACTCAGTGAACAATGTTGCGAGGATATGTAATTTCTGATGGCAGATGGCCCAGCTGCCCCTTATTAACTAGGGAGCTACTTCAGTGACTTCATTACACTACTGGCTTTTTGTATGGACAACAACTCCACGAAAACAGCGCAGTCGATGAGAGAGTCTTTGGCGACGAGTAGCATCAATGCTAGGCACCCACATCCTAAATTCTTCATGATCAAACCTTGATACCCTATTCAAAGAGAATTTTAGAATTTCTTGTTATATCTGACTAGAAGAAAACAAACAATTGCGATTATCGGCTTGTTAGTCTATCAACATATAATCGTACTCTCTACTCCATCCGGGAAAGCATACTAGAACCCTAATTGCTTATTTCTCAGATCCTCCGTGTTGTTTTGTGCCATGAAATGCTATTAAAATTTGTCTAGATGCAACAACTTCTCGTCTAAGATCTAGCCGAAGTATGTCTTGTCGATTCCTGATCATCCTTCGGAATTTGCGACAGGAATACCTTAAATATTTGAGTGGACTTGATTGAAGGGTGAATTTCCGTTATGTATGGCCCTCAACTATAAAGCCAGCCGCTGCCGCCAGATTCCTGGCATTTTACGAAATGGTTTGCCAAAGAAATTGAATATCTCACAGTATCCATTGTATAATTTGACAAACAACTACCCTGACAAAACGTTTGGCTGAAACTTGAGGTGGTCCTGATATTCTCTATATTCTAGAGTATCTCGTATTTTATTAATGAATAATAAAAAGTCAGTTCTATAGGACTATAGTTATAGTAATTTCACTGTTTACCCAAGGAGCAACCCGGGAAATCATTACGCTATCTACCATCGATAGAGCATTGTTGGACAACAGATAACACATCGCGTTGGCTACAGAGAGAAAGAAGAAAATTGAACATTGAAGAGATCATGCATTCTTTATGCCATTTTCACAGAGGTTTGTTCACCGACTTGGATACAAACCGTATAGAGCCACGCCCATTCCAAGAGGAGAGGGTCTGGATACAATTAAGGCATTCTCGCCCAGGCCAAAATAGATACCTCGTGTATTTTCTTGGAATTGGGTAACAGACAATTCGAGGAACCTTGTATACGTTGAATACCTTTCTATAGACTTTGGTAACCGAAGAATGCTACACTGTGGTTTTGGTCTCCTTGTTCAAGCAATCTATATATAGGCCGGTTAGTGGATCATCCTGATGTGTACCTCTCAGTGAAGAGTCGCATCTCCTATCCGTGCAGGTTCCACATGTTCATAGGCTTACCTGATATCTTGCTCTCTTAGTATTCCTGGAATAGTGGCCCCCTAACGTTACCGACGAACTGTCAAGGAGCGCAAGATGCCGTTGCTCCTATCATTCGAATCTGAATTACAATCCAACATCGCTACATAGAATATGGGCAGATCTACTACAGCGGGCAGGTATAGTTAGCAGTCGATTCACATTGCCTATTTCAGACCTGTCACTAGTAGATATCCAGTGAGCAGTAGTCTTGTTTCGGAACTATCTCAATGCTACTTACCAAATACAGATGAGTTTAGAGTCGAGGCATGAACCCCTATTATGAAACTCAGCCCTAAGAAATGATCTAGACCCCAACGGCAATCCTTCGTCCGGTATGGTATAAAATCCACGAGGCCTCCGGGGCGAATCCGCTGAGAGACTATGGCTGGTTTTGGCAATCTTGACAAAGGAGTACCATGGCACTAGCATGTCCCAGACAATCCTTTATACTGCCCCACATATAACGACTTCTAGTAATGGGGAAGCCGGAAAATCCGATAAAGCTCAAAGAAGCTCTTTGTTTACTGTATGTATATACATACATACTTTCTATTCCAACTCACCCGTAATTTATGAAGTTGGGAACGAGTAGAGCTGGATCTTATCGGGACAGCTCTACTAGAAACAGGAAGCCAGAACCTACGTTTCCTTTACTGGTCGAACATTGGGTTGCCTGATGGGAAACCTTTTGAGGTTCTTATGACAAAAATAGGGGTCTCAACCATTGGGCCGATGTGCGCCAAGCTTCCCTCCGCATATAGTTAAATTGAGCTGCATCGTGACTCCGAACATATGACAACGTTTTACTGCTGGAGAAATCTGCATGCAATATTGTTCTCTGTGGCGCCTTTTTAAGCACATCACAGTCTCCTGTGCCCTCCGAAGGAGTTAATATCTGAATTCATCTCGCGAGAATATGGCGTGGGTGCTGTGCAACTGCGCCCCATGAAGAGCGTTACCTGTCAAGGTATGGTGGAAAGATGAGTCAGGAAAGAGGATGAGCCAGACCCACACTGAAGAAGATCGTGCCCGGGGGCCAAAAAGAAAGGGGCAGCCCATCCTCCTTGGGAATCGTTTGATCCTGGCCTCTGAGGGTTTCTGCTAATGCAGGAAAACTCGTATTAGAACCAACACGAGTCTCTTCCAAATAGGAGAATATTCGCCTGGGCCAGAAGTGACTGGCTCCAAAAGCAAAATCAAATTTACGTTCTGACCACTTGTCAAACAACATGCTTGGTCTTCGTATTTCACGAGAAAAATCTCAAAAGGGAGGAGATCAGCCCCAGAGAGGACTGTGTAAAATGGATACTTCGTACAGCCTCAGCCAAGCCGTTCAAGTCCCAAGTCTAATCACCCGCACCCACAAGGCACACCTTGCTTGAGCCTCGTAAAATTCCGCGCCCATCTCTGACAGTTCACTTCTGGTGACTATCAGTGGAGTCCACCATCCCCTCTGAATGGTCCACATGCGAGGCTGCGTTCGTGATAGGAAATTACCCTGCGCCCGAACCATGTCCGATTGGGCTTCTGGAAATAGTATCGATCTGGAGGGATTGCGGCTTTGACCATGTGAGATTGAAGGGTTGCAGGATCGTGGTGGGAATGAACTTCGATATAAGTACACAAGTAGTCCGCTAGGTCTTGCAAATTGTTCTCGTTCTCTCCTATACTGCCCCGTTACACCCAAAGTGCCTAGAGAACCTAACCGTTGTTACTGTCATTATTAACCATGGAGAAAGTACCACCCAGTATGTTGATATTTCTACCCCCGGTGTCAACTTTATACTAACGCAGGTCATGACAGCTCCCGTCCCGGTCTACGACCAACACCCCGAATTTTACCCTCCCCAGCCAACCGCTCCTCAAAATGCACACGTCCAGTCTCCAGTACACGATCCCAACGTGATGGTGGCACCGCAGCCATATTACCATCCTCCCGCCGGTCACCCAAGTGGATACAACTCTGCAACTCCGTTGCATGCTCTACAGCGCGGCCCTACCCCGGTGGATTGCCCAGTCTGCGGAGTCCGCGAGATGACCAGAACCGAGGCAGAGTCAGGAAACACAACACAGTACGTATAATGGTTTCAAGAGCCTGGGAGTATGATGAAAGCTAACGAGGAATAGTGGTTGGGCTGCCCTTATTTGCTGCTGCTTCTGTCTGGGATGCATCCCATACCTGATGTCCTCTCTGAAAGACTACAACCATTACTGCGGCCAGTGTGGCACGATGTTGGCTACATGGCATAACAGTGGAAGAGTGGAGGTGCATCAGAACACCAGACAATGAGGTTGGCTTGGCTTGTGTTTTGTTTTGATTTCATATCTGCGGTCGGCGTTCGAGGGATGTATTTCGCGGTTGATACCATATTTATATCAGGAAGAGAGCATATGCTATGCGAATAATAATATTAAGAATGATCACGGTACTAATCTGATCCACTGTCAGCTACAAGACACTCCGAGGATTCATTTGTAGGTCTTTTCTGATGTATCTTTCATGAAAAGTAGCGATCGGAAAAGATCACCAAGCCAAGGCTTTACTTATCTTATCAGTGGTCACGATAAGATTTGACGCCATTTCCCCATATCATGGCGAGCCTTTCTACACAGAATCACCTCCTTGACTGCATGCGAATGTACGTCTCGTACTATTGACGCAAGCCCAATGCCTCCAGATCGAGGTCGCGCTTCTCGGGCATGCGTTTCCTGCCGGAAACAGAAGACCAGATGCTACGAATCAGGGACTGGCGGGCGACCGTGTCTGCGATGCGAACGCCTTCAGCAGAGATGTTCATTTGAGCATCAGCCAACTCCTTCACGGGAGGATACTGCTTCCCATACTACTAGTGTAGACGCGAGGTAGCTTCATCGCCGAAGGTTTTGGAGACGGTGTCATTAATATCATGCAGAATAGAGCAACTCGAAAGAACAGTTGGGGCGCTATTAGAGCGCTTGGGAGAAGACTCGTCTAGTATCATGACCCCGGCCATCGAGCGCTCTAATAACCCGAGAGATATATTGCACGAGAGTGCAGCGAATCCAGCAACCAAGTCAGATTATCCCTCGGCTCCACCTGTCATGGTCATCCGTGATCTAGCCTCGGATATCGGGGTAAGATCACCAGACGCCAGCTCACACGAATCAGTACTAGATGGCCTTATATCGGCCGATCTGTCACTCAATCTCATCACTATGTACGCTACAGGGACCCCCTATGCTGCGGTAAATCTGACAGACAAAGCTTCCTAGAGCATTACGGTCGATGGGTTCTCTTCGATCCAGAAACCGATCCCAAGATCTTACTTGGTAGGGTTAATCGATCACCACTGCTATTCTCCGCTTGCTGTCTGATCGCTGTCCGACATACAACGGAAAGCCTGGCGACTACTCTCGCCCCGAAGCTCTATCAGAGTGCTCGATCGTTGGTCTCGACCGCATTACTTGTTTCCCCGCAGCCGATAGAGTTCTTCCAAGCTGCCATCGTCCTTTCATTATGGTCCACCACGGTGGGCCAAGTTCCGCTGAGCATCGACAGTTGGCTGCTAAGCGGATTCGCCTTGCAACATTGCCAATCCAGCCCTTTGTTCGACGCAGTCAACACAGCTAATGCGCACACGGAACTCACGAAAACAACCCTCGATAACTGGTGTATCTGGAACCATCTGTGTCTCGCGCATCTGCAGTATTGCGTCGGCACAAGCAGAAAGTCCATGCTGCAAGCCTCGCAGATACCGAAATGCCGAGCGATAGTAGGCTCCGATCATGCCACGAATTATGAACTGCGGATGGTGGCTGAGATTCACCTTTACTGGACACTGTACGAGCACACATCGAGTGAATCAATAGACCTCTTGAAATCCATGGCTAGTCTACAGGACTGGAAAAAGGAGTGGCAATTCATGCTCGGTATGATCCATCCATCTGCGAACCAACATCTCACATACACTGACCGAGGCAGAACAACCCCGCGCGCAATTCCTGCTGATGGGCTTCCATTTCGCTCATCTTCTCCTATACGATCAATGTTTGAAAAGTAAAACTGCGCGAGCCCGCGAATCGGTCATTTCTGAAATGATCCGCCATTCAACAGCCATCATTCGACTTGCGATCGACACCGCGGACGACCGTACGCGCCATCTAACCGACCACATCTACCACATGATCACGTTCGCTGCCATTATCATCTGCAGGCTACTGAGCGCATACGAGGACCAACTAATACAGATATACAACCTAGACGAACTGGACTCATTGATACTCAGTCTCGTAACCTGGATGCAGACCATCGGTCTCCCTTGCCACGCAGCGCATACACTCGGTCACGTCATTGGGAAGGTTCATCAGAAACTACGCCCAGCGGTCGTTCCCCAGCCACTGGCTACAGAACAAAGTGAAGCGTTTTTCGGACAGGACTTGGCAGGCTATTTCCCCGAGTTCTTAGGCGTTGAGACAACAGAAGACGGAAACTGGGATTTACTGCCTAGTTGGGGATTTTCAAGCCCTCCATAGTCTGTACCATTCATTACAGGCGAACCAAATATACCATTCATACTATATATATGTACTGTCCTAAATAACCCCGTGAACGCTTAGTCAATAAAGTAGCTCACATCCCACAAACCCGTCTCTCAGCCCATCTCAGCCCCAAAAACATTATCCCCGAAAATGCCCCCGTCAGCTCATGGCCCACGTTCGCCCCGGACCCAATCAACCCAGCAATGGGCCCGACATACCATGCCACCTTCATCCCAAGTGCAGCGCCCACGAACCCAGCCCCAAAGGCCCCAATAGCCGACCACCCGAAATGCATCTTCGCAGGATCGTCCCAGGCGTCCAGGTCGTAGCTCTGCCACCCGCGACGGAAGACAAGGTGTTCCTCTGCGACAATAACGATGTGGATGACGGTCCAATAGCCGATGACGCTTAAGAAGGTCTGTAGGGTGTCCTTGAAAAACTGGGCGGCACAACAGCCCACAACCAGGGAGACGATGAAACCGAACGTAACGAGGGCGATGCGAGGGATGCGGAGGGCCCAGGGACCGAAGTTCTGGGCGTGGAGGGCGAAGGAATAGTTGTTTGGGATATTGTTCTGGTAGGTTGAGTTAGAATCAGCTTGATACTTCTGGATGTTGTTGTAGTTGGGATATATGAGCAGAGGTGTATACCGGGATCGAACTCAACGCCGCAAGAACCATAAGGAACTTTCCAAATCCACCAGCTGGCTCGAGGGCCATCTTCAAGAGTCCGCCTACGCCTGCGCTTGCGTATGCGGCTTTCCATTCTGGGTTATGTACAGTGCCGCTGAATAACGCGGCGCCGAGAGTTTGGACCAGCACCGAGGGAATGAAGATACCGATGTATGTAGCGCCGAATATCCTCGCCCGGGATGTGTTTATCGGCATACGGACGTTGTAGTCTGCGGCACAGTTGACCCATGAGACAGAGAAGGAGAAAATAATGGCCATGAAAGATAATATGGCAGCGGCTCTGTCCTGGCTGCTTTTGAATTCCTTGGGCTCGGCGCTGCTGAACTGCGATGCGCCTGTGCCGGCCGTTACGCACCAGACTATCAGCGGTGGGATCCAGATGAAGGTGTCGATTTTGTGGATCCAGTTGATTCCTAGGACACAGACTATCCAGACTACTGTGCAGATGATGATTACTCCTGCCCAGGTGGGACAGCGCCCGTCGGAGAGGGCGTTGAGAACAGCAGCACCAGAGATGGAGTTGATGGCGTTCCAGCCTGTGGTGGCGACCATGGAAAAGACCACTACAAGGAGATTACCCCAGTAGCCAAATGAATATCGCCTAGTTTGTGTTAGCTATCTTCCAGCATGCAGATAGATAGGCCATACGAGAAGGTCGTCATGCGGAGCCCCGTGAGTCCGAATGCCGCAGTCCATGCTGGGAGCAGGTCGCTGATGAGGTTAACGACGAGAATGACGATGAAGCTATCCCAGAACTTAAGACCCATAGGTCCTCCAAGAGCTCCAGTGGTAAGCGTGGCTACAGCCATGTTCGCACTCAGCCTGATTCTGTCAGCAAGATTCGGGATTGCGAACTGGGTAGTGAAGCCATACCAGAAAGTGCAGGCGTTCCAGAAATGGGTTACATTTTCCTGTCGTTGATCCGGCGTAACACGCTCAATACCACCTTTCTCAATAGAAAGGGCTTGTATCCATGTTGAGTTGGTCTTCTCGTCGCCATCTATGCTCACTGAAGACTTGCAGTGTGTATCTGAGATTTGTTCCATGTTGATCAGCACCAAACAACCCCAACAATCTTTTGGGCAAAATACTCACCTTCCAGCTACTTCATCCCCCAGTTATATCTGAGATCACGCATATCGCTCATATCACCAGACACCGCGGCATCCCGATAACACGATAATAGCCAAATTGACGCCATATCAGTTACGTAGATCGAGGCTATCTTACCGCGGCATCCCGCGGCATGCCGGTCGACCAGTCAAGATCCACAAAAGGTTTGCTATATATACCCCAAAATCCCAAATGAAGGACACAAGACACCAACCACACATAATTCTGACTTTCCGATACCGAATATTAGTTAAACAAATGGAACAACACACCCTCCGCCGTCGTGGGTTGGGCCTGCGCGGCACCGACCCCAAAGTCTCCCCAGGCTACATCCTCTACACACCCCTAACATCCCGCACCGCGCACCTCATCTCGACAACCGGAGAAGAAGTCCACAAATGGACGCTTCCCTACCGCGCAGGCCGACATTCCAGACTCCTTCCGGACGGTAACCTCGCCTACAACGGGGCGCATCCCGACGCCCCAAACCTCTTCCCCATGTGGGCGAAATACCGCGGCGGCGCAATGATCCAAGTATCGCCGTCTGGTGAAATCCTGCGAGAATACCGCGATCCAAAAGCCCATCATGATCAACACCATCTGCCAGATGGGAAGCTCCTCTACACCACCTTGGAAGCTTTGACGCCTGAAGAGGCGGCGAGAGTACAGGGAGGGATTACGGGCAGTGAAGCGCCCGGTGGAATTGTCTACGGCGATTGCATCAAGCTAGTGGAGCCGTGGTCGAGCTCGAATCGATCCTCCTCGGAGGACTTCGAGGGCGATGGAAAAGGAGGCGCAAAGCTGCTTTGGTCTTGGCGCGCGATCGATCATCTTGACCCCGAGCTGTTCCGTATGCATCAGGACTATCCGCGCGAGCATTGGCCGTTGATCAATAGTGTTTCATTTGACTCGGATGGGAATATCATTGCCTCGATGCGAAACACGTCTTCGGTGGTTGTTATCAGCCGCGAGACTGGTGAAGTGCTCTGGCATCTGACCCAGCCGGTGGTGAACCAGCAGCATTGTGCGCATGAGCTTCCGTCGGGTGACCTCTTGATTTTTGATAATGGGGTCTTTCGACCGGGGATCTCGGTGCCGTTTACTCGGGCTATTGTGGTGGCGCGGAAGACGAAGGAGATCGTTTGGGAATACAAGGATCCGAGTACCGGCGGTATTGGGCTGTTCACACCATTCATGGGCTCTGCGCAGAAACTGCGGAATGGTAATGTGGTGCTCTGTGAGGCGGCGACTGGAAGGATTCTTGAGGTTACTGAGGCTGGAGAGTTGGTGTGGGAGTTTGTGGTACCGCAGTTGAGTGATTACACCGCTGTTCTTGGGGAGCGTGAGCTGGAGGAGATGAGCAAGATGGGTTTTGCGTATGAGAGCAATGCTATATTTAGAGCGTACAAGTATCTACCCGAGGAGGTGCCGTGGCTGAAGGGGGAATGAGACGGCGACCTTGATTATAAAGTGATTCCTTGCAGCCAGAAATAGAAATGTCATCTCATGATTGAACGCAAAATTCAAATTGGTATCATATAGGGAAGTTATGGATTATTTAACAAAAACGGTGCATATAGCTGAGATAGGCCGTGAAAGGATCACCAGGTTGATAGTACCCGAAGACCATTCCCTCATACTACCCTAAGCTTCATCAAGGGCGTTTAACGGTGCTCGTTCCATCCATCTCCGCCAAGGCAGTGGTGTTACCCATTTCGACCAGCTGGCGGCTATTGCTCAATTCCGCGCCCACCTTCTCCCCAGGTAGCTCCGCAGTCTTATGCCCGGCGACAGGATAACCATATGGAGACACCGAGGACACTTGCGTCTGTGTTTCCGACATGGCTGGTTTCGACGGATCCACGGCCTCGGGCAAGGGTCGCTCCTCTGGACCAGGAGCTGGTGTGCTATTGGTCGCAGCCAGAGCAGCAGCGTTGCGCTTTCGACGACCCCAAAAGAAGAACAATGCAGCGAGTATTGCAACGCCGGCAACGGCGCCAATCACGATGCCTGCAATTGCACCACCCGATAGCGAGGAACTCGGGGGTTCATCATCTCCAGGTTGAGTTGTTTCAGTCGCAACCGCACTCGTGCTCGCAGAAGAGGTGGTAGTCGTTGTGGATGAAGTGCTCGATGTGGATGTCGCCATACCGTTCGCGCTAATGTCAGCAGGCGGCATCACATAGACGTTAAATGCAGAAAGATTCCGCGATGCAATTTGTTTCCACCTCCGACCCTCGCACGTCTTTCCAATCTGTGTCTGGCATGTTGGCTCATCCCAGAATTTCAGGCACCATTCGCCTTCCGGGTTGAATGAGAACTCCTGGCCTTTCTCGTGATAAATCCTGGTACAGTTTTGTATCGAGTCACCGTCGACTATTTGGGCACCGGTATCATTTCGCCAGGTTAACGTCCATGCGTTCGCGCTGGAGACAAGGGTAAGTGTGAAGTATGCTAGGGCGAATATCGACAGACGAGCCATGCTTATAACCAAGAAGTCGGTTCCCTGGGTCCTGGCGAGTAAATTTCTGACGGCAGATTAGTGGGGTTGGTTCGGGGATAAGTATTACACGACTGCACTGTCATGATGCCCTGCGCAGGGGCCAGGCCTCGCCAGTACAGGCCGCCGAGATGCGTGAAGAATGTTTACACGGCACATGGTGTGGATAATCTTTACTCAAACTGGAGTCCCCAGAAACCTGACGGCCTCTCAAATGCGGGCATACTAGCACTCATGCAGATAGAGCGATTATTATCACAAGGCTAGAAATCGTTGCGAGGTTAACCGTGGTAACATTCGGAGACGGGAAGAGCCTCCATCAGGGCACGATCTCCGATTATTGGCTTGCGACTGGAGCCCGAGGCCACCCTTCGTACGTTCTGGTAGGTGTTTTGTCCGGTTTGCTGTCATACAAGAACCTTGGCCCTACGATTGGCATTGGCAGAGGGGCTGATTGGTCGCTAATCTGCCGAATACGAGGGAATCGATGCAAGGTGGATATTAGTCCGTCAATTAGGTCAAGGTTAAGGGGAATTGGGTGGATTGAGTCAGGAGGTTCCGTCAAGGTTGGCACTAGGATGGGGAAATGAATGTGTCTATCAGAGGGGAGAGTGGGAACAAAACTCCCAGCGCCAAGAGGTCCACGCTCTTGAAAAGTTTCAATGCCGCAGTTGAAGCTGAAGTTGAAATGCTGGCATGTGGCCGAATTAGGATCTGCACACATGACTAACCGCTTCCATGCTTCACGTGCATCAATACCCAAACAGGAAGGCACAGGCATAAAGCCCTGAGCCCTGAGAAGCATATGCATTTCTATCATCGAACAAACGAACTGGTCGATTAGACATTCCCGAGGCTGTGTCTCGAGTCTCTTAGCAAACTGGCATTGTTGGGCGATGAGCTAACGTAGCATTTTCTACGTCAATGACGTCACTATATCATGCATTGACAGCCACAATTGGGTTTGAAGGGGACATTAGGAACCGCCCTGTTATATATAAGGCTTGAAACTCTCGACTATCAACCATCCACTCATGCAGTAAGCCCCCTCTCCAGACCTCATTTCTTTATGACACGATCCATGGGTATTGTTCCAGTGGTGACGCCAGCGGGAGCGACGGGACCGAAGTTTACCAAGTCCTTGCTCTCGAAGATTCAACGCTAATCTTACTATTGAATGACGTGTGAGAGACTGGTGTCATTAATTTGGTGTTGAAGGGTTGCACTTGTTCGCCTCGTGTGGAGCTCCAAAGTCCAGGCGGGTGGTCAATATATACCACCAGGTGGGGTGAGCGGATAGCCCGAAGGGGCCAAGGTAGATCAACTCTAAGGCTATTTGATTTGTGGGGAAGTGGCAGGATATACTATGATAGTAGTCAAGCAGTCACTGTTTCTCGGAAATAACCTTCGATGAACATATCACAAGCTTCGAGCAGGCAGGGTGCAATTCGCCAATGGCCTTGCAGGATGAACACCACAAACTGTAAAATAAAGTATAACCCTGGAAAACCCATCAACAGTTTCAGTCGATGAGGTTGCATGAACTCGTCTCTTCCACGTCATTCTCATCGCAGCTTCCGCGGCTCCCGACATGTGCAATAGGTCTCATCCTATATGCCCCAATTCACGTCTCTCGTATCTCTAACCTCTCGCTAGTGTGCTTGACACTTCGTTGGTTTCCTAGGACCTTTTTTGACGGGATACAGACCATTTATCTGTCGTGCTTTAAGGGGCACTTATTCCCCGCCAACTTCGTAAGCACCACGAATTCTATCCCCAGAACGGTGGAGAGAACTAACAAGGAGTTAGACGATGCCCGCAATTCAAGCCCTAACCCCCCATATCCGGCATGAGATTGTTAAACGCAGCAACTGGGCTTCGGAAAATCCGGGTGTCATCCTAGTCTTCTGTATCGTCTTCATCGTGGGCGTGGGCATCGTTTCTCTATTCGCCTATCGACTTTGGATGAAACGGAAAGCGAAGAAGCAGTCCTTCGAGGTGCAGGAACGGAAGTAACCGACCGCATAGTGAAATAAATAATAAAGGAATAGGTCCTAGCCAATCTGGCATTGGCAATACCCACCTGTTTATCTGCGGACATGACCCGGCTGAAGACTCATGGTGGATGATAAATATTGGGTGGATGAGGCTTACAGTACATGGCATTTCCTTTGTTTTCTACGAGTATATCTGATACGATTATAATCATATTTTGGAAGCTTCTCCTCAGCATATCTACGACACAAATGGAATAGAACTATTTGTGGTTCAAAACTTGGATTTGCGCCGATACGAGCCGTCATGAGACCATTTCCTTGGCATACTTAATATAGCCACTGCTGCGTTTCATTCATTGGTGCAATACGAAATTGTGGCACCGATTGATATCAACGTCTCATAGCTCAACAATACTTAATTCTCTTTTTTCCTCACCACCTTTCCACCTCATCACTGAGTTCCCCTACAGTAGGCAAGATGCCCAGTCTTCTTTATGTATCCTCCGTTCTATTAGCCACGTCCTCTGCGACAGTGACTTATCTCTATATCTTCCACCGTTCTCTCGGGAACCGAATTCATCACGAGTTTCACCACAGCAAACTCCCTGAATCCGTTTCTACAGTCGTATCGCTTCCCCCAGAGGTCTCTCATGGAGAATGTCGCGCATTCTATGACCATGCTTCCCGTCGTATTGCGCGCAAATTACTTCCGGCGCAAAAGCTAGAAGACCTATTCACACTGCTGCTACGTCGCAACATGACAGCCTTCTCTCGTTTTCCACAAGCCTGGATACTGCGGTTGAATGCCGCACCTGCAGATCGTATAACCTTCCATGCATCTCATATTCGATCACTCCAGTTCAAAGAAGGCGATCTTGTTTGTGGGTTTTACCGTGTCCAAGAACGGACCCCCAACAAAGCCGTGCTTGAGTTGCTATTCGAAGGGGAGGTTAGCGGACGATTGGTCATTCGGTTCTGGGAAGAAAGCGACGACGTAGTATTCTGCACGGAGACAATCATGTGGACAAGGAAGGTAAACCCCGGACAAAGAAAGAGGGTCATCGTGCCACTGGAGAATCCAGTGCTGAGGTTTCTCCATGAAATGGCAGCATGGTGGTTGATTGATTCTGGTGTCACATATCTGCAGGATCTCAAGGAGACCACAAGTTGATTGAGGAACGATCCTGTTGAGTCAAGAGGTTTCTGTGGTTGCTGTTTCTTTGAGAGTATCAAAGCTTCTTAACAAAAAGGCTAAGGACAATTAATTGTTATGGGGAATATTTTCTTTATATCTTTGTTCCCATGCCTCTCTGCTTTCCCAATGAGCGCTATTGTTGACCAAAGGTATATAACACCTACCACAAGCGATTATATTGATTTCTCCCATGCATACCTCAGTTACCGTCCCTCTCTGCTTGCTTGTATAGTGTCTACATTATCACACGGACTGCCATGTGCTTGTGTACATTCCACCACTACCCCTGCGGGCACATTGCATCGTTCACCTATGAGAGTTGTATCGATAGAACCACCTTTCTGCGCACAAATATCAACCCACTTACCCATCGGAACGTCAAAAAGCTCGACCTGATAAATGCAAGGCGTCCTCATCGTTGTTTCAAGTGTGAGCGGAGCCTGAGAGACGCATCATCCGCCAGCAGCAACCAGTCGGCGAGAGCAGCAGATCCGAAATATATACCGCTCGAAGGGGATACTGTAGACTTCCCTATCGTAAGCAACGACATGGTTATAGCATCTATGAAGCAGACTCACCATTTCTCGGATTGGGATGCTGATATTTCCGGTTCGGATGCGCGGCCTGCGCCCTTCACGTCACGCATTCGTAAGCTGTGTCGTTTAGGGAGACGAAGAAAGTATAGGTGCGACAATTATATACATCGTCACTCGACAGCCGCACCCTATCGCGTGCCTGGTCTGAGTCGCAGGATCAGGACTATTTCCAAGGACATCGCAGCCACCATTGAGGAGGATACCGGATACGAGGCCGAAGATGACGAGTGCGGTCGAAATATCCTCAGGAGCAGGAAGTATTCAGCGCAGTCTCCGAGGTGCATTTATGAACTCCTCGGGCCGGTTCCCGAACCTGATGAATCTGAATACGAGACCGCGCCTGAGTCTTCTACGCCTCTGAGCGAGGGAGATTCGTCGAATCTCTCGCATGAAAAGTTGCTTACTGCCATGGAGGCGGGGACCATGACCACCGGACATGAACCTTTCCGTCGTATAACTCTTCAAGCACCTACACCTCAGCGTCCAGGGACCGTGCCAAATTTCTTGTGTCTTGGTAGTCAAGATAGTTGTCGTTCTGCCCTAGCGAGCTTGCGCTTGACGGAAGCCACGCGCGAGGATACTGCGTCACAGCCGTGCTTGTAAGCTCCAGGGTCTGTGAATCGGGAACGCTGCAGGTAGTTGTAGGGCTGGAAGCTTCACATGAGATAAATATGACATGCGATGACCTGAGGAGGCTATGAACATTTGAGGCGCTTTGGTGGTCGAGCCCCCCCTCAACCAGCCTGACTATAGACCGTTTGTCAGGACTTAACGAGACATCCGTTTGTTAATCTTAATTTCTGCGGATTGGAACATGCAGCGGGGACTGACACATTTCCTCTAGTCTAATAATATAATTAAAAAATAACCAGAGTCTCTGGATGGCAAGTTCATGTACACATTGGTAGCGTTGGGTGATAGCGCTTTTTAAGTGCCTATAAGGATTTCTAATTACCGTAAGTCAAGTCTGTCTATGATATCGATGAAGATTGCTAAATTAAGAATGATATTCTTCTTGTCTTCGGGTGGGTAGTATTCGGGCAAATGAGTGACAATATATTTCATGGTATCTGACATAAAATGTTAGATGTGAGCTTGTCCCCAAAGCGCACTACTTTCCTAATACCTTCCCTTGGATATTATTCCAATAGAAGGAAATACTGTCCACTTGCCTATAAATTACAGTTAGAGGGAGTATCTATAAATTAATACCTAGCGGTTGAAGTGCCAAGAAGCTAGGCTAGGGAGGACTGACATTCTCCAAAGTCCCAAGTAAAATATGACAATAAACTAGCACAAAATGGACTTCATTCCGATATCAAATTGGAAAGAGTTTGTCGTCTATTTCAGTGCATTTTTATTTTTAACCTTTATATATGAATTCGGCTCTTGTACCTTGGCTCGGATGTATAGTGTAATATAGGCGTCATCCAAATCAACCTGGTAGCATAGTAGTAAATTGCAACGTTCAATGGGCTCACTCTTTCTTCTCCACCCATATGGTAAACGCCCAAACTATTCAGTTCCCACTACGAACGTACCAGCCACTCCCGCATTAAAATGTAGGTCTGCGATGGGACTGTTCTAAGTGACTATAGCGATGGCCTTGGTCACCACGTTGCCGAGTTATGTCGTGGCGGGCGACACCAAGAAAGGACGTTCAGCAACTTACTGGACTCATTGTCAAGCAAAGCTGTGCTGTAGGGGAAGACACACACTCAGGGTTGAGTGTCTAGCCATGGTGGAGTATATCAATGCTATACGTTAAGCGAAAATTCCGTAAGCGGAAGCACTTGCACTCCGACTGTGGCACGAAACAAAGGGCAGTATCGGATGTTTAAAGACAAGCAGCAGATCCATCCTAGATGGTCTGACCTGGGGGAGGAGTAATGTGTCATATGCTTGCTGTTGGTGGATTTGAATTTCTCGGTTTCAAACACTATACGGGAGTGAACAGGACCGAGGAAGCCATTCAATGGGCATGGGCCAGGTATGGATTTCTGTGTCCTAACCGCGTTGGTACCAATGGCCAGTAGGTATTCACTGGACATAGCCATTCCCCCAAGATTCTTCGATAGCCCTGTCATTAACCTGCGGTTACAAACCCTCATATTTCAACATGGTTCTATATATCTTCGATGTGCAGGAGGGGCGGAGAAGCACTACGACGTTGTGGTCCCTTACCGCAGGGCGCTTAATCATATTGTCTCGAATGGCGCGCTTTCCAAAAGCACGACCCTCTGTCCACCTATGGAGATCGTGCTATATTTAACTCGAAGCAAGGAGGTACCGAGAAGAGACAGCTATTCATACTATCGGATCGCGACCGTAGCCATAGAATTTGGGCCAAATAATGGATATCCTTGGGCCGTAACATTTCCCACCATCCATCGCCGCAGGACACGTGGGGAGTCAGCACCCAACGCAGCCTCATTGCAGGCCACGCTGCATGAGTTACATCCTGACGGATAGAGGGCTGCATCAGGTAGTCATGCATGAACAGTATGCTTATCAACACGTGTTCGCCGGTCGTCGCTTTCCACTTGGCCTGGTATATGTGCATCGGAGGGTACGGTGCGATTGTATATCATTCCGAGGAATCGTTTGCTCATTGTTGAGGAAAACCCAACATATTATACACATCGCTGATTATTTCCCTTGGACATAACGGCTCTATGGCGATCACTGAAGTAATCGCGAGCCATGAGGAGAAGCGTCTCCGTGAATTCTATCAGATAGTTTTTTTATTAAGTTCCCTAGAGCCCAGGAGAGGAGATCGCATCAAGAGAGTAACTTCAGCTGAACAGGAAAGGATCACTGTTGCGGAGCATAGGCGGAATGTGGCCGACGCGTTGGCATACATATCGGCGTATGACAAAAAACCGGACCGTGTGACTGCTGTTGCGCTTGGAATGGAAAAAGGTGGATTGGTTGTGTGGATAGCAGCTAATCAGGAGGTGGACCCGAAAGTCAAGAATTTCCTAACCATCGTGCTCCGTTGGCTTGATAAAATCGCCCATGGTCACGAGTCGGAGTGTGATCCTTTTGTTGATTACGTCCTTGAGTTCAACTGGAAGAAAGTTCAGATATATCACAGTAAATTCCGTGGTTCATGGGCTAGATACTGCGAATCTCATCCGCCCACAGGTTTGTCAAATCCTTGGTCCTAACGTACAAGAGATAGATATGGCTGATGAATAGGGGATAGGCCACAACATTCTCCGAGAGTTGGAAATCTGGGTTCAAGGGATATTCCCCAAGGACGGTGAGAAGGTGCAGCAGGAGAATATGGTGAACCTAGCGAGGAAATGCTACGAGGAACGCAAACGAGTCGGTGGAGTGTTTGATATGCTGAAGGACGCTTCAACGCAGGGTATTATGTCTCCAGAGATGTATGATCAGTTACGCAACCTGCTTCACAAGGTTGGGAAACATATCACTTTGTGCCGAAAATTGATTGACGCTAGAAAGTCGCTGTCCGAGGACTTCAAGTATGGTGCTGTGGTGAAACCAATTAAAGTCTCTAAGCGGCGACCTGATACAGCTGAATGGGACTATTCCTTTGATAGCATCACAAATCGGATATTCCGAACTGAAAGTGAGAAGCAGGCATTTTACCACCACGTTAATCAATTTTATGATCGTGACATGGCCTCGGAGAAATTGCAGACTTACGCCAATAGTCCCCGATTCCAAGTGCATGCAGAGATTAAGCTGATCAGCTACTTTGATACAAATGGCAGCCCGCTACTCGAGGAAGGAAATCCCTATATTGGCTGTAGTAAGCCTGCTTGTTACCTATGTTACAAGTATATTACCGATCATCCCCGACAGTGGTTTCGGCCACCTTCCCATAAAAAGCTTTATTACTCTTGGAGTCTTCCAAAACCGCATGGGAAGGAGAATCGTGAAGAATTCTTGGCTACTACAACAGAAGTCCTTCAACGTCAACTACGAGAAGATATTGCGAAGAAGCGGGGGCAGAGATCGGTATGTGACGATTCGACGGCAGGGGTCACCTCGGTTCTTCGTACTGGTGGAATGAAGAGAGAGGAATATGCCAACCCACGGTTGACCTCTGAGAAAGCGGTGGCAGCAGGGAACGGTAAGGCGGGACCCCTGGCTCTTCACGAATGGCTCCTATCTAATTGATGCAAGCTGGAATTGTATCTAGGAGAGCGCTAAGGGTTGTAGTAGGAGGAGCAGAAGAAACTGGGAAGCCGGACCATGATGATGATGATGAGGAGGAGGGTGGCGGTGGTGTAAGACTTCTTTAAACGGGCTCTTATGGAAATTGTATCCTCCGAAAACGTTCTATCTTTTTCCAGGAGATAATATATCGTTTCAATTCTATGCTAAACTTATTTCAACCTCCCCTCTCCATGTGTCATGCTGGACCCTCAAATATTCAGAGCAGAACAAAAAGCAAAACCAGTTTCAGGCATTGAAAGATGCTGCCTTCCGTCCCTTGAAAACAATAGTCTCCTTATCATCATCTTCATTTTCCATTCCATCACATTGCCCAGAGCCAGGATGTTTATCACCTTCTGGGCCTGATGAAAATCTGTAAGAATGGGAATATTCATTAGCTTCGCCATAGGATGCTTCCTCCCATGTCATGGTTGTCTCAGTTGAGAGGCTAAATGACTCTGATGTATCATCGTCCGATGAATCATTACTCTCGGAGCAACGATCCAATACAAACCTCTCCACATCTCTGCGAAGGCGTTCCGTGATTTTGCGCAGTATCTCCCTCTGTTCGATAAGATGTGTGCTGGGTTCGATAGCTTGGATGTCAGGCAAGCGCCAGTGGAGGTCAATGTCGTTCGGATCGCATTTTCGGATGTGGTAGTTGAGGCGATGCGATAGATATTGGCTGCACAAGTAGCAACAGGGCTTACTAGTTGCAATATATCTATCATAATTGTCAAAATATCGCAGCCGACTGTTCTTATCAAAAAAGTCCACAAGGCGAAGCTCCGGATGAATTTGGGTATAAACATTTCCTTGATAGTATTGAAGCTGTTCAAGGAGCCTGCTGGGAGCCGGCACGACTCGCTCCAACCCTCGACAGAGCTGCTTGAAGCGTTGCTGTACAGAAAACATCCGATGGGCAATATCCTTAGGATCCAGCCTCTTTCTGACTAGAGGGATCTTCATACGCTCCACAGGAGGTACGTGGCAGACCTGAATTCCGCTATGAAGATCCTGATGTATAGAAATTGCCGATTTCAGAAGCAGATGACACATTTCTATAGGCATAGCTAAGTTTAGCAGCTGGCGATGGAACTCCTCAAACATATCCACAGACTTCTCGCTTTGGCGAATAAAACGCTTGAATATCTCAAACTTCCCATCCTGAGATGCAGAAAAACATTTGTGGACGAGAGCGGGCATATCTGTTTTGATCAGCGCCATGCCATTACTGCTAAAAAAGGTTTCCCTGAACCAAGCGGGAAAATCAGAGTCAAGAGCTGGGCTGTCTGCATGGCTTCATATTAGCTGCAGATTCCAAACCATAGGGAAACCATTGTCATGCCTTTCGGGTCATTGGCCCCAGCAGCCATTACCGGTATGCAAATGGGCGCAATATGGCCGAATATAGTGTGATACACTGCGAAGCTATGATCATTTTGCCATTGCATCACATAATTTGAGATGTTCGAAAACTCTTTATGCCCCGTTGTAGTATTTAAGCCCGCAGGGAGAGCATTGGTGACCATGCCCAGCAACCTTTCCAGAAACGGCACAACCAGGTTACTAACGTCCTGATTTCCTGCGACGGCGATGACCACACCATCGTGGTCGTATCCCGCTGTGATAGCCAAGTCACACCCCTGTTTTAACGCTGCAAGTTCAACGAGCGCGTCAAGGAAATCGCGGCGGCGATTTAAGATTTCCCCCACCCCACCAGCTTTAATTACCTCAATCGGCCTATGCTCTGGGATTTGCTCTCGCAGTGCGTGTAGTAAGGAAAGGGGCTCATAGAGCCGCCGGAGCTCTGTGTGCCTATGACAGACATAGGGGGAAGAGGCAGGATGTTGGACCATGTTTGGTCACGTCTTCTAGAGTCTGAAAAGAAATGTATTTGAGAATTGAAAGATCTCTGTATTCGTGGCTCTAAAAGCAGTTACTGAACTGCTGGTGACTAGCTTTTCGCCGATGACTGACTGTACATTAATCTAGGACGCGCTTGCGCGAATATATTCCAATACAATATGTGAGAATTAGATGAGATCACCTTCCCAAGTCGCCTGCCGCGTGTTGACCGTTCCCCAGACAGCAGCGTACATAACAGGGGGTAACCTACCAAAAGCTAGGTTTGTTAAATTAGAGTTTTGTGTTGGATGCATGCCTGGCAATACCTCGCCTTTCCATAGCAAAGGACTAGAGCATACCAGACCCTCTAGGTAGAGTACCTAATTTCCAGCCCATACATCCTCTGAACCTTCGCAAGGTTGCAACATCTGTCGATGCATCATTGGATGAAGGATATGTGCGGGAGCCTTGACGGGAATTACCCTGACTGGCAAATTTCGGATACAGATTATATGCCTAGGAAGTCGCCGTTGCGCTCTAGAAATGCAAGATACATACAGACGGACATCAATACGTACGCACTCATTGCAGCTGCACCTCAGGTGACTCTCAGTGAGGCTTCACCCTCCGAAGCACTATTTGACGTATCTGTTTTCTCAACCTTCATAGTAAATGGCCACCCACTTGCGCTATGCATGGCTTACAGCCGTCGGTGATAGATCATCTGCAGCTGATCAATTTGCATGACTGCCTGAGATACCAGCGCAGTGAGACTTCTCCGCGTCACTCCTCATGCAAAGCCTATGCTGATACTGACAGCCGGGATACTTCGTCCCGGGTGGCCCAAACCCAGGATGTAAGTCAATGACTACCTGGCACCAACGGGAGGCTCACACCTACATTGCGATACGAGGAAAAGCTTCCTGCTAAGTCAGCCATCTGATAACTGGCTTGTTGGTGCCTGAAAGGCGTCGTGTGCTATATGCACTTTCCACACTGGTGCTGGGTAGCTAGTTCAGGCTATGTGGCATTTGACCATCCTTCGACATATGTCAATCATAGCTGAGGCGAGTGTAAATGAACTGTCGATCAGTTGAAGACATACCTGTGCCCACGTAACACAAGCCCGTGGTACTAATGCTACCTGCTCATTCACACACATACACACCCACTTCAGAATCTACAAAACCAATATTTCCCTGGGCTGCGTATTTGATGATTATGACAAAGGCTAAACCTAACAACACATATGGGCCCTTGCACTTTACGTCATCGGTACCTCGGTTTGCATAGCTTATTAGCAAATGGCTTGAGCTCAGCCAGGCAAATTCCATATCTGATGGCATTTCCTGTGTCCTCAAGAAGCTAATATTGTCCTGCATTGCTATCGGGCAACCGCGATTGACAATTCCAGTGCTTATTTAGCCCACGTTTAATGCATAGTGGAGCCACGGGGAACACACTGTTGTCGCCCCCGCACCTCTACAGGAAGACAAGTAGAGATAACGCGAGAAGTAAAGCCTCAAACGCCATTCAGGCATCAGTCGATGGCCAAAGAGTGATAGTTGAAGTTAATTTCACTCCCCCACCATCAAGACATATGCCCAACAGCGCGCGCTTTTATGCACGACCCGAACCAGTAGCCATGGCAGATAACACCGGATCATTGAAATCGGCGCCGTGCGTCAAGCACGATGTCAATCATATTATGCAACCCTGAGCCAGCTGGCGAACAGTCGGCGGTCCGAGCGTTAGGAAGCGGATGCGAGTCAGGGGTTGTGGTTATGCTTCACTATTGGCTGCCTTCAATAGGCCGGATGCTAGGGTAGCGAGCTGTACGAGCGATGGCCAACACACGCATGCACTTGGCACCGTCTCTGTGCTGCGGGTGCTAAAGGAATGTCCAGAAGGCCAACAGCGAATCATTGCTCCTTGGTCAATTAATGAAGTGCTGGGCAAGCATGATCTACATACCGAAAGCGCTCTCTGGTAGAGTGAGAAATGGTGATTTATAAAGGGCCCGCCGTTACTGGAAGCTGCTCTGGCAGCAGAAGAACATAACAGCTTACAAGTTTATCCTACCCACTAGTCTTGAAAATGTCTCCAGCGGCGTACCAGACCGAGGACCCCTACACTATCGCTGGTAAGCTGTATGCCATCCTAAGGGAAGGTATGGTGACTGATTGACACCTAGATTTCGAGATTGGAAAACGACTGTTTACAACGCATATGGCCGTACAGCTAGTCGTGGGCTCACCAGAAGGTAGACAAAGTGACGCTCTAGTGAGTTTTCTTCACCACTCCATAGTGACGTTTTGGCATCACGGATGGCTAACGACGTTCTAGTCCCAGTTCGACTCCCTGATCGCTGCCTATGACTTCAAAGAAGCTATTGCGACTTTGGTTAAAGCTGGCTTGGATGTTCCCCGATCGGACTTGGTTTGTGATGAGACCTATCAGGACGTCCTCTATAAGATCATAGGACGTACCAGACTGGGTGACTCTGACTCTAAAGAATCCTTTCCCACATTGATCAAGCAACTCCCATTGTTGGACTCATTGAATGGTGGGGTAGACCTCACCGTTGCTGCCATCACTGATCGGGTAGCGACTGGGCTTAGCACTGGTCCTTCAGGTTCAGAGGCTGACAATTGGAAGTATACATGTCGCTTGTGGGAAGATGCACAAGTGACGGGGGAAGAGCCAAAGGCAGAGGAAACATGCATTAGCAACTTTCCAACCAAGTTTCGTGTCACTATTCGGTATTGTGGTGTAGAAGCCTATGGTGAGGGAAGAAACAAGAAAATGGCGCGCCATATCGCGGCTAAACGTGTTTGTGGAAAACTCAACCTACGGCTAGCCCCGTGAGTTCCACAGTGCATGTGTCTATAGTCCCATTGTTTAAGCACATGGAGCTGTGTTTACTCGGTATAGCTAATTAAAGACTGAAATCACCCATGAAAACCAAGTAACAGAATCGGTGTACTGCTTGTTGGCTTCAAGATAAACATATGTTAGAAGTTAGAGCCCCCCCTTGTAAAGATAAAGTATACATCGCCCTGGCCCGGAAACCTGAGGAGTCTCAGCTGCTTGGAATTCCAGATGAGCATGTTCAGGTATGTCAGTATATCCTTATAACGCGCTTCCAGTGGCATTTGAGATATCGGGTTCTACAAGTCAATGGGTCTGATTACACTTGGTCCTGAGCAATGCCAGCTACCAAACTCCCAAGCAGCATTACACGGTAGGAGATACAGATAAACTCCTGTATAATTTCATTTATGCTATATACAGTCTAGTAATCAATTCGAAATGTGGTTTTTGGCTGTGGTACTGAGTGTTTCACCTTGGATTGGCCATCGGGTAGTAGGTGGACGGTTGCAGCCGCCAGCTGCACAAGTACACTGCGGTTTGCTTGGTCTTCCACATGAATTGTCGCCAAGCTGTCAACAGCGACACTATAGTCGATTGCCATACGCTGTACTCTCACCTGGTGTATCCTTCTAGACATTCTGCATTTGGGTAGGAGCTGGCCGTTTGGGATGGTCTGTCACCACATTGTGGGATATAAAATGCTCAAGAAGTGGCAGAATGCCCATTCTTTCAGCTAGAGTCTCACAATTCTGCAAGCTAGCCAAAGAGTCGATATATATGGCACCGAAAACACTCTGAACAATATCAGAGAGCACTTTGAGGTCCCGAAAGGCACTCAATCCTGCCCAGGGGTATATTCCTCTTTCCCATAGATCTCCCTTGACGATGTGCAGGTGACTGGTGAAAGTGCCCTCCAGACTAGATACCTTGGCAGAGAGAGTCTTACTTTGTGAGCGTAAAAAGTTATAAAGCAACACTCGGTCTCTAGTCCGAATGACCCTGGGGGTGCCCATACTATCAACCTCAATAGTATCGTGCTCCTTCTCCCAATAGAATGTGAGACAAATAAAGGTGAGAAACATATTGTTTGTAACGGCTGACTTTAAAGATTGCAGCCTTTTAGAGTTGATAAAGCTCTTCTGTCGATGTAAGTACCTGACAACTACCAACTCAATAATGCTAGCCCCAAGAAATGACAGACGTCGATATGATGTTGTTCCGTAGAGTCCCACACAGGACGGGTGTGTCATTGATTCTATTGCCAAACTCGTATCTGAAAAAGTGTATCCCAGGAGCCCCTCTAGGTCTACGATGGTTGTGGCACCCAGTGACTTGGATGGCCGAGACTTAGAATAAGTGCCATCGTAGAGAGACATCGTAGTCCAGGATTTGATCTTGGGGATCATTGCTGCTACACATATAAATGCTTGATCCAGTCCGTTGTCCAGATAGGCAGCACCTGCCAACGCTTTGGCCATATCAGCAACAGTAGCGGCACCAACCTGCCTCCGACTGTTTCGACTGGGTTTTGACAATGTTGTTGATACGAAAGCTGGCCGCCACCGTTTCCCGTTGAACCGTGTAGTTATCAGGTAGGGTCCAAACCCAGAGTGGCAAATTGCCGTTGCGAGCCCTGTATCTGACTCAATGGAATCCTTCATGCTGGTCAAAAGACCCTCGTGCCACAGAGTATGATGCAGAAATAGCTGTCTCGTTATGAGGAACTTTGCGATCGCATCCCCGATAAACGCCATAGAGCGAAACTCGGGCCGATGCGCATCATCGGTTGGGCTGAGGGCAATGCATAGCAAGTCCATTCGTTCAAAACGAGCTGCTTGGGGGTTTGAAAAGATCTCTTTCCTTAATCGTTCCGCGATCAGATATACTCCAATCTGGTGAAATATGCTCGGAGCTAGCAGGGCAGCTTCAGCATAGATAGACGGCAGCCGATCTACCAAATAATCTTCAGCTGCCAACTCGCTCAATCCCTGTCCGACCAAACTTGTGGATTGCAACTTATCTGTCGGTGTGGATGTTACCGTCTTTAGCTCATTGAGAAAGTTGCGACGTCGAGTCAATTGATGTATCTTGCCTCTAATTGGTAGGGTTGCCCCATCTTTATGAGGGCCCTGGTTCTCGTGTCCTTCTATGACTTCGATACAAAGTGGACGACAGGCCTTTGTAACATGGCGCAAGAGGCCGATCGAACCGGGCACAGTTCGGCGCTGCTGTAAGCACACGGCCAGGCTTGTCCTTCCTGAATGAGCCTCGAGGAAATCAGACATCCCAACGGGATCCATGTTTGGGACAATTATGTTAACATAATCTGCGTTTGATTGGGGCCCGTGGCCTTGATGTACGGACTGTAGAATTAAACGTGTCACCTGTTGACATATCGAAATGTCCGTGGAAATTGCCCTAGCCGAGCTGACGACTGCCGTATACTCCGTGTTGGAACTTAGAAACAATGGAATACGCATATCCATCTTCAGTGGGACTGGGAGAATCATGAAAAGTTCAATGTCCTCTTTCTGTGGTCTAACAATGCGAAGCTCATGACGAAAGAGCTCCCCTCTTCGAGACCAGAGTAAAGCAACATCATGCCAAGGGTCTAGCTGCCCAGGTATGAGGTAGTGCGACCTTGGCGGGATAGTCTTTTCAATAATGTCTGACACTCGCAATGGTAGAAGGTGATCATTGATGAGCCCAGCGTGGAACAAGCCTTTGTATGCTTGCAGGGCTGCATCTTCCTTTGCCCACCTTTTCCTCGCCCATTTCCTGAGACTTTTGAAGGTCTGAAGAGATGCGTCAAGGTTGCTGGGTAACCTGACAACCGCCTGTGCCTGGCCGCACTCGTCCATCTCACAGCTAAATACAGGGTTGTTGCTCACAAACAGTTGTGCTGGCAATTCCGAGCAGAACCTATACAGGTGGCTAATGGAATTTCCCATTGTCATTTGGGCTCTGTTTCGTCAGATCAGGAGTCTACAGTTTAGAGGGACATGTACACACCCTGTGGAAGACCTGAAAACTAACTGGTCTCTGAGCTGTTCATCATCTTTCGAGTTGTCTGGCGCGACTGTCCTTCCGTCATCCTGAAGTTTTCTAACCAGCTCACGCTCCAGAGACTCCAGGTGGAACACATTTTCTAAGTCCTCTTGATCTCGAAGGATGATGATGAATTTAGAATGCTCTCTCCGTGCGCGCCCCCGACGCTGAATGAATGATTTTAAATTCAAGGTACAGTTGAAGTTCAGGACTGTGTTGCACGCCGGTATATCTATTCCTTCCTCCAGTGCGTCAGTGGTTATAATGAGGTCGAGTAACCCATCCCGGAACTTTTGAAGCGTTTCCATTTGGCTTCTAATGTCATGAACATCGCCGAGCTCGGTTTTGCTTTGGTGAATCCGGGACATACCCACAAATGTCCCACAACGAAGTCTTTTGCGTGTTCCTGGGTGATTTTCTATCAGCCATTTCAATGCCAGTACAGTGGCTCGCTGCGAGACAAATATCAGAGCACGGAATCCTTTCCTATGTTCCTTGATCAACGTATCAAGTAAACATTCGCTCATGGGTGAGATATTATCAGAGTGAACCAGCCCCCCGTAATGTTCAATATTACCTAGCTTACAAAGCACTTCCATGGTATATTCTTGTTCGGGGCTCGGAGTGTGTGTTCTCTCGGCATTCAATCGCATGTGTTCTTTGAATTGAGTAATTGACGTCTGAATGTAATTCGTAGCGGCCCAAGATCCTAGCTGCCTGCCTATTGTTTCCGCCTTGTTACCAAAGCGAGTGAGTTGTCTCTGTGACTTCTTCGAATTTGCATTTTGTTCATGTGGTGATTGTAGAAGTTCACGTAGTCTCTCTAGTATCAGTGACCCGGGTGTACTACTCAGCGAGCTACGCAACGGCACTCGTGGCTCAATCGACAGTTGGTTCGTAAAGTGTAACAGCTGCGCGTAAAACTGGCGCGGCGTCCTGCATGGACTGTGTAGCCTTTTTTCAACGTCCCTTTTGCATACCTGTCAGGTCCTGATCTCGATCCTGCTCATCATGTCAGATGCATACATACTTTAAGGTGGAAAGGTCCGACAAGATTGGAGATGCTGTAAGGCCCAGTATGTGTGGTCTTTCGTGATCAAGACTCGGGGATTTAGCGGGATAGTATTCTCGCATTATTCTGCTGGCAGGATGGTCATTGGTGCAATGATGAGCTGGTGGATGTGTCAGCTGGAATTACATAGAGAACACCATCCGTCTCTCTCCAGCACTCGCCTTCGTCAAATATAATCAATGATAAGCGGTCCATAGTTACAAACCTGTGGACCAACGCATCGTAAAGAACCTGATAGGTCGAGATTGCAATCTTAACGTTGGCCAGGGCAATGTTCCACGTTTCAACACTCCCCCAATGGTCGACGTTATCGTTACTGGTAAATGATCTACACCACATGGGAGGGACGTGGGCAGTCATGGTAAGAACATGCTGGTTGCATAAAGCGACGGTCGGACATAAGAACCAGATAAGCTGCTGGTGATTAATTATACTATCTATATAGCAGGTAAGGGCACCTTGCCTTGTCTGGGTTTCCTCGGTCTATCTCTGCGAGTATTCGGTGTACGGCACTTGTTGAAGTCTTGAGCACCACAAACTCAACAGAAGATGCGTACATTTCTTACATTTGTGTTTTCCCCGTCCCCGTGGGCATCTTGAATTATCTGTTAGTTCATTTTCCTTCTAGCGTTGGATGTAGAAAACAAAGCGAAAATGGCCCCACCCACCACCACAATCAAATTTCCTTCTAAACTCTTATTCACCATTTCGACTTGATAGTCCCTGATGTGAAGGTGTCCTTCATCATCATCGCGTGGGATAGATTCCTGGGTGTTATTCACGGTAGATGCCATGTGGGACTATGTGACAGACTGTTTCACTAGTCTCAAGATGCGATTCTAACGATGGCCACCACAGCACGTTGCCATGTATTCATATATGTTACAAGTCTCATAGGGAGAAATACCTGTCGAGAGCTACACCATGCAGAACGTAAAAGATTGCAGATGGGAGGCAACATGCATTTTCTGCCCAACATCGATTTTACTAGAGCTGACCTGACAGTGGTCGCCTCGTTCTGAACACGTATCTAGCATGACGCCACGCTGCAATGTTCAGCCTTGCATCGATTAAGTGGGAAACAACAAATGATTGTCGGATGTACCCCTCCACTTTCTTTTGTCGTCTAATGATATGTGCTTGTTCTAGATTACACGGGCGGGGGAAACGAAAAGAAAAGAGAGGCAGAGGGAGAGGCAGAAGAGCATTTCGACCTCTGATCACAGTGTCCACACTGAGTAGACTTCCACTCGCTGTCATTCGATGACAATATTACAGACCCTAAGCATCGGCAATAACCCTCTCACATGATAATAGCCCAGGTTCAAACACATCTGATCCCCATAGTATCGAGGCCACTAACCCGTGCCTGCTGGTAGTTGAAGTTTCATAATGTAATTAGGAATGGTATGGCATGGCGTTCGAGCGTAGTTGGTATGAGATATCACGAAAGTAACAGGCCAAAGACGCTACTCTCTTATTGAAGGTGTGATCAACACTAGAGAAACTGAGAAGGTTGACGATCATCACAATACGCCTGAAGCCTTGGCATCTGCTTAAAGCTAAGTACAGCTGTTCCAAAGCTAGAACCATGTATTCGCTGTAAATGTATATCATTCTTCTGTTCGAACTACGGCATGACAAGAGCCCCAACGTGTACCTGACGTCTGGGAGGCCCCGAGTGGTCAGATATCAATGAAAGGAATTCTATGTATAAAATGGCAATGAGGCTGGATTGAATGATCTAGGCTTTCTGCTTTCTCGTTCCGGCACCGGTCGTATGCCCATGTTTGTTTTTGTAATGTTTCCGCAAGTTGTCCTTTCGTGTGAAGGGTTTGAAACAGAGGTCACAACAGAACGGCTCCATGTTCCATCGATTCCTGGCCCACGGCTTGTGCGCTGCCATGGCGTGCCGACGAATATCTCTATTCTCTGCAGCTCGGACGGTGCACTGAGGGTGCGGACATAGAACCGGCTTATTGTGGGTCCTCATATGCTTCCTGATATCATCAGAAAAGGTGCCAAAGATTCATACAGGACAAGGATCTTACGTCAGGTGCGCCCTTAGCTTGAAGTCACTCCTGTTCTGACATCCCGGATAATTGCAACGATAAATCGTCTCTGATTTGGTGTTGGAACGATCGTGCGTAAGGCTTCTAGTTTCTTCCAAGTCCAAATCACACTTTGACAGCGAAATAGGGAAGGGCGGCTCGTGGTTCATCGAGCCAGATATCTCAGCAGCTTTCATTAGATCAACGGCTTGTAAAGCACCCCCTATGTCAGACAAGTCCTCGTACCGCTCAGTACTCTAAGGAGACTGATGGACGTCTTCCGAGGACGCAATGACTTGAGGTGGGTACTGTATTGGAATTTGATTTGGGGTTAGACAGGGGTATGGGGAATGTTCAAGTATTGTGCGGATTATAGCTGATTGCTCCTCAAGATCTGGAACTGCAAAGGGGTCTCCAGCTGCCACGGGATCGTCTGATATTTCGTTTGTCGATATAGTCATTTGAGGGCACAAAGTCATGTAGTCATAGCAATGAAGGGGATGTGGCTCCATGGCTGAACTCATGCGCGGGGGAGTGAACAGGAAAGACAATTTTACTTCATGGTTCAAACACCCGGAAGCTAACTGACTGTTACTTCTCACAACAAGGGCCGTGGTGTGCGGGAGGAAACAGGGATATAAATACCCACCAGGTCGCTGGTGCTAATTCCCACTATGTTAGAAATTCGTTGCAATGTGTCAGCGTTAGGCGGCAATGGTCTTGGGGCTGTTAGGGCTACCGTTAAAATCATGTACCTAGTAACCCCTCACCACGTCACCGCCCCCTAACTTCCATTTGATCTCGCACGCACTACAATAATACCACACACTAGCATCGCACTAAAAGGTACATACAGCAGACACATCACATATCCGTCAACGGAGCAGATAGCACGTCACCTGCAGTACATAGCCAACACATTATTACCGAGAGTGACCGAATTACACATCTGCTGCACGTTACCGTAGATGGGGCGACTCTCAGATCCAGGACGTATTAGCCTTATGTACAATAATATAAGGGTAAATTAGCTAAAGAGGTCATGCATAAGTCTCGGGCCCTTGTCGTTGGGGTGCGGTTTCTATTAATCCTCACAACCGTCGTCCCAAATCGGTGGAAAATCTCCTCGAGAGTCTGTTTGGTAAAGATAATTAGTTTTGTAAACATAACATGGAAGAATGCACACCTTGTTTTGAAGCTGAATAGACATACTCGTAACAACAGACTTGCTATTGAAAAGGAGGAGCCCCGTCTATCTCTGGTATTACGATTTTAGATACGTAAATGGTACCACTACAACTAGCCTTCTGTCTCGCATATATCTCCTCTAGTCTTACCTCATACGAGGCGATCATTCTACACGTGAGATCTCTTGAAGACTCCAATCTGTTTTAAAGGCATATTCAATTTTGCCAGTCGAACCTTGTTCTAAATTGGTACTCAAATCCAACGAATTCGCCTACATGCAGGGTGCAGTTAGATCTCATTCAGTGTCACAATCCAGGATGACAAAAGGTAGAAGCCCATGATCACGGTTGGACCAGTTTGGTAGTGGTAATGAGGCTTTTGAGGCTAAGATTCTTTAGGCCTCGACAATGACTCGGAAAACGTTATCCCACCCTTTCTGGTAGTACCACAATGGACCTCGCATAATACAATTCATGTGGTGTAGAATGGCTAGTCGGCAAAGAGTCCAAAGCAGCTGTTACTTGACCGGGGAATAGTTTGATACTTGATGGAAACCGTCCGTCAACCGTCAACCATCGTTCTGATGGCATCCAACACATCCCAAAATGTAATAAAACAAGGTGACAGCTATTGCCATTGTGATGCCAGTCAATCACCGACCGTCAAGTGAGAAGAGGAAGGATGGTATGTAGATCTTTCGGTTGTTCCAATATGTAGCTGTTGTCTGTTGTCTCGAGCTGGAGCGCGGGACAGAGTTCTTGAGGTTCGTAAAGCATCATCTCTATAACCTGCCCAGCTGCCTGGCTCAGTGCCCGTAGATAGTTTCCTTGGGAACGATTGAGGATTGAAACAATTTGGGGAAAGATGCATTCCGGCACCTTGGAGAGCCTGACAGCTTGTTAGCTAGACCTTCAGCTGTCCCATATAGCACTTACATATTGTCAGATAACTCCAGACCTGGCTGGTGGGGATGCTGCGGATAAGGTATCAATGCAAGAATACCCTTGCCGAAATGCTCCTGTAGGGTGTGAAATCTCCGTGCAAGTAATCGAAGGTTGTTAACATCCTTGTACCCCTTCTTATACTCTGACGACCCTGGTTCGAGACCAGGAAGCATTTTCTTCATCATCGCTGTGGTCATTTCTGACTCTGCATTCTTGAGGGGATTGCCAGCCCGTTTGATACCCGAAGCGGTAAATGCTGGGGTTGCAATAAACCTTGAAACTGATGGTGTCTCATGTCCACCACATGCTTCGAATAAGTGTGAGATGTGGTATCTTCGAAATAAATTCAGCCCCGTGATTCTCTGGTCTATGAGGGAGATGTTGGCATATGTCTCTGCCTTCGATGAATGTTTAGAGATCTGCAGATGAGGCATGTCGGCCCTCGCTCGCCAGGTTTGAATTGCCTCCTTTAGGTATAGAACTGACAGCGAGCTGCCAGAACCTAATATTAGCCGTTTTAAAACCTCATCCCACTGTTTCAAATCTGGGTTTTGGATGGCCATCTCGATTTCTGCGGTAAAGTACGATTCCTGTGGGGGCCGAAGAGATTTCGCGTGACACTTCATGGTTTCTTCCTCGAGGAAGCATACCATTGAATTGTACCTTTGCCGTCGACCTTGCTTTAGCTTTTGTTGACTATCGAATGAGATGTTCGCAGATCGTTTGGACTGGCTATCTTGTACTGTGTTTGGTAGTAAATCTACCATCATGGCACGGCTGTCATCGTTCCCAGAAAGTCCAATAGGCAGATGTGGATACCTATTTATGCTGCCCAGTAACAGTGTTGGATCCACCGCGTTATCCTCCTGCGTGAAGAAGCTACCATACTCCTTATCAGTCTTGGTGCAATCAAGATCCGTAAATAACGGCTTACCCTATATGCACCAATATCTGCCACGTACGTGGATAGCTTCCCCCAAAGTCGAGATGTGCGGCTGCAATAAACGCTGCCATGGTCTTCCCGACTATAGTGTGACGCTCTTCGCTGGACTGCGAGTCGTATGGAACGATCCTGTCAATCGCTATGCGCTGGGCGACTGAACTAAGATGAGCGTAGCTACACAGCCTTTCCTTTACTGCGACGATATCGCCTTCTCACTGTCAGATTGATTGAACGTTCAGGATCTTGGAGGTCCTTACTTGGTTGAATCTTCATCTCATAACCATATTGCGAAAGACACGAACGAATCAAGTCTATTCCACAATCCGCCAACCGTTCCCCGTCAGTCCCAGGGGCCATAAGAGCTTTGGAAAGGTGGGTCTGTAACTCCGTTGCGTAGCCTAGAGTATATGCGACCTGTTGAATGGTGCTATTGATGTTCATCCTGTGAAATGAATTGAGTAAATGCTACTCTAACAAGGCAAAGCGTTTTGATCGCAGGTATGTTTGGATATTTTCGCTGAAGATGGTTGAGGTAAATATACATCCACTACACCGCCAAAATATATCGAGTAGCCCTCCGTTTCCGTTGAGCATACAGCATCCAATTTGCTAAGTGTCACAATGATGCTCAAACAAAGTCTACACCCATCCGAATGGCCCGCTGCACATTGGTTACAATGGTTTTCCTTTATTCCCATTGATGTCATGATGCTTAGTCGATTTATCGGCTAAACACACAGGACAGGACGGCCAACTACGCATCCCATGCTTGGACCTATAGGATTGCTGGTCTTCTAGCTATGCAAGGCCCATCAGCTGCGTGTAGGCCCCGGAAATGATCAATGTTACTGTGCATAGAGACGGCCATAGTAGAGCCCCGCAAAGAAAAGAAATGGGCTGCTTTCTGTAACTCGCGTTCGCATAGAGGCCTACCACCACATGTTTGCAAGACCTTCGGGTTAGATGTACAACATCAACTATCTCGCATTCGCCTGAACTCAAAGCTACCCTACGTTTATTTATATCTTAGGGCCTAACGTCTAGCTGCAGGCCACAAACATATATATATTTTCATTTTTCATGTTTCATTTTGGTATTTCAAGATTGACAAGATATTTTGAAGAATACCTTCGTCAAAACCTCTAGTCTATATCGTCATCAAAACAATGGATCGAGACTCGGGTGCCCCAGGCCTAGCCAGATAGTATGAGGAATAAAGCTACCCAAACCCAATATCATAGATTGTTATACAATTTAATATATGTGGACCCCACATGAACTTTTGATAGGCAGTTGTGGTTGGAAATATGGTAACAGTTCTACATACATCGCGTGGCTAGGTACCGATTGCCATACAATCAACTAGATCTGAGATCTAACAAAGTGATATAGCTTCTTTCCCGGGCAATCATGCCAGCAATGGGCTAATTTTAGGGCCACTGGGCCGAGCTTTGTAAACACGTGGATGCCGATAACCCATTTTATTGACACATTACACGGGAGGCCCATCAGGGAGGCCCATCAGGGAGGCCCACCATACCGAAGGCCCATCAGGGAGGCCCATCAGGGAGGCCCACCAGGGAGGCCCACAATACCGGAGGCCCACAATACCGGAGGCCCATCATGCAGGAGGCCCACTATGTAGGAGGGAAGCTCTATCATATGGGAGGCCTACAGGATGCTAGCTCCGAAGGGGTGGGGGTGGTTCTGACCCCCTCGAAACTGGGTCCCCAAGGCCTACTAAATGGCATTATTGGTATAGCGCTGCTTCGTCGGGAGCCGCTTTAATTGGACCTACGGGTGAGTCGCGTACAGCGCGATTCCGAGTCGGTATACCAACGACCGCAGACCACGCTAAACTCGCCCTTGGTTTTTTAAGTTTATTTTTATTTTGCTTGTTATTGAATTATCAAACAAAGCTCCTAGTAAATGAACTTGATCGTCTCCATTGCGGCCTCTTCGCATCATTCCAGATAAATCTCTTTCTTTCTTTACATCTTACGAGCTAGGAGCTAGAGTGGAACTAATTAGCCTTTGGTTCATCAAGGTATCAATTCATTTCTATTATGACAGTATGCCGAAAGGAGGCGAATATCACGCAACTTAGCATCAGGCGAAAGAAATCTTTTCATTTCAGTCTCTCATTGTACATTACACATATGGTCATTTACGCTTTCGACGCTGGACAATCGAACTCCTTGATCGAGATATCATAACAATAACTCTTATATGTATATGTCTCTAGGACGGCAGATCAAACGAGGTGTGTAGCCGTCCAATAGATATCTTCAATAATTTTGACAATCTATAATGACTCTTCATTGGTGTATTTGACGTAAGAAGAGTAGTAGCGGCTCTCCAAAGAATGGTATATTTGGCTTCACTCGTCGCTAGACCTGTTTATAACATGATCCAAGGAAGAACGCGATACAACTCACACACCTACTTAGTCTTCATCATGGCCCTAGCTACTTGACCGTTGACCCTGCATTGTGAGGGCCAAGGATTCAGGTCTTCTAACCGTCTGCTATATCAGCAATGGCACCTGCGTATTAGTCTGCCCTACCTCCGGGATGCTTCCTATCTTAACTTAGCTTGAATCTATTCAAGCTCCTTGCCAACGCCATCTTGAGTACTTCCCTAAAAGGGTGTCTAAAGTTCTTCCTTATCTACCTGATTAGATCCTATACTAAGAATATGCCCGTATCTGTCTGTTGTAGTGGTTTATTCTGTCCCTAGATCCCCATATTGTTACTCTGCTTAAGGCCGTGTTGTCCTCCCAGCCGAATCTGTTCATCAATTCAACCATTTGCATCACGTACAGGCAGTGGCTCATTATATCTAATTCGTCTCCTCAATGTACTTTATTCCAGTACACTTGCTATTTCCCCGCCATTATACCGGCTCGACTTCTTTTTACTGTTTCCCTTTTTCGATTTCTTCAGTTCCTTCTGCTCGAACGGTGGGGCCTCCATTGGCTGATCTGCTATATGATCGTAGTCCGATTCAGCGGCTTTCTCTGCAGGGGTTGGCTCATCCACAGGAGGGGGAGGGTCATCGGAAACTTGAGAAATAACATTGTGCATGCTGTAACTAAAACGAGGATTGTCCACTGACATGTCTATAAATGAATGGCTGTCGTTTTCGTGAGGATTAGCAACGCTGTCTTTCGGGGTATCAACAACTTCCAGACTATCCAACTTATCGGATCGATCGTCGTCAATGATATCTATATTATAAGACTTCATTAGTTGAAGGTATTGCCTCTTAGGGTGGGCGACACTCTCACCGAGCCCTTGTATACCAATAAACCTTCTACAAGTTTCAGATCCCTTGCGCAGGATGTGCAGTTTTATAGAGAGTTGATCTCGGCAAGACTTGTTCTCTGTTGACTCTCCCGCAATACGCGTTGCGAGGTCATCAGGCATATCAAACACAATTAACGGTGCAAACATATCTGCCAGTGGCTTGATGAGATTGGTTTCGATGACCTCGATCGCCACACCATCAATAAACCGTTTGAGAGCGACCTGATAGAACTTAGTAAGATGAAGAAGGTAATCCTGGGGTCCCGGACAGACGGAACTGCCTTACCTTGTAGTACGCAAGCATGCACTCAAGCGCCTCTGTGGCAGCAAAGCGGCTCATGTCAGACTCTGTGGACTGAAGGATTGAGTTGTGAAGACGATGTAGATCGTATGATCTTTCATCCAGATAGGCATCCTGAAGATATGAGACGCCAAAGAAGTTGCAAATGATTTTTGAGAGACTATCTCCCCAAACTTCGCGCCGGGCCTGCTGAAGATTCTCGGTAAAATAGTGATTGTATGTGATCGGATGGCCGTGCTGATGGGGCTGAAGAAGATCACTGGTTCGCTGCTGCAGGTCCTTCAGGAGCTGGTCAAACCTCGGGTCTACAACCTCCCGGAGCAGTGCTTTCGAGGTAGTAATATCACCGATGTGCAGTACAACAGCTCTAACGAACTTTTTTGCGGTATTCCAAGCTGTCGTTACGTGACCTCGCGCGATAGTTTCCCATTGGCTGGATTGTTCACGGAAGAGCTCACCTATTATTAACGGATTGAATGTTCCAGGGAGCTCTTTGCCTCGCGTGCGTTTGAGAACTTCTTGGATATGCTGGATATAGTCTTCTCGTGTGACTAGGATCTGTTGTCTCGATACTGCCTCGCCGTTACTTCCCTCTGTGATTTCACGATAATGACCGCCCGCATTGATCCTTTCAGTAAACTCTTGATTCAGATTTTGCATTACAGCACGTATCCGTTTGCTATAACCACTGGTCGACTGGGCACTATCGAAGAAGGGGTCGTCGTATGTGCCATCAGTGGCAGTCCTCACAAGGTTCTGGAAGCTCTGGCTGATATGCAAAAGATAGTACTTTTGCTCAGCTATAGTAGTTCGAGGGCGTCCAAGTCCCTCCAACTTCCGCTGACAGTCACCAACTTGGACCTGAATTTCTTCTATCAGGCTGGGAAGTTCAGTCGCAATCTGCCCAAGTAGTACCTTGCTTAGACGCTCCCGAAAAGGCATAATAGCAACGTCAGATGAGGGAAGGTCTCGCCAGACACCCTTGGCAAAAAACTGTTCTTCCTCCACATCCCGTTCCACCAACGTCCCGTTGCTCTTCTCTGAGTCCTTGTTTTTCAGTACATGCCAACCGTGACGGAAGGAGACCTCTTGATTCCTCGCCAAGGAAACAAACATCGCCTCGGTCTCCGATCCCGGGGTCAGAGTATCCGGTTTGGTAATAACGCCTAACGTCCGCGATCCGGTCTTGTCTGCCTCGCGGGCTAATTTAAGGACAATCTGATTAGCGAAATCGTTCTTGGCAGACACCACAGCCAGGATAATTGAACGTGGCTCCCGCATATAGGACTGTACAACATCCTGCACAAGTTTCACATCCGCTGCCGACTGCTGCTTGGTTTCGGAATGAATGAGACCGGGTAGATCGACGATGGTCAAATGGGGCCGGTCAGGGCCGGAGATCTCGACACGCAGGAGATCATTGGAAAACGCCTTTCCATGCGTAGAGATGCCCATGATAGCCTTGGCATTGTCGATCAGACGAGGCAAGCCATCGAAGTCCTCGAGCTCCTCATGGAATTGACTTAGCGACTGCTGTTCTATCTCTGTACGTGAATGGTGCGGCACAATGGACACGCTCACCCCGATCTGGGGGCTCTTGCGGAGGACGAGCTCTGTAGGGAATCGTGTACAGAGGTTACTGCGTACGGGGAATGAAACGCCCGAGATAGCTTCCAGGACCGAGCTCTTCCCGGACGATTGATCCCCACAGACGATGATTTGGGGCAGCGAAATATAATGGCTGATGCCCTGCAAACGCAGTGTGTCAATGGAGTCGAGCAATTCTAGTTGCTCCTTGGTGCAAAGCTCTTCAAGGGAGTTTGTAAAGAATCTTTTCAGGACCATTTTGTTCAGGCAGCACGATAGCACAACGTATAGTTTAAAGAGATGAGACTGGTAATCTCTGAGGAACAAGGGTGGACAAGGCCTGATTTATAGACCTCCAACAATGAATGGGCAATTGAATTCTAGTGTCCTACTTGGTTCCTCCTGCAAGGGCGAATTCCTTAGGATAGCTTCCATGTAAGGATCAGAATATGGCGTCAGTAATGGAAATCTCCCCGTTATGCTGCATTCATCCTTACCCTGTAGCAAGCAGAAAGCAATGCTGGTTGATTGGACTGTGGCTGCAAAGCGTGCCATGTTACCTCTGACCACATTTGATTAGGCAATTCTATTATTATTTTTTTTCACTTTGTCCATCAAGGACCACCGGAATCCACCAGGGGCTCTTGAGGCGAAGAATGCATGATTTCTGCCTGTCGCCTGGATGTATTTGTCCCAATGAGGAAGTTACCCCCCCGTGAAAATTATACCTCCTGAAGTGGAATAGTGCCACGTCCAGGAGGGTGCGTCTGATGACTAAGCACCAAGCAAACAAAGCAAAAAACTATAGTTTCTTGCACTGGGCTTCTCGAATATCTTGCAATGGTTTAATACACAGGCGATCTTGATGACAGTCGCACGTAAATTGTCATGCATGATCATGACGGCCCATTGGCTGAATGCTATCTAATTTCTCATTAACAATTTAACACAGGTACTCATTTTCCTGATAGTTTATATCCTAATAGCGAGGCGAATATATATCTACCACAGAGGCTTATCCATGAGGTAGAGCGAAGGACTCCCAGGTTTGTCACTTCCCTGGCAGGTCCTGGCTTACTATATTCCTCATCTGAATATCGGGATATAACCTTCTGGTTAATTTGTAGTGCCATACCTGGAAGTTGGGGTCCTGAGCGAGCCATTCGTGACTCTTGGCACTATTGTGATATTGCTTCCTAGTTCCTCCCATATCAGAACTGTCGTGTATTCTATCCCATATTCAAACGATAAAATTTGAACGACCTTGTGCAGAGTATATCAGTCTCTCGAAATTGTGTCTATATTTCTACAACGCAGTCGCTTCTATCGATGTGAAATATATCCCTGGCGTTAGCGACGGTAACGACTATATGATTGTCTTCTATAGTTATATAGTGATATTAATACTAAAAGGATCAGCTCACCGTAGATATAACGGCAACTGGCACCTCATATCTGTTCTGCCGAGTCTATGTGGTAAGGTCTAGACTGCTACAACTCCCTGTGGTAAACTCTGTCCTACCTAGTGTTCCTAGTCCTCCTTGAGGCTCGATCTGACGAGGCTTTATCAGAGATTTACGGAGTAGAAGAATAGACTTGTAAATTGATTTCAAGAACGAGTATTAGTCGTGCACATCGTGTTTCAAGTGAGCTATCGAGCTACATTGGCCAAAAGCCTATCGATTCCGCCTCTTTCGAATGTAATAACTGACAGATATTGCCTTAACATCCCCTGGAAATACTGTTGTCCCGGGAAGCCCGGCTCTGTCTGGTTTGAGACTCGTGTCTCTTCCGCGTACTCATATGCTGCGTGAATGATTTCTCATTCCTCGCAGATTTGGAGACACTGTAGTTGTACCTGGGAACATCTCGAATTATTACTGAACTCCCTTCGTTGGGCTTGGCACCTTCAACGTCTAGCCACTTGCTTAGGGCTTGTCCTATGGATTCGCTGTCTGCCTGGAGCATAGATCCCATGTGAAGCGGTGATGACTCCTCCTGGGCGATAAAGTGGGGAAACAAAATTAAAACAGGGTGTCCACGAAGCTCTGTACCCTTGCCGTTGTTAGACCCCCCGGCTTCAGCAGATAGGTGACTGTCAGAAACTGTTGTCACCCATTTAGAGGTCTGTTGCACTTTGCCCCATAATTCGGCTGCATCTTGGAGAAACCGACGAAGGTCCTCCTCGAACCCAATACAACCAGTCTCTAGTAAAGGCTCAACTCTATGGACAACGTCGGAGACAACGCTTCCAATGTTTTCGTCCACTTGCCTCTGTTCATCTGACCTAAACACCTTTACCAGAAGTGCACGTAGTAATGCTTTCTCCTGAGATGTAATTTGATCGCAATTGTGAAGGGCATAACCCATTGGCAATCGGCTAGCTGGTGCTTCGAGGCGGAGTGGCTGGAATATGTTGCGGGAGAGGTGGCTGGAAATTATGGATTGCACGCAGGAAGCACGGAGCTTTTTAGACTGAACAATAGCTGGTGCCGGAAACATCGAGAAAGGATTTGGGGTTGTAGATCCCTTCCACAGGACTTGCTGAATGGTATTGATTACCTTGTTCATTCGATTTTGTTAGAGATCTGTATCCAATCACAAGGCAGGTCTGATATAAAATATACCTGGTTGGTGTCGGACGGAAAACCTTTATAAAAATATTTCTGAACCATATCGTGCAAGGCCGCCTCGAGCTCTTTGATATTCTGAATCCTAGCCCACGTGAACAATTGAAAAACTTCGAGGAGAGATGTGAAGCTGGCACATACAGATCAGGCCCAAAGTCCTCCAGCTGAGTCGCCCGTTTCAACTCTTCAACCTCTTGTTGACTCTGTGTGAGGCGCCCCTGTAGACCCACGATTGCCGTATCTCGTTCTTCTAGCGCGGTACGGACCCGGCGAAGCTGCTCGGATTGATTCCGGAAGTTTGTTGACAACTCGTGTACCTTGGCGTTGAGACTTGTTTCTGTATTCTCCTTCGTCTTTTGTAACTGGTTCAGAAGCTCCTTCTCTTTCTCTGACCAGCCTCGGACTCGCTCTTCCAAGTAGTCACTGAGACATGCTTTCTCATTCAATAATGTTTGGTGCTTCTGACGCTCCTCCTCCAACTGCCGTTTGTTATCTGCTATCGTGGAATATGCTGCTTTGAGCTCATTCTCAAGCTGTACAGTCTTCTGTTGTAGTTCTTCGTGGCTTTTAAAAGATTTGGCGTGATTTATTGTGTCTTCTGCTGCTGCCTGCAGAGCTTTGATAGAGGACCACAAGGACTTATCCTTTGACTTATCTTTAGGCGTCATCTTGAACATCAAGAAGTGACAATTGGATATCACATTTGCTTCAGATAATGACCAGGAGGGAATGCACCCCTTTTGAAGCCATGGCCCATGGCCCACCTTAAGAGTACACAAATAGCACCTCTGGGTAAATCCAGTTTTTTTGACCTGCTATACACATCGTTTATGCAAGGTAAACCTTTGAATCGAAGGTTCTCCAAATGCGAGGATATTGGCGGTCAAGACTTTCCACCCCCTCGCGTTACGAATATAACATAGAGTAGCTTTGCGATCACGTAGCATATCGGTAAAGGTGGGTAGAGGTAGGCCATTGTTAATGCATCTAGACAGGCACATTTTTGTTGCTGCAGTGTTCCAGACTAATGGTTATATGTTTATGTTGGGTGTACCGTATGTCCAGGTATTACAGAGCTATGGCTTCTCCTTACTCCTTCACCTATTGTTTGACGCTATTTGCCTCGTTTTTCTATAGCATCACCCTGTTGTATGCTGTTCCTTCTCCTTGCCCCTAAAATATGATACCCAATCCGTGTTGCATTGGTAGCTGCCTATGATCTCAGGCGAGATATTACAGGAGTAGCAGGCATAGGACATCATTATTCCATCTGGAGATAGGCCTGCAAGGAGTAGGTGTATTATGAGCCAATAATGTTGGGCGTTAATGCTTTGCATAGGCCAAACGTGGGAGGCCTACAACTGTGGCGCCTTTTGGAGTAACATTTTTACCCCTAGCGTGGCTACCACAAGTTGCTTCTGCTCGATGCACTCTAATACCTGCAGGCTAAACTCATGATCGAATACGTACTTAGTTAGTATCAAGATTGCCATTGAAGTTGGGAGATGTATGCTCTTGAATGGAATACAGATGTCTCGCGTTGTGTGCTCATGCCGATGCGATGTATTCCTCCAATGTAAGGTGACCAACCCTCGCCCCGCAATGATAGATTTTGAATATACTGTGGAAGGAAGTATGCTTTGATTTGGCACATCTATGGAAGCTTTTATCAATTGCTGAGGTAAGTCACCTAGAAATTGAGTCCGACTATAGTTGGTCATGAGACTCCTAGCCAATAACTGTAAGGTTTGGCATTCATATCACTGCACTGAGGAACAAAACGCACCATCAATAAGCAAGGTTTGACATTATCAGAGATAGCTAGCTAGGAGTATAATTCTAATTGAGTAGCTAGAAAAAACCTTGCTCTGAAACATAACCAACATGTAACTGAAATGATGAACTCTTGCACGATGAAGTAGAAACCCCATGTAACTATGGAGATCCAGACACAGAAAACGTTGGAATCAAATCGAAAGGATACTCTTTCCACCATCAGATGTCAATCGTTCCCGGATTTTTATAGGCAAGATATCGGAGCCAAGTCGGTGGAACTCCACTCGGCCGTCCTCCAGTGTTCCAACCTTGACAATCGCGCTGGGCGCAAATAACAATGCTTCGCCAACGCGAAGACGGACGATAATGTCAAAAGCTGAGGGAGACTCCTTCTCTACCCCCGGTTCTTCCGTCTCACTACCATGGTTGCTGGAGCCACTCTTTGGAGAGAAAAGGTTGGTTGCCGCTGCTGCAAGGTGCTTTTGCAGCGTTCGGAGCCATTCCGGCGAGGTAAACCGATGAACAATTGTAACAGAGCACAAATTTAACAAAGCGGTCGAGACAGTCGGCTCTTGGGTCGAGATGAAAACTCGAGTCCCAAGGTGCCGTTGAAGACGAACTGCTGATAATAGTGTTTCTGTGAAAATCTCGGCCTCTGCAGAGGAGTTCATATACTTTATGTTTGTTAGAAATATCCACAAGCCCGGCAAAACTACATACCTTATGTGCTTCGTCAAGTGCAACCACCCGACCAATAGTTAGGTCTTGTTCGAGGAAGATCCCCAGGCAAATATTGAAAAGCGAGCATGCGGTCTCAGGGGATATACATGGACAGGACATATCAACAATCGTTAAACGGCCAGGCTAGATACTTTAGCGGATACCGAAGGCGAAAGGAATTCCGCACTTACCACTGGGTCCCACATGGAGCCCTTTGCAACGTTTCTTTGATTTGACCTCGATATATTCACTTGCTCTCGAGGCATAAAACTCTCTAGGGTATCGAGCCGTTGCTTTAAAGGCCCCAACTGATCACGAGTCAACTCAGAACTTAGGACTCTTCGCTTGAACTCTTGATAATTGAATGGTGTCCCTGCTTCCTGTTGCACGATACGTAGTTCACGAAGGATTCGTTTCACCGTGTGTATATACAGCGGTATCTGCCCATCTTTCTGCCCGATGGCCATCAAATCCATCATTCGTTTTGTATTCAAATGGTTCTGGTCAAGCTGTAATGGATCAACTGGTATATTAAACCTCGAATAGTAGCCCTATATCCAGTATGTCAAGATATTTATCTATTAGATTACATTGCAGAAGGCTTACCCTTATAGAGTGAATATTAGTGGGGGAGCAAAGTACTCGGACTTGCACATCTGGGTGCGATGACAAGAAGGCTGCTTCGCAGGGGGACCCCACTGTGTCACTGATAAACGTATCATAATGAAAGACCAGCCCTGTTAGCGGCTTGGGCAACCTTCCGGCCTTTGATGATATCAGGCAATTTTCCAAAAGGCATGACAATGTATGACTCTTCCCAGAACCCTGGGAGCCACATATAAAGATGCTGGAAGGATGTGAAACATTGAATAGTAGTCGAGGGTCCTCATCCAAGCTCGTGAGAGGAGAGGCACGCTTCGGGCGAATACCTTTCAGAAGCGGGCTTGAGCCGGCTAATAACCCAAACTGTGGGATCTTAGGGTTATCTTGCCCATTTCCAAGGTTTGCATGACAAGCTATAACACTGCTTGAGATGATCGGCGCATACGCCGATTCGTCCGAGACCATCTCGCCTCCATGGCTGGACTTAAGGAGGCCCAGATGATAACGTATGACCTCGTCGGAGAATATTGGGTCATTCAGAGCCACGTCAGATAAAGGAGGGATGGTTGGGGTGGTCCCGGAGGTTGAACTAGGAAAATCCTCAATAGAACCCATATTTGCGGATCGTTGATACTCGGCGTGATATGTTAATTATAGTCAGATATGGGAGAAGTGATGATATTTTGAACCGTAGAGCTCTGGGTCTCCGTCCACATTTATGTTCTATGTGGACACCTTGGTAGTTCATGATACCTCAGGGCCATCAGTATCCACCACGTCTCGCCCCTACATGGTTATCCGAGCTCTTTCTTAGCTCATGTCGTGACTGGGGCAAGAATGCAAGGATATCCAAAGAAGGAGAAGTATGGACTAAATCGGCATATCATGGCCTACGCGAATATAGCTTGGGAGCGGCACCGTTCCACCCTGCAGGATTCAAACTAGATGTCCCTGAGAGTGATTCCTTTGAATTACGCAATCTATTCCGTTCCGGAATCCTACGGTACAGGCTACTGTAATATAACTTTACACTGTGTCTTTCTCAGTATGTACTGTATGGGGAGGAATTGCGGGCTTAAACCCTGTACTTTCCAGAAACCTCACCGTCGCAAACGTATCCTCACCCTTATAGCTTAGGCATGCCGATCACCTTAAGTATGGGCCTTGGTATGTACACTATACCCCATAAAGTATTAAATGCACCAAGATATTCATAGTACCCTTTTGATAGAGAACGACCCCGCGCAGTTGAATAGGGATCAAGAATTATGACAACTCGTCTTTGCACGAATGGGGCAGCAAGGATTGTACTGATTCCACTCCGTGCCTGTTCGTGTCGCGGCGATGTCGCTGAGACAATCATTTTCTAAACCTCGAGTAGCAGAAGCTTGGAATACACGTTATCATTAAGGGCCTCCTGCAGGAAGGTCGTTATAATTTCGGAGTATCTGATCTAAAACGGAAACAATGCCCTATTTCGCGCGCGACCACCATGATCGAGAATCTTTACCAGTATGCACGAGCTGCAGTCTAAGCGGACGAAGGATAGATATGTATGGTACTGGAAGCTGTATCCCTTCCTCGGGTAGCGTGGGAGTGCGTCCAACGATATCTTGGTTTTTGCTGCAACTTGCCGTGCCACTTCCCAAAGGGGAGGTTTCCGCCCCGAAGGTGTTTTATTTCCAAAACAAGTATAGGATTGCCAGCTAAGGTCCCTAAAAGATATTAGCATGGAACGCATACGTCCCACCAAACAAGATTAGAGAGAATTAGGGGGAATGCAGAATATTCCGATAGTTAGTCTCAAGATCAACGATATTTTGGCTTAACAGATTGGGTTTCCTAACGATTGCAACAATAGATATTCCTGTCGTTACCTGCCCATTGCGAGACGGGGAATGAATTCTGACGGATCAAACCGTTGGTCTTTATAGGTACGCACCCGACTCTACTGTATTTGTGTTGCCCGTAGATAGGCCATGCCTGCTTGTCAAAATTGTACTATTGGTTCACAATCACACGGTCTAGTTCAAATAGCGCAAAGATTATATTACTGGACTATGGATGTAAGAGGTTCCATTGACTTCGATTACAGGTATGAACACCTAGTAGAATTATTTGCCGGACTCTTAATGATCGTGGTTCATCGCTTCACCGAATACAAGCCAATAGCCCCGGAGCGCCCTTAGGATACCTTAAAATCTCTTCTGGGCACATTTTCTCTATGTGAAATATCTCCATTTCCGCCAGCCTACAGGAAAAAACGGGCTCTAGAATGGCCCAAACGGGCTCGCTGAACTTACGGAGAAGCTCGCCTTGCGAGTTGTCGAGAAGTCGGATAAAACGACGGAACTCTTCTTCCGTGGGCTTCCAGAACCTGCACATCGTCAGCTCCGTATACAATGTACTAAACCAACTTACATGACATCTGACACACAGGGATCAAGCCGACCATCTAATGTGTTGTCCAAAATAAGTCCGAGAATTCCCTCGCCAAAGGTCTCTGTCAATATGTGAAGACGCTTGCCGACTCTCCGTAGCCGGTTGAACCTTTTTAGTTGGCTTCGATAATACTCTGTATCCGGTTTCAAATCTGGAAAGATCTCCGCCATCAAGGCTTGGGTGACCTTATGCTCGTCCATATTTCTCGGATTTCCCATAGTCTTCCGAGATCTCGGGATCGTATCCGCTGTGTAATGAACATAGCCAGCACTAGAGACAGTTTCATGACCGCCACAACCTCGGAACATTTCAAGAATATGGTACCATCTCATAATCTGAATGATGCCAGCCTCTTGTTCTAGGCGCTCAATCAAATGGAGTCTTTGGCTAGGGATAATGTCTCGTAGACAACATGATCGAAAATTGTCATCCTTTCTTGCCCTTTGTATCATCCGACCTAGCGCAAGTATTGTATGGGGACTTGCGATATTTATTACCAGACGTATGAGAGCCTCACACAACTTCTTCTCCGGATTCATCAACTGTTCCTGAATCTCAGGCGTAAAGTATGTGGCCTCTGGAAGCGGCAAGCATTGCTGTTCACATTTCGTCTTCTCGTTGGCTAGGAACTCTTTGAGCTCAGGATCAAGATGAAAGACTTGTGTGCCTTTTACACGCTTGATCTTTTGTTTGTCGTTTCTTTCGGTTTCACTAGGCCTCTTAGGCTTCGTGGTACTTGATCTCGGCGCTTCGGATGGGATGACAGACGGTACTGGAAATGTAGCGTGATCAGGTACGCTCGAAGGGTCGATGCTAGCACTTGGAAACTCTTCAACTATGCTACCATCAGGGAGAGGGTTTATCTGGAAGACATGATCGTGGTATTGAGGCTGCTGGTGAAAGTTGGGTAAGATATTGGGTTCACTTGTGACACCTGAGGTCGAGATGTTTATCGATATCCCCGGATCGTTTCGTATCATTCCAAGAGAATCACTACAGCCAAACAATGGAGGTACCGGAGCATACAGGCTGGTATGGACAGGAGAAATAAGCATATGATGCTGTTCTAGGTCGGCCACGGTTTGTGATGGTAGATTAATTGGTAAAGATTCGATGGCTGGGGGCGTCAGTACACCAGAAAAGTGGATTCCCGCAGTCAGGGCAGCGTTTGTGACAGCAGATACAGCTTCCACAATTGCCTCTGAGCCAGTTTCGAGATATTGGATATCAGGCGTCATGAAGATGCTGTTAAAGAATTGCATTAGTCGGCTGGACTCCAGAACGCTCCATAATGCTCGTACCACGACAGAACAAATAGTGTCACTGAAATACTCCCATTAGTATCTAGAAGAACAGCTGCAATGATTGCATTTATTGTATTGCGGAGCACGGCCGTTGATTCGAACCCCGATCGGCAAGAGTACTTGATATACTTGCTGATGCCACTTCGCTTAGCAGCAAGAACAAGGTGGTCCCTCTTGGTAAGCTCCAGTTTCAACTTTGCCTTATGCTCTGGAGATATTCTCAATTCAGCTGTGTCTGTGTATCGACCATAGTATTACACCAACCTTTGCTTATACCCATGCGCATGAAAACTATATTGAGTACCGTGTCAACCCAGGAGGCACCAACCTGTGCCAGCTGTCTATTACCCTCATGATTGTAATTTTCCACACCTGCAGCAGTCAGGGCTTGACGAAGGTAGTCTTTGTTGGTGAAGCTGTATTGAATGATGGACTCCACTGATTGAACCTGATCGAGCGACGCCATGGTATTATGTTTGGAATTTGAGTGCAAGTTAACGAAGGCATAGGCTCCATAGACATACAAAGGACAAACAGTTCTTATATGGACAAGAAAAGTGATTAGAACAGTATAGTTCCTCAGATACTAGTACCCAAAGCCCATCAGGTTATTGACGGTAGGTATTCGCCTTGAAAGGATGAGTAAACCAAGCGGTCTGGGTTGAGCAACATGGCTGAGAACCATCTGCATTTACCTCCTGGCGTCCGGCAAATACTTCAAGTGGAAAAATAGCAATATAGACCAAATTTTCGAAAAGCCCAGTGTTGTTTGGTGCCCCTTATGATCGCATGCGTTAGGTAGTAGTTTACTGGGGAATCATGCAGTCACCGTGGTTTGAATTGGATTAGAGTAGATTTACCCCGAACGCCAAGTAGGTGATCCCTAACATCTGCTATTATTGACTCTTATGGATTGGTGAAAGTAAAGGAACTGCAGCATTGACCCCGTGCATATGTTGGGGGCAGGAGTGTTTCCTAGCAAGGCAACAGCCATGGAAGAACGACAGATGCTGAGCTAGTATATACGAGTGATCATAACTGTTAGTGAATGCAGTTGTCTATTGCGGTTGCGCTGCGTCGGCTGTAGCCAAGATCGACAGACAGGGCTTGGTACTGCCAGACATGGCAGGGGGCTAGCCGCCCCGTATTGTTACTATCAACGGAGACGACCTGCCAGTTGTATCTCGACCCAGGACGCTTACTCCCTGCCCTCTGAATGTGGCCGATCTATCGGGAGCGGATTTGACCCCCCTCCAACTGTGTGAGCTTGCCGCACAGTCACCTGTGCGGAGCCCCGATTTTATCGTCTTGACTATGTCCCGTTAGATCCTCGATGATCAGCTGTGGGGCTCGCTGGCGCGTGCCATGAGCCTTTTCCTTGAGCAGGGCTACTCAATTACACTGCGACGCGTCCCGCTGGATACGTCGGAGCTGTATGGAGAGCGGTCCGTTCTCCTTGCTGCCCCGGGCTGTATTTACCTTTCAGTGGATCGACGATGCCCTTTCCGATCTTCACTTGGCGCCTACACTGGACGGGGTATTGGCGGGACATATCGGGACAGTCTTATTGGGCTCCGACCTACTCTGCCTATCTTCCACGGCCCCGGCGGATGGGGGCGATTGTCCAGGAATTCAAGGCGCGGGTGTTTATCCCGCGGTCGATCCTGTCTTGCCGGCTGGTTCAGTGCCTGCAGGTGCGACCAGCACCCTCGGCGGGGATAGCCTGTCCATCGCGGGTCCTTACCTAAGAGGCGACTACGCTCGTCCGGGAGGAGCACGTTAGATTGTAGCCACGAGATTCCGGATAATTGGGTAGTTCTCGACCAGGAATCCAACCCCGCAGCCGACCAACCTACCTGTGTTGGTTGTGTCAGAGTACTCCGGCGATTTTCCTGGAGAGGACTAAGCAGTAGAGGGTTGAGGATGTGTCCCACTAGTAGTTTTTACCGGTTTTGGCTGGTGGCATTCCTCGCTGGGATGTGGTACTGGGGGTGAAATCTAAATGTAGATAACGGGTCCTGTGCACATAACCCTCAGTCTCCATATCTGTTTTGAAATTTACTCAGGATACTCTGTTTTGTCTTGTTCGGTATATGATGAATAGTCGAACCCATATCTGTCCATAAAACTTTCTCTTTATGAAGTTAAGATTTAAAATGGCCGGTAGTGGATTACTGAGAGTAGTACAGTAGTACTCCGTATGTCATGGCCCAGTATGATGCAGATCCAAGATAATTTGATCCTGGATCAGTCTACCATTGCACAAAACCATGAGTAGCATAAACCTAACGCTCTGTATAACTGGGTAGTGGAGGTCAAGATAAACCTTGAGTCAGGCGAACGTCAAGACGAGCAGAAAGAAGTATGGAACATACTCAACGTCGACAGCGATTACCATACTTCACAGCAAAACAAACCTCAAATGACAGCAGATTTGAAACTGCCATATCGGTACAGTGAAAACAACACATGACAAGATCTAGAAGTAGGTACACAAAGTGCCCAGAAAGATTCCTTACACCGGCTGCCGCGTAGACCTTGCCATCAGAAGCTTCTCGGCTGGCATAGAACCCCTCTGGACAAGCTTAGACTAGACATGACACGCAGTACCCACCCTTGACAATTGTCTTTGACGGCTGCTCGGTTCATTGCTCTGGGTGGCGGTTCACTTGCTGTAATCTGCTGCACGGTAGCAGCCTGCTGCTCGGTCACGGTAGCCAAGTGGTATAAATTCAAGAAAGATGCGGAGCTGACGACGTTGATAGACTGAGGTGATGGTTGGTACCGCATACTTTCTCCATCCCCTTTCACTTCGTATACCCAACCAGTAACGTTCTCATGGCGAACACAGATAGACCAGTGATTAGGCTCGCCAGGTCCCTGGCTCTGAAGGACTAGAAAGATTTATAGAGGGTCGTGTGTAGCGGGGATAATCTGGCGATTTTCAGGCTGGTATTCGGTCCACTCTTGACTCCCTTATGCGCCAGAAACGTCGGCCGCTAACCTCACATATCTCGCTGAGGCTTATTCTCCTTAACATCGTATCTGCGCCCGGATATCCGCTCATATTGCTAAAAGGGAGTGAATTCTTATCTATTGAGAGCGACGTCGTCATGGTTGCCCACATAAGTCCTCGTGCACGATGTATCTAAAGATGTATGGGAAAGTATCTCTGATACTGTGGTATCGGTTTGTAGGTTGGAGAAACGAACGAAAAGGAAAGGGATTGCATCCTTCCTATTTGTGTATTTCTCGGTGCCTGCTTGCGTGAAGTTAAATATAGCTATAGATGACCAGTATGCAGCTTTTACACATCTGTTAGGAAAGTACGGGGTACAGTGTTCAAAAATGTGCTCTGCAAATCATGCTTTGTTTCCCGTGACACAAGGCACGTGGACTGTTATATGGCACGGTGACACAGTCATCCTAGGCGGTGAGATTCGAGCTCTCCATAGCAGACGCTTCTACCTTGTCACAGCGGTTCTAGGCGAAGGACTCACTTGGACGAGGAGATCTCCTGTATTCCATAAGAAACAAATCTCGAGCTTATCTTGATTGTTCAGTCTTCTCTTCTCTACTTAACTATCAACGATGCAACCACGCAGACATGGAGGATATCAATCACTCTACAGGGATTCCCTACCAGTGGAGGAATCTGCGAATAGGCGAACGATATATCAGAGTGGAGAAGATGCTTTTCCCATGCCCACCGACAGTAGATGTCTTTACGTTTCCCCCCAATAAACAGGTCATCAAGGTCCTTGACAAGCAAATGGCTAGGGTAGTACTTGAACATGACTTTTCTTATGTTTCCAAGTCTGGATATGGTATACGAACTTCCGAAGCCGAAGCAATGAAGCTTGTCTTTCAGCATACTTCTGTTCCCGTACCCAAGGTTCTTGTGACCCGGTTTGATGGCGACGATGGTAATATTCACATGACCATGGTTCCAGGTACCTGTTTAGAGGCAAAGTGGGATAAGTTGGGTGTCGAGACTAAGAAGTCTGTCTGTCTTCAAATTTGGGATATGATATCTAAATGGAGGGAAATTCCCCGTCCACCGAAACTTGAGGGTCTTTTTCAATGCGCGGCCGATGGCTCGCCGTCCAGAGACCCACTACTCGAAGATTTGAAGAGCCCGCCCCAACCATTAACGAGTGACTCGAAATTACGGGCGCGAATCTACGAAAGATACCTTAACTGTGGGGGGCTTCGTTATGAACATGAGCTGCCAAACATGCTACCACATTCTAATCAAAGCGTCTTCACCCATGGTGATATCGCAGCTCGCAATATCATGGTGGACGATCAAAACGCTGTCACGGGTATTCTTGACTGGGAGTATGCTGGCTGGTACCCTGACTATTGGGAATACGCTCAAATCATGAACCCTGCCTTTTATGGAGACTTCCAAGACTGGATGGCTAGGACAGCGCCGCAGACATGGGGCCTTGATGGGATCAATGCTGCGAGAAAGGTATTGTTCTAAGGTCATGCTGCGTTATAATTCTACGAAATTGCAGCGAGATTGTTGTCAGTGAATTTAGTTTGCTTCTGCTTCTGCGCCCTGAGGCTGCGAAACCACAGTTTAATGTCTACGTGAATTGTGAATAAAACCAAAATTCAATGGGCGTTGGTTCGCTTTTCGCGCAAGAAAGCCCGTGAGCCCTATACATAGGTCTGCACAGGATCTTTATTATTCCAGATATAAATATCCCAGTGGATGAAAGAACACAGCAGGGATTGGAAGCTTATAGAGTGTGGGCTTGATCTCTAATTTGCTATCACATCTTATCTTTCGGTATGTCAAGAGCGTCGAAAGAAAGATGTTCGGAGCTCGTCTTGTAACCTCCCCCAAATGCCAAGATGGATGTATGTACATCATTTAGTCTGCACGCTGTGGTACCCTATTTTCTCTTTCTTTTCGTACTCCAGCATACTTGGATCGAACCCGGACGTCGTCCACACTATGGATCTGAGAATTTTCTTATTATCTCCGACCAGGGTCGTTTCTCGTCCCTTCTTAACTTCAGCAGAAGACCCTCCTCTTTCGTAGGCCGTAGCAGACCCTTCCCGGACTACTGTTGGGCTTCGCCGCGATCATACTGAGATTCCGAGGTTCGATGGAGCTTTGACGAGCGACTGGTCGGCTGTACATCTTTACATGTTGTCGGTGTCATATATTTATAACGCCAGCTGGGGGCTTCCTGCGGTGAGGTTTGAGAATAGCCTTCAGAGCATAGCGACTGACTAGGTGGCATCTCAGAAGGTGACAGTATAGTCGAACTGTTAGCAAGTATGGCCAGTTCCCTCCCCACACAAATGCCGACGTCCTGAAGAAGGCTGGTGCCTACGAGGATTCTATTCCTCCCACCATTCCTGTATTCTCGAGAACGTCATGGCCGGTATTGGCGTTGGCAAGCTCAAATAAAAGACTTGCAGAGATTTATTGCCCGGAGACGTTTATTCGGGGCGGTAATTCACTTCGATGTTCCCCTTCTGAGCTCTTAACCTTCAGTTTTTCTGTTCTCTTGTACAGTATCAGATTGGAGATTTGTTGATGAGACCCACAAGAAAATGGAAGGCAGGGCGGCATTAGTCATCTATTGGTGCCTGAGTCATGCTCGGCCTCGGGCTCGGGGTCTGCTGACCAACATGACATCACGATTATCCCTTGCTAGGGTTGAATGTCTGAAGAGACCTACATTTTCCACCTCAGCTCTACCATGTAAGGCTCCAGATACATAAGGACGACAGTGTTCCAAACTGTCAGGAACCAAATCATCACAGCGTTATTCAACACCTTCGAAAGCCATACACAAAATGACCATCGCTCTGCTGATCATCGGCGCCACCGGCAAACAAGGTGGTGCCGTTGTTGACGCGCTAGTCGCCCAAGACGCAGATGTGGAGATCCTCGCTGTGACCCGAAATGCCCAATCCCCATCGGCCCAGAAACTGGCTCAGAAGTCGGACAAAGTTAAGCTGGTTCAGGGCGATCTCAACAATCCCGCGGGTATCTTTGAAAATGCCAAGAAAGCCTCATCCTTGCCTGTTTGGGGCGTATTCAGTCTTCAGGTGAGCATATCTTTAGCTATGACTTCACTTGTATACAAAATAGGGTAAACTGACGGAGGGTGGTCGAAATAAACAGAGCCCCTTTGCGAAAGGCGAGAGTCTCGAAAGCGAAGAACGCCAAGGCAAGGCCCTCATCGATGAGGCTATCAAACAGCGTGTGCAACACTTTGTCCAAACGTCTGTGGACCGCGGTGGCGATGCATCGACCGATAACCCAACCAATGTTCCCCATTTCGTGACCAAATACAATATCGAACAGTACCTATTCGAGAAAACCAAAGACGGATCTATGGATTGGACCGTTTTGCGACCGGTGTTCTTTTTCGACAACCTTACACCAGACTTTATCGGCAAAGTGACCTTCACGGCCTGGGACGCATATATACAGGGAAAGCCGCTCCAGTGCATCGCGACTAGCGACATCGGCATCATTGCGGCCAAGGTCCTCTTGCAGCACGACCGATTCAAAAACCAGTGTCTCTCCCTGGCAGGCGATGAGCTTACCTTCGACCAGATGGCAAAGAAATTCAAGACCCAAACGGGGCATAGTGTGCCCACTACGTTCCGCTTTGTGGCCTACTTTATCATGATGATGGCCAAGGATCTGAGGCTGATGTTCAAATGGTTCCACAATCAGGGCTATGGTGCTGATATCAAGCAGATCAAACAGATCCATCCGGGATTGAAGGATTTCGATACCTGGTTGAAGGACGAAAGCCAATTTCTCAAGCATTGACGTTTGATACCTCTTTAGCTTTGTATATTGTTTTTGGTCTGAATTATTCTAATTACTGCTACCTTGATGTAATGTATTTAACTGGGATTCTTGGAGCATTGGTTCAATCGGTCTGTCATACTAGGCGACAAAAGTGAAATTCACCAGTAATTGCAACGTACAAAGAATCCGAGATACATGCTTCGATGCAAGGATGTAGACAGCATAATGCCGAATCACTCCCCTGCCAGTATCCCCGCTCTTCGCAGACGGAAGGCTCCAGTTGGCTTCGAGTTCCGCTCACGCGTGTTCCTCTCATATAGCCGGCAACGTCTGCGCTACCGCAGCCCTATGCATGTTTTGCCCAGCAATGCGACGCCAGCGCCTGAGCGGCCCCTCCGGATGTAACCCCCAACCCCAGAACCAGACAAATAGTACTAAATTGCGGGGATCAGAGTTGCTACTGTCGTTGGAGTATTGTCGCTAAGCCAGGGTATTCCCCGCATGCTGCAATGGTTGACTAACAGGATTAGTCGATCGTTGGAGTGGAGTAAACACTCTTGGACATGATGACCTCTTGGACAAGAATAATGATTTCGAATACATGTACAGAAGACCGTACCATGAATTACATTCCTAGCTGTCGTAGCATTCAGTACCTATTCAACTATATGTACATATCGCCATCGCCACCACTTGAGACGCGATTTTCATCAAACATTGTGTACTCATCCCCCATGCTTCGTTGCTCCCTTTTCAGGACTCTAAAGCTTATCAACCCGACCCAGCACCCATTGCAGATGGCGATACGTCACCCGCGGCTGATACTGCGGCTGCATGTGTCCGGACTGGTAAGTCTCAGCCCACATGAGCCCACGCTCATAATGCTGCACGCCCATAACGCCCTGGCTCTGCAGCATGGCTTGACCATTCTCCTCGAACACCCCACCCCACGTGAGATCGGGCAGATCGATGGTGATGGGCGTGGTCGGCGCAGACTGGAATCCGAGCTGCCCATTCCAGGTCATATTCTGGATGGCCAGCAGCGTCCCGTTCGTGAGGATGATCATATCGTAGTCGCCGTTGCTAACCAGAACGCGGTTCGTGCTCTCGATAACCTGCGGCAGGACGTGCTCGATCGGGTTCGCGGATAAGTCTCCTTCTTGCTCGGGGCCGGCGTCGCCGCCGACGTAGACGTTCTCGCTGGAACAGCCCGACCAGGTGACGTTCAGCGGCGCATGCATGGCTCGCTTGACGTCTGGGCGGTCGAAGTACACGGTCGCGCCTGCGGGCTGGTAGTTGAACGCCGTGGGCATGGCGAGAACGTCCCAGGCGAGCGGGCACATGAGGTTGATCTCGTAGATGTCAAAACAGGAGTTGGCGACCATGGCTTCGTTGGCGATCAGGTCGAAGACGTCGCAGGCGGCGTCGCTGGTGTAGTTGAAGGATTTCTGGGGTTGCACGCCGGCCGGGGGGAAGACGAGGTACTCGTCGAGGTACTCCTTGTAGCCACAGGAGTCGTGGAGCTTCTCCAGTTCCGCCATGAAGGTGGTGTTGAAGTTGAAGAGGTTGGCATTCTGCTGGACGAAGGGCACGGCAGGCACTTCTTCCTGGACGTAGTCGTGTTGGCCGATACAGGGGTCGTATACCAGGGCGCCTGTTTTTAATGGTAAGCGTAAATTCGATAGTGAGTTCTCAGCCACGCGAGATAGTCACCTTTCAGGTCATAGTGCTCTGTGTCGTTCTGGTCCAGCATGGCGGCGGAGATGTACGGAACATAACGGCCAGCGTAGCTTTCACCAGTAACGTAGATCTTGAAGTTTTTGATGCCAAAGAGCTCCTGGAAATTCTTGAAGAATCTCACAAAGTCCTCGGCAGTTTCTTCCTGGGTTGTCGCATTGGGCTTGCCGATTGCGAATCCTGTACCGACGGGCTGTTCGACCCTGTCGCAAGACGTATTAGACGAATGTTACAACATACAGAGCAAGTGCGAACATACCAGAGCACATTGGTCAGGTTAACCCACGAGTAGGGGTTCTCCACGGGCGCAAACGTGCCAGGCTGCCATGTGAAGCGGCCGTTTTCCTGGAAGAAGCCCTCTAGAGAGCTGCATCCCGGCCCTCCGTTGAGCCAGATCGTGATCTCATCAACAGGATCGCCGATAGTAGGCTGGAAGACAAAGAAAAGAGCTCTTGACTTGTCATTCTTGTCGATGGGGACTAGTCCCGAGTACATCTCGCCCACATCGAAGGGAACATCTGGGAGGTGATCGACCCGATAGGCTATTTGGACCCAAGCCTGTCAGTGAGCTATGATACGGCAGGGACATATTTAAACGTACATTTTGTTTTATTGGTTAGGAAACGGAAATCGTCCAGGGGTGTCTTGAACGACGACTTCTGCTGCTCTGCAGCTCGCTTAGCCAGGTTCAAAGAGTCGCGGGCCTTTTGCCCAAAGCGACCATGTTTGGCAGCAGATACATTATCCGTGACCAGGCCAGCGGCTAAGATAGCCGTTGACACGATGCTTTTGAACAACATTTTTATAGAGGGTTATTGGTGAGAGAAACCATTTTTCTTTGGGGTGCGGGGGCCTTTATAAACATCAGACCGGGATGAGCGGCCTGCATGACGGTACAGCATGCTCAGGCACAGCTGCGACAATCCCAGATTTGGAGACGTTACAACAGGTTGTGGGCCGCTCCATTGAATTATTCAATCAGAAAAGGAAAGGATGCGGAGTCAAGAGGTCTCTTATCACAAATGGCTCCAAGTGTCGGAACACAAGCCCCAGAGGATTGAGTAGGTGGCCAATAACAGAGCAAAGGCCGAGCGGGAATAAACAAGCCCTAAATTACGGGCCCCAGTCGAAAGCTTGAATGCGAGGCGACTGAATTTCCCCTCGACTTCCCGGAAGAGGCCGGATTAGCGGCCTCACTATACACGCCATGGATCCCTCTGCGGCGCTGTCCGACGGTGATACGCTATACTATATTGTTTTGCATATCTTTTGTGTCCTGCGGGCATACGATTGGCCTAGTTTCAGATTAGCCCCGGTCCACCCTGATTGAAATGAAGGCAAAGATAGGGATTTTTAAACTACCAATCGACATGCGCAAAGGGTCGTTAATGTGCGTTACTTGAATAGTAACGGAATCTCTCTTCGCTAGCCTTATTGTATATATGTGGTAATGACATTTGACATCAAGGATCATAGCGTAATGCCATTACCATTGAGCAGGATATATTGAGATTAGCCATCGTGAAAGCATATCACACCTTAGTGTTACCGAATCGGGTAGAGATTTACAAAGCCCTCACAATCTCCGCCCAGCCAGTATCCGAGGGCCGACAGGATGATACATAGGCACGAAGATCTGGTATTTCCAATCATTCGACCATGGAAGATATATACACAGAGAAAACTCGCTCTGAAACTACATCAAGAGACTGATTGCAGAGCTTCTCTTCGACTTTTTACCCTCATTGTCCAACCCCATCAATCGACGCACCGCCATCTGCGCCCCTCTAACACCATAATCCATGGAAACCACGACTTCGTCCGGGATATCCACAAATTGTCCAATAAGTGCCAGGTTCTCCATTCCTTCAGGTATCACTTGTGGACGATCGCCATCTGCCCGCGGTAGCAAGGTCGCCGTCATCCGTGGGACGACAGACGGGATGGTGATCGAGTTTTTTAATATCCCATCGACTGGAAATTGCAAATGCTGGAGGATTTCTGTCATAATCTCCTCGCCAGAACAGGCCAGCATCGGCTTCTTAACATAGTTACCCTCTGCCTCGGGGCAAAGCGCATAGCCCCAAAGAACTTGCACATCGCCTGGCTGATCGGGAAATAGTGGCTGTTGCGGGATATTCAGGCTGATGATCCAGCTACTGTCTTTCAGTGTCACGAACGCCGCGGTGCCAGGCTGGTTGTCTGTCAATTTGCAGAATCGGTTGAAGAATTCGGGATCCTTGAGCGTGACGGTAAACGATTCCAAGCGGGACTCTGGCATGCGCGTGCAGAAATTATAGGCGTTTCCGAATTTGGGGTTCTTCGTCGATAGTTCCAGCCATAGGAGCCAGTTCTCATCAAGATCTTTATCGATCTCCATAAGCTCTAATGAGGGCGGTTCGGTGTTGCTCCCGACCGTTGTCCCAGACATGACGGAGCCAACGGAAACAATGACAATGTCGTTTTGTCCCAGCACAATCTTGTGCTCGCGCTCGCCGTCTTTCTGCGCGCAAATGGCTGAGACGCGGTTCTCGTTTTTCGTGTCAAGAATGATGTCGGACACGGTAGTATTGAACTGAAAGTCTACACCTTGTGATGTTAGGAAATGGGCGATGGGCGCCACAATAGTTTCATGGCGATTATAGCGACCACAGTCTAGAACGCGCGGGGAGTTTAGATCGTGAATATCGTGCATGAACCTCGCCATATATCGGCGTAATTCGGTAGCGCTGTGCCACGGCTGGAAGCCGAACCTGGTAAAGGATTAGTCTTCGAATCCCTCACGTTGCTGACTGCGACTTCTTACGTTGTGGCCAGCATCAGCCAGTAATTACTCTTGAAGAAGCCCCCGCTAAAGTGATCCTTGATCCGTGTTCTCGCTAGAGCCTTTTCATTTTTCGAGACCATCACAAAAAGCTCTATGCGGTCCCGGAGCCCCAGGTTGATTTTGCGAGGATCAATACGGCCCAGGCCATGCGACCTCCGAGTGAGGAGGCGTGTGTGGGAGGTCCCATTTAGAGCGTGGCTCTCGAACTCTACGATATCGTCCAGAGCTGTCTTGCCTTTACGCGTCCTAGACGGAACCACCGAGAGCAATTCTTCCATGGCCGAGCCGTTGAAGGAGGGCATCCCTCCTGCCCGATAATTGTACCCATTCACTGGATCCCCTTCGCTAATCGTACCTCCCCCCGCCACAGCGAGCTTTTCCAGGATATGGATCTTTTCCGGGGGCACATTGGCTTCCTGAATTAAATGCACGGCAGCTGTGAGGGAGGCAATGCCGCTGCCGAGGATCCAGACGTCAAGCTTGTCGGGCAGGCGATACCCCCGTCCAGCGCTTTGCCTTAGTGAAGATCTTGAAGATTTGCGACTGGGCATGACGACGATGATCAGAGGGACAGGGCAAAAGGGACGGCGTCTGCTCTGGCTTAGAAAGAGATTTGAAATAGTCAAATCAAGCTGTAGCCTTTCTTGACTTTATTGAAGGGGTTCTAGGCGCACGGTGGCAATGAGATTTCTCTGATGTCAGAGCGGTATTTTTTTTTGTTTGATCTATCAAGCTTCTAGCAAACGTCCGAACCGTGGGATGGGCAGATCAGGGTCTGGAATGCTGGGGTGATTCGCTGGATGTCAGAGTCTGGATCGCGCCCGTTATGACGCCACGACCGCCATCTTTCTGATTCTGCTCGCGGAGTTTTTCCAACTCGGATCCCAAGGATTATGTAGTTAGTGGGGATTTAAGTGCCAGGAACGATAGGATAAAAGATAATAAGTTCTCATTCTATACTACTAGGTAGTGGCAGTTCATTCCTAAACGAGTAAAGACACCGAGGGACTCGCAGTAGTCTATGGACCACTTAATCCACAAATGGCCTTGCTTTCCTGGCTTTCACCAATTGAGCATAATACTCTTGGACTGTTTTGCGCCCTTTCCCCTCGAAATATTTAGGCCCGAGTTCGGCCGTGTCAAATCCCTTGGGATAGTACTTTTCTCCCTCATCTCCAGGCAGTGGTAGGCCCAACAACCGCATAAACCACGCAGACAGACCCCAGCGATTCGATAGGGTAGGCTTAACATAGTATGGTGCTCCGCTCCAGGTACTCACGTAGTGGCGACCGTGCTCATTGGAGCCATCAGAAAACACATCCAGTCGGAGGAACCTCGGCCGTGGTAGCGACAGATATCGAAGGTAGAACCGGCGAATGGCTACCAGAGAGAAGAAGATGGCATAGTATAGGCGAGCAGGGGCGTCATACCTAACTCGTTAGCATCTCGCTACCAAAGCCACAGGGGTGCGACACTCACATCATTGCCACCCGTAGTCTTTCATCCATCATACATGAGGCAAAGCTAACGCCAACACCCTTCAACCCAGCCGGCAATGCATAGACCAGGACATCCATGGTCTTATCCGCGACGGCCTTGTTTTCCGGGCTAGGCTTCATGTATTGCTCCTCGTATCGATGACTCCATTCGGTCATCTCCTCAAGAAAATGTAGTCCATCCCGGAATCCCGTTGTCGCAGATGGCAACTCTGTGAAGTCAATCTCAAGTGCATCTCCTAGATTTTTCCAATACGTTCCGATAGCACATCTCTCGAGGTCGCTCATCGAGCGCCATTCGAACATCTCCACGAAGCGGATTGGCTCGGTCGCAAACAGACTCAGGGTGTATAGCATGTCCGAATTGAGAATGCTACCGCTGGTCCGATAGCCGGTGTGCAGGAACTTTGTTCGCGCGATCGCTGTAAGGGCACGGTCAGAGGTTGGCTCAAAGGACATGAACTGGCCGATGAGAGCACCGGTGTCGGCATAACGCTTGAATGAGGTGGCTGGGTCGGAAAATTGGGACGTCTTGAGTAGCAGTTTGGAAATCGTGGGGATGCCATATGTCTGCTCAGACAGTCAGTGCGTATCTACTTTTGGTTTGAACGGGTCCTATTTACTCGGAAGAGCGCAAACTGTAGAGCCTTCAGGGATATCGTGGGGAACTCGAGTTGGAGAACCTGTTTCTGAATGGCCCAAGCATCATGGTCGGTCATGTAGGCCATCCCTTGACGGGTCGAGTATTGCCGATACTGACGATGCAGTCTCCGTAGTCTCTGAAACCGTAAACAAGCCACCAGGACAAGATATGTGGCGACAAGGCCTGCCGTAGTGGCAATGCGTCGTCTAGGATTCGCCCATAGTATTTTCAACACTCTTCTAAATGGGACACGGTCGGATAGTGTAAGGATACGGGAGATAGCGTTCTCCATGGTGAATATCTTTCTGTTCAGACGGTATACTTTGACGGCAACTAAGACTCACGAGAGTGCCCGAGAAACTTCTCTTTATACTCCCCATCCGCACTTTCCATTTTGCAATTCCAATAAGATGAGCACATGAGCAATCCTCCGGATGCGAGTTACTCTCTGTCAGACCACGTCTTTGCGGTGAATGTACAGTGAGATGGTGTAGCAGTATCAATCATATGCAACGCATGCTAACTTACGGCGGACCGAGGATGCGGAGTGCGGGGAGGTTTTGTCGATCAGCCGTGAAGGGCACGAACGATGGAGGCACCGATAGCTAAACGTTGCTCTTAACACCCGAATCTCCGTGGGATCCGACAACCGACAAATCAGCACGATGATATATGTCGGATAGATGAAGCCGACATCATACGAGGAGTCGATCAGTGAGATCTGAGTCTTGAATTTACCGTAGTCTGAAGGATCTACTGTTCAACTGCCGAGAGCCTATCGCATAGTATTGGGCCGATGCACATATCTCTGTCTTCTAACTGGTTCTAACCAGCACAATGAGAGTTTATGCTTCACGGTTTATGCCTGAAGTGCAGGTCCTGGTTACTAGAACCCTCGGCAATTAGAATAAAGGCATTAGAAATTAGCCTATTGGGCACGCTGCTGATATTCATGATAGATAGCACATGCCGGTACACAGCATTGGCGACGTATCGAATACGACGGGGTATCCTAGAATCGCAGTCCTTTCACCACGATGAATTGACTATCAGGCCTCGGCGAGAAGCCGAGCGTGTGTCGCAAACCGCTTGGGCATGAATTAGTCACCGGCGTCAAACAAGATTACACTTTTCCAGTGTCTGTCGGTCATGTCATGTCTCCTCCTCGTAAGGGTCTTGGAAGCTTCTAGGCATGTTCCAGCAACTTGACCAATCCATCAATTATCAACCAAGAGTGGGAAAGGAGCAAGAAAGTCTGCCATACTGGAGATTTTCAATGACTTTAACAATACGGGATATACGTGCGCGAAGCCTTCAAGATCTCTCGAATGTCTCAGACTTAAGAGATCAAGGTAAATAGAGGTTGATACAGAGCAATTTCAAAAACGCCAAGTCAAACCATGCTTCTCGCCTGCCATCATCATGACCGCTACAGTTCTCTGGCTCGTGTTACACCGAACAGCAGACACTCTCCAACGTACAGTCCTTTCCACCCTAAACCTCTCACATTTCCGATTCGTTGCGTCTTTATCCAACAAGCGGAGCTAGATTTCCTATCTAGACGAGTGTCTACGGATAGCTATTGTCCGAATCCCACCCAACACCACTAAAATCAACATTCGACATATCATCCATCATATCTTTCTCATCCGTACGAGTAGAGTGTACCCCTGAAGTCAAGGAAGTTCTCCCAGCCTGTGGCCAAAGCACTTCGCGATCATCAACATCCCGGATAATAGTCGTCTCGACTCTGATACAAGGTCCTTCTATGATGTCTGCTCTGTGATTGCTTACCTCAATAGGTGCAGGAGGGTAGACCTGTGATCGCACCTCGGAGCCACCATCCAGGGAGAAGTTCGTGCAGTGCTTATGAAATGGCCAACGGTCCGTCTTCTGTGTACGCTCCGCTGTTATCCGGGGACTTTTTGTTTCGTGGTAGGCGCTCCTCCAGGTATCGGTACAACGGTCAAACAAGGGGGGCATCGTCACGACTGAGGCACAGACAATGGCGAGATCAATTTCGAGGAGCGTCCAGATTCGTTCTTTTGTGCCGCTTTCTTCGGGCAGGTTAGCAGAGATTAATATAAGGTTGCATGTGGACATATTCACCAGTTAGGTTGGTTGCTGGGTAATACCTCAATGCGATCAGACGCATCAAGCTACAAATACAAGCCCTGGTGGAGGTCAGTAAAGAGCAGTTTCAGCCTGTCGAAGTTATGTGTGAACTTACATTCCACCCATACAGAACAGGATGGTAAGCAGTACTTTCTTTCGTGGCGCTATTTCCAATCGCCATACTATAGCAAATGGGATTGCCAACAACATTATATCCTCGACGAATGACACGGATCCAAGAGCCATAAAAAGGGCCTTCCGTCCACTCACGCAATGGCCCTCAATTTCGTGATTCCAAAAATGCTGCGGTGGCCAGCATTGAAAGGTATTTGCAACAAGAGCTGCCAATCCCCATGCGATGATAAAGACGGCGAGAAACAGTGTAAGAGGAAGTATTCTCTTGACAGATCCCAGCAATTTCCGAAGAAGAACAATAATGGACAGCTTAATGAAGACGTGGGAGGCTGGCCAGAATTCCTGGGCTATCCAGAACATCTACGAACAGTTAGTGCATGCGTCATCTCAATGGCGAGCAACTCATACCATTATTACCCGACGGGCAGTCCTCCGCGGCAGAGTTGAAAGGTCTATTCCAACGCCTTCCAATGCAGCTAGTACAGTCAATAATGGAGTCATGAGCTAACAGAATGAATGCACATACCGATGACGGTTGTTATGGTAATGCCATAAGACAATACCAGTCCTAAGCCGAGGAACACGTCGCCAGCGTCCAGCTTCCCGATACCAAGGCAATGCCTATACAACCGAAGAAGGTAAAAGAGCGTAGCTACCACAGCCCCAACAATGGAGAGGGCAATGAGTAGCCGGCTCCAATACTCTGGACTGGTCATTAGCTATCAGGTTGCTCAATTCATGTCCAGTCTGATGTTGCAGTAATCGATCTCGTGTTTGGTGGCCGAATTACCAATTGCATTCACCGTGCACCTACATAGCTCAGTAAAGTCCACATTTTTGAGAGCTTTTACACGGTGGAGTTGCCCGTAATAAGGCTTCCGATCATACCATCAGCGATCAGAAGTTAATTACTTTTCCTATCCTTCTAGAAGTCGTGATGTCACGCTTTTAAGGCCCTATGGTGGCGTCAACAACTATGGGACAAGCGTAAAGGTCGGAATAAAAGCATATTTAAAATGTCAGAGATTAACCAGTCTAGCGATTGGCCATCCGGAGATTTTGGAGCATGCTCCAGGGAAGTGTGGCTGTTTACCAAGCTGTCTCATACCCGAACAGGGTATTGGAGATATCGGGGAGGTCAACATCCAGCGTTCTGCACCACCGTCCAACTAATATTTGACTTCCATGATTCATGCCTTCTCTGGTTACGGTGATGACATGTGAGTACGGGAGAAAAGTCCGCGGATGAGATCTGCACTGGACCTACGGTTTCGATACTATCAATTACCTTCCAGGCGTTCCATCGCCGTCTTGGCCGTACTCGCAACCTGTCCCACGTCACCTCCCTGATCGCTCATCTGACTCAGACGCTCCTTCCAGAACTTCCATCGTTCAGGGCACAGCTTAGCTGGTCCCTGGTACAACGATCCCCCAGCCATAATCCGCTCTTCCTTGTTTTCTGCAGCCATAGTTTGCTGTCGCAAAACAGGTCCACCATGGTTGAACCATTCCCTAGCGACGGCAATATCACATTCCACCTTCCTCCCCGACGATTCTTCCTCAAGTGCATCCCGGAGAGCCCACACAGCGAGATTGATCCATGGTGCGAGGCCGAGGCTCAGTAGACGTGCGACGAAAGAGTTAAGACTGATCCATTCTTTGATTTTCTCTTCGGCTTCGTTGCCGGTTGGAATGACTAAAATTCCATCAGCATACTTTTGTCTTTCTCCTATGATCCGTGAACACGTACGGTTCCAGGCTTCTCTCATTTCGGGCCCCAGAAGAGGTAGATCCGCCCAGAGTTTGGTATCATTCTATAATTTTTAGTTCAATCCAAAGCGCTCAGGATGAGGGATGACTCACGCCCCAAATTTGTATCGTTGTAGGTGGGATCTCAGTCAGCGCCTTCACTAGTTCCACTAACCGTTCCTGCGATGGGCTATCACATGGGATTTGTTTTGCGATATTGATAACAATAGTCCAAAATTGCCAAAGCAGGTTCTCTAGGCTGTCCGCGTTGGAATCAGACAGAAGTGGAGATGCGAAACCATGGATACTCTGTGCAGCTGCGGACGCTGTGATTGAGCTGGAAGGCTGTGCATATTCATTTAATATCGCAAAGAGTTGGTTCTCTCGCTCTGAAGGCGATTCAATCCTCGAAGACAAATTTAGAGAGGCCATTTTACGTAGAGTCAGTATTTTCGTGATTGTCAAAGAGGACACGAAGGCAGGAAGATATGATTTTATAATAGCAGCTTATCAGGCGGGGTTTATCGGCTGGTTGCGCGCATGAATCATAATGCGCCTTCTAGCCACGGGCTGATCTGATCTGCAACATTGAGTGGGTGTGATTGGGGCTGGTGGTTTTAGTGTCGGTTGCAAGACGCAGCATGCTTGGCAATATTTGGTTTATTGGTCTATCTTGCAAGAAGCTGCATATTAGTCGAAATTAACAACCGTACATGGTATCCAATAACGAATCAAGTCTTTCCATTCCTCCTGCACTTGTAGTTTCCGACGTCATATCAGATTTAGGCATGTAACCCTGCCAGGTTCAATGACATTTCCCACAGCTTCGTCTGTTTTGCCTCGTCATACACCCAGGGAGCATACCCCTTACCAGTTCTTCCAGTACTTGGATCATATTTGTCTGCAATGTGACAATCCTCAAGATACTTCCCGCCTTTTCCTTCCAACTCCTGTGCCACCGCGGCCCAAACGGTGGTGGCAGCCCCGTGCTCCGAAGTTTTCCACAAACTAGACATCTCATCATCCTCTTCCCATGCATCCCTCTGTTCCTTGGGCACGTATTGCTGTAACCCAGATCTAATACCACCAGGGTGAAGACTAAAAGCATGGAGGCCCTGAGACCCATATCGTCTCTCGATCTCATTGGCCATCCAGATGTTCGCCGTCTTGCTCTGACCGTACGCTCTCCACGGCTCATAGATTCCCTCCAGGTTAATGTTCTCAAAGGCAGGTTCACCCCAGCGATGTGCCATGGACGAGACATTGACAACACGCGAGTTGAACTCCGGGGTTGAGGAAGCAAGCAGAGCATCTTTCAGCAGGTAGAACAGCGTGAAATGGCCTAAGTGGTTTGTACCGAATTGGGTTTCGAACCCATCTTGCGTCCGACCCTCCGGTGTCGCCATGACCCCTGCATTGTTGATCAGGATGTTCAATTGGGAGCTTTCAGACAGGAAGGCTTCCGCACAGGCGCGCACGCTGGTCAGCGAGTCGAGGTTCAAAGGTAGGAGGTGGATATTGGGCTGCTTGGTGAGGTCTCCCAACGCTTTCTCGGCCTTCTTCAAATCTCGCGCGGTGAGATAGAGCGTGGCCCCGGTAACGGAAAGGGCACGCGCTGTGTCAATGCCGATGCCCGACGAGCAGCCAGTGATGAGGATGACTTTGTCCTGGAGTTTGCCTTCTAAGCCATTGCCCTTGATGATCTCCAGTGCGGTGGGATGGCAGTTTGTGCCGTCTTTGGAGTTGTTAAGTGAGCTGTTGGTGGTTGACATCTTGAGGGATATTGTTGAACTATAGATTTGAGGTTGGGCCAATTAAATATGTTGCGGTGATATGATATTCAATTTGAGGTTGCGCTCAGCAGCTTTCGAATGCATGGATTTGTTGCGATTTTTATATGTCCAGCACCATGGCAAATTTTACACTTAACGCCGTAGAGCTCCATGGCGGAGTTAGATCGTCCCTAAAGCCGTTGAATAGCATCATCTTTAGGCTCCATACGGATGCGGATGGAAATGCGGGCGGACGAAAACTATGGATCGGCAGTTGGTTAGGACCATGAATTCTGACTAAGAGGTGGGCCATACCACGTGATATATGGCCAATCGAATGTTGTTTTAGAGGTGTGCACGTGCTGCCTATTGGTCTATAATCATGTGATATACCCACCCACTTCGTATACTCCGTGCGGCCGCCCGCCCGCATTTAATTCCCGCGTCTCCCGGAAGTTCTACATTAACGTCCTCAACGTCATGGCAGGTCCAGAAACACATACCTCAAGAGCTATTAACGCTTGCCTCACGTGCCGCAAACAGAAACGAAAGTGTACGAAAGAGAGGCCTAGATGTTTCGTTTGTCGGAAGACTGGGAGGGCCTGTGATTACACCCCTATTGGCAGACGTTCCGCGACAGCCACAGACACTATTGGAAGCCCAGATCCCGAAGAAACCGGTGAAAATGTCTCCTTAGCCAGCAGAAGTGTTCATCCGAGCGGATATGAGAAAAGTGCAATGGGTGCTGGTTCCTCGACCACGAACGGTCTCTTCACTCTGTTCCTTGACTCCGAGGTTTCTCCGGATCGAAGTTATCTAGAGTCTAACACACGCATCACTCTGCCGCCCGAATACCTCCCTTATCTCCGGAGTCCTGCACAAGTTCGACACGAAGTTGATGTCTACCTGAATAGTGTCCACACATTCTTCCCTATAGGTAAGATCATGGCCAAAGTGGGCTCGGGTGGTCTGTGTGATCGAGACTGAAGCTCGTTTCTGGACAGTTTCCAAGTTGCGGTTGTACCAGCAACTCTCAAATGCGGATCGTATCAATGAACCTGATTTTGGTCTCCTCTTGATAGCGATGCAATTGCATTCGCGACCGTGTAGTGAAGTTGACTCTAGTGAGGCAGAACTTTACAGGTCTGCCAAGGCTTGCTACGTATATGTCGAGAGCAGCAATATCTTTTCCATCAAGGTGCTACAAGCGCTACTTCTGATCGCACTATATGAGATATCGAATTCTATCTATCCGGCGGCATATCTGACAGTGGGACATTGTGCACGACTCGGGCATGGTATGGGAGTTCACCAGCGCAGTGATGCGCCGCAGATGCTGAACCGAGTAGGTGAGTAATATCCACCCACTTGCCAAGCTCTGGTGTGCTTAAGAACGCAGGTACGTGGGTGGAGCTTGAGGAAAGGCGTCGTACTTGGTGGGCCGTAATCATATTGGACAGGTAAACTCTATCGAAAACACTCCTACGCTTGTTGGTACACTATAGCCTGAATTGACTCATAAATCCAGATATGTTAATTTAGGCGGCAGGGACCGCCCGCTTGCATGTGAAGATGCACAGCCAGAGGATTTCCTTCCTGCAGATGACAAGTCCTGGGATCGTGGTGTATACATCAACCCTTGCCCTACGCGGGCTAAGCATGTTACTAAATAGCACTAGGAAATCACGGTAGTCGAACCCCTCGCAGTCCGCGCCAACACGACCATCCAAGCTTGTCCATTCACACGTACTTGTCAAGCAGCGCATGTCCTCTCCCGTGTACTTGGCCACCTGAACGATCGCAACGCCGATGTCGATTTCCGATACGAAGAGGCGATGCAGCTGCATCGCACCGCCCAGGCACTATCACATACACTCTCACAAGAACTGGAAGAATGGATCGAGAAAGTGTACGACCCAACAGCACACCTTCCACTGTTTTCTGCCATTGGTATTTGCTATAGTGCGTCGCTTCTCCTGTATGACAGGTACTGTTGCAGCGGTATTACTGGGGTAGCTGGGAATGTAGAAGTACAACAGATGGCACTCTCCAGGATCAGTGAGGTATCTCGGGAGGTCTTTCACTTCGCAAAAAGCATTCGCTCGGCCATGGATCTTGGTGGGTCCCTCAGAATGAGTCCCCTGGTATTTGACTGTCTATATCAGGCTGCAGCAAATTTTATGTGGCAGAGTCGTGAGACTGGGAGTTCAGACCTCTTACATATGGCGAATGAGATCCAGAGTGTCCTCGAGGTTCTTGGGACGAGATGGACGGCTCCCCGTAAGCTAGACCACCGAAATCCTTACCTACTGTCTTCTGCTAATCCACTGGCTCTAGGCGCATATCTGTCAATTCTTCGGAAGTCTGGCGGTCACTGCTAACTGCCACCGACAAGGACACCCGTGCTACGATATAACCAACCCATTATATGCACAAGGCTACGCATGTCATGAATGACTGCTATCTATTGGTTTCTATTTCCTAAGGATGTATACTTTAGCTTGGTACACGATATCATGGAACCGGGGTAGATATTCGGGGACTTATGACGCGATGCTGAGGTTGGCCTAACCCTATCTTGGTTCGAACCGGTATTCAATATGCTGTTAGAAATGACCGGAATTCGACCTGAAACGCAGATACGATCAAAAGTCAGGTTCGGGTGCATAGTGAGCAAAGTACGATCGAGTTTGCAATTATAGAGGAACATCCTTAATCTCTGAGAAGACTCTAGGAAACGAGCATGCCACAGCGCGATAAGTCAGGATCACATGAAAACATGACACAGCTGATAGCCTGTCTCGGGTTATTCAAACCGTCCTATGGGTCGCTTCACCTTTCCATGTTTTTCGTCATATGACCAGGAAGCTCCAATCGTCGCTTGGGTAAGGTTCTAAGAAAGTCATAAAGGATGTCTGTTCTGGTGGCCTCTGGGGTGTAGGCTATTGGTGGCTGCTGCTTGGTGGCTGGAAATCCCCTTTTATGACCCGTGGTTCTGTTCATTGGTTCCTATCAAAACATTAACTCCATGCCGATCAATGTCCGATGACGGCCGAAACGCATCGTGAATCATGGAGTAGCAATCTGGGCCCGGGAATGGCCCACAAACGCTGTTTTGTAGATGTAGTAGGACAGTCAATATAGTCCCCGTTGTGTGGCCAAAGAGAAATACCATTCATGGAGGACATCGATGCTACGAGCCAAACACGGTTGTCCGTATCCAAATGTTCTATGCCATTGGAGCTAGAACCATCCAGCATCCTCGTTAGGTATTGGTGACACTTCCGAGTAAACTAAAAATGATAGTCTTGTGTTCTGTAGACCCTTGAGCTGTACGCACAGTCTTTTACGGCAAACCTTGCCATATTGAGGTACACAAGGAAGAGAGTTGGCTGAATGCAAGATTCTGTTTTCAAATGCTTGGTCGTATCCCTCAAGCTCAAACACTGTCAATATTTCCTGGCCTTATCATTACGTAAAGGAACCCCCCTTTGGAGATCTGAATATACCCATTCAAGAAAGACAGGATAACAACACTATTCGGAACCTTCACCTTTGCTTGGCTCATCCGTTCTTACCGCGCCATTCTCAATGTCTTACTCCATCTGTCATACTCTGCCTGCTGCAGGTCTGCCCTAACTTGGGCTTGAACCAGGGCTCCGTATAGAATATTAGTTGGATCCATGTGGGGCATCGCTGTATCAGAATGTCTTGTGGTCATAGATGCAGACGACCCGTGCTTTAGTCACGGGCTATGGGCACGGAGACTACTGAGACAGTACCATGCTAGTAGGTCAACATTGGAGGTGTGGGAAGAGCTTGATTAAACTTCACTTTTCAAGCCTCTCCTGCCTGGAATGACTTGTGAGTTAAGACCAATCAAAGAATGCGCGTTCATGACCTCTTTAGAAGGTTGCTCGTAGAGTGCAAGACCATCCAAAGCAGCAACAGACCATACCATCTGAGTCGCGATAGCCAAGAAATTGAACTATCTTGTGTAGCTCTGAATTGGAGAAACAGAGATGACAATATCACGCAGGTTTTGCAGCATCCTGCAGCTCCTCGGTACCACTTACCGATCGAATACCGCCGAAACCTCTCGCATGAGGCTACCATTCTGCTCTATGTTACGCCTCCCCGCGGTAGTCCTTTGGACCATTACAATTATTATCTACCATCCTAGTTGAGGCTTTCGCCTTGATTTTCCATCAATGCCCTTGATTGTCCCCAGTAATTGCCAGTATAGGCATCTCTTATCTTATCTTGATCCGATCGGTTGATCGGACCGATGACGACATGGTATATCACTTCTCCGCACTCATGCAGGGTCATTCGCGTCACATTTACTTCAACGCACATACCATTATTAAAGTTAGTGGACCAGAAAGACACGTACCAGAAAAATGGCCAGCGACACCGTCGTCTCACTACTGTCCTCTCTGATGCAGACCAAGAGTATCAGTGAACACGAACAGGAAATCGCCCACTTCTTAGACGACCACCTCACCAACCTCGGCTACACCGTTGAACGCCTCCCGATCGCTGAAGGCTCAAACAGAGAAAATGTATATGCCTATCTAGGTGCCCGGCGAAAGACGCGAGTATGTCTCACGTCCCACATGGACACCGTCCCGCCCCATATCCCGCTACGGATTGAGGGGTCTACAATCTACGGGCGGGGCGCATGCGACGATAAAGGCCCCATGGCCGCGCAGATATGCGCTCTAGAAGAGCTGAGAGCAGAAGGAGCGGTCAAGGAAGGCGACGTGGGGTTATTATTTGTCGTCGGGGAAGAGAAAGGTGGACTCGGCATGTTAGCGGCGAACAACCAGAACCTCAGCTTCGAGAGCGTCATATTCGGGGAGCCGACCGAGGGGAAATTGGTGGTTGGACACAAGGGGCATCTGGTGTTTGAATTGATTGGGGAGGGCAAGGCCTGGTATATTGCCTCCTTTCACGTCACGTATGCACTGGCTTGGGTTGTGCTTGAACTGACTGCGACAGTCACTCTGGATATCCTCAGCACGGGGTGAATGCTAATATAGCACTTATCGAAACGCTGAATGACTTGGTGAGAACGGAATTTCCGGGTTCATCGCTGCTTGGGCCTTCGACTTTTAATATTGGGAAGATTGAAGGGGGCATGAGCTATAATATCGTGCCGGAGACCAGTAAAGCGCTTTGTGCTGTCCGCGTGGCGACAGATATGGCTAGGATAAAACAGATCGTCTCAGATACTGTTGCCCGACATGCAAATGTGCGACTCGAGTTCAAGTTTGAGTATCCTGACACCTTGCTGGATCATGATGTTGAAGGTACGTTTGACGTTGGGCGTGGTTACTTGTATGAGCAACGCGCTGACACCTGTACTTAGGATTTGAGACTGCCCCTGTTTCGTATGGGACTGATGTTCCACGATTCAAGGGCAATCATAAGAAGTACTTATATGGGCCAGGATCTATCCTGGTGGCGCACGGCGACAATGAACAGATCGAGATTGATGAGCTTGTGGAGGGGGTTCGAGCGTATAAAAAGTTGACGATGCACGCGCTCGAGTCTGCTCGGTAGATCGTATGCAAACATCAGGGCCAGTTCAACCTGTCCTATCTCACCCTATCCAACGCTAGTACCATTGTTGATATGCCTGGTATATGACGTTTTAAGATGACCTTTGTATGAGGCGACCACACCACAGCTATGTTCACTGCCAATTGTCTATCCTCGCCTATGATTGAGGAACAATAATACTCAACTGAAAATATAAATCATACTTTTCACTCATCCACGATGACTTCTCATTGGCAATGACAGCTCTTCAAAGTTGCATGTCTTTATGAACACTGGCGGGCTATCGGTAAGATATTTAATTGTATCACCTGTATTAAGCGTATAGTGCAAAAGGCACTTCTAGAGCATTATCGTCAAAACTATAATCTGCTGATACGAAGAGTCGCTTAACAATCAATATAGAAACTGTTCAAATCCCTCATTCTCAACCGCTTATTCAGCGGGTGTCGGCCATAGCGAGAGGCCGCCGTGCCACGTGCCACAGGGGGACCCTAAGGAGTCTCTTCTTCCACAGGAACAAACTCTGCCAGGTGCAACTAAGAATAGGACTGCCGGCCTCGAAGCCCGATAAGATCCAGGGGCAATTATTCAGCGTTACGGGATCAGTTAAGCTCAACAGGGGTAGCCTTGTGGATTCAATCTTTGTCAGACTGAGTGTGCGGTAATCCGTAATTCCGCACTTTCTCGCCCTGGTATTCCGCGCGGCCAATAAGAAGGCGCCAGAGAGGCTCTCGTCGCTTATAAATTTCTCCATCCATCTTACAAAGCCACAATTGCCGTTGAAAATGGATCTCCAGCACGCAATGTGATTGGTGACTGATGGGACCATTTGAGAGAAATAATTATGAATTTTTATGGAAATGGACCTAAATCGCGGGGTGCCAAATGTTTCGCAATGGCGAGATTGTGCATATAAGATCCCAGTTTTCTCTTCAATAGACCCTTGCATCTCATCAGCTTCCTATCGAACACTCCTCCAACAGTTCCCACCTCTTCAATATCGATCAACACCGTCACAATGGGCTCCGCTCAGGTCGAATTCAAGAACACCTCCACCAACACTCTCCTCGAGTTGGTTAAGGCCCGCCGTACCTACTACGGTCTCAAGGCCGAGAGCCCCATCTCCGACGATGCCATCCAGTCCATCGTCGAGACCTCCGTCCTCCACGTCCCCAGCTCTTTCAACACCCAGACCTCCCGTGTTGTTCTCCTGCTGAAGGAGGAGCACCAGAAGGTCTGGGACATTGCCATCAAGGCCATGGAGGGTCTCGTTGCCGCCGGTGCCGTCCCCAAGGAGATGTTCGAGAACCACACCAAGCCTAAGCTCGAGTCTTTCCGCGCTGCCTACGGAACTGTACGTCGAATTCCAATTCCTGCCATCTTCAGCCCCAAAAAACCAATACTAATAAAAAATATCAATAGGTCCTCTTCTTCGTCGACTACGAGTCTCTCGCCCCCATCAAGGAGAAGTTCGCCATCTACGCCGACAAGTTCGACCCCTTCGCCCTCGAGTCCAACGCCATGTCCCAGTACCTTGGTATGTTTCCATCCCTGACATAATATCCAACCGCACATGTGATTTAAGCCCATACTAACACTTCCCAGTCTGGACCGCCCTCGAGTCCGAAGGCCTCGGCGCCAACCTCCAGCACTACAGCCCCCTCATCGACGCCGACATCCAGAAGACCTGGAACCTGCCCGCCTCCTGGAAGCTGGATGCCCAGCTCGTCTTCGGTGCCCCTACCGGCGAGCCCGGCCCCAAGGAATTCGCTCCTCTTGAGGACCGCTTCAAGGTCTTCGGCAAGTCTGCATGAATTTCACGATAGACTACTTTTTATGGTGTAATGTGAGCGTTGTAGCTTAGATTTCAATGGCATATTTTCATAGACTTTGATGGTCCTACTGCTTGTGTAGTATTGTATGTAGGGGATCAAGCTTGATCTGGCGCTAATATTGGCGCAAGCAGCCTCGGGAGTTGCTCCACCACTCTCGAGATCTGTCTTGGACACCGGTCGATTCATGATGGACTTCACCGTAATAAGCGCCTGTGATCTATGGTATGACTTCATGTTTCATGATGCACTTTGCCAAATATGGGTCTTATCACCCAGTTCATAAACTCGGGCTACCTACCATACCCCAAAGGCAATGATAAAAAAGTCATACATTAACAACGAACACACAGAGTAACCAGGCAACAACAATTAATCCGAAGACCAAGCACAGATATACCCAGAGTAGTCCGTCGGCCAAGCACCAGCCGTTTCAAGCCAGCGATCGGCAGAGAAATCCTTGCACCACAGCCAGAGGTACATTAAAACAGCAAACACAATTCGTCAAAACTCAGACGACCCACAGATTCACATTGACAAACAGCGCCAGGAACCAAACCCAAGCATAGCTAAAATTAGGGGTCTCCACCAGCAAGCGTATTCAATGTATTGATCCTTTGCATTTAAGCTTTTCGGGGAGCTCCACTCGTATTCGTGAGCAGAATTCCCTAATCCGGTAATATCGTCGTTTTCTGATGCCTATGGCCACATCAGATATAAATCAGGGATGGGGGTTCCGATTCTGATGGAACGGGCATATTCTTTCTTGAAAGGACTTTGATTACACCCCAGCATATTCGCAGATTGACCAAAACTCGAAGAAAATGGACTTCACTTTCCACGAAGGCGTCAACGGCTCCTCACCCTGGGTGGAGTTCTACCCCTACAACCCATCCCAAACAGCTGGTTACGCCTTCATGGCCATATTCGGTCTAACGACCGTTGTACACATCATCCTGATGTTCCCCTACAAGGCAGCGTACTTCATACCCCTAATCCTCGGCGGAATATGTACGTCCATCGCCTATAACCTTCTCCTCACAAACCATGCACCATGAACCCAACTAACACATATCCCAGGCGAGACATTCGGCTATTACGGCCGCGCCTGGTCCCACAACAACAGGACCCTGATAAGTTCCTGGGCTCTCCAGCAAATGCTCATTCTCTGCGCACCACCTTTCGTCGCAGCAACGATCTACATGGTCCTGGGTCGAATCATCCGCGCCTTCGACGCAGAGCATCTCTCCCCCTTGCGCACAAAACGCATAACTGTTCTCTTCGTGTTGAACGACATCATCTGCTTCCTCACCCAGCTCGGTGGCGCCGGCGTCCAGATTACAGGCGATGCGCAGGTCATGGATATCGGACGCAAGGTCGTCCTCGTCGGACTCGTGTTTGCGCTTGTGGTATTCCTGGTATTTGTCTGGATCGCGTGGGTGTTTCATCGCAGGCTCGCTGCTGAGCCGACGAGGGTGGCGGCGGCCAACCCGGACTTGAATTGGAGGAGGTATATGTGGGCTATCTATGCCAGTTGTTTATTCCTGATGGTAAGGAACTTGGTCAGGTTGGTGGAATTCGGGGCCGTCAAGTCGGCTTTGAATCGGCAGGAGGCGTATATTTATGTCTTTGATGCGGCGATGATGTTTCTTTCCATGGCGGTTTTGGTCCTCTGGCATCCTGGGTTGTTGATTAAGAAGACGAGACGTGCTGGGGAGGCGGGGAGGTTGTGTGCTGGTATGGAGGAGAGTGCGGAGGGGGTGCCTTTGGCTGGGTATAAGGGGTATCAGAGGTGTTGAGTGTGGGGATGCTTGTGGGGTTTGGGCGTTGGTGGTGTTTCATTTGTTTGGGCTTTGTTGATGGAGGTCTTTATTTTGGGTCAAATCGTAATTTTGCTCGCTAGACTGGCTTTTGTTTGCAATGGAGAGATGGTTCCTCTATGCTTTTGTCGACTTTTATACACAGTATCCGCAATAGGGCTCAAGAAGGGGATGTGAAATGTACATCTATGGTGGCACCTGGCTAGGAAATGTTGCACCCTCCACCTTGTCCACTATCCTTCAGCATAAGTCCTGCGCCCACTTGGGTGTACACCACTTCCGCAATCCTCCCTTCACGCATCCAAATGACGGTGTCGACGCCATCCCGGAAATACTTAACCATCCCACTTACTCTATGAGCGACAATAATCACCGTATACCCTTGCTGCGTGAATTCCTCCTCTATAACATCCTGCATTACCGCTTCAGTATCTGGGTCCAGGGCGGACGTAGCTTCATCCAGGAGAAGAATAGGTCTGCGTTCCGCTACAGAAAGCCGGGTCTGGAGATCACAGTACCCAGGATCCACGGAAGCCCTTTTATGAGCAAGTGCCCGTGATAACGAAAGGAGTTGCTGCTGTCCTGTGGAAAGAGGTGGAAGTGAGGACATTGGAACGTCCAGTAGAGCCTCGCTTTCAGGGGGACTCTGGTCGCTAAACTTGGACAACTGGCGGAAATGCTCCAGAAGTCTTGTCTTTTCCAGGACCTCAATTAGTATACTATCTGAGAGAGACTCATCAGGGTCGAGGTTGAAACGCAGAGTAGCTGCCGCGAGGATGAACGGGTCTTGTGGCACTGTGATAAAGCAGTTGCGGCGTAGATATGTCTTGGATATGGTGGAGATGTCAATATTGTCGATTACTATCGACCCATGCTGGGAGTCTAGTAGACGAAGGAAGGAAAATAGTAATGTGCTCTTTCCGCTGCAGTGGAGGGATGAACTGGTTAGCTTTGCTTCATGAAAAGGGAATACGAGGTCATACCTTCCAGTCCTACCGCATATGAAAAGCCTCTGTCCAGCATTAATCTCTAGGTGAATGTTCTCGAGAGCAAGTTTTGGCGGACTGGAATCTCGTTAGTACACAAAGCAACAACACCAAGTTTGATTGAAACTTACCTATACGAAGCCTCCAGGCCACGAGCAATGATGCTCCCAGAGATTGGCCAGTCGACAGGGGAATACCACTTCTGGTCGCTGGTATTTTCTTCCTGAGGGGTTTCCGTCACAGCAGAGCGCAACCGCGCAATTGCTCCGAGGGAGACCTCTAGCGAGGTCCATGACTCTACAAGCCGAAGCAGGGTTGTGTTAGCAAGAATGATCATATTCAGCGACAGACCAACGGCTGTTGCTCTCTCTGCTCCCCGGGATGTCACCGCTAGCGCTACGAGACCCACCGCAACTAGGGCAATTAAGAGGTCAAGAACAAGGTTTAGCCATCTTTGAAGACAAAAGAGTAGATACGCTGGTTTCTGTGAGGCATCGATCGTTTCCACAATGTCGCTGGTATACCTCTGCTGCCATTGAAGTGCACGTATCGTGTCAAGGCCATCGACCTGTTGCTCCTAATTAGTGCCATCCTAGGCTTTGCTAATCGAAAGGAGGGACGATACCATTTCTACAAAGTTAGAATAGAGAGCTGACTTTGACTCAATCTCGAGAAACCGTAGTTGCCTCGAAGTCCGCAAGTAGACTCTCTGCACGAAGTAAACAATGATGATACAGAAGGGCAGGGTGACGGCCATCATTGGGTTGACAATAAAGAGTATTGTCGCCTGCACCAACAGCTTAAATACCTCTATACTTCCATTAGAGCTTACTTAAACCCTAGGATAGGCTACTTACGAGTTCCCAACACCTGGAAGGCATTTGGCAGTTGACGGTCTACAAGTTGGATGTCCTCTCCAAAGCTGTAATGTGTCAGCACCTGCATACAGATGACATGATTAATTCTCACCGATTCAAGATGACGCCGATATTATTGTCAGAAAAGTATGATACTGGAGCCCTGCAAGTATCTCATGTCAGGATACGACCAGGATCGATAGGTGTCTTGAAACAAACCCGACTATTGAGCTTAGCAGTCGGCTATGTAAGACGGCGCCTGATTTTGGGGAGATCCTCATAGTCGTGGACCTTGTATTATTAGCAACGGTGCAATAGAGGGTTGCACTGCCTGTTCATCACTTTTGTGATAACGTACCACATAGTACCGTTGGTAGAAATCCAGGCTACCAAGGCCAACATCATGTAGCCTACCATGTAGAAGAGACTTTTTGCTTCCCCAGCTTCGGCCCACCACTTTAGCCAGTACTGAGAAAATGTTATAAAGAACGAATATGATCCTGTGCACAGTAACATGAAAAGACCATTCCAAATACCCATCGCACTGAGGTAATACCCTGGAGGATAGTTAGCTAGCGTTAATTCAGACGTGCCCATCCTTACCATAGAGCCTTAAGTCTCCACTCTGTCGTGTTAAGTCTCGAGCTGCATCAACCCTAGACTCTTTCTGCGCGTTAGCACCACCTTGGCCTTCGGCTACCTGTGAAACATCTCGGCAATCAGGCTCATCCAGCATAAATTTGTCTATTTGTTTGACGTTGAGTTGTAGCTCATCCCAGGAGCCCTGTAACCGGATTTTAGAATCCGATAGTATTAAAATATGATCTGCGAGGGGGAGATATTGGGCTTCACCAAGGTTAGTTCCAAGGTAACGACAATATAGAGAAATTGGTAGCCTACCCGAGTTAGTTATCACCAGAGCTGTTGTACCCTGCCTTCGAAAGATCCCCTCAGGACATAACAGATTATCGATGATAACCTTCTCTGTTGTGCCGTCAAGGGCACGGAAGGTGTCGTCAAGAATGACGATCTCACACCTAGCGTACAAAACACGGGCGAGCGCCTTACAGAATTTAGCAGTGGAGACCAGATGGGATTATGCTCAGGAAACAGACGTACCACACGTTGTCTCTGGCCGCCGGACAGATTGAGACCAGGAAACTTAATCTCGGTTCCATCTCCATCGGGGAGAGCCCCTAGGTCCTTTACAAGGTCAGAAGCAACCAGAACCTGCTTGTACCAGGTTTCGTCGGTCTGAAGACCACCGCATATAACCTCCTTGATACTACCATTTGGCAGCCATGGCTCCTGGGCACATATCCCTATCCGCTTGGATGACGTGTAAATTGCACCACTACAGAGTGGTATTTCCCCGAGTAGCGCCCGAGCCAAAGTTGTCTTCCCTGATCCAACGGGACCAGCGCACATTACAATTGATCCCCTGTTGATTTTGAAATTAAGATGATCCAATGTTGGCTTAGAGGTATGCGGATACTGGATGGTCACATCGGCTAGAAGAATAGCTGCCTGCTCATGAGTTTCTGTATTGTCGCAGTCGACCTGAGCCTTTTGTATATCCATTCGACTGTCTTCGTTTGTACCCTGTGTCAAGTAATTCATAATTCTTTCGGAGTTCGCCAGCGATGCAATTGCGCGAGGTACAATGGTCATAACCATGTTTGCAGGATGAGTAACCATAGCGAGCAGAGCTATAGATGTGAAAGCCGTTTCTGCAGGGAGGGCTCCATCGGTCTTGAATCTTGCAAAAAGCACATATAATACCAGTGTTATCACTGGTGCGAACATTCCCAGAGCGTTAGCTGTCGGCGTCAGGTCAATAGTTAGCACTGATACCAACCAGACCGTAGTTATTCTCTTCACGACTTACCACTGGCATTATATGCAAGCATAACCCACCGTAATCGTATCGACGCTTGTATTTCCTCGCTTCGAAGACCAGACAGCAATGTCTTCACCGGGGAAGAGATACCAAGCATCTTCATACTTTTAATGGATTGAAGCATTGCCGTTGTGACTGCCATCCGTTTCTGTGTGGCGGCGTTCCAGTTGCGCTGCCGCCTCTGTAAGTGACGCGCTACGTAGGCACTCATCACGGACGAGCCTTTTCACTGTGAGTGCCCGGAGCAAAAGAAGGAAAGACACTGGAATAATATGTAAGTACTTACAGCCAACACCGACAAGTGGAACCAAGCACAGCCAGCCGATCTGGCCAGCCAACAGAGTTGTCCCAAGCACCACTTCTAAAATGTAAGCCCATGTTTCATGGAACATCTCCCCAGTGGTGCTTAGAGTCTCCACGTCCACACTCATAAGGGTTATCGGTCCTCCATTGTCACAGCGTCCGCTTTCAACGTTAAGAGCCCTATGGTGAAGAAGTGCGATGAGAGCGCTGCGAATCATAATCTGTAGCCGGTTGAGCTGACGGTGGTACACAGCGGTACTGATCTACTATACAATTAGCTCCGAGGAATAGGGACTTGGGATGTCAATACTTGCGGCCAGTCCGAAATAGATAATACTGGCCATAACAATGAGCCAGTAACTATAGTTAGCATCGTCTTGGCTTTCACCCTTATTGCTAACAAACCGAACGGCAGCATTGATTAAAACAGGCTGACAATATCGGAAGACAATCAGGAATATGCGGGCAAGAATCGGTGATATGAATGCCCCTCTCACAAATAGGAACAATGTTGCGGGTAATGTGAGTGTGGTTTCAGGCTTTGCTAGGCAGAGATCAGCATTCGAGACTACCATGTTAGATCTCACGGACTCACCCCTTTGATCCCAGGCTCGAAGAATATCCTTCTGTAGGTGTTTCGAGCTTAATTTTCTGTCAAGCTTAGGAATATCGTGCGGCGTTAAAATTCTCGTATAGCCCTTCCCGAGGATAGGGTAGATCCATGTAAAGAGTGTCTTTCCAAAGGCTCCCGCTAGTTGCTCTGGAGGTAACTCCCTGATATGGAGCATTAATACTTGCTCCTTGTTGCACGATTCAAGAACAATAAGGACAGCCTTCATTAGAGCTTGGCAGGAAACTGGTAACTTTGGGGGTTGATTTTGGAAACTCGCTTTAGGCACGGTCAAGAACAGAATATCACCAAGCACGCTACCTACAAGGTATAGTAAAGTGACCCACGAAGTACGAATTCTGCGACGATACTCAATGAATGACACCATACCTAACAACAGCAAGGATGCGGACGAAATAGCAGCTGATAGAAATTCGATCTGCGATATTCCTACAAACTCAGTCGGAAGCGGAAAGAGGAAAAACACTTGGGATCCAAATGCCGCCAGGTATAGGAACTAGAGTACCAGTCAATCCAACGGTCAAGTGATGCTGCATTGAATCTGAAAAGGCGATCACTATTTACCATCTGTATGTACATTCGACAGCTCGGAAACACGCGAACTTTCTTGTGTCGTAGTATCCATAATTGAGTCGCAGCACTGATGATAAACAGTATTGATACTGATATTTCGTAAGAATAGAGAAATTGAGTCATCCAGGGTAATCTATGCAGCGAGAAGTAGCCCTTCTCTAGGGTTGTTGCTAGGAGCGTGTTCCGCCGAGAATCCCCCCGTAGGCTCCCCCAAGGACGAGGGGCGCTCAATTGGCCGTCCGACAATAGCTCGAGGTCCATATAAACTATGTCCTGCCTAACATCTACTCTGATATGAAGTGGGAGGGTCGACAATGATAACGTCGCGTGTACTGCCTGCAGCAGTCTAGAAAACATGATCACCAATTTTCTAAGGAAATATAAGTCACATGTTGAGCCATACCATTCAGAGCCTAGCCCCTACTATAGTAGTATCTATTATTTCTCGCCTCATACCTGCACGTATGACGCAGTCAGGGTTCAAAGGTGGTGGATACTCTCTAGCTTGCTGCTAAAAATAGACTCATTCGGAGATATGCCGTGGAAGTATTCCTTGCGACCGTTTGAGCTTTTGAGACCGGGGCCCTCCAATTGACCATGTGTGTGTCAACGTTTGTTCCTTAAGCACAGAAAATATACACACGTTATATACTAGCCTCGCATGCTGATGACAGTCTCAGGCCAGCTGATCCAATCATGGAACTCTTCCTTCAGAGAATCCCGAATACCTTTGATAACATGTTGATCCCAACCAACAAAGAGCCAGGAGGAGGTCATATAGGTTAGCAAAATACTCCAATGAGCCAGAATGACGAGCGCGAATGGATTCTTCTTCTCCAAAAGCACGATGAATGCTTCTGGTAGTCGATATATCCATCCTATGACCATAGGTAATAAAGATACGCCGTCTTTTCCCGCACTTCGCATCTTATAAGCTTCCTCGAAACTGTCCGGCAGGCAGCCTAAAGCGCTAATATACAAGTCCCTTTCGGGGCCAGCCGTCTGCATCTCGATCAAAGTCTTTATCTCCTTGATGCGATCGCAATGTTGATGCAATTCTCTCTCCAAGTCGGGAGTGACGCTTTGGACGCTATCATCTGTCTGAGGTGTTAAGATACCGGAAAAGATCTCATCGTGATTTGATGCCAGAATCGAACGAACTCCCCTCATGAGAACTAGCCACTCAGCCTGCCCTTGGCGACTGAATACGAGATATTCTCCTGGTCGGGGCCCATGTCCGAAGTAAACGAGACAGATCATGACTGCTGACATATAAATCATTTGACAATTCTCGAAGTTCAATTGTGAGAGGACGGTAGTGACAGATCGGATACCAAAAGTAAAATGATCATTTGCCTGCATCACATATTGGTGCCGAAGATCTGGATTCTGATGACCAAGATGGAGAGCCGACAAAGCCAGCATTAGGTGGAGGATCGAGGGAAACGAGATTCCCCACTGCGGGATGTGAATTGACCAAACACCATGCTGGTCCAAAGCCTCGTCTGTAAGTGTGCGATATGTGGATATAAGGTAGTGATGAAAGAGCTGAAGATCCGCAAACGAGATTCCGCCCGCAGCACTGTTGTTGGCGGAAAGATTGCATTGGACAGCAACAGAGTTGTCGCCGGGGCGCGGATTTCCTTCCTTAGATGCTGAAGAAGATAAAGTCTGATACTTGGATTGTTTGAAACGGTACCGCTGACGAGCCGATGATGCTGCAGGTGGTGATGGTGATGGCGATGTTGGAGTAGATATGGAGAAGTCGCATTCAATAGAATGGTTTACGCAATTCGTACACGATGGCCTCTTCTCATCACACTGTCGCATGTCAGCCGCATTCTGGGGCAGACTTGGATACAACAAGTCATATCCTCTTGGACGGAAGCATATAAGAGAACGTAGATAAGTCCACATGTTGAAGTGCATTTTGATGTCTCTCGCGGTCAGGAACGACGGTATTAAGAATCACTCCAGGTTCACACGACACAATAACACAATAAATAGTAGAGGTACTCACTTTCACCCGCCGCCTTTTGCAATTTTTACAGCCTAGCCGAGACTTCTGATGTGATCTCCGCGAGCGAATCTTGTGCAGCGTAGCGCTGTCCATGGCGGTCGTATTCGTGTTCATTTTATCCGTGTTGGGGTTGCGATGGAGCGGAAGAACGAAAACGCAGAATGTGCAGCGCAAAGAGACACTGTCCAATCACGTGAACGCGCCACCCATGGATCATCTCCGTTTCTAATCCAGTCACAAATCAGGTAAGCCTGACAGGAACACTGCCAGATGCTTCATCATGAGACTGATAGGGGCAGAGGAGGAGAGGGGGGGTGTTGGACCCTTGAAACTACTAATATATATATCCACAGGCTAGGGGCAATGGTACCCGCATTCTCACTATCATGCTAGTATGCCTTGACCACTAGACCATGGTTTGAAGAAGGCGATTCTTCGGCAGTTTCAATAATAGAAATTAGGCTACTACATTTGGGATACCCATGGTGAGTCCTGCAGCCATTTAATGTCCACCATTTGAAATGTCAGAGTCGTAAATAATTCTCTGTCAGGACACGAAAACCTGATATTCATTATTGCAAGGCTCTCTATGGGGGAGGCTTTCGATGACACGAGTGGGACATTCCAGACGTAGGCAATTCTATACCCTCCATTAAGGGCGGGTTCTAGATAAGCAACCCGGATAAAACTACCTATGGATGGGCCTCTCAATACTGGCCTCGAAGTGTCGGTTTAATAGCGTTCATTCAACGATAGTGGTATTTGTACTCTTAGTAGTCGACGATAGCATATCTCGTAGACTAGACTTTTCTCGAAAAGAGCTTTATCACAACCATTACTAGTGTCAAGGTAGTACTATGGTATGATATTGGCTACAATATGAGGATAGACGGGATAGAAGGTATGTTCTAATTCTCTTTGTTCTTCCTCGCGACTCAGTTCTGGCAGACAAGTTTCCATACTCAACAAGAGGGCCACCTCTGCCTTTTTTGTGCCACACCACCAAGCTAACAAAGGGAGTTTCCACCTGTCAGACTTTAAATGACTCAATTAGGGCCTCCAAGTTCTGGCTCTGTGCTCAGAAATGTTGCACACACCCTTCGCTGAAGTCTGTTAACGCACAAAGAAAATAGTATTGACCTGCGGTCAACATGCTCATCTATGATTTAACATTGTCCCTGAAAACGACCGAGTGTTCACAAATAGTGATGAGATCCGTTGTTCATCCTCAGTTGAACGAGTCGTTAGTATGTTGTCGCATTTCACGTACATATTTTGGGGCGCAGCATCAATATGGCTTACCTACCACGTATTGCGGAGGTACTTGGCGTTTCAGGTAAGCAGTTCATTTGACAACATCTCTTGTTTTTTAATGTTTTCCAACGACTAGTCCGATCGGAAATTCGGTATCTTGCATGGTTGTGCGAATCCCCCCAGACTACAAAACTGGTGGCCGTGGGGCATTGATCGCTTGATCCAAATATGGACTGCCGACTCAGAACAGCTTCTGCTGGATCTATTTACATTCCATTTTAGTGACTGCGGCAATACATTGGAGCAGAAGTTCCTTGGAACAATAGCATTTGGCACGACAGATCCCGAGAATGTAGAAGCAGTTCTGACAAACACCAAGGGTCTTTACAACGCCTCGCCAATAAGACTAAAGAGTCACAAGCTTACAATATCGAGCAGATTTTGGCTTCGGGCTGCGGCGAAGGATCTTCTTTCCCTTCTTAGGAGATGGTATCTTTACGCAAGATGGGGATGCATGGAAGCACTCCAGAGAGCTACTCCGCCTATAACTGTCGCGACAGAAGTACCAAACCCTCAACGTATTCAGATCTCACGTCGACAGTCTTCTCCGCCAAATACCCGGCGATGGAGGAGAGGTGGACCTCCAGCCCTTGTTCTTTCGCCTGACCTTGGAAACGACCACCGAATTCCTGTTTGGGAAATCGATCGCTAGCATGAGGTCTGCAGAGTTCAAGGGCCAGAAGTTTGCGAAGGACTTTGGTAATGATCAGAGATATGTTATGCAGCGCTTCAGGCTTCTAGACCTATATTGGTTAATCGATGGTCCTAACTTTTGGCGTTCATGTACCTCTGTCCATCAGCTCATTGAGGGGATGATCGAAGCACGAGTGAGAGATAATCTAGACAGTGGCGAAAAGGATGGGCAATGTGTCTTTGATTCTATCGCAGAAGGGCTGAGCACCAGAGAAAGCCTTAGGGGCCAGTTACTCAATGTGCTCTTAGCTAGTCGAGATACGACAGCATGCCTGTTAAGTTGGACATTGTGAGTAAAGACCAACCGGCAGCCGGCCAAGCTAGGGGCCCGTATACATCGGCTCCTCTCTTACGTTGACACTGTAGCTTCTGCTTGGCACAACACCCCAATGTCCTGAGTCGTCTGAACGGTGAGATAGCTACGATTGTGGGCAACGAGGACGACATGACACGCGATACCTTGAAGAAGATGACGTATCTAGATAAGGTTCTGCGAGAAGGTGAGTAGATGTCAACACCATATAGAACGTGCTTATTGTTTCCCCATGCTAGTACTTCGGCTCTATCCGTCCGTCCCCGTAAACACTAGGACCGCCCATAAGACGACTATACTTCCAACTGGTGGCGGGAAAAACCGAGACAAACCGGTTGTGGTTCGCAAGGGTCAAAATGTCGCCTTCTGTGTCTACGCAATGCATCGGCGTGAGGATCTGTATGGACCAGACGCTCATGTCTTTCGTCCTGAGAGGTGGGATGAGGATCTACCCTAGTATCGAGACGAGAAGACAGCGATGTAGGGCTACTTGCCCTTCAACGGTGGTCCTCGTGTTTGTTTAGGCCGTAAGAAACCTCTTTTCGTATGGTTGTTGCTTTAAACAAAGTTATTTCGGCTAACGTGGACGACACTTAGAGGACTTCGGGCTCGTTGAAGCCGCCTACACAGTCGTACAGATTCTTCAGAGGTTCTCCGCGCGTGAGATTAGGAGAATACACGCGTCCTCAAAAGCGACCGTGGGTAGCATGGTCTTCTCATCACAAATCAGGGGTTGAAATGGTTGCCGAAGAGAGGCAGATGGTGACTCTAGTCCTGTCGTTGAGTGAAGGCTGCAGAGTGATACTTGGTCGGTAGTTGATAACTATATTATGCTTCCAGTTGGTTGTTACTCCTACTTCATATGTTTCAATATACTCGTCCAAACCGTTAGTATATTCTAGGAGATGAGCACAACCTTTTGGCCATCGATTCTAGTAGCATTCACATCTGACAAGAATAGCTCTTGTTGCCCACATCAGTAAGTAATTGTCTCTCTCTTATTCCCTTGTCCCCTTTGGTACTATCTCCCCTTGTTATGTATGTACAAACTGTCCAACAAGCTTTCACGATCTCGGGACAAGTGGGCACGGCGCGAAGACCGATCTCCACCGGATCACCAGGATTTCCTATTTTAGGGCTCTCCGGAGTCATGCCTGAACTCCGGGCATAAGCAACAACAATATCCCTGAATCCTATCCAGGAGCGCCAATCAGAGACTTTGTAAATAAAATGAGGATTGGTTAAGGCTTTATCACCGCAGCATTAATTCAGTTAGATCGCTGTTCGGACTTCGGGGCGATATCTAACAATGACAAAATCATGCCAAAGGGGTGGAGCGAGGTGCGATTGAGCCAATTGTGACTATGTACTCGGTATATTCGCGTATTGTCAGCATATATAAGGTGTTTGGAATCCTGGAAAGATAGTTGTCGATCGCAGCTCAGTTGGACAACAGACACATATCTAACATGAGCATGCGTGTTCTTCGAACCAAGCTCTCAGCCATCACGGCAAGGGTGTCATTCAATAACCAAGCCAAGTCGTGAGTTTTAAGTCGTCGTTCAGGTCCAAGAGATACTATAAAGCTGACCATTCTCCCACTTAGCAGTCGTCTCTTGTCCTCTTGCACTCGCCGTTATGCCGATGACAAACTTAACAAAGTTTCCTCTCACATCACGCAACCTAAATCACAAGGCGCGTCCCAGGCAATGCTATACGCGACCGGTCTGAGCGAGCAGGATATGTCCAAAGCGCAGGTCGGAATCTCATCGGTATGGTTCGAAGGCAACCCGTGCAACAAACACCTACTGGACTTGTCATCCTTAGTGCGCGACTCGGTCGCACAGGCCGGTCTCGTACCAATGCGCTTCAACTCCATCGGAGTATCAGATGGAATCAGCATGGGTACAACCGGTATGCGGTACAGTTTGCAAAGCCGGGAGATCATCGCAGACGGTATCGAGACGGTGATGAACGGACAATGGTACGATGCTAATATCTCATTACCCGGTTGTGACAAGAACATGCCCGGTGTCCTGATGGCCATGGGCCGTGTCAATCGTCCGAGTATCATGATGTATGGTGGAAGTATCAAGCCCGGGTGTTCTGCAAGTGGCCAACCCCTTGACCTGGTTAGCGCTTTCCAGTCATATGGTCAGTACATTACCGGCCAGATCGACGAGAAGCAACGATTTGATATCATCCGCAATGCTTGTCCTGGCAGTGGTGCCTGTGGTGGTATGTATACTGCGAACACGATGGCCATTGCTATTGAAACCTTGGGAATGACCATGACGGGGAGTAGTAGCACTCCCGCTGAGGATCCAGCTAAGAGGGCTGAATGCGAGGCAATGGGTGAGGCGGTCAAGAACCTGCTCAAAGAAGATATCCGCCCAAAGGATGTACTCACGCGTCAAGCGTTCGAGAATGCCATGATAGTTGTCAACATCCTCGGCGGAAGTACGAATGCTGTTCTCCATCTGATTGCCGTCGCCGACTCGGTCGGTATCAAGTTAAGAATTGACGACTTCCAAGCCGTGTCAGACAAGACGCCATTTCTCGCTGATCTCAAGCCCTCCGGCAAGTATGTTATGCACGATTTGTATAAGATCGGCGGCACCCCGGCACTTCTGAAGTTGCTCCTTAAGGAGGGTCTGATCGATGGCTCGGGAATTACAGTCACAGGCAAAACGATGAAAGAGAATGTAGCCTCATGGCCGGACTTTCCTGCCGATCAGCCCATCATCCGTCCGCTAAACAACCCTATCAAGCCTACGGGCCATCTTCAGATCTTGCGCGGGTCCTTGGCCCCAGGAGGCTCGGTCGGCAAGATCACTGGGAAGGAAGGCCTACGATTTGAGGGTACAGCCAGATGCTACGACTACGAGGATGCTTTCGTCGAGGCTCTAGAAAGAGGCGAAATCAAACAAGGAGAGAAAACAGTTGTGATCATCCGTTACGAGGGCCCGAAGGGTGGACCAGGTATGCCGGAGATGCTCAAACCCAGCTCCGCTATCATGGGCGCCGGGCTTGGCAAGGATGTTGCGCTTCTCACTGATGGTCGATTTTCTGGTGGAAGCCATGGCTTCTTGATTGGGCATATCGTGCCAGAAGCTATGGAGGGTGGTCCAATTGCGTTGGTCAGGGATGGAGATAGGGTTGTTATCGATGCGGAAAAGAGGATGGTTGACCTGGAGGTATCCGAGGAAGAGATGGAAAGAAGGCGAAGTGAGTGGAAGGCGCCTAAGCCAAGGGCTATCAAGGGAACGCTACGGAAGTATGCCACTCTAGTGAGCGACGCCAGCCATGGGTGCGTCACTGATGGGCTGATATGATAACATGGAAATACCACATCCAAAGCGGCGTCTACGACTAAATAAATCGCTGGAGATCTTCATTCCTGGGATAAAGGGCGCATGTACCCAAGACTATATCGCTCCTTCGATTTTGCTATCTTGCAGATTGGAGATTCTGCGAAGGCACAATCGCGCCACTCGGTGCAGTTTATATAGAGAATTTGCATAATATCTAGGAGCTACAATGCGGTGGAGCAATTTTGATAATATTCTAGAAGAATATCAGAAGATCTATTGAATAACCAAAGATAGGAAATCTACTAATCTATTGATTGACCTTCCCTCATGCTCCTTGGGCTTCCCACACTACTATATATAGCACCGTTGTCAACACAATCAGTACTTTCGTCCTACTTAAAACATCCCACAACAGCTGTATTCTTCTACTTCCTCCATGTTCTCCGTTTTGCCTGCCAACCTTAGGATTTACCCCAGAATCTTCCAAAAATAACAATTAATTCCAACCAACCCCTGATTGGCTCTGCCAAGAACACTCCAAGAGCGTGCCAAAATAAAATCAGTATCAGCCACACCGACAGTAAGCCTGTATAGCACCATGGGCTTTTCAGGCTTCCACCATTAAATGGAAGAATGTCGAGGTTTGAAGCGTAGTTGATTTGTCAGGTATGCTGCAAACCACTAGCAACTACTACAGACACCGAACTCCGCGGGCATTAATGGCCGAACCCAAATGGGGAAATAAGCACAAAGCCGACTATCGAATTTATGCAGGAAGGCTCCGGCGATCATTACCCTGCATAAGGGGAAGATCCGGCGGATAGATTCGTGTCCCGTCCGATATGTAAGGGAGAAGATGACACCGTTTCCTCCGAACAAGGCCGGGAGTTAGGAAAAGCCTAAAGGCATGATTGACACGGGCTTTACACGATTAGAATGAGAATTCACGTACTTGTCATAAATCAATAGTACATAGTAAATACATGTAGTAGAATGGTAAAAGAGTAAGAATGTCCCAAAATAATGACATGGATAATTAAAGTAGATATTTTCGTAAGGAACCAGAAGCCGCACGACGCATGTTCGATCGCTCACTATTTCACTTCAAGCGAGATGACTATGGTCCCTATTGTAAGATACGGAATATTCTGTACTGGTCATGATTCCATGGGGTTCATTGTGTCCATCGGGCTTAACCAACTCTTGGACACTTTCCGAATTCTTTCGATTCTCCAGATCTTGTGTCGCCAGTTGGGTGCCTTGAAGAGTTGTAAGATGGTCCCAGTTGCGGATCTTCCTGTGTGGCTTCAAGGAATAGCTGCCACCTGAGCCTTTGTAATTCTTGTTATTGCTCCGGTCAATGCTGCTGAAAATCCGTGGGAAGGATCGGGCTAGGAGCGGTCGCATTGTTGGTAGACAGGCACATATTATGCCGACATTGATTTCGATCATGCTATATGTGCCTGGTTAGTATATTCCTTCTGAGCTGTGGGCAGTGAGAATATCATAGACCTATGAACATACCACCAGTTTGCGAGGGTGACCTTGAAATGTGTAAAGTCATTGCTGTGAATATAGGGCATCATGGTCACGATTCGTAGGATAGCGACCACACAGCAACTAGATACGCACGATTAGCAATCTGACCACGTCCGCACATCATTTATGGTGCTTACAATGAACCTGTCCCAAAAACAATCATAAGAAGCAACCTTTGCCTCAGCGACGTCTGCAGTGACCAGCAAAGCTTGATGGGGAGGATCAGCGTCACCAGGTCAGAAAACACGTTGAACGCTGCGTTCGCGTAGACAAAGGCGAACTGGTCGACACATTTGGCATCCTTAATGGTGACATCCCACATCGCCTGAACCGGGTTACACCCGAGTGTGAAGATAAGAATGCTCAGTAGACTGTAGAAAGCGACGAAGGCCATGATTGCGAAAGTCATTTGGCGGAAACGCTTTTCGGGATTGAGTCGTAGGTAGAAGAGTAGGATAGCCGTTTTGACGAACCAGACACCGAGGGCGTAGACGTCCTCTTCGGCAAGATCATACTGCTATTGTTTAGTATGTGGGAGGTATTCAAGGGCTAAGCGACAGACAAACCTTCTTGAATGGCGTCAGCTTGTCGAGATGCAAGTCCCATACGTGTACGCCGTATCCGTTTTTAATGTCTGCGCCCGTTAGTTGATGGCCCTGTGAGATAGTGGCCTAGTCAGGTATACTTACTGATTAAGCTCAGGATGGCGAAAATCCACGCACAGATCTGCCCCATCACGCAGCACACTAGGTAATGTTTAGCATTGACGAAAGCTGATGCAAGAATGGGAGTAAAGCATGAATGGGATGGTACATACGGTCATCTAGCCCATATGTTCTTAAAATGTACAAGCGCGTATACAATCGAAGAAGTAAGACAAGGGTCGCGGATGAGCACATTGCAATGCTGACGGAGTAGATCTTGAACTTTGAGCCCTCCGGGTTATCGAAGTTGGGAGTAACCCCTGGTGGTGGAGGCGCTACCGGGATTTTGCTCAAGTCCATAGCGAATGTCTGGGGTTATCGTGGCCAAAGTGTAGTAGGCGTCTGAGCCTCAGTCCTCCGTTTAGTTTGCGCCCTTAACAGACGAAAAAGCTCCACCATTGCAGACCTGGATGCTTGTTTTAAGTCGACCCTAATCCAGGACTTGGGGTAATTGGACTTATATGTCGGTACATTATGCAATAATAGTCTCAATGGCTCTACTTTTGACATGTCGCCTGCTTTCATGATCACCGATTGGGTTCGGCCTTCAGCCAGTCGGTATGGTCATAGCAAAAGCACGGACGATGATCTTCGCGACACCGGCTTCCCCGATAGAAAATTTAAAAGTGTTCCGATAACTTTCGTTAAACGACGATCCTATGAGTATGGGCCCTATTCATTGCACTCCTCCAAAGTGAACCATACATGCAGATCGTCAATGGTACTAGTCATGCACCATCCACTGCCACTCCTGAATTCTTGGAATGCAACCGACCAGAATGTAACCTTACCATTAACCGGATAAATCCTGCGATATTGGAGGAGCCAATAGCTATACAGCCCCAGGCCAGCATGATCTTCACTAGGTACTTGACACCTCTATTAGTCTCATAGACTATTACCCCAAAGGGAATGCAACAAAGAGAAGGAGGCTCGGCATTGTATAGTGTAGGGTGTAAGCCTGCACTATGTGTCATAGACCTGCGACTGGCTAAATTCAATGTCACTCGTCATAATTTGGACAATGGATCCCTTGCGTTTGCTCTGAATGAGTCGCTGGTGGCTATGTGGCTCTAGCTCTCCAACATTTCTTTATTGCAATCTGATTTTAGCTTCCACCAGCTAATGCAAAACCATTGACATTTGGGCATATCCGAGTTTGGACATGATAAATCAAGATCATATAACACTAGACGCCGTCTAGCGTAGGGAAACATCACCGAGACTCTGGAAAGGTGAGACTAGTACCACGGCTGACGGCTGCTATAATTCAGGGTTGCGGGAGACGTTTGGAGGGACAATGCTTACATCAAGGGAAGTCTATGACTAACCTTGACGTGCAGCAGCTAAGACAACATTTCTGGTGCTATGCAAGCATTCAGGGGGTTATACATACATTATACAAACCCAAGAGCCAGGTGGTAGGGAAAACCGGTTCTCTGTCAGACGGGAGTGATTGCAGATGGTGCGATTTGTGATCCATGGATAATGACTTAATTGGTGGATGTTGCTCGCGGAAGACGTGTGAGTATGATCATCTATGCCTTATTGGGCGATGATAATCATGAAGTGGGGCAAATATGACATGTCAGATACACAGTGGCTTCAGCTGAGAATACGGGACCCATAGCTCTAATGTCTCAGCATTCGTGTTGTGTTGGCGACGTATTGATTGTGTGAGAGGAATGGGGCCAACCGTCTTCATGACAGGTGGTCTGAGCTACATTCGCCTCAGGATCAGGTCGTCATGTACGAAGTCCATGTGTATAAACCCATCAACCTTGCCAATCAGAGCGATGTAGATCGTCGCGTTGTTCCGACGGCGCAGATCGTAACTGGAGATTTGACTTTTTGTCCGCCCCTGAACCTTTGCGTATACTGTCCAGTGGATATGAATGTGATATCTCAACCGTGCCAGCCCTAAACACACACCACAGGGAGACCGTTCGGTGGGTTCCGCAATAGAGAAGGCCTCATATCACACTAGTCGTGTACTCCAACAATAATGATTGGTGTTTTCCGTAGAAGCCACCCCCTCGCACTCCACATCTCGGACTTCTTCCAGAACTATCTATAAGTTGATTGCGAGGTCCCTGCAGGGATCATGTTGACAAGGGTACGCTATCTTCAGCTTCATTGTTGTCTGACTTAGAAGCTCATCTGGCTCAAAATGGGTAGCATCGATCCAAATTTTGATCCGATTCAAGATGATCTGGACCAGGTCATCGCGGCTGCTACTCGGTACAAGGAGCGTGTATCCGAGGCAGACAGCTACAATGCCAGATACAATCTCATGGAAAAGGCCGCTCGCCTCTATCAAACCATTCGCGGACCTGCAGATATGGTTTTCTCCAAGTTCGAAGATGTAAGACAAGCATACAAAATATAATTACTCCTGATCAAAATGTAGCATCAGATAAATAATTGACGATATACAGGCAGCGAATATGGGAGCCATCAGAGCCCTGCTTGAGGCGGGAATCTTTCACGCCATCCCTACTGGAGGGAAGAGCATCTCAGCCAAGGAACTTTCTGCAAAGACCGGCGTGGATAAGGAGGTAATCGGTAGGTATCATGGTCCAGCATCCGGTGTTGATGAGTCTAACTACCTAGACAGTACGACTTATGCGCGCAGTTACCCCAATGGGACCATTCCGAGAGACCGGGGAGGAGGAATACGCCCACACGTCATTTTCAGAGATCTACATGGCACCTCAAATGATGGGGTCTACAAGCTAATGTAAGAAATGTCTACGGCGCAATCTCACGATCGACTACCTAACGAGGGAACTCCAGGGCGGATGAATATTTCACACCCATGCTGAAGAACCATGAATTTCTGCGCCGCCAGAACTGGCAAAATAACTTTCGTCTGCGGAACAACCCGTATACGTTTGTACACAACTGCGAAGGGGAGACAATGTTTGAGCACATATCCAAGTTCCCTGACCGATTTACCACGTTCAATGAAGCCATGGTGGCCCAGGACTCGGGGCTCATCGCGATTGGCCTCTACCCCTTTGTAGAGGAATTGAGCAGCTTAGCCAGTGAGGACACAGCCACCATTGTTGATGTGGGAGGCGGCCGAGGCCACATCTTGCGTCAAATCAAGGAAAGCGCTCCTGAGCTGCCGGGGAGGTTTATACTCCAGGACCAGGCTAGCGTTATCGCAGATAATGGAATGGAAAGACAGCCGCTTGGAATTGAGGCCATGGCCCATGATTTCTTCCAGCCACAGCCAATCAAAGGTAGGCACTATGTTGCTCTATTGGCCATTACTTGTTAACTGATCATTTTACAGGGGCCTTGGTCTACTATATTCGCCGCTGTCTACACGACTGGCCGGATGAGCCAGAGTCAAGACAGATTCTGGAGAACTTAGCCGCAGCAATGGATCCCGAGAGGTCTCGGGTCTTGATCACGGAATATATCCTGCCAGAAGTTGGCTCCAACATGTTCCATGCTTGGATGGACCACACTATGATGACGTTTGCTGGACGTGAACGCACAGAGAAGGACTGGGAACGTCTACTTGATATGTCTGGGCTAAGGTTGGTCAAAGTGTGGAGAGCCCCCGGAATACCGGTTGGTGTCGTTGAAGCTCGCTTGAAGTAAAGTTCGGATGACATGGGTAATGATTTGGTACGATTAATTGATAAATAAAAATGAACACCCTTCAATGCTATACATATTGTTTGAACTTGCGTCGTAGCCACTGAAATCCGTGAGTGCAGCGTTGAAACATCTCAATGCATACACTATGTATCTTGTACCAAGTCACACTACCAACTGGGATCCTGTAGCGACTACATCGCAAACGATAGACGAAAGCTTTCCTACGGCCCTTTAATACTAACCACGCTCTAAAAGTACAGCCACCACGCTCAGTATTGGCGATTTATCATAGGAACATATTGTAGAGCAATCCAAGACAACCGAGCAAGATCAATCTGTTTTATTGATAACTACATACAGGAGCAAGTAGCAGTTTTCATACTGTGGTTTAATGAAAGCTTCCGGGTACACCTTTCCGTGGTGCAGTATCCTTTGTGATAAAAGGTCTAACCGCATAGACCTCAGAACACTTCTAATTTCTGATGCATGCTGCACAGCGTCCAATAACGATCGCTGAGCTTGGTATCACTATGCCAATCGGCATGCATCTTTATAGTGTCCATTTCGGCTTGAAGGTCACGTTTCTCCTTCTGCCGTGCTTCCTCCGCTGCTGAGTCGATCTCATACATCCACCATCCTGCTACCGGTTGAATAGTGTTCAAAGATCCAGCTTCCTTGTTCGGGCTCTCAGCACTTGGTCCTGTTGAGGCTTGGATTCCGACCAGACCGGCGACCATTACGGTGTGATATTCATGGCCGTTGTCGTTAACGTTGACGGGAACAGTGTTGAAACCAGAAGGAATCGAATCTGTGTCCACACGGTGATACCCGACACCATCGAGATTACAGCCGTGACCTTGGCCCACCGAGTCCTTATGATAGAGGGGCTCGCCACTAGCATTCCAAAAGCAAAATGCTGTGACCCAGCCGGACAAATAGGAAGGGCCACTACCGCCGCCTTGGTGATGGACAGACCTTCCCCAGAAGTCGAGCACACTGAGGGAAGACGGACTATCAAACGATGCGATGAAGTGCTCCAGAACCGGCCGGAGAAGGGTTGCAAATTGTGTCGGTTCCTCCCCCAACTCAGGAATCTTGTCAAGTTTTGATAGTAATACGGCCCAGTCCTCCCGCTCGCCGAGCAACGTCACGGTGGGGATACCGCACATGAGCATCATGGTATAGGAGAAGTATTTCTGCATGGCGCCCATCATCAGAATGGCAGACACTATTGTGTCAGATGGGGTAGTTGTGCTGAATGCAGGCATGATCCATTCCCGCAGCTCAGGGTCCTTGACGTTTGCCTGGATCTGCTCTGTCATCGCGACTGCCAGACGCCCAAAGTCTGCTACCGTACTCTTGACTATCAGCTCTTTCTGTCCCTCATGTGAAACAAAGTACGATCTTAGTTCTTCCGCGTGTGCGTTGACGTAGAAGCCGAGTTGGGATAGGATGGCGAACCAGACATCTTCGGGACGGATAATAAGATGATGATGATTGCTGTAGGCCGCCCAGACTGCCCGGACCAGGCCATTTTCTGATGGTGAGATATGGTTTTCCTGTAGGATGTGCGTCCCGTCGACCTGGTTCTCATCGAAAGAACTTTGGACCAGTCTCTTGGAGCGTCTGTAATCTCTCGCAGATGTTCCTTTGAGCAATTCCTCCGCGGTGGTGGCCTTTGCCGCCCTCCACTGCTCTGCCCCGTGCTTTGCAACTGTAAGCGTGACAGGCATATTTGTCTTTTATTTTCTTTTGTTGTGAGCGAAACAGGATGTTCCTTTAGGACTAGACTGTGCCTCAAACACAGAAGGTAACACAGCTGGTAAGGGAAGGGGAATAGGAAAAGGTGAAGGAGGGAAGGTGAGGGGCATCGAAGTATTTATATTGTCCGACGATCTTGATTGAATCACGTTGCCTACTTGTCGATCCTTGAACCTTGCATGTATGTATCGCAGAATTCCCGATGTCTTGCGGCAGTTCCTGGTACGAGATAATGGATTGAAGATAGTTCACTTGGTATTCTCCCAGCGTCACTATTTCTAACCGTCTTCTGTTTCTTCTATGTATACACACTGTGGTTTTCTCCCTTGGCTTCTTTTTCTTTTCTCTCTCTTTTCCCTTCTTTTTGTGTATTATCCAGGAGGTGAAGTTAGAATACCTAAGAAGGTGTATTGTCATTACAGGACATAAACCAGGTGGGGGGGTAATTATCGTCTAGTATTCGCCACTATGACTACGAGTGCGGCTGAGGGACCCACGAGGCTGTGCCGATCTTGATACCCACTGTCAAGCAAATATTCAGGGAAAGCCAGCTACACGAGGTCTCCTTCAGTGGGGTATGCTTTAAATCAGATAACACAGCAGCGGAAGACATACCATAATGTAGGAGTATGTATGATGTAGGACATGGCGAATATTCGCAAGAGCTATCCTCCTGGTGGTATGATATATCACTCAATGACCCGCTGTGAAGAAAAGGCGACATCACCTCAGACCTGATGAGAGATAGACGATTCTTGAAGAAGAAAGATATCTACATTCAGAGTGCAGAACTGTACCGGCACTATGGCTTGCAGCATAGGGCAAGACGGTCACAAGCCTATTGTCAATCGTCACGCTTCCACGGAATACCCCACAGGTTATGAGACCTACCGCTACGATTCTCAGGCAGTGTATCAAACAAGAGATTAGCCATAACAGCGGAGGATCGTATATACTGGCCAATAATGTGATGCCCGAGATTGTGGAAGCGTCAGTATACAACCGTTGTGGTGTATTTGGATCCAAGTGCCGCATACCATATAATGCCAACCCGTCGGATGATTATTCGAATCTCATGCGGGCCTCATCAGGTTGCCGGGAGATAGTTTGAAGATGAGATTGCATATCAAATTTGCAGAATGGGCGTTCACAGCGACTTGATTCCGATCGGCAGCAAAACTCACACGGATGGAAATGTTAAGGAGCCAGACGGATGTATTCGCCCACGATCTCTCTCCAAAAGAAGAACTACAAAATGGCCAACGCCCATTGTGGAATGCGGTTTGTCTGAAAGTCTGGCCCAGTTGCCAATTGACGCAGGCGTATGGATTGGAAGATCTGAGACAAAGGTGAAAGTAGTGATTTTAATCTCTATGACGAAGAACCGAAACGAAATGGTTGAGGAGAAGTGGACTCCTGGCAGCCCAGCCCAAACAAGATCGAGTACTCGGTTCCCCCCGGTTAGGGACCAGGATTATGAGCTCGACCAGGCGACACTATCTCCATGGAAAATGACTCGTGGCATCAGTCAATGTAGAAGCACCAGTTTTGACATGGTTTGGTTGTCACACATTGCCCGTTCAGGTTGTGTTGAGAGCTCTGCTGTGAGACCGATAAAAGTGCCCTTTTATTCGTTGAAATGCTCAGTCTAAATTTGCATCGCCATGTCACTATCTTGCCGATTCGGACATGGACCTTGGTAATGAGGTTATTCCATCAGCGGCAGATGATATCCGTATATCTATAGCTACTTGGGAGAGATAGGCTGCACTTTGTTATGCCGGCAGTACGCCCTGTCGGTTATGGAATACATCATCCGGGTCCAAATAGCCTTTAATCTGACTCAACCTTCCCAGATTACTCCACCAGTATGACTGACGTGGGCTTTCTAGTCTTGGATCTACGTACCCCTGATATACGCTACTACCGATACCTGGCGTGGAATTCCTGACAACTTCATTAAGCCCGGCCAAAAGTTCATATATTGTTATTGAGACCGGACCCAAACTAATTGCGTACGACTACATCCAAAAGAGTACGTCACGGTGTGCGTACTCCGTCGCATCCATTCGCTCGTCGTTGATAGCAACTGCCTCCGGACGTTGAGCTTCCATTTGAGGCAATTCATTTTGAATGGCATGATACTCTATTTCGCCGAGCTTCTGCTTCACTGAAGTACCTCTCTGGATGTAATATAGTATGTTGATGCTAAGACATGTCTGCCTGCATATACTCTCAAGTATCATGTTATACAACCGAAAGGTACATCATATTCTGCTAATCACATGCCAAGTTCTAAGGAACCTGTTCCATCACTTCCTAGTAATGTCGGTAAAGCCGACTGCGATAGATGGCAAGGTCCTCACAAGGACATTGCCAGTACTGCCAATAGCCTCTGCGTAATATTTCACATCACTTGTAGGAAGGTACTCGCTCTCCCTGAGGAAAGTTGTTTCAAATGATGTTCTGGCTTGCTCACCAAGATACTGCGCCTCGTTGGAGTCACCACCTTCTTGAACCTGGTAGAACTTCCAGGCCTTGGTCTCCGTATCTCCATTCCACGAAACATACAACCTAGTTGTATTGGCTGAATCCACATAGGCCGCCAGAGCCGGAGATTCACTCGGTGTCCCAGTCCAATTAGCTAGAAATCCACGGTAACTGACCGCATCTTCGATAAACGCATGATAAAGGATTTCATTGTCGGCATTGAATTGCGTGAATGCGCCTGCTGACCCCCAGCTAACAAATAGGTTATCGTTCGAAAGCAGTTGGGCGTTTCCCTGAGAATTAGCCTGCAGCTCATAAGGGGCAGTGGCTTTTCGCAGGACAGTTGCGGTATTATCCGTGTGATTGAGCTGGACAAACAAGGCTCTGGAGACGTTGTTGAAAGTGATGTGACCGTTGCCTGAGTTGTCGAAGAAAGAAACTACCTCGATGCTGTCGGATTGTGATCGCCAACGGGCGTCATGCTGGAATCCGAATGTGAAATCCTGAGTAAATGTGGAATGATTGCCGCCCAGCTGCCAGATGATGGAGCCGTCGGTTCCGTTGATCTTGAAGATTGTACTGAAGTGTCGCGAAGAAACGAGGTAGTTGCCATCGTCGTCTTTGTCAACACTGTTGATGTGAACGTAATCCCAGGTTTGGGCTGACGAGAGTCCGCTGTTGCTAGCGGATCCGCCCAATGGGTTCAGGGAATCTAGATGCCATACAGTGAGAAGGAGTCCCGGTATTTAGATAGATAGGGCAGAGTGGAGCTCACCTGCAGGATCAAGATAGTCCAAGGAATTCCACTCAAACACGAGCTCTCCAGTTGCGATATCAAATTCTGCTCTCTCGTCAATCATGTGCACACACTTGATACTGTCCGAGGGTAACAAACCTTGAAAGAGTCCGTTTCCAAGCCACTGCTGTGACGAATTTCCACCGTACTCTGTCAAGTTTGCAATGGTCGGAAGGTAGATTTCCACAAGCGCAGTCTCGCCGTTGACGACAGTAAACTCGTGAATAGACGGAATGTGGTGGTTGCCAGTTTTGGTAGATTTTACATGCTCATAACTTTGGTCAAGGAGCACGTGTTGGCCAACACCCTCCCCATGGTTTTGGTCCATCGACCCCTGAAAGGCCTGAAGGACAGTCTTCCCATTGTATGTAGTAGGATGGAAGTTGCCTACAAACCCTGCATAGTACCCAATGCCGGACCACACAAGATCGCCGTCCTTCCGATATATATAAGCTCCAGGCTGTTGGATGGTGTTGGCGTAGGGGGCAACAAACACATACTCCGTGCTATTGGCATCAGACGCCGGCACAGTTATATTCAGCTTGGGGACTGCGAGGTCTGGACGAGAACGATATTGTCCATCTGCAGAGCTGAAGGGCAAGCTTGCTGCTGCTGCTAGCAGTAGACTAACCTGTGTGAACGACCCCATTTTGTAGCAGTAAACAAGCCCTTCAGTGCTAAATGCAGGCTAGTTGTTTCCCTTGTCAATACAATATTCTGCATTCCAGGCATTGGATTATGCTGATACTTATAGCTCTACGATTCCCTTTCCTTCTCATCATCCCCGCTAGTTATTGTGACTTCGGATCGTCCAAACGGCGTATTTTAATTGATAACGCCATTGGCATAAAGTCTGAGCAATTATTAATCTCGCTTATATGCAGCTAAAATGCAGTTTATCCGATATTGCCGAGCATATACAGATTCTGATAAGATATCTGCCGGTAGTAGGTTTACTAGTACTTGTATCATTGAGTTCGTCAATGACGCGATCCCGGGCTAGATGAAGTAACCGACGACAGTGCCTGTGTTCAATTATCTTAGTGAGCACTGGCCAAAGCTCACAATGACCAAACCTACTGTCCTTTTTTATGCATTATGGCGTAAGAAGATTAAGTTCTTGCAGTTTATGATTTGTACATAGATTTATAAAATGCGAAGTTTTTGAAAAATAGTCTCAGTCAAACCTCGGCTTTGCTTGATATGCCCCGAAAGCCAACAGCAGCACCATAGAAGTACCTACAATAAGGGAAACATAATATGCTTGGCTTCACTTGTTACCCCTCGCCACGGTATGTCAAGTTGGGGATACAACCGTTCTTATGGCTGCAGCTGGTAAAATTGCAAGTCGCCTCCTCGTACACACATATACCAACCGCATGATCGACAAGTGTAGGAAGAGTTGCTTGAAACTATAGTGGGACTTTTAAAAGCCCGGTAGCCACCATTCTTAGCATGCTACATCAGAGACTTGCTTCGAAAAAGGTGCTATGCAGGGTAGGCAACCTGTCAACTGTGTGAGGACAAATAGGCAAAAAGCCCAGTGAAGATCCAGTGTGTTAGAATAAAAAGAAGAACTGAACAGTGGTTTGTTCTTGCCGTATCTGAAGAGGAAGAATAGAACCCCTTATATGTAGAAACTATTCCCCTCTGGAATGTCGCGGAATGATACCTCATCCTAACCATTTCCCTATATAAGTGAAAGTATGGCGTAAGCAGGCACCTACTCGATCAAGAACTCTTCCAATTAAAAGGTCTCTACATTGACAAGGCCCACAACGGTATCTCAGGAATTTGAAAGAGTAATAGCGACCACCTATATTATGATTGAAACACTCGACAATATAGCAAGGGGATGTATGTAGATACTTGAGGTTTACCAAAGAATAGACCTCGAATGCCTTCATTGACAGCAGTCAATTGTGGTGGGCTTCACTCTGGACATTTCCATTGTAAATGATGGGTTGCTTTACTGGCTGGATAGGGCAGGCAGGGCTTTTATCAACCTGCAAGCATTTCATGCGAATCATGTCACTCTCACGTGTCTCGGCCGTGGAAAAGCAACTCTAGAAGAGACGTCAATAGGATTATGTCTCGTAGTCGGTCTGAATCATGATACAAGCAATGTGGAACGCTATGAAAGACTGAGCGAAAGTTATAGTACTTCCGGTCAGCCTTTTGAAAGTTACCCATTACTTATGAGCACCTAGCCCTGCGTATGTAGGGCCACACTTAGTGCTTTGTGCTTGAAACAGCCATTTTAAGACATAATCCCGGGGCAGTTGACTATTGCCGTTACATACTGTCATCCTAAGAATAGATTAATGAAAAGGCAAAAGTTCATTCGGGAACCGATGCAGGACCTTTAATCAGCTTATGATCTCAAAGGACCTCGACGACACTCTGCATCCGTACTCCACGTGAACAGTAAACACTGTTGGTTCCAACAATGAATCAACACGACACAGGTCCTCTGAACTCATCTTCCGATCCATGAAACATACCAGGAAGTGGTATATCTACCCCTGCACACTCAGCGATGACCCGTTGTATCGGACTAGTTTCAGAAGGGGAAAAAGCTATCAAAGTGATTGTTGGTCGCAGCATGTCTGGCAATGCCGATGATCACGTCTGGTTGGCTCATGACTGGTTGGTTTGGCGGAGGCTTCTTTTGTCCAATACTAGTTCATATTAGCATGATTGAAATGTTTTACATATGATTAGCTTGACGAACATGTATCGATATTCTTGTCTGTTTAACGCTGAATAACTTCCTCCATCATAAGATGCTTTGACCTCTACGAGCTTTTCGTAGTTTTGCAGTGACGTTCCTGAAAAGATACTTCTCTTCCTGTGTTCTGCCTCCATCGAACGCTTTCACATGAACATCTGGATTTCTGACTGTGAGTGGTATGAAATTGCCCACTCTGAGCTTACGGGACTTACGAGTTCCATTTGTTCGAAATGTCCCTGTCCACATCAAAGCGAGTTGTTGGTCACTGGCAAGGAATTTTTTGCTATCAACCGCTTTCGACATGACGATGTCTTTTTGGGTGATTCCTAAGAGTATGGAGACAGATTTCAGAACTAAAGATAGTAAAAAAGAAACCAGGCCTAAACAATGCAGCCGAACGGTAACTTGGGAGCTCTTGCGCAAGACCTAGTACTAGATGTAGGGGTAGAAGCAGCATTTTATAGCCATGATTCGATAGCAGACCGCTGTGGAAGAAAAGCTGGATATGGTCACACGAGCCCCTCTCACTGAGGTCGCATGCACAGGAGTGGGGTTACTAAGAAGGGTGTCTTTCCATTCTGAATATGGCATCTGCTATTCTGAAACTAAAGATGTGACCAGTCAATTGAACAATATAGGTGCCGTTATGTGCTTAGGAGCTCTCCTATGGGAGCTATGTGGTGGTCTAGGAGCAAACCATGTGGGATTCCAAATTTTAATCATCATTATATGTACCCAATGGTGGCATGAGTATGCCTACGCTACTCGTATTGGTTTAGCGACACCAATAAGCGATTACCCATTCTACACACTTGGTCTGCAGAATACGAAAGGAACTAGGACTGCAAGTCTAAAACCCATACCTATCCGTAACATCTACCGCTGTATAATTGTATATGCTTCCAACCTGCGTAGATGCCTTGTCTGCCACATACGCCTTTCTGACGATCCGACTAGTTGCCTAATCTCTAATGCAACGATATAGGCCAGAGGGCCATGTGGCTCCCTAGCTGGACGCCAGTGTAGAGGATAAATATCGTATCCAAGTATGAGGTTGGATAGGAAAGATTTAATATTAAACTAGTTCTAATAGCCCTCCAGCGGCGACATATACAAGATAATGGTATCTGATGTTTATTCACGTTATACGCCACTTCCAATAGGAATAATTGATATTGAAATAGCCGAAATTTAGAGAAGGATCCAAAGTAAATAGCTGGTGATGGCCAGCTAACGATTATTTACAGAACGACTTGCAGCTTTTGCATCGCGAGATAATATTAGCGAGATTTGTGTCTTATTAGTTGACTGAAAATGTAGGGCCGATACAGCCCGAGCTGATGTCTGCATACTTAGCTTCATTGTAGGAAATGTCGCCCAATAAAATCCAGAATATGGGGTGGTCGTGCTGGGCATGTGGGGGTCTCTAATGCACGGATGATGTTTCAACTCCATTCTTCAGACTGCAGCTCTCTGTGGTGTTGGGAGACAAATCTGCCATAGATAGACTCTGTGACAAGAGTTGCATGTAACGATCTTCTATATGGACTCTATGCGTTGTCCACATGTATCTCGGACATTGGAATCTATGTGGGCAGCTGTAGGCCCCGCCATGAGAAACCAGACATGGCTGTTGCCCGGTATACCTCAACCCATTTATCCAAAAGGCCTAACTGTCAGTATGAAGTGAATACCCTTATTATAATACCCTAGGTGAGAAAAGATAGACACACATCTTCCTGGTGAACATGTGAAATTTCACCTGAACTGTCGAAAGCAAGCCCAATGTGCTTTGGCATCCTTTTACTACCTCACCCTTTCGTGGAAATACAAGACAATATTTTCAATGCAGGACGATCTACATCACGACTTTTTGGGAAATGGAATAACCGGCGCGAAGCGAACACCTCAGCTACTGCCACTTTGCACTAATGATACACCGACGGAATTTACATGATAAATCTGGATACGGCTTAGGCGCAGGGTTAGGGCTTGCAGAAGGCTTTCTTGAGTAGCTGTCTTGGCAATTACCACAATTATTTACCCATTGGAGACTTGTCCTTATATAGCGGCTTCTTGCAATTCAACATTCTTAGTGGATGCTAAGTTCAATCGCCTAGAATTACCATGCATTTAGGCATAATAGACTTAGTCATACCCGTAGCAAAGGTATCCACCCTGAGTGTTCATCACCTGCCCAATAGTAACATTAGGCTTGATGTTGAAGGACGACAACTCATAGTGCAGGGTTGCATTCTGCCAGCCACCGGCAGGTTCAACATTGGCAGTATGGTTCAAGGTAGGACCACTGATATCGTAGAGACGGTTGATCGGATCCTCCTTCTGCCACTTCCACCAAACACGGTCAATGTACATATGATGCATGAAGAAGATCGGGTCACCGGGGGAGGACTTTATATCAGCCATCTAAAAGGTGACTTAGTTAGCAAGGGGTAAATACACTGCAAGGTTTCAGAAGTTAATACGCACCACACCGCCGATGTAGGTGTGCACACCCTTATGGGGAATGTTGGAAATGCAATCCCACCAGGGCGAGAAAGTGTTGTAAGCGTTACAGTTGTTGAGGGCGGTGCTGTTCGCATTGGCAATCGCGTTCTCGTTGTCCCATGCACGGCGCAGACAATAGTCGGTGTCTTCGTCGCCAGGACCAATGTGCAAGGTGTAGTTGGCGAAACGACCGTCGGTCACACAGAGGTCTGGTCCGGTACCGTTTCCGCCAAAGGCATCTGGTCCCCACATGGATGACTGCCACATATTACCACTGTCGGCATCCTTCTGTTCGTCCCACCATCTGTAACGCAGCTTAGTATACGGGAAATAGGCGAAAGCAAACATGGTGAACGTACGGTATGGGTCCAGTATAGTTGCACTCATCTCGGAGTAAGGTCTCGTAGATGTGCATGTAGTAGCGGTGCCACGGGAGGAATTGGCCCTTTCCACATAATGGTTAGATACAATGGTAAGGACAAGGAGGGGTCGACTTACAACATGGTGAATGATATCCGCATGTGCAGTATTGGTCATTCCACGGTGAAGAGCTTGAAGGTCACTGAACCGACTCGTAGTAGCCGTCAGCCCGGATTTGGCAGGTTTGTCCATCAGGCATTGTACAGCATCGAGAAATTTGTTCTGCTGGTTCGCAGTCAGATGACGCCACTCCTTACGGATGGTCATCCTCTCTTTGCTACAGCTACCGGTGAAGTACTCGGGGATTATCTGGCTGGCAGTTTCCCGTTTGTCAATGTTAGACGACACCTTTGGGAAAGCAGCAGCAGATACACTGACTGCCAGAGTCAGTGCTGCGCTGAAGATTGAATATTTCATGATGAAACTTGAATAGACAAATGGCTTAACGAGTGACAGGCGTCTGGGCACGCCGGGGTGATGAAGAGATCGAACGGGTGACAACTGTCAAGAACAAATATGGGTCATGTTAAATGCAATCAGAAGGAAGTATCGTCTGCTTTATACTTCCCCTTCCTAGCATTGCAAACTCCGAATGTCCTTTCAAATCTTCCATGCCCCATACCAGCGCGTTGCGGGCTTGGCATGGGAAACCACGATTGCAAGCCCTATATTTGGCATTGGTGTGGGTGGATGATGAATCGGACTCCATCCGGGAATCCACATTATCTCCGCTTGCGTATTTCGTAGTTGCGATATACACGGGTCAGGTTCAACTATCACTTCGCATGACCATTCATAAAAAATTGCTGCCAATGTGGGACTTGACTGGCATCGTTGCATCTCAAAGCGTTCATGTATTCGAATAGCTCCAATCCTACAATGAGATGTCAGCGTTTATTCCAAGAGCCGTAAGGATATGAACAGATTAATTCCAGATGAAACGTGTGGCTGAACTGTGGGTGCGATACGGGTACATACACTAAGAAACGGTACATGTACTAGCCAACCTTCCGCATCCATTGCTCTTTTCGATCGTGGTTCTATCCATGTCGTTAGTATCAAAGTATTACCATTGAGCCAGTATTTTAGTGGCGTTAGTGTGAGGCGTGCAGATAACGCGTTGACGGAGAGCTCCGTGCGTATACGAGTGGGTGGCTTTCTTGGCACATTGAAAAAATCGGAAGACGCGTGGCAGCATCAGGCTAAGATATATGGACGAGATTCCATGTAGATGATCATTTCCTTCTAGAGAATGACTACTGCGAGACGATTGCAGGGCTGAATTTTTCGAGAACGTCTCTTTGCAAGGCCAGAATGCTTATCTGGATTGATCAACAAACTGCGATCGGCGGATGGAACATCCCGATGCCGTCTACCATTGATGTTTGTATGTAATTGTGTTAACAACTTTCCAGCTAGCACAAAAATAATTCAAAAATTAATAATAAAAAGATAGATAGACGGATCATTAAAAAAAAGAAAGATTTTCGAGCAAGACCTATGATAAAGGCATATTCATGCTGGTGGCTTATGTCGTTGGTGTACCTTTAGACCTCAGTGTTCTGAAGGGAAAGATCGAACCTGTTCTATTCTTTGCGTACAATAGCGTAGAAAAGGACGGAATAAACATGGACGCGACGTTTGAGATAGATGAGATCGACGTAATCATCCGGTCCCACGGTTATGGATTGCCAAAGTACTTTTGAGCCGGACGAGGATACCGGATTAAGGCTCCTGGGGTTCAACCCACTCGGCATAAATCACCGACTTTCTTCGCGCCGGGCCGAACCCAAGCCCATCTCTTGGCAACTTCTTGATGCGCGATGAGGATCAAAGACAACATTCTGCTCGGTAGCATGTACAATGGGAGTTCTGAGGTCTTCTTACTGATATATTCCTCAGAGTGTGCTTTGCTAGTGAAATAACTCATAACAATAGATACAACGATATTGGTGTGGACATGTCGAAAACAGATATCTTGATATTTCATTCATGGAAATATATATGGTGCCCATGCAGATGATGGATCTGTTCTCTATATGTGATCATGATCACTTGAAGCTCATTCAGAACACAGATAAGCGGGAATAAAGCTTTCGGGATTGCCTATCCTTGATATTAATCATCTTGGCCATTTATTGTGTCATGTCTCCCTCAGGGACTTCGTTGCTAAACTAGCCTGTTGCATCCTGGTCACGTGGTGACTGTCTGCAATGAATTCGTGTCAGTAAGTGCCAAGGCCCTTCCAAAGCTTGCTTTGGTTAGAAGCTTTAGGCCAACTGTTTGTCTCGAATCCTAAAGGTCTGATACAGCCAACCCACATGTCCATTCTAATGCTCTCCTTGAACAATATGGGTACTGTTATGATACATCATTGTAGTCGTATAGATATCGGTGTGGATTTAGTGAAGACCGATCAAGTTGTATAGATCTGACTCTGCCTACAATCCTGGGGAACCAATTCGCGGCCCGATATATTCCAAACAATTCCAAGGCTCCGGAGTGCATAGTATTGCTCATCACACTGAGGCTCTGGCCCTATATCAATTTGGACAGCCCTTTATAGCGCATAGCTTCTTTATCCCTTTTTGTTCTAGTCTGTTAGATCATTTACAGAGGACTCGTTCTATACGAGCTGCCCAATCACAAAGAGATAGTTTATTACCCCCCACTGACGACCCACCAACATACTAGTAGCCTTGTAAGCTGGACTAGAAGGTATGCACCAAGGCTGTGGCTATTGGCAGTGTTAGTGGCAGTTTACCTGCAAGTCTGCAAATTCAGAGTTTGAATGGCAGTTGCAATTGTGCGGCATGGTCTTTTTTTGCGACTAGTTATGTGACTGGGTCATTCTCTTTCAGAACTTTCCCCGCGGTATAACTCTACGATGTTCATAGTAGAAATCCAACCCATACAGGGGCGAGACTTCTCCTTAACTGCCATATTAACTTCTTACCGAAAACACTGATACAGACCCGGTTTAGAAAGATACACCTCAAGATACTGCTCGATCCAGATCACAAGACCAACCATACACGTGATCGAACTGGGCCCACTTTATTACCAGAAAAGGCTGGATGTTTCCTGAAGCAGTAATCCTCAGCCACGACCTAACCCAAGGCGGCATACGCGTTGTCCAATCAAAGTGTCCTTGTTAATTGCAATCGTTAATTGGCAGGGTGAGTTGCCTGGTTGCTTTCCTTGTTTCTCAAGATAAATTTTGCTCCCCGAGCCCCAGATCTAAACCCCTTTGATTCCAACAATAACGGAAGTACTCCGGAGTAACTCTAGAGCCCCCATTTTCTCAGGATGTTATAGACCCAAGTCCCACCTCCATAAGTTGCGTTGGAATAGCGGTAATTTTGCCTGACCATTGGAAGGCTGATATAGTGGCTGTATATGGGGGAAAACATCCCAGAGGCTCCATTGAATGGGAGATATGGTTGGTGGGTGCGTATTCCCGACATCCAGGCTACCGATGATAGCGTGCCACCGTAAAAGATCATTATTAGCTGTTCAAGGTACCCTATTGAGACAAAGATATTTTTCTCAGGGCCGAATCTAAGGTCATGCATGGTGGTATGTATGTACCATACCGGTCTTGTCCTGATGTATAGTCGCCTGATGAATCTAGAATCCTTCGCCATAGTTGCCGATATAGGATCGATGTCGCCCCCAACCTAACATGTCTCAAATACTTACGCCTCCAGTCGGTACCTCCCAAGTTGCTAGCCGTCCAGTAGTAAATGGACCCGATATGTTACGGTGGCATATGAGTATACAATGGTGAGAAAGCTTTTGTGAAATAACACACCTCAACAATCCGCATACACGGATGTGGTCATCTCTATTGTTGATAGTTTGCGGTATGAATGGGAATTTTGAAGGCATACTACCCCAAGTATGTATCTTTACTCATGTGCAACTTGGGATAAGTTCATTCAGGATGCAACCAACGGGAATTCCAACTCGTACGTGGGGGCCGGGGATGGCACGGTATAGAGATTGTGGAGCTCCTCGGCGACCCGGATTGTATTCCAGAGTGAGATAGCCACGGGGAGACCCTTGAATCGGCAAAGCGGTCTTCCAGGGTCTCCATCCCTGAACACCAAATTAGCCGAACAAAGCGAGCATTGCCTCGCCCGAAATCTATATAAGGAATGCTGTAACCTCAGTATTGCTTGATATCTTCTCACTCACGAGGAATCTTACCTCATAGAAGCAATCACCTTCAATCTCTCCTCACACCTCATCCATTTATTCCAATTCGCACCGGGAAAAAATGTTCGTCAAGAAGGCATTCCTCAGCCTCGCCATGGCAATGGCACCTACGACTGTCCTTGCCCTCGACGACTTCTGGCTGGGATCCTACTCCGGCGAAGGCCTCGCCGGCACCTGGGGAAACCCTGGCTCGCTTGGTATGTGTTACTATACCATTGTCGGCAAGGGCGTGAACCAGTGTGATGCAACCCGACTGAACCCGTCGGATGGGTCGGGCGGCTGTCCTGGACAGAACGGCCACATGCCCAATTTCTGTCATATGGCTATTGCTGGCGCTGGCGTACCCAATGGCTATCAGCTCGGTATGTAATCTGAGAACTTCACGAGAAGGTTGTTTACTAAATGACGCTCTAGATCGCAACGGGGGGAACTGTCCGATGGATAATTCCCGCTCTGATGGAACATGGTACGCTGACGTGGTCGACACCAACAATGGCAACGCAAAGGTTGGCCGTTGTGTCTATGAGTTCTGGAAAGGCCCCAACTGTGCCTCTACCGGCAGCTTCCTGACTGAGACCTTTGTTCACTGCTACCAGGACTAAGTGAGGCGTTCACAGAAAACGGCATTGGTGTGGAGGGTTTGGGGGATTTGCTTAGATCTAGGTGTGGGAGCTGGGCCTTGTTGGTATGTACATGTACATACATACACCAAAAGCGATAGTAAATGTAAAATACAGTAATTGTACGCAATGCAAATGTCTTACTTTGGGCAATGGCGCTTTGCGACGGGGTCCTTCATACTAAAACAGGCGCCGACTTACTGTAGGAAATGTAAATGAGAAACTTGTCCGGAGATAATTAAGACCATGGATCCTGTATAGTATTCGATATAGGATAGTTAAGTTTGGTTTAAATGTAATCTTGTCAGAGGATTGGGGAGGATAAGCTAATGTATTGGAGGCAGAAAGTGCACCAGACTAGATTGAACTCCATCACGAAGTGAATTGACCGGTTCATCTTCTGTCGTACTCCTGTTACATGTTGGAGGTAGAATAGTATTGTTACTGAGATACTTTGGACATGAAATCAGCGATTGGTGAAAGCAATCCGAACGATTGATAATTTAAGTTGGCCCGAAGTATAAACCACATATGTATTCCCAGTGGTCCGGAGGTATTGGCCCATCGAGATCGTACAATATCCATGGCTAGGATGCAATGTATACTACTAGTAGTACCATATTATTGATCGATCAAAGCTTGTTGATTTTCTATGTAGTGTCCCGCTCGGCCCGGGCCGAACCACCAGTGCGAAATCGATGAAACGTCGCGACTACAAGTGTAACATGATAAACTTGCTCTGCTAAAGAGCTGTGAGAATTACTACATACTGTGTGATTTCTAACACGATCGGGTGCCATGATTGGATAATAGAATGGCAATCGTCCCATGAGTCGTTGCCACTTATGCCATTAGGATACCGAGATATCCCTCTCGAGTCTCCATCCATGTAGGCAAGGAGACCCTTTTGCTTCGTCACTGCCCCTCAGATGAGATAACTAATTGGTCCATCTATAATGAACGGACGGGGGGATACTTATTTGCTAGAGACCTAGGGAACATGGGCCCCGCATTCACGTTTTGAACAATCAATGAATGGCCACGACTGGAATCAAACAACGTCAGGACTGAGGGGTACAAGAGCATCGTATGACCCCACAATAGAGCTGGCGAGACGAACACAAGTCGGGCTTGGGGCGGGGTCTGAACCTTTACTTGTGATAAGAGTGCAGGGGTTATATGCATGTCTCAGTTCCGCCGAGGGAAAACTTTGCCACCTATTTGGAATTCGTTTTCGTCAAGCCGATGATTAGAGGGAAACTGACATTATGGAATAAAGTTCAATAATGATTTATTTTACATTGGGACCAATCTATCAGACTCCATGCTGCACGAATATACCCATTTCGGCGGCTAGTAGGTCTGAGGGTGATCAGTGCTATCGTATACCATGGAGAATTCAGAATACAAAGTAGGCTAATTTTGCTTTGTCTCCACCTTATAAATCTAGAGCACCTAGCCCATTTACGGGCTGCGATATATTTTCAAGATGGTAGGGATGTATGCTGTGACGGCCAATGATCCCTTTCAGTAGATAGGAGACTCCATGCGGGTCTAGTATTATGAGGAGGGATTATATACGATAGAATCAGCGTAGCGATGTTTCATCACCGTAATCTGCAGCACAAACCTGTTTCCCTAGGGGATATACCGGAGTTCGACGTCGTACTGACGAATTATAGAGTGGAAGGAGAGATTTCAGTTGACGGTATCGATCACACAATAGTATATTCCACATCGAGACCATGTCATTGTTATCCATGTTAACAGGAAAAGAGGAGTTAATGACGTCTGTAGTATGGGAAAAAGCCTGTGGAGATGGCAGCCGGATGTGTATAAAGGCAGCCTTCAAAACCCGAGTAGTCCTTCTCTTCAGGCAGTGATTCTCATGCTCAAGAAGAAGCCCTAGCACATCAGCAATTAAAAAACCTTTCCATTTCCGCATTGTCTATACTTGAAGGTTTGACACGGAAATATGGCTCTGGCGTACCCCGAAGGCGAGTGCTTCTTCAAGCGCTCCGCATTGAACTCCAGCAACAAGAACTTCTACCAAGCCGATCGTGCGGACCATTTCTATGGCCATTTCCTCCTTGAGTTCATTTGGAACGTGCCCAGTCACACCGGGGATGCCGCACGCAAGACTCGTAAGCACCCGCGTTCCACATACCACCTGAATGACCTGAGTTATTGGACGCCACCGCCGCTTATGAGGAAGACAAACGGTCCCTACATCGGAAGCTGGTCACAGCTGCCGTTCGTTTACGGGTCGCACTACTCTAAAGGGAAACAGCGCCGTATGCAGCATAATCTCTGCACAAATGTCGACCGGCTGCAGGCCCAGATGAAGGGTGGAGCTATGGAGGTGAGCCTCGCATGTGTCTCGTAATTTGGTGGCCATAACTTACTTACAGCCACTTTCTAGTCCTGGTTCATGATCATGCCGATGCCCAAGAGGCAGGAAGGCTGGGTCTTCATTGATGTCAGTACACCTGCTCCCAGTCACCTGTTGTTGATGCTAACTGCTGCACTTGCTTTGTATCTCAATAGCGCCTGACCAATATCCGAGGCATCTATATCCCAGTAGCACACCAAGCGTCTGAAGACCATCCGGAACTTTGCACATTTGTGCATGTCAACCTTGCTGCTGCAGACACCAATGTCAATATGTTTCATCACATGGGCAATGCGAAGAACCCCAAAACATTTTGGAAGCCGGTGACCCTGAAGAAGACACTCGGCCTGCCGGACTGGGGTAGCTTGACCGTGGGGTTCAATATCAACGGCCTTGTTAATCTTCTCTCACTGCCCCGCCAGCTACGTGCTCAAAATGCCTTCACCTCGAAGAATATCATTATTGTCGATAGTGATATTGTGGCAAGCCCAAAGCTCGAGCGAAGCTTTAACGACGACACAGACTTTGACTGGGCTCAGGTTGCCCGTGCAAACTTTGGCCTGAGTATCCAATGGAAGCCTGCCCCACAAAAGCAGGACTGGTTGGAGAACTTCTTGAAGAACTCTTTGACTATTGCTGTCGGCTTCATCCCCGGCATTGGGCCCATTGCGGCTATTGCGTTCCCGTTGATCTGGACGGCTATCGCTGACCCGGACTCATTCGTGGATACCTGGAGGAATCTCTGTCCCGGGGTGGATCTGCAGCTGAAGCTCCTGGAGGCTATCAAAGATAGCGCTAAGGAGACTCGGGAATACCTGCCAGATGGATGGGAGAAGACTGCCCTCGGTCCTAAGTTCCTCTCCCGTCCTCCTACCGGTGGAATGAAGGTAGCTGCTTTGGTTGCTGAACCCGGCAACGAACAGGTGGATCTGGATTCAGAGGCTCTTATCGCCAATGAACTAAAGGCCTTGATAGGCGAGTCTTCCGATGGACTTGGCAAGGCCTTGGATTCTGGGAGACCAGAGGACCAAATTGTCATCCTGGAGGCTGATATGGAGGTTGTTGGAGATGGTAAGGTCGAAGGAAATGACCACCGCCTGGATGACCAGGTAGGAGCGGAGCTCGTCCCCGATCAAGTGACTCTGGATGAGGTCGGCCCAGACATGAGCTTTAGACTGGCTGAGCAAGCCCTGAAAGAGACTGCGAGGTCAGAGGATGAAAGTGAGTGGAAGAAGCTCGTGGACAACGCCAAGGAGACAGCCAAGGATATAGCGTCCAAGCTGCCCAGCCTACCTGGAATAGGACACAAGGACAAAGGTTCCAGCAACGACAAGCAGAATGACACTACTGACGACCCCACTGTGAGCGATGGGCCCGTTAATGATTTCAACTGGATGGATGAATACTTCAAAGCCCTGTTTTCGGGCACTCTTCCACTTGAAGGACAGGCGTGAGATAGTGCACATGCTATTCCTGAGAACAGAAATACCCCAATGTTGACGGGGACTATGCAGTGACAGGACCGGATGTTTAACCATCGCTCCGCCCAACGGTAGTTTTCTTATAGTAGTTTAGTTACAAATGTTTATGACCTGCTTGCACTGATTGAACAAGACTATAATACTATGTGAGTTGAAACTGGTACGATGCAAATTTAGTTAAAACTAAACCTGCCTTTTATTAATTCTCGAGTAAAAGAATCAACGATGCCAATATAATGGCCAGGTGCTTCATATGGCCGTTGCTATCGACCACTCATGGGCCCCGTTTCCGGATAGAGAGGAAAGGGTCCCCTGCGACCTTGCCATTTTTGATATAGTCATAATATTGCCGGTTTACCTGGGCAAAAGAAAGAAATATTTGGTTCGCATCTTGTGATATGAGGACTCGGCTTCATACGTGAGTAATTGCCATTATAAAGTGGAAGTTGGATAAGACTCACTTTCCATTTAAAAGCATCTCAGCATCCCCAGGAAATTGTTTTAGCCACCCGACCATCTCCGCGGCCTCTTGCGCAGTGATTTTTGTATCTGTCGATACGCTTTGGTTCCGTTGTACTTTTTTGACCTCTAGAAGGGCTCGAAGGCTCCTCCCTAGCCGTGTCCATAAAGCCCCGTCGGTCCCCACGGTGTACGAGGCAGAATTAAACGTTGCCTTGAGTACAACACGCTTCATTGACCATTCAACACTGCGCGGCTTCAGCAGATTCGCAATGGCTTCGAGAAACAGTACAAGTGCCGCGTTTACATTGTTTTCATCATCTGCTCCATATTGAACACCCATCGCGTCTGGAAAAACCCATAGATGGGAGGGGCTTGTTGTGAGGATCATCAGTGTCCACTGTAATTTCATAGTCTGGGCAAATCTTTATCTCTGAGAGACAATTAAACAGCCGTGCATCTTTTGGCCTTGATCCCAAGGCTGGGGTGTTGGAGGTTCCACCCCACCCGCATCAGTACATAGCGTAATATCACACTTTTGACAATCAATTAAACTTGAGGAGGCTGGCTTGCATTGGCGTCAAGACCGCAGCAACGGATCTGCGCTCCGAGAAGGGGGTTGCCATGGCCGCGAGAAGTACGGCATTGACCCTCTACAATCACTCACAGGACCCGGGTAAGGGGATTTCGAGATGCGTGTACCCAACGACCGAGAGCAAGCTGTACGCATTTCTGTTGAAACTGTATGGTAGAAACCTGCGAGGCAACGCCGACAATGTGTCCACAATAGAAGAAAACGCTCATACGGACCTTATTACTGGATCGTAGTGGAAGGGAGTGTTATGTAGTCATATATTTAAGTTTTTATATACATTCAAGGGGCCACTGCCTGAGGAATACAGAATGTGGGAAGTCACTATAAGCGAGCACTCTATCACCATTTAATCTAGGATTAGCAAGTGAACACATGTAGCATTCACACTGATTCTTCACAATATCCCTGGCTCGTACGGTACGCGAGTGCTCAGGCTGTTGGTATTGAAATTTATGTCTTTTCCTTGCGGGTAATTCGAGATATGCAGTTCACAAGAGATGCAGGCTTTGGGCATTGTCATGGCCATCTACTATATGGATGTGGATATAAATAGCTATTTGGGATATGGATGGAAGAGATGAACTACAATTTGAATTCCCTGCTCTCGGCATAATGAATATTCACTGACCCTGACGGGGAATGCAGTACAAATATGGATAGCTAGGATGTTGTCCACCGCCATTCAGGTCCTAAAACTACTGGGACTGCTAGTACTACCTGGATGCTTGGAATTTATATTGCCCCGACCCAACCTCTCTCGTCACATTCCCATACGGCAATGTAATGACAGCGTTTGTGTTGGGTGGAACGGTGACCTCCAAGTCAAAGCTATCCCCATTCAGCTCCCACCTGGCACTGACTTCACCATAGGGACTGATAAAGCGAGACTTGGCACTGGTAATATTACCTCCCGGAACGGGCGCAATCTTTATCTTTTTCCACCCAGGCTCCGCAGGAGCAAGGCCCCCAATAACTTGGTGAATCCAATCCGCAACAGACCCAAAGGCATAGTGATTGAAACTTGTCATTTCGCCAGAGTTGACAGACCCATTCTGCAAGAGGCTGTCCCAGCGTTCCCACGTCGTAGTTCCATTCTGGACCACTTGATATAGCCACGACGGGACCTTTGTTTGAAGGAGCATGCTGTAGAAGTCGTCTGTAGCGCCAATCTCAGCCAAAGCAAATCCTAGGGGAGGGGTGCCCGCGAAGCCAGTGCCAACGAGGTAGTCATTGTCAGCGATTATGCTGCGCAGGGTATCACCGGCTGCGGATCGCTCCTCTTCGGTTGTAAAAAGGCCGAAGTGCAACCCCAAAGCATATGCTGTTTGAGTCTGGTTTGCCATCGCACCATCCGTCAGCCATGCCTTCCGGAACTCATCGACCAAGTTGGTGTGCTGTTCACGGTACTTTGTCGCCAAGTCATCATGGCCAAGGGCAGAGGAGATATTGACAAGAAGCTCGGTCATTCGCACTAAATAGGCGTCGGCAACAAGGTGGGTGGCCGTGGTGGCATCACCCGGGTTGTCTGGGGGTGACTTCGGGTCCAGCCAGTCCCCGTACTGAAAGCTGTCTCTATCCCAAAGGCCAGTATCTTCACGAGGGATACCAGTATCGATCCAGCCCCGGGCCTGCGCAAACTGCTCTGCGAGTATATCCAGGTCCCCATAAGCTTGATAATGGTTATATGGCCCAGCAACGGTGACATCGCCCCAGACAGCCGCAGCTCCCTGCTTCGAGTCTGCGTTTGGCGGAACAATAGGGACAAAGGGTGGTACACTCATTGATCCGTTTACCTGCATCTCAGACCAAACATCGCGGTGCCAGCTTCGCCAGAACCCAGCAGTATTGTAGAGATAATCAGCAGTAGGCCCAAAGGCATGTGCATCTCCAGTCCACCCCAATCTCTCATCGCGTTGCGGGCAATCCGTCGGGATAGAAATGAAGTTGCCTCTCATTGACCATAGGACGTTCTGGTGGAATTTATTGAGGAGCGCATGGGAGCAATCAAACCAGCCAGTGTGTTCCATGTCACTGTGCACAACGACGGCTGTGATGGAATTTCCGTCCAGCGGTGTCGATGTCTCCGGCCACCCGTCCACCTGTGCATACCGAAAGCCGTGCGTAGTGAACCGTGGCTCCCAAGTTTGGATACCATTGCCGTTCAGAATAAACGAGTCGGTGGCTTTGGCAAAGCGCAGTGGCCGAAGCGCAAGTTCACCATTTTCTAAGACTTCGGCATGATGGAAAGTGATGTTTGTGCCTCTCGGCCCGGATACCGAAATCCTAAGCCTACCAGCCACGTTCTGACCGAAATCGAGGAGCGTTTTGTTTGACGGGGACTTGAAGATTCTTTGAGGCTTAACCTCCTCAACCCTCCTGACTGGTGGGCCGTCAGGGGTAGTGAGCTTCCCTTTCAGTGCGGGCAATTTCTTGACTGCCAGCCAATTGGTACCGTTGAACGATCCCGAGGACCATCCAGCAATCCGGGCCTCAAGCCGTGAGTCGTAGGTCTCCCCGTTATAAATTTCAGAAGACACTGTGGGACCGGTATTTGCCTGCCAAGATGCATCGGTCGGGATCTCGAGTTTGGTACCATTTTCCAGCATAACAACAAGCAAGGAAAGAAGACCGATTGTGTCTCCGTAGTTATTCCTATACTGGTTACCAAAGCTAAGCATGCCAGAGAACCAGCCCTCTGCGACGGTAGCGCCGATTCCGTTGTTGCCTTGCTTGATAAGGTCGGTCACATCATAGGTATCGTAGACATGTCGATTATTGTATGATTGCCACCCGGGTGCCATAACGCGGTCGCCCACTGTTTGTCCGTTGATCTCAGCCTCATAGACCCCTAGTGCGGTGATATACAACCTTGCAGATTCGATTTCTTTGTCCACCGCAAATGACTTTCTAAAGTATATCGGACGCTTAGGTCCGTTCACTTCAGTCTCGCGGTCAGCAGCAATTGGGATTGCGCTACCCCAGTCCGTCTCGTTCAATAGCCCCGGCTCGACTGACGCCCAGTCAGACCATGGCGTAGAAGCTTGGTCCTGATTTCCATGGGCTCGTGCCCGGACTCTAGCCTCCTCGGCTGTCTCCAGAGCAGTGTCTGGCCATGGGACGAGAATGGAGTCGGACGAGTCAACAGAGAAAACCTGTGGCACGCCGTTTCGTAGTATCTCAATATCATAACCGGACTGTGTCCAGTTCGGTGCAACACCCTCGAATCGCCAAGAGATGCGAGGTTTGGACTCCGCAATTCCCAACGCTTCGCGGTGGTGCTCGAACGATAGCTGCGATATCGAGACTGCCATCCTTTCGAAAACAAAAAGACAAAGACTGGTTCAGGTCAGTCTCCACATAGGGATCCTATTGCCTGAAGACTACGAAGTGGGTATTATGATCACTGACAAGATCTGTGTTCAAATACCATTCCGAAACACACAGCAACCCTATATGACCGCATGATATTCACCCGACCACCGAAGGTCCCTGCCATCTAGCTACAGCAAATACTTCCTCCGCCATGCTCAGGGTACCTCTGGAGCCGTTCTCCAATAAACGCTGGGCCAATCGTTGTTCAACGCTTACCCTGATGCTCTTCATTTCACCTACATTTGACGACTCCTCCCAGGGGCGGCGGAATTTGCCGGCCTCCCTGCATGAATAATGTGGGGTATCAGTCACACAGTTCCCATCGTCCTGCGGGGAATCTGGGGAGCACCCGATGTGGACTGTCGATCATCAGACTTCCGAGTCAGAGACTTGTTCGTTACGGTCCGAGTTATCTTGGCCATCGGGGTGCATTGAGCCGAGGGGCGAGGCTGCCTCCCAATGGATTAGGTCGATTTATCGGACTTTCCGATCGCTCATAACAGGGCGTGTAGTTGAGACAGAAAGGGCAGGAGAGAGCGGAATGTGGAATTGGAGGAGCTCTGGCGCTTAAAGCCACCAGCCACCTTTCATTTACTTCTGAAATGTTTTCAATATTTACTTTACTGCCGACTACATCATGCAATATCTCAGCAGTACAGAAGTCACTTCTTTATTGGGATTCCGACATACTTGAAACCCTTTCATTGAACGAAAATAGGAAGCGTAGCTGTTGTCCGGCTTGCGTAGGACAGTGTTACGGCACTATTGATTGTTTCTTGTTTTACCATTTGGTCTGTTCCAACCCTGCAATGGTCCTATACATACCTGCGCATTATTTAATAGTGGGAGAGGAAGAGAAAGAATAGAGACGAGAGGAGAAAGCCACAGATATCGAGCTTGGTGGTGGCCTTTAGAAGGGCAACCTCCCAGTTCGGCTGAAACTTGTTACTGCATTAATGCGCGGAAAGAGAGCGAAGCTTTGTAAACTAAGCAACAAGTGATAACCTACATAATCTTGTACATAGGGTGCTTGCGTCACAAGGCATAGGAGTTCCATTCTTACTGCGTGAGCGGCGGTTATAGAAATTACCCTGGCCGGGCTTCGGTATGATTAACGGAGTCTGCTCCGTACCCGAGTCGGAAGGATTAGAGAGCTTGTCGGGTAATTCTGACACCCAGTCGTACCTTGTTGGTGGGCCATGATGCATCAGTCAGATCATCTAAGATAGATTGCAGCACAACCCCTCAATCTCGACTCCACTGTTGTCTTACCACTGCGCAGCCTGTTTAAATATTGCGTCGAAGCGCAGCTCCAAACGCAGTGCTTGATCTTGTTCTTGTCAGAGAGTCCACACAGATAGAAGTCGTCAAAGGTATGATTTTCGGCTTCTTAATCGCGGGCCTAGGCCAGGCAGCTGTGGCTGCAGCATCCTTACAAATCGTAAGCATTCAGTCGCGGCAGAGTTAGTATAGTTCTGATGCTAACTTAAGCATAGGTTCCTGGTGCTACGTGGACGGCGGCCGGCACCAACCAACATGTCCAGGCCCATGGTGGAGGTATAGCGCATACAAGCCATCTAGCTATCCTGTAACACCGAGTTTCATAATAATGGAAATCAGGGATTATCGAAGTCGATTCGACGTACTACTGGATTGGCGAGAACAAGCTGGACGGAAGCGCCTTTCAGTCCGTCAATTGCTACTCGAGCAAGGTAGGTGCCTACTAAAAAGGAGTTTACCAAAATGATTTACATTGCATCTAATACTCTCCACGACAGAACCTGGTGGAGTGGACATTTGTCGGAGAGCTCCTTTCCCGACAGAGCAGTGGAGACCTCGGCCCCGATCGCATCGTCGAGCGACCGAAGGTGATCTACAATGACGCCACATCCAAGTATGTACTGTGGATGCACATCGATAGCAGTGACTATGGCGAGGCAAAGACCGGTGTTGCAACATCTTCGAGCCTCTGTGGCACATATGAATATTTGTAAGTACACCTGTCCGCAACTCGCACTGCATCAGGCCCTGGGACTTATGGATGCGTATCCAGGGGTTCGTTCCAGCCTCTCGGATATCAATCGCGAGATATGGGTCTTTATAAGGATGATGACGGTACGGGATATCTTTTAACGGAGGATGTGAGTGACTAGTGGAGTTAAGGGAGACTTGCATATCAAGATAACTAAACACCTCTCAGCGTCCGAATGGTTTGAGGATCAACAAACTGACAGACGATTTCACCAACGTGACCGAAACGATTCATCTCTTCGCAGAACATGTGGAGGCCCCAGCTTTATACAAACAGGACGGAGTATACTTTTTATTTGGATCTCAGTTAACAGGTCATTCTTCCACCTCCCTTGTCCGAAAACCCATGTCGTTGGCTAACAGGTGATGTAGGATGGTGTACGTTATGACGTGTCGCCCAGCACAATGTGAGAAGTCCTGCTGACTAGTAGAGCAGCCAACAACGACAATAAATATGTTACTGCAACAAATCTCAGTGGGCCCTGGACAGACTGGGAGGACTTCGCGCCAAGTGGAGCCAACACGTTCGAGTCTCAAACGACGTTCATCCTGGGAGTCGGCGACTCTGTCATGTAAGCGGATCCAGCAAAATGCACTGTAAGACAGCATATTCTAATTTCCACAGGTACATGGGTGATCGATGGGATTCTTCGAATCTCATGAGATCGACTTACATTTGGCTCCCCTTGACAATTGAAGGCACCACTGCTAGACTGGTATTAAAGTCTCCCCTTGTCTAACAGGCTTTGGATATAATTTGAAATTCTAACGATGTCCATATTTGGATAGAATGACGAGACAGCCTGGGTACTACCACTTCACGGAACATGGTCCTCCGCCGGGGATGGATCCTCCTACGAAGCGGAGTCGTCCGACAATGCCCTTTCCAATGGTGCCAAGATTATTTCCTGCAGCGGCTGTTCTGGCGGAAAGTCTGTCGGCTACATTGGTGGCCCTGATGATGGAACGGTGGAAATTAGCAACATAGCTAGCGAGGCGTCAACAGAGACCACCATCCGTGTCCGGTATGCGAATGGAAACAACTCCCAGCGCTTCGCCAACGTCACGGTCAATGGTCAATCTCATGTGCTCGCGTTTCTGCCTTCTGGGAGTGGGAATACGCCGTTCACCTCGACCCTTCATACTGCTCTCGAGCAGGGCGACACAAACACCATCACGTTCAGTGCGTATGAGGAAGGATGGGGTAAGTTGTGTCCCTCCCTGTATGTTCATAAATAGCCAGCTAAACGGTATTGACTAGGTCCCGATCTTGATGAATTAGTTATCTCGGAGTAGACATTTGGAATGGTAGATGTTGGTGCAAGCGACAGAAAATATATTTCTTGAGATATAACCATGTGATCACACCCTACCCTAGGATGTGGCGATAATCGGAGATATTTTGATCTCGATTGCAATTCAAGTTCCTCTCTGTACGGTTGTGTATAGAACTGAAACTCATGTGGAGAAATGTGCCTAATCAATTCACGACGTAACTAACACGAGAGTTCCCCGACTTTCTCGAGATCTTCTTAACGCTAGTCGGTCCACACCGATCCGTAGTATCGACATGTGTTCCTCCACAGGGATAAACCTCGGTTCCAACAATGTTGACCACGCGGAATTTCTCCCCGGGCATCAGGCTCCGGTCGGGAATCAATCGTTCGAGACCCTTTTCCCGAAACATGGCTTCATCCCACCACTCAACCTGGACCGGTCGCTTGTCGGCGATATATTCATCTACCCGTTTCTGGATCGGCTCTTTCCACTTCCCTTCGATCAGACCTTGAAATTCACAGGATGCCGAGCCCGGAAAATGCGACGCTTTTAATTCATCAAAGTCCTTGACCTCCTTCTCTAGAAGATGCCTCACAGCAGCACCAAGGACATGGCCGGCGGTGTGAAGCCGCGAATGCAGCAGGCGCTTTTCGGCGTCGACTTCTTGTCGGACAGTCTCGCCCTGCGTAAACATGTGCGATACACCGTCGCCGAATCGGCCGAGGTGTAGGACCTGACCTTGTCCGGTCGCATCCATGCGCACAGCTGTCACCGTAAACGTGGTTCCTGCGGGTCCTGTCATCGTGCCCACGTCGGACGGCTGGCCGCCCCCTTGGGGGTGGAAGATTGTCTTTGCTGTGATGATGACATGGTCATCATCATTTCCCGCGGGGAATAGTTGGCGGTTAGGATCCTCTAGGTCATTGAAGCCATAGATTTTTGTGACAGGTGTGTCAAGGGAGAGCAGGTTCCAGTCGTGCTGGTAGGCGAGGAACGTCCGGCTAGACGCGGCCATTGTAATTTTGCGTGCGGAAGAATGTAGCCAAGAGTAGTCACAACCTGGGTTGCGGGGTTGGCCGAGTCTCGAGTTTTTGGGCACTGATTTCGTGGGTTGGCGGACGCGGGGAAGGAGAGAATACCCACTGGCCGCAACCGGAAGGGGAACTTGGTCCAATTTCACCTCGATTGAGTCCGAGACATCAATGTGGATGCTGTAATCAAAACTCGATGGAGAGAGACTAGAGACGTGGAAGGAAGGAGATTGCGACCTTTGTGGGGCCAGTCCGTCGCCAAGGCTGGGAAATGCAGTGGTGCCTCATAAAACCAGTTGGTTAGAAAGGAGCTAACAAAAGACCAGGACTCCAAGAGATCTTCACCGGTAGGTAACCGGCCCGGTGAGCATCATGAGTAGAATTGTGGGACTCACGCGGGGTAAATATGACAATCAGGGCTGTTCAACATCAAGGTTTGCTGTAAAGATGCCAGATACACGCAGAGGCGCTATTAAGCTTACCCCGGAGTACGATGTCATTGGCGTCTGAGCTTGGTGAGGTTGTCCTACATGTAGTAGAAGTGGAATACCTGTCCAAACGACTCGGTCGCCTCCGACTCGAGATCACTTGAAGAAAATGTCTAGGTGGTCATGTTATTGTATATGGGTAGCCTCGTACGATATGCTTTGGGTTCTCGCCATCTAAAAAGATCGTTACATCAACTATCATCCGCGTAGGGAGTAGATCAGATCTTGGTAACGTGATGGTTTAGCCCTACCCTTCGGAAGCATTGGCTCGAAGTAACAGACATGCAAGACGCGGGGTTGCAAAAGGCTTGTTCCCTGTGCCGAGTGCGGCGGGTACTTCCCGTAAATTACACCAAGAATGCTGCAAATGGACGGACTATACGAGGGTGCCAACCCGCAATCGACTTCCGGTTTGCTTCCCGGACCCATTTCCACGAAAGTCAGACAGTAATTATTATGATAAAATTGGAAAGCACAAGCAAAGATGTAGTCTCTGTCAATGTAATCAGCAATCCATTTTTTCCTCCAATAGATAGAAGCGAACCTACATATCAACGAGGAGAAATTGGCCGTTAGCAGACCGATTGCGGGAGGGATACTGCGGAAAACGGAGCGGAGTTGGTGGAGTAGGCAAAAGTGGACAACTGATCGAATTTACGGAGTATGGTCGGGAGCTCGTATAGCATTTCCCCGGATCTTGCAGTTGTGGATATCATATTCGGCTTCTTATTTGGGTAGCCTCCGCGATGTGGAGAGGAAATAGGTGGGCTTATATCCAATACCTCGTACGTAAACTGGGTATTGGGTAATGATGACAACTAAGAAATCAAGCCTGCTTGATAAGAGGGCACGAGATCTGCATATAGCCCTATTTCATTGTCATCCAATGGGGTAATATTATTGCTTCTATAGCTCCACATGCGTCTGTATGTATATTTGGACGTGGCCCACCCCCCAGTCAATGTATCCGACCCAGCTGCACTGGATATCTTGGATTCAGTCTTCACCTCACAATTGTACATAGCTGTGAAGCATATGGTATCACGATGACTAGCACGGAACAGGAAATCAAAGAAGGCCATGATGCTAAGAACCAACCGTCGAACACTGCCGATGCCTTGGCGGGGGATGTTGAGGAAGCAAATGGTAATACTCTTAAGAGGGCCCTCGAAGGCCGACACATACAAATGATCGCTATTGTAAGTTAATGTTGTCCCCATCGATGATTTCCCTACGTGCGATGAAGCTATCGATACGTATAGCAAGAATCCACTCTTGGCAGGGGATAGTCAACAAGGGTCGAACCGTACTAACTCATGGTTATCACTTACTAGGGCGGTGCAATCGGTGCAGGTCTGTTCGTTGGCTCAGGTGAAGCACTTGCAAATGGTGGCCCTGCCTCGGTCCTGATCGGGTATCTTGTCGTTGGGGTTCTGCTGCTGTGCACAATCATGTCTCTCGGAGAACTGGCCATCATGTATCCGATTAATGGAGCGTTTTACCAGTACAGCGCTCGGTTCATAGATCCTTGTTGGTTAGTGTTTGGCTCGTAACCCCACTGACTTACTTTTGTGATAACTAACAGGCCCGATCTATACAGGGGCTTTGCAATCGGTTGGGCGTATTCGCTAGGCTGGCTTGTCACTTTGTAAGCGTTTCTGCCTTACGATTTGCGTTTTCCAGGATTGACATATTTAAACGCAGACCCTTTGAGATCACCGCGGCCAGTTTGACAATCGAATACTGGAACTCGAGTTTAAACCCCGCAATCTTCGTCAGTATTTTCCTAATAGTGCTGGTCATAATTCAAGTATTTGGAGTACGTGGTTATGGAGAGGGTAAGTCATGCTCAAGCCCCATTCAAAAAGAAAATGAACCCCTGAACTCACAGCGCTGTTACAGTTGAATTCGTTCTTTCTATCATCAAGGTAATAGCCTGTATAGGATTGATTATTCTGGGGATCATCATCAACACGGGCGGTGTCCCTGGCAGCCCGCAAGGATACATTGGTGGGAAGTATTGGCGTGATCCAGGGGCCTTTGCAAACGGGTTTAAAGGGTTCTGCGCGGTGTTTGTGAATGCGGTAAGTAGAACAGCCCTCGGCCATATCTATGTACTGACCGTTGTCAAGGCTGTAGCTTTTAGCGGCACGGAATTGGTCGGTCTCGCAGCGGCGGAGACAAAACACCCCCAGAAATCCCTTCCCACGGCCACAAAGCAGGTCCTGTGGCGCGTAACGATATTCTACATTGTGAATCTCCTTATCGTCGGTCTCAATGTTCCATACAATAGCCCACAGTTGCTCGGTTCGGATGACGCAGCCAGCTCTGCGGGAGTCAACACCAACGCCAGTCCATTTGTGCTCGCCATTCAAGATGCTGGCATCCACGTCCTGCCCTCAATCATCAACGCCGTGGTCCTGATTGCCAGTCTGAGTGTGGCAAATTCATCTACATTCGCCTCAACAAGAACATTACAAGCCCTAGCAGCTGATGGAGGTGCCCCGTCATTTTTCGCCTATATCGACAAGGCCGGACGCCCACTAGCCCCAATTGCTCTTCAAGTGCTTTTCGGCTTCCTCGCATACCTCCAGTTCGCATCATCCGGGCTTACTGTATTCAATTGGCTCCTTGCTATTGCTGGTGTCTCAACCGTGATGATGAACCTGAGCATCAACGTCGCTCACCTCCGATTTCGTCTAGCTCTCAAGGCCCAGAATCGCAGCACGGACGAGATTCCATGGAAGTCCTCTTTGGGTACAGTGGGAAGCTCCATCGGCGCTTTTCTATCCGCCATATCTCTTATCGCAATGTTTTACTCTGCGCTATACGTAAGTTACACCTCTACAAAACCGAGTCTTTGTTCGCCGTAGCCATCCTCGTGAAAGATAAATGCTAAATCTGTCGATTAATAGGCACCGGGCGGAGACCCTCCTAGCGCATTCAATTTCTTCCAGCAGTATCTCGCTGGATTCATCGGCGTCTTCCTGATGATTTTCTGGAAACTGTGGAATCGGCAATGGTGGGTTTTGGTCCCGCTCCGCCAGATTGATTTAGACTCTGGCAGGCGGTTTATGGAAATGGAGCAGGATACTCCAGAGGAACCGGGAGACAATCTTCCCTGGTGGAAGAGGGCAAAACAGTCACTTTGCTGAGCGACTGTGCCGCGGTAAGATTTTCACGACGTACAATTTACAGCCGTGAATGATGTAAGAGCCGTCCCCCCAAGGACGTGACGATAGATGAGACGACGCTTGAGTCAGTGGATGATTTGTTTCGATGACACTAGTACTGAATCTTACTGGGATGGTTAGAGCATAGACAGCATCTCATTGATATGTGTATACTGCAAGTAGAAACGCAAATTTAATCGCTTCACGATTCCTATTACACGTTCCGTATATAGCTAGAGTTTGCAAATGACCCCAGAAGCGTCGACAGTAGCAAGATGACTTCGACTAATATCTTTAATACTTTTGCAACTGTACGAAGTGTCAGTATCCGCCCCTCAGAATCGGCCCACCAACTTACCCAGCTAAAGCCATTGTGACTTTCAATTCAGTGAGAAGAATCTGGATGGCGAGCTCTACGCCCTCTTTACCATTATACTAAATAGAATGTTAATGTCAATACACTGGTCACCAGATATTAAACATACCGCTAAGCCCCACAGAGGGACACGGCCCACAAAGCAATGTTGTGCCCCAAGAGCCAGGGCCTTAAAGATGTCTGATCCTCGCCGAATACCCCCGTCGATTGCGATCGGAATTCTCCCTTCCACGATCGGCGCACATTCACGGAGAACGTCGATTGTGGCAGGGACACCATCCAGCTGACGGCCTCCGTGATTTGAAATAATGATGCCGTCGACCCCGTGTTCGATAGCTAGAACGACATCCTCTGGGGTGTAGATACCTTTGGCCCAAATCTTCATATTGGTAATTGAGCGGAGCCTTGGGATTGCATCGGTCCATGTTATCTCGGTGTCTTCCATATTGTTAGGTTTATCTGCAGAGGTGATGGTGCGGGAAAGGAAAAACATACCGTACTCGATATCCGGACATTCCTCTCCCATCCCGAATGGCTTTGAAGGGTCTGGTGATAGATTAGGATACGCCATCCCATCAGGAAGTGCGAAGGTATTTCGATGCTCGTTATATCTAATCCCGAGCACAGAGCAGTCCACTGTAAGGAAAATTGCCTTGTACCCGGCAGCTAGAGAGAGTCAGTCTACTGTTGTCGCAAGTCGTGGAGAGCAGAGGGTACCTTCGGCACATTTAACAAGCTCTCCCTCGGGATGTGCTAGCTTATGCAAGGCGGTTGGAGAAAAGCCCAACGGGAAGGTGACTTTGGATCCAAATAGCTCCGCCGAAGTGTCTATCTCGGGGATCTTTACGAGGACACGGGGACGGATCTTGTACCGATCGAAGGCAGTCATGTTGTCACGCGGACTGGAAGGTTAGTTATTCTTGATGATCGTACCACTATTTACTTTGGTACAAGCCTACCTAATCATGTCCGTGGCTCCATCATTATAATACTCGCGGTATACCTTGGGTAGTTTCTGCTTGCCTCACGTTGGAGATCAACGATAGAAAGCACATTTTTGTCGACAACAGGAGGAACACTCATTGTTGATTGTGTTCATATACCAGATGGAACGTGGGTTGTGCGTAGATTAGCACTGGCCTGTGAGCCTATATAATCATTCCAGATACATGCATTGCGGTGCACTCGGAGGAGCACCAGGATAACACCGTTCAATCATAGCGTATGGCGCCAAGGGAAGGACAGTCCGACGAAGACCCCGATCCCTGAAAGTCCAGAAGCGCCAATGAGTACTACATGTGGCAGGCGTTTCTCGGGTGATCGCTATGAAGGGCGTCGACATGTTTCCGTATACAATCCGTTAGATCGTGGCACGTTCTAGTCCGGCACGTCCGTCTCAAGCACTTGCATCCGTTTGTTTTGGATGGTGGACGTCATTGAATCGCGGTATACATCATTGTCTCGATACCATGGGTGGACTTATTGTGAATCGTTACGCCTCTGGATACTAAGCGCTACTTGATCCCTCAGAACCGCAGGCTGCTGAACACGGACCAAACAATCGACAAGCCAACTTATCTATTCACGCTTATGCAGAACTCCTCTCGCGTACAGCTGTTGGTAAAATCGGCTGCACCTAATGGTATTGGCAAGAACTATTGTCCTGACCAAGATGCGGGGTGTACTTATAGAGCAGTGTTCTCTGGAGCCATGCAGTTAGAACTCCAACGGAACTACCAATACAATTGGCTGTTACGGGTGGACAGGTTGTGAAATGAATAGTGGGGAGACACTTGGAGCTAATCAATATTGCAACGAATACGAGACAATGACCCACTTTCAATTCTCTCTTCGTAATAATATCTGCGATTAAACTTCCTATTGCCCAATATATCCCTTCCTACCCCCAGTCCCTGTATTCTATACCTCTTTCTGGGGTAGAGTATATGATTAGAGCTGACCTTGGTTTCCATGTTTACTACTTCCAGGGCTTTTGACCCGCAGCTTGCAGGGTTGCTGTGGTTAATTTTACAGTACGCTCTCCTTGAGTATGACTGCCCTCATGCTATCTACCTGCCACATCTGAGTATGTCGACTTCCAGTAAATGCATGACAATAATTTCCTACCCAGTGTCATTTGGAATTGTAATGGTTCCTGGCTTATGCAGATAAGGGCACTGGCTGAGGCCAATCTGACTCGGAATTCTCCTTGTTTTCGTTACCCGAACGGAGGCAGGACTCTCCGACAGATCCCAATCATTGGTCGGGCCATATCAAGCCGGCCCACACTCTCTCTGCCTGAGTTGATGACGTTCGGTTCACTGTTGCTAGCCAACTGTCAAGCCTTCTTGAAGGGCAATCTCTTCGGGTTCCCACAAACGTCAACTGGTGACAATAGACATTATATTTCCTGTGTTAATAAAACCGAAAGTCTAACTGCTTACTCCGTGAATGCCACAATGCGCCTTGTTCCGATATAACCAGTTGTATTGCACGGGATCTAGAACATGTCGGCTGTATCCCCGTGTACTTAATATGGAACATTGAGCAATGCGCCTTTTGTGTTTACTATAGAGAAGAGAGGAAATAGACGGCAAATGGCATTAGATTCATTGCATTGCGAGCGCAAGTTCGGTACTTGACTCAATGATAACTTTCCGCTAGGCGACTATATATTCTATATCAGGCAGGAGTTGCCGACCAATTTCGACGCGTTCACAACCCAGTGTCTGACAATCCATGTTTACCAAGATACTATATATTACCCATCATCCCACAGATAAAAGAAAACGTACCTAGCCAGGATTTATCAATCTGCCGTTAATACGACCAGAATCCCGGACACTCCATTTTTCACTTCGTAAAGTCACGGTTGCCACACTCACGTGCCATCCGGAATCCACGGGTTCCGCCGCACCCTAATAAACCCCCACTTAATCAAGACCTCACTCGATCTTATACACATGCTTCAAATACTTTGAAACCATGGCCCAAGTGCTGCGCAGATATGTTGCCCCCGCGGAAACCGCTCGTCATATTGCGACAATCCTGGGGTTTCCCTCCAAGATCTCAATTGCTGCCGAGTACTACGAGGATGCATGCAAAGACATCGCCAGTTTAGCTTCTGCGATCTCTGCCTTTGAGCGAGTGCGTCTGTACACGCGCCCAGAAGACATTCCAAAGGCACAAACTCTGGTTACCAAAAGTATTGCCAAATTTAACGGCACAGATTCGAACATCAGCATCATTCCGTTCAGCACGAATCATTTGTGGGTCCGCGACACCGGTCCCGTCTATGTCTATGGTACTGGGGCGCATTCTAAAGAACGCTTTGCCGTCAACTTTCGATTCAGTGAATGGGGCAAGAAGGATGATATCGCCGATCATTATCGAGCTACAGATAGCCTGGACTGGCCCATTATGGGACCGGACCAGATCAAAGAGAACGCGGCTTTTGCACAGAACGTCATCGCGAGCGACGTTTCTCCAGCTCCAGTAGTTAAGGTTGAGTCCAAGGTCTGCTTAGAGGGGGGCGCATTAGTTCTAGACGGCGATGGCACCCTCCTTGTGACAGAGAGCAGCGTCCTGAACGAGAACCGCAACCCGGGTCTGTCTCGGGCTGACATCGAAGAGGAGCTGCAGCGCCTGCTGGGCGTTGAGAAGATCATCTGGTTCCCCGGGCGGAGGGATCTCGATGTCACCGATGTCCACGCAGATGCCGAGCTTAACTTTATTCGGCCTGGTGTGGTGGTCCTCTCCAAACCACACCCCAGTGTACCCAAGCCTTGGCAAGATGTGCACGATGAGATCCGAGACATTTTGGACCGGACAGTCGATGCAAAGGGGCGTCGCTTTGAGGTCCATATCGTGGACGAGCCGGATCCCACTATCTTTGGATCTTTATCGTACCCTGATCCGGCAACGAATTATGTCAACTTTTACTTTGTCAATGGCGGCCTCATCCTCCCTCAATTTGGGGATCCGGTCGCGGATTCAGCGGCACTTTCTACTTTGCAGAAGTTGTGCCCTGAACATAAAGTCACCCCGGTTCCTGTCCGTGCCCTCCCATTAGCTGGCGGTGTCGTACACTGCTCGACCCAGCCCGTGGTTGCGGTCGGCGAACAGTGAAAGAGTTGTCAACTAGAAGTTGGCTTCCCTTAACTCAGACCACATATATCGCTCATCTGGCCTCGTTGGATTAAAATCCGGGCCATAACATGACCTTCCCCGCTCAATCACCATTGTATATTTATTATGCGCATATCGGATATCAAAAAGAAATTAATGAATCAATGATCCTCCAGAATGCTTAAAGCTTAGAGAGGAACATCATTACCCAAGTCCTCGCACTCCAGACTAACCCCATAGGCCCTGGTCAAATGAAAATAGGGTTTCTGGTTCTTCTAACTTTAAGAGTCAATCAGTAAGACCCAGGTACAAAGCATTTCGCGGATCCATCCCCTTCAGCATACCACGTAGGTTGACATTTACTAAGTACGTAGTGATTCAGCTATCCAATAGCCACACCCTATGCAACGAGTACTATATTATTCAAGCATTATAATCTCATCTGATAATCTCTCCGATGTCCGTGGAATATGACTCTTAATCAAGCCCACTGGTATCCATTACTCCCAGTGGTCGACCCATCATACTGATATTTCTCCTCCATCTCGTAATACCTATTGAAGCCGACCCCTTCACAAACCTCTTCATACGACAAAACTGTAGGCGGCTTGCCCACCATGAACGACCCCTTAATGGCCTCAAGGGTCTCCCGAATACTCTTCAATTTCGCCGCCACCAACGTCCAAGGATACGCAACGGCAGAGTATCCCAGCTCGGCCAGGTCTTTCGCTGAGAGGTTCTCCGTCTTCCCGCCTTCAATGATATTCGCAAAGACAGGGAAATCGAGGTCCTTTCGTAGGCGCAACATTGTTTCACGGTCGGGGAGAGCTTCGACGAAGACACAGTCAACGCCAATCTTGATAGCCTCCCGAGCTCTTGCCAATGCTTCGTCGTAGCCATGGATGAGACTATCGGTTCGCGCCATGATCCAGACATCGAGGCCTTCGTTACGGGCGTCGACAGCTGCGCGCCAGCGGGCGTAGGCTTCGCTTCGGGAGACGACGGCTTTGCCTCTTGTATGGCCGCAGCCTGTAGGTCGTTAGTCCCATCGTTGCCTTTCAACATGCAGCTATTATATATTAGTGGTAAACTCACGTTTTGGCCACGTCTGATCTTCAATCATAATCCCCGCTGCACCGGCTCGTGCAAACCTCACCCAAATCCTCAGCACACGATCATATAATTAAATAACATTAGGAAAGACAGATACATACCCCTCAACGGTCCTCCGCACATTCATCGGTCCCCCATATCCCGTATCGCCATCCACAAGCACAGGCACACTAGTTGCCCTCACGACCTCCTGCACCTTGGCTGCCACTTCCTGGAAAGCGATGTACCCGGTATCCGGCAGTGCAAACGCCGAGGCCATGGCATATCCCGCAAGAAAGACGACAGGAAATCCTGCTTCTTCGCACAACTTGGAGCTCAAGGCATCGTAGCTGCAAACGTGGGCGACGATCTTGCTTGGGTCATTGTGGGCTTCGAGAACCATGCTGCGGAGTCGGGAGGCTTGGAGGGAAGGGATCTTGCCCCGACTGTTTGGGATAGTGACTGGTATGTCTTGCGTCTTGCCATTGGTGTCAGTTTGTACTGGGGTGCTCGATTCGAAGTGGAAGGGGTAGGGGTTTGTGTTGACGATTGACTTTGTCATTGCTGTGGTTTGTGGTTCATGCGTTGTGTTGATCAGAGAGAGCAGGATGTGGATATATATCTCGACTACTTGATTGAGGAACGTCATTTGAAGAACGTATACTTCGTACCTTTTAAATCTACAGTGATAGCAAACCGATGACTCCGATCTCGGAGCTCATAATAGCAAAGCATTCTTTGATTGCTACTTGGAGTAATTACGTCAACTTCATTGTAGATAGACAGACCGTTCTTCCCGAGCTGTTTGGGTTTCGGTTCGGATAAGCGCGGTATATACAAGATGCCGAAGAGGAGCCCCGACCGTTACTATCCGGGAAAAAAAATGCTCATTCGCGACACATTCTCTGATGCGAACGTGGAATATAATGGGATCAATTGTTATTTTTCATTACTATATTTGCTACAAGATACACATTTCACTCGCCTCCCACCTGCGGTAAATTCAACAAGAAATCTAACGAATCCAACTCCAATCCTATAGAGACACCCTCGCCGTTGAAATTAAACGGCGCAATATTCGGGTCGAACGGCTGAGCCCACCATGAATTCATCTCCGGCATGACAAGAGCATCGGTAGACTGTTGGGCTGAGTAGCTGCTGGGCGCATCGTGCATAAGAGGCTGCTCCCGCGGCTGTGCTTGTGTCAAGGACTCTGGTGTTTGTGCGTTATAGCGACGGTGATCTGGATGCATAGTCATGACATGGTCAGAGATAAAATTCGCCCGAAAGCGATCGACGTGTTTCTCTATCAGTGTCGCGTAGCGCAGTGAAAAGTCCATGTCGTCTGTACCGGACGACCGCAAAGCTGAGATGCATTGATCTAACGTATGGAGAGAGGCCTGTAGATCAGTATGGTGCGCCCCAAGGCTTATGGCCTTGAGGAGATAGACTGATGAAGAGGTGACACACACGAGAGTTCGGAGTGGCGCGTATCGCAACATGCCTTTGGTTGCCATATCAGTGGCAATCTCCAGAACTTTACTGCTACTCAGAATAACATCACGAATAAAATCTTGGTCGTGAGGTAGAACGCATCCATCGAGAGATTCGCGGCTGGTATCCCCAATCCAGCTAACCCCCCTTGCAACAGCCCTTTCGACCACAGCTTGAATGGCGAGGGCACTGGTGTACGCTCTGAGGTGATGGTATTCGATTAATAACAATGGCCTAAGGGATTTGTGTGTATCTGCCTCAATATTCATTAGTATGTACACTAAATCCTCGGGTGGAGAAAGACACAATACCGGTGGACTTCTCAAGCTCATCATGCCATCGAGCTAAAGACGGCGCAAAATGTTGTAAGAGAGTACTGTAGTGACCGGATGATAACTGCTGTTTTACATGAGAAATTGACTGGAAGAACATGGCGGATGCTGTTTTCATCAGACGAGTCAATTCCGTCCATGACTTCATATACACCTCCCATTGCCTATTTATGAGTTCCGTTGTATTTCCTTGCGATGGGTCCGGGGCGAAGAGGATATTGTCTGGGATAGGGGAGGGGCAGCCCATCCTAACAGCCATCTGGGTAACATAGCTGTAGAGCAACTTCCGGGCTCGATGCACTCGAACCGTCTGAGAGTTGGCCAACAGGGGAGTAGTGGAGTACCCGTCGGCGAATACACCCAGTTCGTAACCAAGAGTGACCGCGGCACCAAGCAGCATCCACGACATGCGCTCCGATCGCTTTGCAGGCTCAAACACATCCTCACGCCATCTAACAAGGGGAGCGTCTTCATTTGTTTGAAGTCGATTCTGGCGGTCGTATGCCGGTGAGATCAGCTCGCCGTCCCAGCCCTCTGTCTCAGGCGGGAAATGAACAGATCGTGGATTCCAGTCCGAGATCAAAATAAGACTTTCAATTGACCCAACAATCCTGGTTTTGGCGGTAGAGTACTTTTCCTGCCCGAACATAATACGGCGGATTAACAGTTCACAGTACTGCCATAACCGGTGGTGAATAAAATGGCTCCGAGAGATTCCACCAGCTCCCGGTAAAACAAAATACCGTGAAGCTATCATTAACATAGTGCAGCAGAGCATGGGCTCCTCAACTATCAACTGCTCATGGTTTTTATGATCACGATATGCCACTGTAGGGACAGGAGAAAGAGGTGCCAGATATTTATAGAACCTGGATCCGTTAGCATATACCTCTCTACGTCCAAGGCACCCATTTCGGTGAATTGACATACAAGTCTATGTACGTTACAGCTTCTTGCGCCGTGAACCATCCTTGCCGTACAAATCGACACCTGTCCCACAGGTCCAGGACAGATTCGCTAGGGTGTGATAGACCGAAGACCGAGACTAGCCCGCTTGCAGAGACAACTATTTGGGTCTTGTTTGTGGTCGTACCTCCCTGTTCCCTTGTCTGGGACGATGGCGATTCGCCTATATCGGGCCGAGCAGCATCGAACAGCACATCCAACGCATCGCTGGGTCGCGCCAAAATTGTCGCCATTACTCGGCCAGACAAGGATGGGTTCCCATGGGTGTCAGAATCTGTTACCTGAAGTGGGTCCGATTCAGATACGGGACTCGATAACACCCTTGGTGTCCTATCTGCGTCCTGGTGCCAAGTGTGTAACAGTCGCTCCTGGACGCTCTGTCCATGCGAGCTCTCTGGGACATGATCCTGTACTAGTGACCATCTTGGAGCCTGTCGGTGTTTCCCCGCCTTTCGGCTCGTCTCAAACACACATTCGCGATGTTCCCGCTCGCATTTAGCACACGGTGGCTCATCACCAAGAATACATCGGACCTTGCGAGCGCGGCAACTCACACAAGCCACATAACCGCGTTTATACGTCTTGCCGCGGCCAACAGGTGCCCTGGCCGGATTGCTGGGAGGCATGTTAACCACTATCTCACAATCATTCGGGTACGGAGATGTGTCGAGGTACAAGCGGCACGGATATAAGCGGTACTAATGTGGGGTCGTCTTGGTAGATACACCCCACTACCGAGTAACCAGTGCATCGTTCCGGTATCCATTTCACTGTCTAGTGGAAGAATTACTAAGTATGTTTATTTGTTGGTGCCTCGAGCTTCAGAAGGGCCGAGGTATTTACTACATCAAGTTGGCGTTACTGTGTTAGCCTAGCAGGTCGTTAAGGATTTCCATAGCGCGTGTCACTCGTCATGATCTGATGGCTATATCATTCTAACGCCCACATTGGCAGCCATTTGGTCATATCACCGATTTAGGTATCGATCACCTCTCGCTGATCAGCAAGTCCCTGTTGTCTGATCCTGTTTTAGGCTTAGGGGTCCATATCCATCTATGATGTCTGTGGATAACTTATAGGGCCTTTGATTGGCCACATTGAGTTCACCGGCTAGTATTCTCGTTGTTGATTGGTCATTTTGAGTACACTGCCAGTCGCTGAATAATTACTTTGAGTACATTTCCCAGTTCTTTTCTTGCCGCTTTCAATCTCATAACATCTCCCTTGGGGCCAGCAATCCTTGAGGATAAATAGCAGAAGGTCGGGTTGACGAGGTGCTCACTATAACCTATATAATCGTCATTTATCTGACCGGGGTGGAAGGAAGCACCGTCCATAGGAACCCATACCATAGGACTCTGAGAATCCGTACAACAGTTCACAATTTGCTCTCCTCCAATTCTCTGAGCCCAGTGCTACACTATACTACAATTATCTAGTCGCCAAACATGGATTCCATCCATCTGGACCAGACCTTTCACCACTCTACCAACACGCATAGGTACCAAATCCGCTGGACCTCTCTTGGTGATAATGTCTTGCCACCCCTGATCTTTGTGCACGGTACCCCCTGGTCGTCCCGTGTCTGGGATACCTACGCACGATCATTTGCCAGATATTTCCACGTCTATCTGTTCGACAACCCCGGGTTTGGCGAGAGTCCTCTTGGCCACCCACTCCCGGGCAAGGAGGACGCCATTACTAAAGAAGTCGCCTTGGATTCCGATCTGGCGCAGCAGTCAGAGGCCTTTGCTGCGCTCTATCACGACTGGTCTCGCGATTGGAAGCATGAAAAGGCTCATGTCGTCGCACATGATCATGGAGGGCTGATGGCTTTACGGGCTCATATACTGCATGGCTGCGAGTATGCTAGCCTGTGTCTCATTAATGTGGTTGCATTGGGCCCATTTGGTCAGCCGTTGTTTAAATTGGTCGCGGAGAATGAGGAGGTGTTTACTGCCTTGACTGGCCCGGTTTTTGAAGGTGTTGTGGAAGCTTACATTCGAGACGCGGCATATACTGAGTTGGGGAAGGAGACGATGGACATGCTGAAAAGGCCGTGGGTCAGTAGTGAGGAAGGGAGGAAGGGCTTTGTGAGGCAGATGGTGCAGGCAAATAGCCGCCACACCGGTGAAGTTGAGAGCAGGTACTGGGAAGTCGGTCAGAAGATGCCGGTGAGGATTATTTGGGGTAAGGAGGATAGGTGGATTCCGGTGGACACTGCAGACAGACTAATGGAGAAGCTGTGTGCTAGAGACATGGTAGTGATTGAAGAAGCGGGACATCTAGTGATGTACGACCAGGGAGGAAAGTTAGGGATTGAGCTGGGCTGGTGGCTGCGTTCTTTCAGCTAGGGCTAGGAGTGAGTGATACCGTGTGTATGGAAATATACGCCAATTGAAGAATGGCTTGCCCTTTATTTGAACTTAGGGGAATTTTCGTATGCGTCTGAAATCGAAACTAGCCCTGCCATAGAGATAATCAACCCGGACGAGCACCAACAGAGAATGTAATAATATCAATGGAGGTATTGATGTTGCTCTGTTTTCGCCTTTGCCTTTCTAGTTCTTCAAGTCTAGATGGGACGCATAGCATACGCACCAATTGACTTATCACCGAGGCCAGATCTCCGACGAGACAGGGCAGACGGCGATCGCGAAACGTGGACACGTGTTCTATTTTCCCTGTGCCAGTAAGGACTAGCTCAGGACCGCTTTTTACTCACTGATGAACAACAGAATATAGGATCAAAGAAAATAAAATATATGTTCAGCACTTCCAAAGTAACTACGAGATATCGCATAATAATACGAGTGTAGTGTATCCTAGTCCAGAAACTCAATCAGTGTCCTGATTGTTAAACTGACGTAAACTTCTAATTGCGCAGATTGTTTGGGGTTTTGAATAGCTTCATTTGGGAAGGCGCCTAGAAACCTTACTGATATGGCCGATCGTCCGTGGGTTATGATATCTTCGAAAATGACTAATAATAGATAGCCTATTGAACAAATTCCCCCATCTGTATTGCAGCTATATATACCTGCCAGCTGCCTAATGGGCCAGAGGTGCCCAGGAGCTCTCAAGTATCCGAACTTGGAGTTGACACTTATTATATACCAACCATGTCGCACGTGCTTGCAAGCGGGTACGCCAGCCCAACTGCCTCAACGCACACGAGCTTGTCTTACCCCCAAAGCAGACAACAAAAGCTGGTCGAGATCAGACCGAAAGGTACGTGACTCAAAGGACACATTCATGGAATGTCAGTATGAGAATCAGGCGACATCAACATGATAACATGAGTTCAGGACCAGGCTCAGCAAACATCCTAGCAATATCTAATTCGGCTAAATGTCGGAAGAGGCAACATGCTGACGCCCAGAAGTGCCAACGGGATCGCATGAAAGTTGCGCTGGACCGAATGGCGCGCATAATGAGGATTGGAGGCGTGGGGGATGAGGGGACAAGTGGCACGAAGGTGTGAATGCCAAAGGCCCAGCCAATCCCATGATGCAACCGATGTCGTGCTCACTTGGAGGATTCTGATCAGGCAAAACTACTCGAGACAGCGGTGGAGTATATCCAACGCCTCCAGGACCAGGTCGAGGAGCTGAGAGAGTCTTGTAACTCTGGGCACGCGACATTACCAATTTCAGACTCAATACCCGGGCATGTTGAACAGTGCGCCTGATGCCAACAGCCGATGCAGACCGGAACTGGCGTTTAATTCCTCGGGTGTAGATTCAAATGAAGCCAATGGAAAAGCTGTACTCGAGCATCAGATGCCAGCTAGGGCTATAAGAGGGTAGCGATAGCAGGTGGAATCAGATACACCCATTCCGCCAAGTACCAACTTGAATAATTTCTTACCCAGCCAAACTATGCTAAACGGTTTTACGCTTGCTTCCATGATTAATTCGTGGCCAAGAGACTGCGATTGTGCCAATGGGAGCCGTGAGATTGGGCACATGGATCGTATCCGCACAGTTCCAAGCATTTGCCCGCACATTAGCGTATTTGTGGCGTCGCTCGCAAGCAGGCGAGTCACTGAGGCCACAGCAGGCTTGGCGATACTGGTAATTAGACTGTCGGGCACGTGCTGGTCTGCGGAGTTGGATTAGTCGGCGGACAGTCAGTGGAGGAACGCTTGGCAGCTCGGCGGAGCCGGACTGTCTTGGGTCTCTTGGCATCATCATTGTATGTAGACTTCGCTCAGGAGGCGCAGCAAGACAGCAATAGTGCTAGGGCAAATATAAAGACCTGTTCCGGATCGCTACATTGTCCTTCCCTTCCTGATCTGCCATCAACATCCCGAAAAGGTGAAGTTTCACCTTGGAGTCTCGTGCTGTGTGACATCCGCCAAGATGACTCTTCACCAGTACGATTACATCTTCGCCATCGGCACAATATTCGCCTTCCTGGATGCCTGGAATATCGGTGCCAATGATGCCGCCAACTCCTGGGCGACGTCTGTTTCGTCGCGTTCGATCAAGCTCTGGCAGGCCTTGATCCTGGGATCTATCATGGAGTTTGCTGGAGCGTAAGATTACCACTGGCTTATTATTGAGTTCTGACTTTTGGACCTTGGCATAACGATGTGATTCTATAGTGTCGGTGTAGGAGATAGTGTCTCTGATACGATCCGGACAAAAATCGTCAAGGTCGATTTATTTGCCGAAAATCCCCCGCTCCTGATGCTTGGAATGTGCTGCGCAGTGGTTGGCTCAGCTATATACCTCAGTATCTGTACAAAGATTGGCCTCCCGGTGTCCACAACTCACTCTATCCTGGGAGGAATCCTGGGAATGGGCATTGCTCTTCTTGGAGCCGATAATATAATCTGGTGGGGTGGTGATATCAATTCTGGCGTTGTGCAGGTGTTCCTTGCCTGGATTATCGCACCTCTGTTGTCCGGTGTGGCTGCTTCGTTGATCTTCTTGATCACCAAATATGGCATCCTGCTGCGTAGCAACTCTGCACTCAAGGCGTTGTACACTGTTCCGTTCTACTTCCTCCTGACCTCCGCCCTTCTTACCAGTATGTTTGGCCCTTGCCCTTACAACCTTCCTGACTCGATTCCTGACAAGTCACAGTGCTTATCGTCTGGAAGGGCGGTAAAAGCAGAATTGAGCTGGGGGGTGCTGAGATTGCTGGCACTGTGGTTGGTGTTGGTGCTGGTGTCTCTGTTCTGTCTGCTATCTTCCTTTGCCCCTGGCTCTACCGCCGGGTCATCCTGAGCGACTGGCAACTCACGCCCTGGCATATCATCCAAGGCCCTCTTCTCCTGCGCCGTGGTGAAGTGCCTCCTCGCCCTGCTCATGTGAGGGCTGTTCGCAACTATTATGAAGGTCACAAAACCATGCAGGAACTACAAGCCAACCGATCGGGCGATGTCGAAAACAATAGTGAACATTCCTCTCCCGACCTCAAGGGAGAGCCCCACGCTACTTCAAGCTCGGGTGATGGTGCAGACCATGCGAGTGGTGATGTTATCAACGTCTGCGGTCCCCGTCCTGAGGGAGTCTGGTACACCCCAGCGGTTATGTACTGGCTGTTCAAGAAGGCCCTCTTCCGGGGTCTTGAGCAGGACATTGTTAGCGCCCAGAAGAAGGACAGCAAGCTTGCG